ATATGTCTTTGCCTGCACAATCTCCGTGCCATACACGTCGGAATCAACCAGATATGGACTGTGTACATGAACCTTTGGCAGGCTACAGAGGATGATATGGATGTGTGGCGAGATTTTGAGAATATGTTATTTTCAGACCAGAGGAAGAAGGATCGAGTTTCATGCTTTCATGTCACATTGGAATACCAGTAGATACATATGAGATGTCTAGTACTGCTGCATGTTGCCCGTCTCATATAGAGGATAGAAAAGCGATCTAGTACTGCTGCATGTTGTCTGCCTTGTAGTACTGCTGCATGTTGTCCATCTTGTAGTACTGTTGCATGTTGCCCATCTCATAGTACTGCTGCATGTTGTCTGTCTCACATGAGACAGACAAGGACGGACAAGAGGACAGTCAATTTTTCAAATGGTACATTGGTACCCTAAACACACTACAAAACTATCTAAATAGCATTGTACAATCAAATCTCTTGTGACACTTCCCTTTGAAGGGACTTGGAAGGTTTGTCAGCCAAGTCCTTGAAGTGTGGGCAATCAGAATACTTGTGACATCCAGATGGCCCCCATCTTTGAAAGCGAGGTGGCTTGGATGCCTTGGACACAGTACTTTCACCCTCATCAGTAATCCACCTAACAGATCCCCCACCCTCAGGGTACCATTCTTGATGCAAGTTCTTGCGTCTGGGCATCTGGATATGCTGATGGCGTGTGGATCCGCTCATCTCCATCATCTCAATGTGAAGCTGGGCCCGATCACGTTCATGTTCAACATCATACAAGTGAGTGCGCAAACCAAAGAGTTGGCCCTGCAAGTTTTCCACACTGGCTTGTGAGTCACACAGCTGCTGGCTCTGGGTAAGTAGTTGCACAGTAGCCAGGCTGTGATTGGCACATTCTTCATCACGGTTGTGCTGGGCGGCTGGGTCAAAAGCTCCAGAAAGGCGAGTGAGGAGATCTGTAGCTGCAGCTCCTCGAGCATTGTGACGTAGAACAGGGGCATCTGTGCGAGCAGTAGAGTGTGCAACAGCAGTGTGCTGAACTGGGGGGGAGGTATGGTATGGCTCGTCCTGAATGTTGATCTCATCAGAGACAACAGAGTGATTATTGTTGTCTTCAATGGTATCAAAATCCATATCATCCAGGTCACGGGTTCCTGCACGCTCATTGATAAGTTGATCAATGCGAAGTGCACGTGTGACATCTGGAGGGCAGACACCATCTCCCGTGGGCTTCATAGTCTTTACAAGCTGTAGTTCAATGTGTGAGCCATTTTGCAGCCATATGACAATTCAAACCTTACCTGCTTGAACTTTGTCTCGAGCGAAGTGACTTTGTGCTCAGGATGGCCGTTTGCTTTCGCCCATTGGCAAAACTTGACATGGACAGCCTGCCACCCACGTTGACCAAGGGGGAGCTCCTGACAGACCATGTTGAGAAGAATAGTCACATCTGAAATTGTATAGTTGTTAGATCCTTGAGGGCGGCCTCGCCGCACATGCGCCTCATCATCTTCATCAGCGTACTCTTGGGAACACTTTTTTGAGTTAGCAGATGTCAAATTTTCCTTGGTTTTACCTTTGCCCCTCGGGCCTTTGACCTGGCGACACAAGCCCGCTGCTTTGACTGCTGGAGTGTGGCCTTGAGCCTCTGCAATAGTTACAGCGTCAGTCAAATCAAGATCACCAGATTCAGGTAGGGGAAGGAATGCAGGATTGATCATACTGTTTGTCAGCATCTGGCGCAGAGGAGTACGATAACTGGACGGTAAGAGTGGTGTGTCTTCCTTGGATTGGAACATGGCCGGAGTTCTGAGCGCGTAGGTGTCGAGCTGTACATAACACAATTAGTCGAGCGAATGATATCATAGTATGGTGCCATCAACATACCTCACAGCTAAGACTCAGTTGGGGCTCCCCATGTTCGATGCGAAAGGACTGTTGAGACGTAGTAATAGCCTATAATAATATGAGCATCTGAAACTGTAGAGGTGAAAAATGAAACTCACCTTGCAAATTCCTGGGTGAGGAACCCAAGCGCCAGCTGCATTGCATGTATAGGCATTGCCAGCGTCATTGTAGTGTAATTCTGGGTAGGCTGGGCTACTACCAGGTGGTATCATAGATTGTAGAGGGGCGATATCAGACATTGTGTGATTGTAGTAGTGTTTAAATCGAGAAAAAGCTTACCTTGTTGTCCTCGAGCTTTTATATGTCTCCCAAATTGCCGCTGTCAGATGTGCAAGTGATTGTCGAAGTTCATAGATAGCAGAAAAGACCCTGTGGTTGCAGTCATACGTTAGTAGATATATATGAATCAATGAATTTAACAAGAAAAAAACTTCACTGAAGCTTGAAGGATGGACGGTGCTTGTTACTGGACAGATACAGGCAGATTGGGGTCAGCATTGCTCAACTTCGGTCACAGTGATACATGACTGCGCAGTTCTGCTGTAACCAATCTTAAAACTTCAGTAGTATTTTCACCAGCCAGTGTAGGTATTGGACTGCAGTTAAAATCCGTATATTCGAAGATGTTATGATGAAGCCACGACTGTCGCTAAGCTGAAGATGAGCGAGGCGGCGACCTGAGTTGTGGATTAGTCAGGATTAGTCAGCGGATAGCTGAGGCGTTAGTGGCCTAAAACGGATATAATCCGACTGATTAATCTGTAAGGGGGGGGGCCCCCCCCTTACAGATTTAGAGTTTATAAGAGGGTCAAGAAAATAATGTTTTGCAAATTCATCCCAAATGAACAGCGGCATCGCGGCACGACTTCCTTAAATGGGTTTTTTTATTCTATTATATTCTATTCCGCATTACTTGAGCCTACGGATAGTCACCCACTGCCGATTTAATGACCCAACGTTTAAATATATAGGATTTATCTTGTGAACAAATTTCACTTTCGACTTATTCCCACAGTGCCATACGACCAATGCCGTGGCTTGTATACAGGTTTACAGCCTCTCACTCCGTTCCTTTCATATTTCCGGCGATCTACCTAGCCTAATGTCGATGCTCTGGATCAGTTGGGACTTGAGGTCTACAACATGAGCTCAAGGTCAGTCACTTGGTCTGCGCTCACTTCTACAGAGGTACCGTTCGATATCACTGTTTCTGGCTAGACCTGCATTCCGTAAGTCGGTGTTGTGCATACACCAAGTGAAGCTACTGATGCGGGGTCAACCACAGTCACTGGATTAGTTCAAATCTGCGATTATGAACATGTCCGTTACTTGGACACCATAGTCTGATCATCAACGAGAGGTTGAATGCATGCTTGCAGATGAATGTTGTTGTAATCTTCTACCCTCTGTGATCATCAAATTCCCATGTCACTTGTCGAGAACTTCGATGCATGCCAGGTTTCTTACTAATCATCAATGGCACTTCCAGAACGAGTTCAATATGGACATCGGAAACTTCGCAACGATCACTTTACCAGAGATCACGCGATCAAAGTGGATGCAGCACAGTGGGCCGCTTTGGGGGCTCTAATTCAGTCAGTCTGTCGCAACGTGTGGTCAACTCACGTCCTGTGGGACGTTTCTTCCTCTGAGAGCGGCTCTTGCAGTACATCGAGACCACTCTACGTACAGACTACGGTCATTTGCAAGGCAGGATCAGTTTATGTTGCAGGGAAGTACGAATTTAACGATATAGTGCACTGCGATCTTTCAAGGTTAAAGTTGTATGCGGTGCACCAATACAGGTCAAGGGTGGTACAGCTTACATGCTGTCGCAGCTGGCCCATTTGCTGGCAGCCCATCGTTAATGCTAACGACGCGAAATCATGCGAAAGGGGGAAACCGGGTTCCGGTAATGTTAATAAATCCTCGGCGTGAGTGTGATTTTACTCTTCTCTCTTGGGCTAGAAGCGTTTCCTGCCATTGATCCTTGCCCAGTCGAGAAATGATCTGACTACCTCTTGGTTCTCCACGGCTATTTGGTGGCTATGTCTTCAGGCTACGAAATGTAGATACGTCGGTCTTTGAATCCTCTGCATTCCAGGATCTCCATTGAGCAACAGTGAAATTTGTTCAGAAGCAAATCCGTTGATCAACCCAGCAACATACTACCAGTAACTCACGCGTCGAGCCATCAACCATACTGCGCCGATATGAAAGAGAAACACAACTCACCACCATACTAGGAGCATACAAAGAGCGCCTGTCAGCCAGTGAGTCATGTAGTCAAATTCAGGACAAAACTACTCATACTCACGCAAACATGATCGGGGCAGTGTTTGCAAGTGGACTGTGCTATGCAAAAGATGGGACATTCTTCGACGTTGTCACTAGCAGATATTAATGCTGTTAAAGCAGCAACAACGGCGAGGACAAAAGGGACACGCATCGTTGTGAGGATGTGATAAAGGATCAAATAAATCTGAAGAGAACGATATAGAAGACGCCTTGCTTTTATGTGCCGAATATCATGGGAATATAGGATAATCAACCCACTGGAATCCCCTTTCGAATAGATGATATCTGCAATGCCAGCAGATTGCCACCTAAGATCTACCTTGTGGAGCAAGGTATCGGCAAATTGGTACGGAACAATCAAAATACCCACTTGTGGCTCTCAGGTGAGCAAGCCAGTACTCATCAATCGGTGAATGTTAACGTCGAATGGTACCAGGTAATATGGGCCAGAATTCAAACTTCGCACTTACTGTATCTTGGTGTGATTTCAAGTTGCAAATCCCTCAGTTCGAGACTACCTCCGTGCCAGACATGAAGCTTTGAAGGTCGATGCATCAGTTGACGAGTTTTTCTGTCATTTATACAAGGTCTAATGTGTCATTACAACATGGCGTTACCGTTACGATCCCGACGTCCTAATATAGGTCCCAAGTCCAATACGCTAAATAATACTGTCCTCTGATACATATCCCCAGCAATGACACAAGGCAAACAGTTTTCCTTGGCACTGCCCTCCATTACATGTCCCGACGTGTCTCATTTTCGTGGCATAAACTCATTCCCATGGCGCGTTTAACGGTTCATGTCGAGTGCGTACAATGACGCCCTTGGAGCAGGCATCATCATGGTCGTGGGCTGCTTCCGAATTCGGCGAACAGGCTCATCTATTCCAGGCTCGTCCATTGTTACAGGTTCTGGCAACTCACGGCTTGAATATGAGTTCTGACTGTCGTGAGTCATCCCCTGCGAAAAGAAATGGAATCATGCTTTCAATGGTAACAACTCGACGACTGACTGTGCAATAATCAAGAGATGGGCTCTTCACTTCATCTCCTGTCAACGCTGATAAGACATGCATCGCCTGATTAAATGATTTAGAGCCGCATAATCACTGTGACCACTCGCACACACCTTATTATTAGCTTTCGATGACCGTACAAAAGAAGACGCATTGCTAAATGCGCGGGAAAGAGTGAGACGCTCGCGCCTCAAATCTTGATACTCCGATAGCGTTTCATCCAGTTGGTTGTGCAATTCTGCCTGCTCCTTGCGAAGCTTCGCAGCCTCTGCTCGGAAAGCGTCTCTCTCCCGACGAATTTCAACGAGATCGCTGAGCAGTCTAGCGTTATCTGCCTGAAGTTGTTGAATAACTTTCCGTTGACGGGCGTGGACGTTTTGTAACTGCTCGATCAACATTGTCGAGGGCTTTTCCATGGCGAATAGAGAGTGCGTAGAAAGCAAGAACTTCGAAGTGGCTGCCGACGGAGGCTGGAGGTAACTTCTCTCAGTTTTATTAGCGGGGCACCATCGCATTATGCATCACCATCAGGACAGCATTATGCTGTTTGATCTGAAAACGTGCACACCCACCAGAATCCCCACGTAGCTAATACTAGCAGTGGCATATCGTATACGTTAACGACAAGTGTTCCAGGGGTTGGCCGTGATGGGACGATAAGTTTCTATTTTCGCTGACTGCCTCTCATACTATAGTCTGTGCTTGGCTGTGTTGCTGGTAATTTCTTTGATGTCCTTGGTGCAAGGGTCATAGAGTCTCTGTACTGCTTTTGACTGCCTCCTGTTGTGGAAGACCGATATTAACACTGCGATCGTGGTAGATGATGTGGTCATGCAATCTATCATACCGCTTCAAGTTACTTGTACCAAGTAGCTGTGCGTCGACAAGCGCCATCCATCCGATTATAACATCTGCCAAGTCCAACGTTACATCACGTTGCAGGACATCTGAGTCAGTGCCCGCGGCAAAGGATCCGGATGAATTCAGCGACGATGAGTGGAAACAAACTAGTTGTTCCAGCCTTGAACGTTTGAACCCGTCAGTATTAAGTACCAAGTGTTCGAGTAATAAGAGGCGTTTAAGCTTTGCGCCTTTTGCGCCAGACTACCTACCGTATTAGTAGTACTAGTACTTGGTGCTTTGGGAGCAATTAGGATCGAGTTTGAGAATGCATGAGGTTCAACTTCTCGCGATCAACGGGGGCCTGTGACACGGGTATTCACTATATGTGACGTGCTTCGGTCACGTGCTTCTGCTGTCACGCGCCTCATGTCTGTTCGGATTCAGTACCCAGTCAGTCATGCGCGCGAGTCGCCGGAAGCCACAGCGCGCGGTTAAGTATGTAAGGTTTCATTACACAGGGCCTCGAGCTCCAAACCATCCCTTCTCCAGCCGGTAGCGAAGTTGCTCACCCGACCATTGCCACTCGAAGATTTGCCGACTATATGAATGCCCTCAGGCTTTCCTCTACCCATATTTTCACACTTTGTGACCATGAAGCACTGGCTTGTGTTAGAGATCTTTGCTTCTTATATATCTTCTGTGAAGGGCTATAGTCTCGTCCGTGAATATTCGGGTCAGAGCTTCTTCGATCTTTGGGACTTTTATGGCGCTTATGACAACACGACTCAAGGTAGGGATCGTATTCGTCATTCCTTATATTTTGCTACAGTAGAAAACACGATGCAGGCAATGCCATATGGGTCAACGAGTCCTACGCAACCAGTCAGAGGCTGGCGTACGTAGACAGTCAAGGAAACGCCGTAATCAAAGTGGACAACACAACGGATGTGTCTATGGGCCAGAACCGTAGCACAGTGCGCAAAATACAGGATGCAAAAACCTAGTACTTATTAGAGCTCAACAGGTTCGCATAACCACTCAAGACACGTACGATGTCGGAAGCCTTTGGATAATCGATCTCAGTCACATACCATTTGGATGCTCGGTATGTTATGAAAGGCTTGGTCTACATGCTGTTATCATCTGAACCATCTACATGAGGTATGGCCCGCATTTTGGAGTTTTGGTACGCGTGATGCTGTTGGCTTCGATTTCACCCGCTAACGCGACTTTGTAGGGCCTAACTGGCCGGAGAACGGGGAGATAGATATCATCGAGGGCATCAATTTGATGCCCGATAACCAAATAAGCATTCACACCACACCAGGATGCACTCATAATGGATCGGAATATCAACTTGGTACAAGTGGTTCAACGACCGACTGTTCTCAACCCTCTGGATGCACAGTGATGGAAACTTCTCCGAATAGTTTTGGAAGCAGTTTTGCAGCAGCTGGCGGGGGAGTTTGGGCAACGCAATTTGATGTGTCAGGTATCTTGTACGTAGTTGCACATGCCGTATCCTCGTCATCCGTATGGCTAACAATCACTGGTAGTATCTGGTTCTGGAGTGTGCGGTGCACCCTTGGGTTTGATCAATATCGTAACGTGCTGACACATCTTTCAGCGCCCCGATATACCCGCTTCTATCTATCAAGTTGATTCAGCTTCGATAGACGTCACTCAATGGGGAATTCCGCATGCCAGTTATTTTTCTAACACTTGCAACATTACCCAATATTTCAGTCCGCAGAACCTGGTTTTAGACATTACTCTTTGCGGAGACTGGTAAGTCCTGTCATACCTCGTGGCACAGGACCTCCATAATCATGTTACATATAGGGCAGGTGTTGGATCATCCTATAGTGCGTCGTGTGGCAACTCAGGTCCAACAGGCCTATGTGTGAGTGCTAATAGCCGAAAATCGCATTTTTTTTCGTGTTTAACGCTTGTGATACAGTACGAGGACTGCGTAATGGGGCCTGGAAGTCCACGGTATGATGACGCATATTTCAACATTTCTTACGTTCGTGCATATACTTCTGCTCTACCATCTGCCACTCCAACCCCATCCATTACTCCAACGACATCCATCAATCCCACAACGGCAATGACGAGCTCGACGACAAGATACGGTGGGCTATTTACCCATACCTCCGATAACAATGGATGGGGTGCAATAGTGATGCTTCTCATTGCGGCTCCAATTGCCGTGATTGGTTCATGGCCACTCATGTTCAAGAGGTGGCATCACCGGAGCATACCACCACTGTAGCCTGCGTATTCACTTCACTCATGACTTTTTATGACTCAGAAATGACCATAATAACTTAACGACTGCATTTATATTTAGATTGCACCATGAATAATAGACATGTTAATGTACTATTGTTATGCACAAGTAAACAACAGACTTGCTTTTCATGTGGTACATGATCATGTGTGCAGATGGACACCGGCGTGTCGGGTCATCTTGTACCGATATAGAGCTTCAAGTCCTATTGTCAACCTTCATGTGTCCTTGAACAGTGTATGTATCCATTTTTCCAGAGGATACGATGTTAATATTTTCTTTCTATGTGCCGGCAGCCTGATGGGTTTTGCCACTGGGATTAGCCTTGCTCAAGAATGAATTTGTTTCATAAATAATTCATTGTATTCCTCTTCGATTTGCGAACTCAAATACTGCTTCTATTTCCAGCATGACAGGCATGCCGCAAACGCCGGATTGTCTGCATAAGTACCGGTCAACGATCAGGCTGGGGCCTCATATACTTCACACAGAACTATGACTAGCACGGTCGACGAGAAAGTAGCTCAAACGACGCAATCAGAAGTCGATGCAACTAGTGGTTTCGAGAAGAAATCTCCCTATGGCAACCTCACGACGCTAGCGCAGGCTGCTGCAACTGAACATGCCATCACTCCGGCGCAAGCTGTGCGAACGTATTGGCGCGCTTTTGCATGGTGTTTATTTATCAACATGGGGGCACTGTTGTGGGGTTATGACTCTCAGGTAAGTGATTCAACCATAAATGGGTCGAACGGTGTCGAGATAGTCTTCTGTTAGGTTGGCGGTGGTTTATTGAGCGTCTCTTCGTTCCGTAGGGATTTCGGGAGCTTGATTGATCAACAATACGTCCTTGCTGCATCATGGCAAAGTGCCTTTAACAGTATCAGCTCTATCGGTGGCATGATTGGAGCCTTTTCTTTGGGTTACATTTCGGAGCTTTTTGGGTGCGTACGAGGGTCTGGAGTGTTAGATCCTCTTGCTCATACAAGACAGACGACGTGGTGCTGTCGCTGTCGCTTGTTTTGTCTCCATCGTTGGTATTCTGCTACAATTCCTTACGCCCGCTCACAAAAACGGGATGCTATTAGCTGGCAAACTGATCAACGGTTTCTCGCTTGGTTTGACATTTGCCCACTCAACCTTTCGCTGTCTTAACCAACTTGTGTAGGAATGTACGTATCAAGTGCTGGATCTTATTGCGCAGAAGTTTCCCCTCTCGCTTTACGTGGGATCACTACTGCATCTGTTAATCTGTGGATAGATCGTACGTTTATCTTCAACCTAATTTCATCCTCAAGTTCTTACACAGCATGTCACTTTTAGTGGGTCAATTGTATGTTCCTCATGTATCCTCATTGGCACATTGCTCAACAGGGAGCGTAGCATGTCGAACGGAGTAATTCGTGGAACAGGAAACCGAACCGATGCTTATGCTTACCGTTTGCCTTTGTAAGTGGTTCGACTCCTTGCCCACATTCAGCTTTATTCCTTCATTCAGTGCGCTCCAATGGATCTTTCCAGTCATTCTCCTTGCGGGCCTTCCTTTCGCTCCGGAATCCCCTTGGTGGCTTGTCCGCAAAGGAAGGATAGATGATGCTCGGAAGGTCATCACGCGACTTGGTGGCCCAACGATCGATGCAGATATGCAACTTCAGCAAATCCAAGACACGATTGAGCTCGAAGACACGTATGCGTCGAGTGCCAGATACATTGATTGCTTCAGGGGTTTGTTTCATTCCGCTAATGATCCTTGATTACATTCTGATGGGTAAAACAGGGGTCAACCTCAGACGCACTGTCGTAGCAATGATGGTCTTCGTGCTTCAGCAAGGCGCTGGTATGTTTCTGCTAAATGAGTGTCAACACTAGGACGCTAAATATTTGAAAGGGGTCGTATTCGTTCTGGGCTTCAGCACATACTTCTTTGAGCTTGCTGGTTTCGCCGATACCAATGCCTTCAACTTAGGCATCGGAGTGACAGCCATCGGCGTAAGCGTTTGACTGTTATTTCGATCTTCGTTAACATCGAATGATGTTTGTCTAGATCGTGGGCAACCTGCTAACATTTTATACAGTCAATCGATTCGGCCGTAGATTCATATTCTTCTGGGGAATGCTTGCTTGCACCACAGTGCTATTGTTGATTGGCTTTATATCCATATCACATTCTCAAAATGCCAGATGGACGGTAGCTGCCTTTGTGTGTTGCATCTTCGTTGGGGACGGCTCATATTTGGTACTTACTAATTTTTCTGCTTTAGACAATCATATACAATTTTATATATCAAACTGGCATGTGAGTCACTTTGCTGTTGCAAGATTGACCTTGACTGATGAGTTGGGTGACAGTGGCCCCCTAGGCTATGTCATCTTTGCTGAAGTTTCGTCTGCTAAGCTGCGATCAAAGACTGTCGCATTAGGGATCTGGGTAAATTCCTTATCTAGTATGGTCGTGAATATTGTTGTCCCGTATCTGCAAGTCCTTCTGTTTTTCCGTCCCATAATTGATCTAAAATATTATTCTTCAGCGTCAATCCAGATGAGGCAAATCTTGGTGGATACGTTGGCTTTGTTTTTGGCGGTCTGGCTTTTGCTGGAACAATCTGGACCTGGTACTTCATTCCAGAAACTAAGGATCGCACAGTCGACGAGTCAGTTAACCTCAGTCCTATCGTTCGCCGTTCTTCTCTAAAGGGATCTTATTTTAGGCTTGATCTTCTTTTCGAAGAACACGTTCCTGCGCGTCAATTTGCGGCGCACAACCTTTTCAGGTCCACTTCCCCTTCCAATTAATGGACTGTCAAACAAATGGCCCTTCATGCACCATGCTCATGACATAACGATCAATAATTCAATCACTTAAGACCTTTAACTCTTTACGCTTATTTGGAATCTACCCTGTAGTCGATAGATCATGTTTATGTCTTCCTTGAGAGAGGCTATAGCGTCCAACGAACATCTCCGCGACAATTTAAGCGCATGCGTAAGCTGGAGTATCTATTTGCTAGCCTAATAAGATCATATACCAATGCCATACGTGCATCTTAGCTTGAAAACATGGTAAGCTACTTGGACTTGAAGCTCGGACACAAACTCAATAACGGCGCGAGCTCATATATAACTCGGCAGAGCTTTCAAGGTGCTTTACTATAAGAGTCCCGAGTCAGCCGTTTTCAAGATAGAGTGTTGCATAGTATGAATACAAGCTCCCCTACCAGGCCTCAGGGGTAACCCAGTGGTTCAAATACGGAGGACCCGCACGTGAGTAATTCCCGCTGGCCGTAAAATTGATCAAATCACAGCCTGCTACTTGCACTAGCGCTGGTCCATAATAAAAGAGGCACAGCGGCCACTGATTCGAATGAGCAAGTCAGCCCTGACCTGCCAGTGCGAGGCCAGCACTATTTAAAATTTAATTTACATAGAAGAAGCTTCATTATGTAAGCGTCCAGATGTCATTAAGTTGAGAACCCTCGTTTTCTCGTTACTATTCATGTTATCTCACATACCCAAGTACAAGCACTATCAATGTTTATCGACCATCGGCTTGCCTCATAGACGGGCTGGTCACCAGTTTATGGTGAAACACAGCCTAACCATAGGTTAGTAGGGTGTATTGGTAGCATCTTTTTAACTCTACCACTCCTCACTCCGATTATCGATTCTACCGCGGCCACTGTGCACCATACTCAAGATCTTTTTTCGCTTGTGCTAAGTACTACTAAAGCATTTTCAAACATTTTGAGCGAAGCAGCTCAGTCAAGCACACCAGAAACAATCGTGAATCTACCATCCTATAGTGCACAGCACCGCCAGGATGCACTTTGGCAAGGTGATCAAACCTCATTGTTACATACCTTGAGTGACTCAACGAGACACAGCCAGGAATGAAGCGTTCCCTCCTTGGTGGAGGTCTAAGACGTCGAATGGTGAAAGACGATACCAAGATGATACTTGTGATGATTTCATGGAACCGATCTTTGTCAGGAGTGTGACTAGGTGAGCGAAACAAGTGTCGCTGGTAACTGAGTAGGGAACTCATGGTTAAGCATAGATGATCCTGGAGACGTCATTCCTGGATGCGAATGGCAGATCTCACCGCTCGGGCGATCGTACTTTGTCGATCACAATACTCGAATGACATCGTGGAAGAAATCAGTGCCGAAACGTCCCGCGGAGAGCTTGATACCGGAACACATATTCGAAGGTTACTCCATGTCCTGGCCTACTTGGACCAGTTGCAACATAATGAGCACATCGAAAGATGATTCGATTCGCCAGTGAACGAGAGATGGAGTAAGAAAGCCTTGTGATACTCACCGAGTAGGGGGTCAACTTAAGAGCAACATCTCCAGATCACACAATGGTCATAAGTGCAAGTGCAGATGCCAGACTACACCTGTGGAGCATAAAAGAGGACAGGTACTCGGCGACCCATGGGAGGGGCACGCTGCTGCATTGATGATCTCCGAATGCAGTGGGGATAGCTAGCGGATCGCAGGACGGCGCGATACGGCGATGGAACCCAGCCACGGGTCGAGAAATCTCCCCACCGGTAGGGACTCACCATGGTTGCCCTCGGATACTCTCCACAAGCTAATAAATTGGCGAGCTGCGGGATGGACGAAGTCAAGTGTTGGCAAGCTGCTCATCGAAATAAAAGGTCGTAAGAGCGCACTGGTACTAATGTCGTTGTGCAAGTTGGTCCAAAGACGGTGCGCACAGGTTGTACCGTTCGTCAACGACAATCTATCGATAGGAAGAGCTTTTCGTTCTTCACTGGCAGGGTCATTCCAACGTCGTCAGATCCCTGTGTCTGCTCCCGAATGAAAGACATTGTCAGTGCATCCAAGGACTATTCAGCTCGTATATCGGACCTCAAAACCAATCAGCCAGCCAGTTGTCGAACCTCCCTTGCATGATGGTCGACTCTGCTGTTGCGATGTCCCCTGATGGAGTACTGGATTGGATGCAAAAATTTATGTATGGAGTGTGGATACAGCGGCAGGATGGCAATCCAATTGGCATGCGTACATACTTTTTGTTGTCAGGTCTTCAAATGGGTTTTGGGCATGTTCAGAGTGCACATGATAACAATGATACAAAGTTCAAGGCTTTCGTATCTAACCAGCATACCAACCACAGAAGCCTGACAAGATACATCAGTACAACATTCCGTCTTCCCCGATCAAGCTCTTGCTAGAGCCGCACGCCTCATCGCGAGGCTCCACTCTTGGGTGGATCATATGCATCATCTTGCGGCATTTGTGAGGCTTTTGCACTTCGGGTCAACCTTCAACCAACACCGCTCAAGCCCCAGCACTGGAATTTCAACTTCCATCAGAACTTCTGAACTATACATCCTACAATATGAAGGAAGCATATGGTTCTGGTTCTGGCGCTGGACGCTCCAATCAGTTTTCAACGATAATCGATAGTCTATCCGAAGTCTCGTATTACTGAAAGCCATCGAAACAAAGTTGGAGGGAATGAACAGGGACAACCAGCTCTTATTCTCACGGGATCCACAAGAGGATCATGAAATCTCGTCAAAAGGGATTTCCCAGTATGACACGGCCAAATCCAAGCGTTCAGCCCTCTGATAAATATATACAGTACACAGTATAGCTACGAGTCTGAGTCTTCTCTGTATGTCATTGCATCGCGGTCAAGACTGGAGACGCGTGCATACTCGAGGAACAATCTTGAATCGATTGGTTAGTAAGGATGACTGCTTTCTGAAGAAGAGAGAAACCCTACCGGAACGTATATGCTGTCAGATCTTCTCGCCTCCAGTATGTTTGGCTCCATTCGCGTCCTGCAGTTGCTATTTTTTTCGCCAAGTCTTCATGTGCGCCTTCTCCTTCAAGTCCGCCACGGAAGAAAGTAAACGTATCGTACAAATCAGACAGATCCATCTGTATAGGCACATAGTGCACCCAAGGTGCAACTCGATCCATAAACCTACAAACACGCTTTATTTATCGCGCGCGAATGAGACGAGACGAGTACTCACCACTCAGGGTATATCGTATTTTTAAATACAAGGGAGTTTGATGTTATGAGGCGCTTAAACCGTCCTGACCACCCATGCCCGTCGATCTGAAAGTGGTAAATAACTGAATGTCGTCATCGAATCTGACAGACCGACTAACATCAAAGACATATTTATAACGCCCGGCCTCTTGGAACGTCAGCATTTTTCTCCAGTCATACAGTTTATCCAGTTCATCGCAGAGGTCTGGTGCGCAGGAACCTGCCTTTCCGGCGAATTGAATGTCCATCAACGCAGGATTGAGGTGTGCTTTGCGTAACGGTATGGGCTCTCCAACAGGTTCAGAGTCGTTCGGAGGCGAACGAAGTACATCCGCTGTTCCTGCCAACTCGTTGACAAACTGTATCAGATGGTCTCTGTGCCCTTGCCGCCACCTGGTTCCGGGGCCATGGAATATGCCGGTATTCGTACCACGCCAGAGTAATCTTTCGTCTAACCTCTCTTCCCACGGCGGGTTGTCTGACTCAGGAAGGTCCTCGACCCAGCCATAAGGAACAGCCGGTCGAATATCATGGTGAACCACCGTCGAACAGAGGGAAAAACGCGGAACGAGTGTACTCTGAGGATCCGGCCCTTTGTTGTGCGACAGGAACTGTCCATGGCTGCGGAGAAGGTAAGGATTTAGGCACGGGTCCATCGAAAGGCGATGGTCGGAAATAAACGTTTTGTGAGATGGGCGCTCAGGGGGCGCATCGAGATCTATGGGATTTTGCCACGCTGGAGAAGACGGATGGCATGCAGAGAGCCATCCAGACCGCTGCGGTGGTGGTAATTCATTCCGTTTTAGAGCTTATCAACGTGTGAGCTAAACTCGTTGCAGCGCAACAATCAAAATGAACATACTGGAGCGAGCAGCGGCTGCTTCGAGTGCCTTTGATTTGACGCCATGATCTGATAGCATACTGGGATTGTCATGAGGTGAAAAAACAGCGCGGAAAGGAGGTAGGAGGTCTTCTATATCCTGGAAGAGTCGTAGTACATTGTCAATGCGAGAAAGGAGCCTTTCGGTACCATCTGGTGGTAAATTGTAGTCGGCGACCTCGACAGAGGAGCTCTGATCTGTTTTTGCGATAACAATAGTATTTTCTTGCGCCTCCAGTCGTTCTCTGCTCTCCTGGAAGTCCAGGGGATCAATACCCCAGAAAGGCTCCAAATCATGGTATATCTCGTCATATTCGTCTGGAAGTTGGACGTTGTGTGTCACCACATAATCCCACCTACAAGTCCAACGGAGATGTCTCTATGAAGCTTGTTCAACTTTGGTTTCCATATTGACCACGTACCATTTCTCAAAGTGAATAGGAGGAGGCCTATGATATCTTCGTTTGTATTCCGCAACAGCTTCACCTAGTGTCTTGCTTGCGCGGGCAAGCTTTTTCCCCAAGCGTCCTCCGCTCGCTGTATGAGCTCAAAGATTGGATGAGGTACCATTTGGGTTGACCACGAGCATTCCGTTATCACCATAATAGTGATCACCGAGCGGCACGGGCTCCTGGACTAAACCAGCGTCTACCGTGTCATCAACCGAGTTCAGTGGATCGTCCTCTGGAAAATAGTCATGAAAGATGGGAGGGTGTGGCGACGTGGGAGAGTCTAAATGGAGTGATGACAGGATATTGTTATCGGGCGGTGCGAATATGACATTTCGCAGGGTGACTCCTAGGACGCAGGCAAGCAGGATGATTGCTATGGACCTGTATGAGACTACCCTGCCCATGCTAAGTACTGGGGAGGGATAAGTGGGAGAGGGTCATTCAACTGCCAAGCACTTCAGCGGACGTAATGAAGTTCATGGCATGCCAGGGGCAGCCCATGCAAGTGCATAGAAGTTCGTGAAGGTCGGATCTCCGCTCGGAGATGATCTTTTTATAAGGCAGTCAGCGCCCGAGTTCGATTGGCTTATCTCAGGTACGCGGGAATCTTTGGAGGATTACTTCAGTACTGGCTGACTCAGAACCATATGGGGATTGCAAGTAAGTACAATGTCATAAAGGTAAAATGTGTACAGAATGTATTAGCTGCAATAATATATTATGTCGCTCGAGCAGCATGTTGATAAAAGTCAGTCCTCCTCCGTATGTTGTTAGCATGACCTCATCCATCTTGGCTCCCAGACTAAACCGATGAATCTTCTAAATCGTCGGGGCCTCTGCCCACATTAGCAAATAATGCATCCAGAACAACATCCCGATCCCACGTCATTGTCGGCACCTTCGTGTGCAATGTCGGTGTCAGCTCCCCTCCGGGAAAATGCATTGCTAAGCCGTCTCTTCTTCATAGTATCGTCAATCGTCGAGATATTGGAGGGGCGAATGGAAAGATGAACAATTGTGGGCACGGAAGACGAATCTGGTGGTAGACAAGTTGGGAATGAAAGATCTTGTAATCATGCCATTCATCCTTATAAACAAGACAAAACATCGTGAACAACTAGTATACTCACGAGTAAGAGTGTCCTCATCTTGCAGAATCTTGCCTAGGTAAAGAATCCGCAAATGCGACGGGGCCTGTGGACTTTCATCTTGCCAATCTGTGGATGAGAACGGTTGTAACAACGGAACCCGGGACTGAAGCATCTAAAACCCTGACCTGCAGGCCACGCGTTCCACACCAGCTCTTTGACCCTTCCAATCGTTATCGCCGGATCGAACGACATAGTCCGCCTTCGGCCAGAGACAAGGAGGAATGTCAGAGACACTTGAGGCGTCTGAGGTACAATATTTTCGGGTGCAGTAGGTCCATCTGCGACAGACGGCACAACTGCTTCAGCGTTATTCACCTACAGTGTCTGCCGCAGCTTGTCCCAAATTTGAATTCGGAAGGGGAGGGTACGCTCCAAAGGTCGGAGCGCTGTCGACGTCGACATGAGTAAACGATGTCCGCGCGCTTGCAGAATTGTATGGGCTTGCGGCGAATGCAGCACGTGTACTCGAGGTACCGTGAACAGTGAAAGGGCGTTCGGCAGAAGGTGGAATAGGAGGATAAGAAGTTCCACGACCTAATGAAGGAGAAGCACTTGCGTGTGCTGTCGCCGGACGCTCGCAAGAGTCTGGCTGCGGTGGCGACGAGGGCGGGTCATCTGATGAAAGTTGATTTTCCGTAGCCTGTTGATGATGAGGCAGAAGTGGATGCATTCATCGCGCCCAAGTTTGAATGCAAGGGTCGGGATAAAATATGTAAACCGACAACTGGAAGTTGAGGTGTTCCTGAACAGGCACAGCACGTTAGAAAGCAACTTCAGCAAGCCTGCAGGTGTTAGGCTGTTGATAAGATGAATCGCAGAATGAAAGTGAAGGTGGGAAGTTAACCGCAGTCGACAGTTAACCCTAGAAGTGAGGGAAAGATCCGTGTTAAAAAGACCAACAAAAACCGCTTGTTTCGATCTGATGGTGCGAAGGCCCTGACCGGTTGAGAAAAGAATTTGATCACCGAGTACACGAGGCGACTGGTCAAGCGACTATTGTGACACCGAGGCTCGCAGGCTCCTGTGCGGGTGGGACGGAACCACTTGCGAGGTGATATTGTTCACGATGGGAGGAATGACTATTTATGATGGTAGTGTGAGCCCCACCTACGATCGATGACGGCTGATGGAGCTATATTTATCAGACTGAGCCCCGCAAGCCAAGAAAGAGACGTGCAATACCCACGTACTCAGTGGCGCAAGGCTGGGTGTACAGCAGTGCTAGGCAGTCGTCACGGGTGTCACTTGCTACTGAGACCGACAAAAGATACGACTGGTGGAGGGTGAGGAAACGATGAATAGCTTATAAGACCACAAATGACCTACTCACTCCAAAGGAAACCCCAGGACACGGTGGTGTGGAGAGGGAGCTATAACCGTCGTTAAGTTCCTCGACAAGCGACAAGCAGAATGCTTCCGGGACCGCTGTCAGTAAGACTTCGGGCCCAGCAAAAGTGTGATATCCTGACAAGAATTGATAAAATCGTCCAAGAAGCGCTTCACCGCTGCTACTGTTGAGAAGTGGAGAAGAGTAAGGAGTATCCCTTCGAAATGTTGGATTAGGTCAACGACTGATCAAATTCAACTGTTTTCCAGTGTTTACTTGGGCTTTACAAATTATATTACAGGGCCAATTTATTCGGATCAGCTTAGTCCTGCAACTGTGTGTACCTTGATACTCATTGCATTACCATCATCACGATAAGCACTGGAAGTATAGACCTCTCAACTCGATATCTGGGTGTTGCTGCTAAACTGGATTTGTGAGAATATTCCATTCTTGTACATCACAAGCTCTGACGCCATCAAGTTCCGTCTTCGTCTCCAAGGGGCTGAATTTTGACTATATAGTATGACAAATGTCAGTACCTTCAGTTCAATCACTTAAAATTTAAATTTAAAGCCAACGAGAACCCCGCGTTATCTCCCATGAATATTAATGTACCCTGTCAGCCAGCAGGGGCCGATTCCTGTATTCGAGTCGGATGCATACCTCTCTGGCGACTGAATGCTTGGGACGAAGAGTTTTCTCCATGGGGCTTTGGGATCGACAATCTTCCGCTTCGAGATCTGGTCTGGACATGTGTGTCAGGTGTGGTAGCAATCCAGTCGGAATCGTCATGTCAAGCACGTCCTGAGACCTCATGCCATATCGGTTCCGATATTACTTGAATCATTTATGGTTCCTTCAGGTCGTGTTCCGCATTCATATCATATGTTTGAATAATTGATCATCCAACAGAACACAGCACAATCGGCTCTGGAAACATATTTTTGGCAGGAAGCATGATTGATTTTGCGCATCCAAATACGTCTACATTAACTTGCTTTTGCGAGTTGTGGTGAACTTCTCCCGAGTCTTCTTAACGAGCGCTTGTTCCAATTTTATGTGAGCCGTCCAGTGTAACGTTTCTACCCTTATTCATATCGTCATTACAAGGACAAGAAGCCCGACTCTATGAAGAGTGAGAAAGATTCTGTGGGCTCTAAACGTCTGTATTTTTATGTGCGTATGTAATAGTTGCCTTTTTCTGTCAGAGTTTAAGCTTGGACCACTTCCACCTTGCTTCCACTGCAGGCGAGGTTATGGACTGTTTCCAAAGTCTTTGCGCTTCCCTTGGCCGGTTTTCTTTCTCTTTTGATGTTGATGACTTTTGTGTACTGAATATCTGCCAAGTTCGGGCACTGTTCTGCAGTCTACGAGGCCTCGCACGCCGTCACGGTCTAGGTTGGATTAATTCCGTTGTTCCAAGATGCTGCCAAGGACAAGTCACCATCCCATTTAAATGTTCGGCACTATATTCTCATCAATACCTTCTTCACCTGTATCGGTTGTTTGAGGACCGTTGCGTTGTATGACTTTTGGACTAGTTTTTTTGCATTTATATCTGACACTCGTCAATTCCTTGTTCAGCCCATGGTGTTTTTGAGAGAGTTCCTGCGCATGTTCTTTACATCCCCGCTTGTCTACCTCATGATGATGACCACGAAACCCTTTTTATGACCCTTTGCTTGGTACTGCCGCCGGTGTCATCCTGCCGTGTTCGCAAATGGTACCAGTTTCTGTACGTGGTTGCAGTTGTTGCTCGTGAATCATGTTTGGATGTCTCCCTGACAGACTACCACCTAATAGTAGGTGGAGGCTGGCATGGGCCTATAGCAGCTGTGAAGGACATGGCGGATGTTAATGCCAATTGTGTAGCCCAAGTGATGGCCACACATCCTTCCCGCAAACAACCTGAGAGAATATCAGACAACTACAGGACGATGTCGCCTATCCATCATGTGAGTCCAGGGACGGATTCAGATGCAATGAGGAAGGGGCTATGGTAATAGGCATTACTCTTCCATCGGGGAATGGCCTGTGCACTCCCTGCGCGAGAGACGTTCAAGTTGGACACAGTCAATGACACTCATCATGATTATGCAGCTCCAATCGCTGCATGTGATTGCACCAGCAAAATCACCACCTCACGCATACCAGGAACATCTCCAAGGTGCACGGTCCCTGGCATAGATCTAGTTCCAACTCAGTCACCGAGTACCTGGAGAGAAAAACATGTACATTGCAGATACCACTGACACAATCCGGGTACTGCGGCCGAAAAAAAAGGGTGGCCGAAGCAGGCACTGCGAGCGTGTCCGTCGAAAATGACACCTGCCACAGCAAATATACATATAGTGTACAGTCCATCACATAAATGAAAGTCAATTTAACGATGTCCAACGTCACCCTAAAATTCCCGAGGAACGAACTTGCGACCGCATCCCTCGAGAGCATCTTCAACGATCTTCATCCCCTGCAAGACTTTCTCCTCCTCAAAACGCCTTCCGACGACTTGCACACCAAGGGGCAGTCCGTGCATTTCATCCGCATCATAAACGGAGTATGCTCCCTTGGAAAGTAACCCCATTTTCTTGTAGTCGGCACTCTTCATGAAGTTCTTCGGTAGCGCGTCTGTTTCGCGGTCAACAAAAGATACTGGGAGGACACCGGCAACATAGTCCAGCTATTCGCCATTGAGTGCACGATTATGATATAGCAGTGAAAATAAGCTTACGATATTGAAAATCATCGAGTAGGAAGCTGACACTAGGGTCACCTTCTCCGCGGTTCCAGTAGGGATGGCGGGTAATGCGTGCGGAACCGTCAGTAAAAAGTCAAACCCTTCATCTTCCCATGCTTGGTGCCACCTTGCTCTGTACTCATCTCGTGAGACGACAAGTGCACGTTCCTCAGCTGGGGATTTGAGGTGAAGCGTCTCGAGCATCGATGCCCAGACTTCATCACCAGTAAATTTCCGCGTGATCATCGCCAGTGACTTCTTGAGCCAAAGGGGCATCCCCAATAAAGACTTGACAGCAACCATCACAGGATCGATTTTCTCGTCCTTACGCAAAGGGTTAAAGAAACCGGCCCCTAAGAAGAGTTCAGTATCTGTGGCTCACGGTACAATAAAGGGTCGCTCACCTCCATCTCCAAAACATAGCTGAAATCCGACGTTCAGACCTTCTGAGATGCTAGGGGGTGAACTGGGTAATGCTATTGGTCAGCAAAACTCAAGATCAGAGCGGTTCGAACGCACAAATCAACTACTTCATGGCCTTGCTTCTCCAATGCATCGCAGACCCATTCCAAAGCACGGCGGCAAGCAGGAGAGGGAGAAACGATGCCTAGGTATATGAGGAACGAATATAAAAAAAGTAGCGTGAAAGGGGCTGACCATCCTCCCAAACAACTCCAAACTTCAGCTTCGTCTTTGGAAGATTTATGGGCCGCCATGGTAATGGAACACACTGCAGTCAACGATCATCAGGTCTGGTATATGCTGAATATGAGAACTTGGCGAACCGTATCATCATATTCCCATGGCCGCATCTCCATAACGCGCTTCCAAAATTCTTCAAGGTCTTCCAGTCTTCGAGACATCGGAGCGGATATAGTAGCCACTGATTCGAGTCCAGGTATAGGGGAATGGGTGCCCTGAGATGGAAAGCGTCCTATCGAGGACCTCATAGCATAAATCCCACAAAAATGGGCGGGCATCCTTATGCTGCCACCAAGATCTGTGCCGATTTCGATGACACTCCCTCTGCTAGCAAGAAGTGCGCCCCCACCACCAGTCGAAGCGCCGCTGGAGAACTTCTCGTTATACGGATTACTCGTTCGTCCAAAAAGATCCGATGATGTCTCCAGTCCAAGAAGACCGGGAGGTACGGTAGTCTTCACGTGAGTGATTGCCCCTGCATCATGAAGAAGTCGGACTATCGCTGAGGACGACGGAGAGGGATGATTGACTCTAGAAGAATAGCCCACGGTGGTGTCATAGCCTTCGATATCGATACAGTCTTTGATACTGACGGGGACACCGGAGAGGGGTTTCGGGCGTTGTTCGGGAATGTCTGTGCAGTCTGAACCAGTTGGAGAAGCTAGATCTTTTGGCGCCAGAGCTTCTTGAATCATGACCCCAGCTAGGCAATTAGTGGCCTTCTGCGCTGAGACCGCCTTCTTTCCATAAGCATTCAAAATGCTCGCCGTTGACAGTGAACCCGCGGTATGGCGTTGCACTAGTTCACTTAGGGGCAAGTCGAGCACCTCATTATCGGCCTCTGTGCATGTCTCGAAGAACGACGAGGGTAACCCATCCAATTTCTTCTGTTGTTCCTCTCGTTTGGCGGCGCTGACAGATTCACGGGTAAGTTTGTAAACACAGGAAACAACTGGATGCACACCAGTCACGTCGATGTTGGGACCGGAAGAACATGTCGAAGAAGTAGGTGATTGGGGCACAAAACCGACCATGCACAAGACTCTGGCTCTTTAAAAGTTTTCGGTACTTCCATTGGAGGTCCTGAGCAATTTACTACCCATGATTTGGGGCTGCCTGCGACCGGAAGGTATGCCATAATTGAAAAAACGGATATATCAAAATACGCTCAGATCGAAATATATCAGAGATTTGATCAAACCTAAGTTATAGTTTGGATGTCCTCCGACAGTGCCAGCCCAAAGAAGACGCTGAACTGCATCTTCCAGAACAGAGCAAAATTTAGAATCAGAACGCTAGACCTCCAGCCTAGCAACTGAATGAACCATGTGGAAGCATGAGAGTACAGGGCACTTGCTGGCTGCCGGTTTGGGTCACGACACGTCTTGGGATGTGACGCGTTTCGTTGCGAAAGATGCCCAGTTTGAATCAGGTAGACCGGTGATCGGACGCCATATCACCCAAAAGAGCCAATGTCAGGTTCTAGGTGTTGTGCCTCGGACCCGTATCATTTATGAATACACCTCATAGATGGCACGTCCCTCGGTAATGTCACAAGCGGTTCTCACCCGGGCCGCAGCGCTGAACAGTTGTAGGACCCCAGCTGCTGGGTTTGCTTCTATGCGAACTTCGGATTGTCGGACATGCTTTATCGTCAGAGGTTTCCGAAACAATATCGCCGTATTGACCTAGATCGGAGTGCGGGACAACAATTTGCCATACTGCTACCGTTCGAGGTTGTACATACTACAAAGACTTCCCTTCCAAAGGCGCATAGCTTGCCTGAGTGGCACCAAGCGCTAACGTTCTAGCCAACTTTCTGAAAGCCGGGACGAGTGTCATTTTCTTCGGAATGTCTTTGAACAAGCGTTTCAGAAAAGATAACATACTAGAGAAGAGAAAAATACTTGCGTATGCCGGTCAACCGAAAAAACATCTTGGTACCAACGAGTATAATCAGAGGATCGAGTGCTAGCGCAAATACGTAATCGATATTGCAAGTCGTAATGCTACTGTTGCAGGAGGCTATATTGTCTGCGAGTCACCGAGATAGCAATTAACAAGTTTTGCTCAGTCACTGATCCGTGGCAAAAATAAACAGCAGAGGCCCAAGCCGCAGCTTCGCTGTTATGGGATGAAATGTATATTCGTAGCTCTCCAGCGTTCAGTCCGCGAGTGGTAGCCACGTCGCATACTGTACATGAATTTCATCATTAATATTTCCCTGGATTGCGTATTGGTGTCATTTTTATTTCGACTAGGTGCACACCTGGCAAACTATACCTCAATCCACCGTGATCATGTTCATGGCCGAATTGATCATCGTTCCGGTGGTCCACCTCAGAAGTCATCAACTTAGTGTCCATCTAAGATTCCTGAATGTGAATAGCATTCAGACAAGTGGCCACCACGTCACTCACGGATGAGAAACTGCAGCTTACTATTTTCGCGCCGAAGGACTCTACAATATCAAATTTCATTTGGGTGATAGGTAGCACGCAAGCTGATACAACCTCAATACCGTTTCATCCGCTAGCATGTGACCTTTGTCGGCGGTCATAGTCACATTAACCGTCGGTCAATGACATGAAATGTCGGCCTCTGCGAGCCGGGGCAGCCACCAGCAGCCACAGTCATGAACTTGACGTGGAACCATAACGGTACAACGCGCAACCTCGGTAAGTCACGGGCACTGTCTAAACACGTCAACAAACTACAACAAACGCGCCACTCTTGACCGTCACACTCACCACTTGCTGTGACAGCATCCAACAAAATGCTGAGCATGCAAAGTTCTAGTCCCATTTGCCAGACCCCCTCTACTCCTGGACGTTCATCTTATTATTCCGCAAGGAGTCACCAACCACTTGCTTCGTCACCCCTGGCTTCTCCGAAATCATCACCGGTAGTTTCCGCACAAGCAAGACGACAAGCCCAATACAAAGCTCGCGTAACCAGTTCATCCAGAAGCGCAGCTACCCAGCTTCTATGCACACCGGCTGGTAGCAAGACGCCAGAAAACCCTCAAAAAACATTTTTACGTGATCGTTTTAAAGCGCGATGCCTTGAGCGCGCCCAGAAACAACGACATGATAAAGTCCAAAAACAAAGGACACGTAGCAGCAGTGACGTGTTTTTTGATTCTGAGATGGACTGCGATGAGGATGAGGATGATGAATTGGTTATGCAAGACGAGGTGTGTGACTTTCCTGATAGAAGGTCTGCTCTATTGAACACTTGTCTCGTAGCTCTTTCGGAGAATCATCGCAAATACTGCACATAAGCAAAACCATTCCTACCGTCTTTCGTATTCTTATGACGTCGGATCCTCCTTTGACCCGGATATGGAGGATGTAAACCGGTGGGAAAGTGAATTGCAAGGTCAGTCTCTCCTTTTCTGAATGATGGCATCAATGGGCTCAACCTGGGTGTGCTCCAGCGATGCCCCCTGACAGCTATAGTGTGACACCAGAGGACCTCGAGCAAGAGGAAATTGAGGCATACGCCGCAGAATATGAAAACTTGCATGAACTATCGGATCTGGGTGTTACCATCGACGACTTTTCTGCGTGGAGTGATATCGAAGATACTTCAGTGCCGTCGTCGCACATGACGGACAAGGCAGGACGATCGTCGGAGGATCAGGATATGGATGTGTCCTAACTGAAGTCGCGTGCTGTAATCGCGGTTTCTGCTATGGATGGCTGTCGTGCTTTTATGAGTTGTATCATTATCTACTGTTACTGTACATTATTAACCTGGGTAGGTAGAGTCGGGTGGCATAGCCACGCCAACAAGTATTCTTATCTTATCCAAGACGTACCACAGACTTGGCCATCGTCGAAGCCATACCCAATGATCAGCAAACGCTACTTACTCGACACCGTGGATCCACCAGACCGTTGAACCAGACTGATCCATCAACTCCACTGAGTGTCATCAGGGTCATTGGGTCAAACGAAGTCCTCGGATCCGAGGATATGCATGTCATGTCCGGGCTGCACCAAGTAACTCGCAACTTCTTGTGACTTAAGCCACAGTAGGTGCGTCGGTATGGATCGTACATACTAAGCAGTACAGATTTTGATATCGTTCAAGGAACGAGTAAAAGGTCCACATGGGTCCAATTGCAATATGGGCTTACCAGAATGCCCGCCGGGACACTCGTAAAACCTCTCAATCACACAACCTTCTTCGAGCGACTTCCCGTGAAATGTCTGTTAACAGTTACGTACATGAGGAGCAACTCGGAACCAGACTGTCGCACAGAAGTTGAAGATAGTCCAGCCACTTTAGGACCTACCAAGCTTTCGAATCTCACTCCTAAACGAACCCCCCCAATCAAGGAAGCCCCGCACTGGCACAATGCACTCTGATTTGATGGTTCCTGAGCCCGCGGTATTCAAGAAGTATACAGGCGTTAAAGAGTGGGGCTGTCTTGATTCTGCAACTTTCCCACATCAACGTCCCTCGGAGTATAGGTAGGGTCGACAGACCTCGACTTGAAGTTGTCAATGAACTTCGAGCGAGGTGCATCCGCGGAAACTGTTCACCAACTTATCCTGTATCCGTGAACACCGGATAACACTTGACAATTTTATGTGATTAGACCTGCTGACTTACGCCAATTCTACGCGGGGCAGATAAGCGTCGTGCTGTGCAGAACCGAGAAGATAATAGGAAGTGTTGGGGTATTCGTGTGAGCTTTGTGGGGATTGAGGGTGATTGCTGCATCTGAATAAAAATACTTGTACTTGAACAGAACGAGGCCCTACATCGGCAAGCTGCGAGATTATTGAGATGAAGAGATATGATATATGATAAACAAACTGACCAAGAGAGATCTGTGACATACATGGCGAACACGATTCTAGAGTCGAACTTTTGAGGTTGAAGGTGACACTCACGTACGCAAGCCCCTGGAGAAGCTGATACGTTTGAAGTCGGAGATCCCAAGTATATACACGTGAGATGATAGCGATTTTAAAACATGCAAAGTGGGTGTTAGGGGGTCGTTGCATCTCACGATGCGGGAATTCTCAAAGACAGGGGCGCTTGATGTGGTCATGCTCACTGGTACGGAGCAAACTAGTTGCCAATTGACCGCGACGCAGAGTGTAAAAAAACTGTGCTGATGACAGTGGTCACAGCCACAGATCATGAATCATGGATGTAGAGTGGTATCGCTTATATGCAGGGCTGATTTCCCTCGCCATCTCGGATCGGTGGTGTCATTGCAAGCGCAAGTGAAGCGAGAGGGCGCTGGCAGAATCTGAAGCTCGGAACTATCTTGCCTGCTTTCGTAACAACGTGCAAAATTACCCACGAATCTGTCAAAGTGTGGTGGGTGGTCAAGTCCATTTGAGATATAGAGACACAGATAGCATAAGTATCAGTTGGAGAAGCAGAGAGCACAAGTCCAGTTACTTTCCAAAGTCACTCGACTTCTTGAAAAGTTATAGGAGGAAAATATTATCGAAGGAATATCCAGACTCACTAAGAGGGTAAGATATGAAGAAGCTGGTCAACGTTTACTACCTATCATATTTTGTAGATCCTTCTTGAGTGTAGAAGTTCGGCCCGAACAAGTCAAAGCCTTCGCTGCCATACGAAGGAACTTCGATAACGTCGGTGTCTGCCTAGTAGCAGCAGCAGGAGAGACTAACGTCAAACAGATCTGCTCAAGTTACAAACTTGTCCAATGTCATTGAGATGCAGCGAGTGTTTGGCAAGGAGGATCATATGATCATTATCTGTACAAACACTCCAGCGAAATACGAATTGTCAAGCAGGTGGATGGACACACCAAATGAAATGATCAAGGGCTTGCTACCTTACCCACTGGTAGTGGACCTTGAGTTCATGTACTGGCCACTTTGGGGGGCCGGCACTTACTGTCGATTGAACCGAATAAGTTGGAAAGCGTCCGTTTTGCGGATGCACAGCCACCCTGTCTCTCTCCTCAAGTTCTTCAACACTGCCACCAAAAGATTTGCGATCTGTCACGGTTATCCTACGATCATGGTACTTTAACAATAATATTGCTCGAGCAAGTCCTACCGTAGTACGGGTCAACCAGGGTTCAAGCAAGCTCAGATTTGCTGCTCGCGCAATATGATTTTGGTCGTCTTCGTTATCATCTGACAAGTTTAGGATTCGCAGGACCTACTTCTGTCAGCGCCCTTGCACTTGGTTTGGTCTTTTTGGCACTCGATGAAGCTCTTATAGTCGTCTGTTTCCAAGCAGCGTGGAACAAATGCTGGGACACCTATTATCGGAAGTACTAGTCTAGTTCTTTTCCGTCGTTGGCATGGTCTCTGTCGATTGGCATGCACTCGGAAACCTCTGAGTTCTGGATCGTCAGTCGGGTTGGTACGATGATTTTCGCTGGTCTTCGCCTATGCTTCTTAAAGCTTAATTTTCTGTCAATATCGCGCTGGAACAGAAGAAATAGTGGACCCAAGAAGTTGCGAACGAGGTCAGCTTTGGAACATGGAATGCCCTCGACGTGCATATCCTATTTGCGCCGTTTGAGTAGTTGCCAAATCTGGGCAGCGACCGACCTAAAATGGGGTATGCAATGTGAAAGCCAGGCTTCTTTCATCACATTTTATTGGGTTTCCAGTATTCCAACCTCGAAGTCCCGTGCGTCGTATGTTGAAAAATGAATATAAACCTCGCAAGTTCATTTTTTCCCCTTGTTTCCTTCCCCCCACCACTACTCTTAACGATTTCAACCAATTCCTCCATCCTATTCGTATTGCAATCGTTACAGTCCACCGGCGTTCACCTTACCTAAAATCTTGCATTCCGCTTGCTTCCTTTCTCTCCCGCGAATTCACTTGCCCTGATCCTCCAGTATGAGCCTTTCTTGCTCTTCGCCGCCGCAATCTGCCGTTCTGGCTTTCCCAGCTTCTCCTACCTTCGATAACAAACAATCTCAGCATCTTGAACATAGCGCCTCAGCCGGGACTGCCTGTGACACCGTATTGAACACTCCGATCTCTTCTCGTCAAGCGCCACCCACACCGCCAGATTCAGATTCGTCGCCGCGCAATAATATCTTCAGTAGTAGTACTTCATTTTCTTCATCTCAGCCCAACCTTTCTCTCTCTCCGTCTCAAAAATTCAACATCGGCAGTCCTAAGCCCAGCAATTCTTCGCATTCTAATACTATCTCTATGTCTACAAACCACTTTGTCGCCAGACCAAATAATCCGTCCCTCAAGCTACAGGAAAATGGTACGGCATCGTCTTATAGTCATTCTACCGCAGTTTCATCCGATTCTCGTGAGAGTTTATTTTATCAATTGTGATCCCCCGACTTACTCGCATTCTGTATCGGGTTGCAGCCTCGTATAGCATCTCCTGTCCTACAGGCTTACAATTTTCATATGACCATATGTTTCCTGATTCGAGCGACTCACAGTTATCGTTGAGCCCCGAGACGCCTTCCCAGCACCTTCCCAGCGCGTCTCGCGCATTACACCGTACCCCAAATGTGTATATCAATGGACTGCCCCCTCATTTTCCGGAGCAAGAGCTCTTTGCTCTCACTCGCCCATTTGGCGAGGTGAAGAGTGTGAGGTCGTTCACTAGGCATGTGAGCGAGAAACCAACGTATGTCCGGTTCCGCCACGGCATGAAATTACAAAGCTCACGTTCTGGTGAACAGAGGGTATGGCTTCGTTTTGTAAGTGGATATGTATTTTTGCGTGATTGTCTACCTCACATTCCTGCAAAGGTTCAACGATGTTGATTCGGCAGAAAAATGTATCGAGGGTCTTCGTAAATATCGCAACCTACATCCGTCGTTCTCAAAGGTCGTTTTATTGTTCTTCTTGTATCCACCCACATTCTTAAATTTTCCCGATATAGCAAATCCATCGTATACCTGGCACGGTATACGCCCAGCAAAGCCCCTCTCAAATAGAGCATGATGAAGATTCTTTCAAGGCGCGAATGGAAAAACTGAAGGATGGGTTGTCCACCAACCTATACATCGAAGGGTAAGGGTCGCCTCGGCACGTGCCCGGTTTGATACTCAATATCTCTTTTCAGACTTCCGCTCTCGATTGATGAAGAGGTATGTGAAGCTGATGTCCACATATTCAACGTTATTTACATGCGAACACAGAGCCTTGCTGCTTTGGTACATCCTTACACCATCAAAAGCAGTCGTTTCTTCAAAACAAAGCTGAGTGAACCACCTCGGATAATAGCTTTCGTTCGGTCAGTTTGTTCTGGAAATTGAAATTCCGTAATTGATCCACCTAGTATAGACTTGAGACTCGTGCAGCTGCGGAGGATACCATCGAACGCCTACATGGTCGAATGGTCCGTGGATGGAATGACCCTGGATGCAGGATTTCCGTCCGTTTTGCTGACAGTGCCGAACAACGGGAGCTAAGGGTCGGTCCGCTGATTGAGACGTATTTTACTTTGAACTGATCCACGCGTTTTGTGTTAGCGATCAGAGAGAGTATCCAAGAATGGGGACCAGTCTCCAGCCCGTTTGACAATTGCTCAAGCAGCTCTTCTCAACCTTCGTGGCCAAGAGCTCCAAGCCCACGCTCGCAAGACCCAAGTAAATCGTGCCCGTGAAATCCCCGTCATTGGTCAACCTCGTGACGAGATTTCTCTATCAAATATTCATCACTCCCACCCGAACCCGACCCTCGCCTCCGTGTCAGCAGGGAACATTCCCGTGTCTACGTCGCTGCCAGGCCATCTCGGTTATCCGTACAACAGCTCTCCGTCGACTAGGTACCAGGACCTTCAATCGAATCACTACACCGATGACCTTCTGCAATCACTGCAACACAACCTGAATTTGACACACGCTTACACGGGGTCAACACTTGACCAAGAGCATGATGCTCAGCGCGCCCATCTTCAAGCCCTTGCAAATGCAACACTGTACACGACTAGCGCTCAGCCGTCTGTACAACAGCCTCGCAGCCAGATACAAGCAAGGAACGGCTTCACTCCCGCCGAAGAGCTCATCCTCCAGGCTCATGCAAGGATACGTGAACAACAGTACCAACAGCTGCACACCCAGCAGCAACTTGTGCACCCACGCGATTGCATTCTACCTCGGCGCACCTCTTCGTATGGACGGCTAGAATCCGGAAGCAAACTCAATGCGAACGCGCAGGTATTCCACGCTCATGAGCAGATCGCCACTCATCCGCTCGCTGGTCGAGCCTTGGGTGGAGTGAGCCGATCGAAGTTCTTGGGAGACGCTCTACCGCCAATCTCCGAAGACGACTTCCATGCCCTCGGACAATATCAGCTGGAGTGCAGGCCACATTATGACCATCTCCGCACCCATTATCAGGAGGAGCTGCATTTCAGCGGTGATATTGGCAATGTCAGGATCACGAAACCGCCCAGTCGTGCCATCGAAATTGTTGCGCCACCCCAGCATCTTGATTCTAAGTGTTCTCCTTTACAGCCGCACCATCGCTCTCAGTCCTCTTCGCGTTCGCACCTTTCTCTACGGCAGCAAGCACCAGTCGCTACTCTCCCTCGCTCCCCTCTTGCGTCGAATTCATCCCAGCACAGTTATCAGCACACGGACAGCCGCTCCAATGACCTAAACAGTACTATCACAACATCCAGTACCAACGATAAATCCGACAGTAATCCTCAGAGCTATCTCCATTCGCCCCAAGCACCCCAACCTCGGTCAGATGATCATGAGGACCATCGCTATGATTCTACTTCTGTGTCCTCAAAAGCATACGTTCCTGCACAGAAGTTGCCTTCTTCAGCCCAACAACTATCATTCGAAAATGACATGAAATCTCCTACTCTCGTATCTCCAGCGCTCACTTACTCAGTCTCGTACCCCATCTACTCTCAGTCCGGCTACTCCTTTCTTCGGATCATTCAACGGCAGCCCAGAGACTTTCGAGTACGCGCCGGATGATGGTGAGATGGTGGAGAAGGTGAAGGCTGGGTCAGGCACGCGCTAGATTGTTGTTCTCGTCCAGTGACATTTTCCGGTGCATGTTATTTCTTTTCCCATGTGACGATCACAGTACCCTTTAGCATGATGTAATGTACAAGTTTGTTTTTCGTTTTCATTTGATGTTCCAGGATAAGTATATTTTGATAGCCATTATGCGCGAGTACGAATAGTTTTGTACTTACGCACTCTTAGTATTTCTTGAGATATGTCTATGTTCCTCAGCGACTCGATCGTGCGAGTAGTACTAGTCTATGGTATGCGCGTACGCGATATGAGACCTAATGTTAGTTTGACCTCCACTGGGAAGACTAACACAGGAAGTATCGCAGTGTCCCTCTTCTCAAGTCAATATCGTCAGGCTGCATACATACCATATAAATTCATGTGGGACAGCGCCTCCCAGGATATGTTGTGCGACTTTACTTCCACTTTTGGTCTACAAAAGTGAAAGTAAGCTTCAAATGGCATATTGTGATGCCAACGTTCATGCATGCATGCGTGCAACGTACTAGTGCGTAGCCTAGTAGTTATCGCAACCCCAAAGTCTAACCATAGACATATTGTATAGCGCTTAGCTTGATCCGTTCAACTACACATAAAACACAGACCACATGGCATATGGACATATATATACCGTGACACAGTCGTGTACCGAGACGTATCAGAATGGCTGAACCATAATCGATTAGTCCCCCGACTCCACGACTTGCCGCCGCTACGATTTTGTAACTTATCTTGGCACACTGGGCGTCGTTGAGTGGGAGACCTTGTAACAAAGTCTCTTTCCCACATCCTCCCTTGATTTGCACATCGATCAGACTGAGACAGACAGACTCGGAATTCTCCTTGAGGCACACGTACCGTAGGCAATTGTTTCCGCTTCTTCTGCTTGCAATGTGCATGCATGATCTTTGTGCATTTCTGTCAAGTGCTTAATGTGTTACAAAAGAGATACAGCTGCGCGGCGTGTAGCCTTATCATAAGATAAAAACATTGTATGTATTTGCGCTGTGCTGAGATGGTCATATAGGGTAAACTAACAACGAGCTGGTGATCCTTGTAGATCTGCATATGACCATTAGTTATCTGATAGGGACACTCATACGTGGGAACTTTCGGTTTATGCTTCCGTGCTTCAAAGCTTCACCCCCGATTGCAGATTATGTAATACGATAGTACTGCTTGTGCCAGTTGTCAATTGGCAACTTGCAAGCGAAGCCTATGGCATGAATTTCTCGTCATGAGCAGTATTTGCATGCACATATGCCGACCATGGTCCTCCGTACCCTGGAAAATCCAGAACTATCCTCCGAAGAGGTTGCCGTGCGCCTCAATTGTGACGTGGTTCGACAAACACGCTATCTACACGGACGAACGCCTGTTCCAAAAGTTAGCCATCTTCACCTTACATGGGAGTTTTCCCCAAACTCACCGAGTCTTCTTGTCATGCGGATCGGCACCCGTGGTGACGGCAATGCAATGGGAGTTACATTTGAACGAGACGAGAGGATGCGGTGAAGGACGGTAAAGAACGGGAACTTCTAGCCAATCTTATCTACTTGAGGAATCATACTTTGAGCGTCCGCGGTGGTCGTCGAATTTGGACCGTCAGCAGGAACATAACATTCGAAGAACTTATTTAACACTAGATGTATTCTATGGCATGGTCAAAAAATGAACGCGGATCTGAAGGTGAATAGTACTCACCTCCTTGTTCTGCTTCCCGAGCAAAATAAGCTTTCTCGACCTTTGACAGCAAGGTTCATGTCATATCCACGGACAGACAGATGTCGGAAAAAAGTTTCCAGCATTAACTTGGCGCATGTCGTTATAATGGGGTAGGACAATCTTTTAATGGGCATAAGAAGGCATTTGTAGGGGCCCTTTTGACGGTTTTACGTCGAACGTAGCACGCTGTGGCACCGAATTCGTAGCCTTTCAATGACTTGTAAGGTCTTTACAAGTAAGGCACTTTGAAGGTGCTAACTAAACTTGTAATCCGGCGGCATTATAATGGCTCTAGGTTTCCAACAACCAGTGGACTCGATATCGGGAATGGGTGGATCCTTCTTTCTAATGGCATTAAAGAAGCTCGGATGATCAATAGTCCACTGAGCGCTGGCAGAGCCTGGCGCTCGATAGTAGCGGCGCACGTAAGGTATTTTGGTTTGTTTACACCTACCAATTGTGGGGAGTGTAAGCGAACTCTCAGGTAGGAGCGTCCCTTTTTGCACCATGTGGCAATTTGTGTTTCAGCAAGAGATGCATCGATGAACGTTGAACGTTTGAAATTTGAACTGCCGCGTAAGTTCGTCGTGTCGATTCCGCTGGTGATATGTATTTAATACTTGTTATAATGGTGCGTCGATCTGACATTCACAACACCCACTTCTTATATTGCACATTGTCTCATTGTAATGGATATCACTGAAAAACAACAGTTGTGAGTGACATGGGCACAAACACCATAATCTTGACATTATTATTTGCCAGGTTGTTTCACTTGTACACCGTTCTCGTGGCAAACAGTACTGGCGCTTTCCATCTTTGTTCTCAGGACGATAACAAATATTATAGGTATTCTGATATACGATCATATAGTGACCCTCCCAGAAGAAATCAGGTTTATTTGGTGTCGTCCGAAAATACTGTCTTCAATCTTCTTTCTCGTTAATCGCTATTTTGCCCTGGTCGGCAATATCTTTGGCTTGTTTATCGATTTCCTGCCTGTCGTTTCAAATGAGGTTTGATGACTTCGTTATGAATCTACTCAGATGGCAGGCTTACAACTTATTTCTGCAGAGGTTCTAACCTTACTTATTGAATTTATATTGTCGTTCTTACCAAAGGCTTAGCTGTTCGAGATACATGCTAGTCAGAGAGCTGCTCCTTTTTCTTCAACAAATCACTGTTTCCTGTGAGTGAAAAGTTGATCGCGAGAAATACATGCCCTGAAAGATTTTTAGTCACGTTGACTCTGCGCATTTATGCCCTGTACGGCCGTAGCAAGCGCTTACTTAGTTGCATGATAATCATCGGCCTTGCTCTTACGGGAGGAGCGTTTGTACGTGTTCGCATGTCCTTTTGCAATCTAGATTCTGCTAATCTTTTCAGGCGAGTTCGTTGAGTGATAACAATACTACGATTTACGTCCAAGGAAGTGATTGTCAGAACACATTCACAGCAGAGGCGTATGTCATCCCCTTCATCAATATGCGCGCCTGCTCAACTACGTCGTGGCAGAGCCATCCGTCAGTGAATTTTCAGTCACGATACGTGCAAGTTGATGATGCCACTGTCTTATCCACTTGCAGGTCATGGGCTGGCTTGGGTTGCAGTTTTTGTCTATGATTCAATCATTTTTGTCCTCACAATCTTTAGGACTTGCAAGACTAGGAAATTTCTGCGGTCATCTCTATCCAGCAGAAATATCCCTAATATCATGTTTCAAGATGGTATTTTTTTCGTCATACCTGTAATATAAATTCTGAACCAAGCAAATGCAGGTGCGATGTATTTCGCGTAAGATTTCCAGTGAAACTGTCACTCAAGTGAAACTGATCTGCGTTCATTCAGAGCGATGACATTGATTAATCTACCCAACATTCTGACGTACTATGTGAGTCAACGAGTGAGGTATTTAATTGAGTCGCACGCTCATACCATGGTTTAGTGTGGTTCAGTGAGCATACCCGCATCTTACAATCACGTTGGCTAATTTCCCGACAATTGACAAGGATATCACCAGGGGAAATCTAGCCACGATTACTAGTTGGTGAGTGATTGGTGCAATAAACACGGATCGATTTTGAATATGACCCCTAGCATATCTGTCACTCTCATCTCTCGGTTGGTGCTTAACCTGCACAAATCTACGGACAATGGCATTTTCTCCGCTCCCATCCGGGATGATGGCCCTAGCGAAGATGTCTTTACCACCAGAGTACAAGCTGTGATTTCCTCTCACAATTGCTAGGTTGATTCTCGGTTTCCGTTTCTGGATGTCAAGTTGCAGAATTTTTTTTTCGCTTTCGTTTGACGTTTCATAATACCATAATTTATAAGTAAGAATAGAATCACTATTGTATTTCGTACAGTTCTCCACTAGTAGAGTAGATACGTCTATGTAACTGCCACTCGGGTGTTACTAGGTGTCCGTTTAAACTTTGAACTGCTTGCAACATTGCCAGTTATGGTGAAATAGTACCAACGAAATCATGAGTATCTCACGGTAGCACAGCCACGTCAATCTTGTCTCCCCAAGTCACTCATCTACATGTAACGCGAGATGTCTAGAAGTGTTTTCACCAATCCCTAGCTCATTACAGCAACTTTATTATTCACCCCCTCACCCCTGGTCCCGCCATCTCTCAGTTTAATTCTTCGCTCAGCTTTTATGCCTCGTTTCGTTTCACGAAAATCATACATGTTCACCTGCCAGTGGTTTAACCATGTTCATAGCCCGTACATCGTGCAATGGTGTCCTGAAACTTTCACTGTTCATTTCTTGATGTGTGGTGAGACGAATCCTCGGAAGGTACCCACTCATGCAGCGGCCTCTACGCTCGCGTCTCTCCTGGAGTTGACAGTATGGCCACAGCCCTACCTTTCTATTTACGCCATGGGGGATCTAAAGCGAGTCCAGTATAGACAAAGCTGGTCCTTGCAGGACAGATTGCACAACGGCTCATGCTACCATTCGATCCCGAGTTCCCGACCGCCGACCGGCGTGTTTGCGCCACGCTGCACTGCTAAAGCGATGCGTCCTAGCTAGTCTAGGTCCACGTGTTACCAAAACAGTCGATTTTTCTCCGCTGGACCTGGATTAATCGCTATGGTAGCAGTTATTCTTGCAAGAAATGGCATATAACTGCCTTGTAGCAGCGTAAGGGCCCAAGGAATCATCCGTGCGCTAGTAACACTAATTCGTAAATGGACCAGCTTGGTACATCTATGTACAGCATCATCAACGTTTAGGATGCTTTTGATTCGCAAGGTTCCGCCCAGTTCTGCCCTGTTAACCGTTCGTGATCGCCCTTGCTGGCTACATAGCCCTTGATGATAGAGTGAATCACTGATGTGGGGGGGAAGTGAAACACGGCTGTACAGTATGATACCAATATAAAACCGTTCCTGTCAACCCCAAGTCTCAACACCCCTTCCTCTTGTGATAACGCCTTTGTAATGTATACTATTGACTTGGACGAGCATATGTGAGTGACAGACGCACAAATTTACTATATGTGCTAATCGCGGGAGCTAACATCACAATTTGTCAGGTTGGTGTACTTGTATGCCATTGTCGTGGCAAACTGTACTGGGGCACTTCGTCGTTTGGCTTCAAAATCCTCACAAATATTATAGGTATCCTGATATACGACTATATAGCGACCCTCCCAGAAGAAATCGCGTTTATTTGGTGTCGTCCGAAAGCACTGTCTGCAATGTTATTTCTCGTTAATCGTTACGTCGCTCTGCTCGGCAATATCTTTGGCCTGCTTAGCGATTTTCTGCCCATTTCAAATGAGGTTCTACAGTGTTGTGCATGTTACTGAACTGGCATGCTTACACTTTATCTTCGCAGAGGTTCCAGCTTTAATTCTCAAATATCTTTCATTTTCTCAACAAAGGCTTAGCTGTTCGAAATACGTGGTAGCCCGACAAGTGTTACTTTTTTCCCAACAAATCTTCATTTGCCGTGAGTTACAAGTTTATCACGATAAAGACATACTGAAGTTTTGAAAACTTCAGTCATATTGTCTCTTCGCACTTATGCTCTCTACGGATGTAGCAAGCGCCTGCTAAAATGGATGGTAATCATTGGCCTTGTTCTTGCGGCAGGAGGGTTGGTACGTGTTCGCGAAGAATTTTGGACTTTGGAGTCTGTTCAACTTTTAGGCGGGAACTTTTGGGCATGATTCAGACGGTGCGACCGGCAGCGACTGCTATGAAATATACACAACAGCGACGTATGTCATTCCCTTCATCGTTCCGCATGCCTGCTCAAAGTCTTGGCAGATCTATCCGTCAGTACATTCTAAGTCACATCTGGATGTAAATTGATGGTGTCACTAAATCACCCAATCGCAGGTCATGGGATGGCATGGGTAGCAATGCTTATCTATGAATTGTTCATCTTCGTCCTCACAGTCATCAAGACTTGCAAGACTAGGGGATTGCCGCGGTTCTCCCTAATATCCAGGAAAGATATCCTTGATGTCATATTCCACGATGGTATTCTTTCGTCGCACCGGTATTGTAAACACTGAACCAACCAAGCGCACCTAGGTGTGATGTACTTCGCGTGAGAGTGTTAGTGAAATTGTGATTCGAGTGAATCTGATCCGTTTTCTCTTAGAGGGATGTCATTGGTCAATTTACCCAACATTCTGACGTACTTCGTAAGTCACCGAATGAAATATTGGTTCAGTAGCACGCTCACACCATGGTTTAGTGTGGTTCAGTGAGTATATGCCCGCATGTTTTCACCAGGCCGACTATTATCTGACGATTTGCAAGGATATCACCAGAGGCAGCCTGAGCACATTCACTAGTTGGTGGGTGGTTAATGCAATAGACATGAAACGATCCTAAGTATGAGCTCCAGCATATCTGTCACTCTCATCTCTCGCCTGATGCTTAACCTGCACGAATCTATCGACACTGGCATCTTCTCTACCCCCGCCGGGACTAGCCTCGATATCCTTACCACTAGGGTTGACGTACAGACTGCGGTTTCCTCTCACCATTGGTAGGCTGGTATTGGATCCTGCTTTTGGATGCAGGCTAAGTGGCAGAGGCTCTGAGTGGAAGTTAAAAACTGTTGTTTTAGTCCTTTTCTTGAACGCAGCATGGTAGGGTTGCCCTACGATAACAAGTAGACCATACGTACATTATGGATTGTCGGCTAATTATGTTATGTATACGTATGCGTGTTAGTCCGCGCGGTTGTGTGGTGCCGGTCGCTAATTTTTTGGTAGACTCATAACCATTCTGATACATCAGAGCCCACCTGTTTGGACATATAACTTCAGAGTACTCTCCTCCTAACGTCGTGAGAGTCAGGGATTTGTTGCGGTGAACGTAAAGACAGTACCTCAGGGTAACGGTAATCTTTATTCGCGCGAACGAACAAGTAGCAGTCGATACGATAATCAGACCAATGGTCCTAACTCGGTTATAAGTCTCATAACATGTCGTGACTAATTTCACATCTTGAAGCTTCAAGCTACAGGTAAACGCCGGACCATGAACCCAACAACTACACAAGTAGGCCACACGGCCTGAATCAAGTTCATAACGCCATCCAAGTAGTAGCAAAACAACAGTGCGTTAAACCACGACATCCAAAATCGTCACACCGCACATTAAGCCATAAAGCTGTAAAAACTGACATTCCAAAGGCGGTTATACGTTCCACAAAGTGGAGGGTCCCGAAGAAGAAAAAGATAATAAACAAAAGGATATCTGTTTTGGAGTCCAAGTCCGGGGATGACATCAGGCAACAACCAAGCCAAGAGCAAGAGCGGCGACCATGCTCATGCCCACAGGAACGTACTCCGCGAGGGTGCCACCGGTTTTGGTGGCTTGTGCAGCCCCAGCACTGCCAGAAGAAGTCCCGGTAGCAGTACTGCCAGCACTGCTGGTGGTGGTGGGATAAGATGAACCAAGAGCCTTGATCTCGAAAGGCTGGCTCTGGGCGTAGACCTGTGTAATATAATCAAACGTTTAATACAATTTGTCAACGAGCCTGAGAAACTTTCACGCACATCAGTGGAGTTCAGAGTGCTGGCAAACTGAACAACGTAGCCGGTGCCAGCGGGTTGGGCGGATTGCTGCTGGGTGATGGTCTCGGAACAATCATAGTTTTGTTGAACGGCAATGATGGCAAGGGGTGCATCGAGAATTGAAGCGTCCGAGTTGGTAAGACTACAAAAATGCGTGTCAGCTGAACGGGCTCTCATGCGCATCAAATGAGATCGCACGCACAGAATGGTGAAGTTCTGGTACGGAGAAGTCGAACACGTCCACGAGAGTGTGTTCGCCGATGATGCGACTACGAACAGAGAATTGAGCGACGAAAACCAATAGAGATTTCCATCAAGTCATCAGCATTGCAACGTCTAGAAGTCTGGCTTTCTGGGTACTCACCCCACCAGTCATTGGTACCAGGAGACGTGATGGTCAGCTGTGCAGACACGACACTGAGCAAAGCGGCGCAAGTAAGGGTAAGACGGTGGAACATGGTCGAATTCTTTAGTGCGGAGGAAACGTGTAAAGACAGAGAACACAAATTTTAACGAACGAGTGCTTCGAGGAAACGAACAAGGCTTAAAATACTTTGCAATATGCAAATTCGAATAATTGATGATTTATTCTCCGACAAATTCCGGCGCTTGCCGCACAGATGCCGAAACAACATACACGAAGTTACAACGATCGTAGTGTTTATCATAATATAGCCATAAATACGGACATCTGGTCGTACTGCCCGTCCCATTTGTGGATGCGAATATTGTGAGGAAGTTCTTCTGATACAAAGAATTTTGGTTCCGAGGAATATAAGGAAAGACTTGATGATTATGACCTGAGGCCACCCTCAGGACGTTGAAATGAAATACGAAGACGGAAATGAAGTCGTCCATGCGATGGTCTTTGAGGAAATGAAATAGTCGTAAGGGGAAAGGTGTACGTGTGTCGAGTGCTTATGATCTCAAGACACCGATGACAGCCCCAAGAATAATGCCAATGGCAATGAGGAAGACCAGGAGTGCCCAAGCAGATCTTTTAGCCCACTTGATCTCAGCATCTCTCATGATCCGGACCAACTCCTGGCGCTCGTCCTCAGACTTCGTTGGTTCAAAGTCCGCAGGGGCCTTGAGTGGCGAGAGCAGAATGATTGCTCCAAGTACCCAGAAAGGTGGGAACACTGAAAGATTCGATCAGAAAAATTGGATAAGTGCAGAGCAGATGTATACCCACAAAATCCAAATTTGTACAGATACATCGCAAGTGTCACAGGTTCCGCAGGAGTGGAGCTATATGCAGGGGGCTCAGTGGCATTCGTGTATGGAGGAGGCGCTTCTCCATCCAAAGCCACAGAAGTGCGACTAGGAGCGACGTATGAGTCATGGCGACTTTCGCGAGTTGCACGAGTGTAAGTGACCCCGAAAAAATCATCCACGAGGTCTGTGATGTTGTCATTCCGCTGAGGTGTGTGTGTAGGCGTAGCAGCAGAATGAGCCGCCCGGATGGCAGCAGGAACAGTGAAGGAGGTGTGTGTGCCAGTGACGTTTTGTGCCTCAAGATCAATGTCAACTGAGGATATGGAAGCCTTGCGCCAGTTGCCGGAGACGCTGGAGAATCTGGGGGAGGTAGACATCTTAGTCTTTAAAGCTCGTGGTCGAGAACGATTCTTCAAGTGATAGAGGTAGGTTTCGTTGGGTTGTCAGAAGGCGTGGCGGGGCTAGTTTGTTGAGATGATGGGACGAACATGGTCCTAGATATATACCCGAGAGCTCAGGACGATGAAAGAAGGCAATCGAGAGAGCAATTGCATGCGGACCAACAAAAGAAGCCAGAAGAAATGTGTCAGGGCAATTCGTGCTGTAAAATTAACTTTTTCAGTAATTTTGAGACACGTTGTAAGCCACGAGGATGCAATTGGCGGCGCAGCGCAAACACTGTATGCGACATTTTTATCATCGGCGTCAGATATTTTCATGCTGCTCCCTTCTGCGTAATTGGTCTACAGCGCATTGAGCAGTTCAGAGGAATGCATGAGACTTGTACGAACCTAGCTAGCGATCAATTATCCTTGTGCACAAAATGAGAAATTACCTGAAATGGCAAATATTGAAAGCAATCCAATTGCACTCAATTCGATCAGTCACCGACTTAACCGCTCGGTACCCGGTACCTCGTGTTGACTTTTAATTGATTGTTGATTTCGCCGCAAAAGTTGACTTATTGCAGTGGACAGCGTCTTCTCCCATTACCCGTGGCGAGAGGCTCAATTACAGCGACTCCATCCATATTGCAATAGTCTTACGTGAACATGCACAAGACTTTGGTAGCGCTGCCTACCCGCGAGATTTTCTGCTAGAGCGCTAAGACCGAGTACATGTCTCGAACATGAGTTTGACTCTGTATGGAGTCTTGCGATATAGGCTCGTGCAAATCGCAAAGCTATGATCAAGGTGGTATCAAAAGATCTACAGGGGATGCCCGTCTAGTGGATGCACATTAAAGGTAGATACTAACCTTAACTAGGACTTACGAGCTGAGAGGCCAAAGATTGGGATTAAGTATAGAGAGAGATATCGTATGACGGACGAGCATATACAGGATAATTAGCATATCTACATACTATGGGCACGCTCAAAGATCGCAATAAATGAGATTTCTAAATGCATTAAGCACACATGACCGCCGGCGCAGCGCAGTGCGTTCAAGTAAAGAACTAAAGAACAGCTTTCCATTCCACGCAAGAATCCCTGCAAGTTCACATCCAGAAACAGAATACAATACCGCCTACGAACGGTCAGAGGAAAACGCAGACTGTACATCGATCCTGGTGGTAAGGACAGCGAGGCTTGGGCCGTCGTCCTGAGCGGGGATGGAGAAAATGCCAGTATCGAAAGTCTGGTGTAGGTTAAGCATCAGCCGAGAGATGAGAGTGACGGAAATGCTGGATGTCATAGTTAATATCAATCCATGCGTATCGCACCAACCACTCACCAGCCAGTAAATGTACAAAGACTGCCTCTGAGGCCAACCTTGTCCAATCATCAGGAAACGCTCAAGCTAAATACAAGGTGCGGGATTTGTATGCTCACTGAACCGGACTGATACAAGTTGTGAGCGTTTCGTAATACCATCAGGTATTCATTCAGCGACTCACGTAGTACGTCAGGATGTTCGGTATATTGGTCAGTGTCATCGCTCTGGAATGGTGATCAGAATCACTCGAATCACAATCTTGTCAACAACCTCACCCGAAAAACATCGCACCTGCATTCGGTTGATTCAGTGAGTACAATATCGATACAAATGCAACGAAAAATTCACTATCGTGAAATATAATGTCGATGATATTTCCCCTGGTGACTAGGGACAACCGCTGCAAGCCTCTAGTTTTGCAAATCCTGTACATCGTGAGCACGAAGATGAATAAATCGAAGATAAATTCGGCCACGTATGCCAGCCCAATTTCTGCAGTTGGATAAGGTCACTACATCAAGTTACATGCAAATGTGACTTAGAATTCACTGACGGGCGGCTCTGCAACGACTTTTGAGCAGGCACACAGAACGGGGGTGAGGGTGACATACACTTTTTTTGAAAATGTTTCATTGCAGCCAACTCCAGGCACGATGTCCACATCGCCTGAATATTTTCCAAAAGTGCCCGCCTAGTGACGATCAGTAGACTCTAGAGTACAAAATTCTACACAAAACGTACACAGCATACTCCCACAAGAGCCAACATGACGATTACTATCCAAGTAAGGAGGCGCTTGCTACAGCCATAAAGAGCATAAGTGCGCATAGCCATTATGACTAAAATGTTCTGTATGTGAATTTCTCGCAACAAACTTCCACTCACCGGAAACGATCATTCCCTGGAGGAAAAGAGCTACTTCTCTGTATAGCGAATATTTCAAACAGCTAAGCTTTTATTGAGCAAAGCAGCACATGTTCAAGAACCAGAGCGAGCCAAACCTCTACACATAAGTTGTGAGCATGCCAGTTCGGTACACGCAACAAAATGACAGAACCTCATCTGAAATTATAGGCTGCAAATCCACAACTAAGCTGGAAATATTGGCGAACAGAGCAACATAGCGATTGAGCAGAAATAACATCGCTGACAGGGCTTTCGGGCGACGCCAAATAAAAGCGATTTCCTCTGGTAGTGTCACTATATGGTCGTATATCAGGATACCTAGAATATCGTGTTATCATCCTGAGACCGAAGATAATAGGCTCTAGTACTGTTTCCCGCCAGAATGGCGTACATGCAGAACAACCTGTAAATACCCACTCGCCGTCAGGATACATGGTGAATCTACCATGTGTGTATCGCTCACATTTGCTGCACTTCCGAGACAGTAATAGACATCGTAACGAGGCAAAATTCAACAGAATAAGGGCGTCGAGAATGTAGGGTGACGCATTATATACAAACGGCCAGCCGAATTTGGCATTCAACCGACCTTTTCGCGATCGTGAAACAAATGCTATGTATGCAAGCATGCAAGCCAAACACTGCCCTGAACGAGATAAGCCGATGGGAGTCAGACGACTCTGAAACAACAAAGTTTCATTTCTAAGCCGCCGAGGGACGAGGCGGCCCAGAATTCGGTTTATGCTGACTAGACTGATCACCCTTTTCGCACCCTGCTGTAGTCCACCGTCCCCTAAGGTAGGGCGCTGTTAACATGGGAAGGGAAGGGCTAGTAAAGCGGATTAGCAGCGGTTTCGAGCCTGCGAAAGCTCTCGTCAGGGGGCTGATCCTTATTGTAGACGAACGAGTCTTGTGAGTCTAGGCCCGAGGCGACAAAGAAACCGACCAGACTACGAGCCTTTCGACTCGTCTTCGGGATTTTATGATCGAGTCCGTATAAGATAGCATGCTATGATAGATCTAGACGTAATATATGGCGCTGCGCATTCCTGTAGATTTCAAGTGTCATGTTGGTCCATCACCGATCAGCGTGGCGTGTTACAGGAAGCCAGCCTCACGTGGGTGGGCGATTCATAGGCTGTGCCGTTGCGAGGCTTGTGTTCCTTGAGCACAGGCAACTTGAACGTGGCCACCATCGCGATCAAGGGCGTCCGAAAAGAAGAATTGGCAGCCGATATATTGATATTCGCTTGAAAAGTTAGGCTCGCGTTGATGGCATGATGCGTGATGCGGCAACGGTGCACAAAGCAAGAAATTACCTAAAATGGGAAACAACGCGGGCGCAATTTCCCTCTGGGTTTCTTGATTAGCCGCAGGAGAGAACAGTCTTTTTAACGATAGGTTGAGACACCCCGTCGTGAGAGGCTTTATCACAATATTATCTGATCACGGACGAACACATGATGATTGGAAAATAATAAGTATAATGAATATACTGTCTATGCTCAAAAATGGTATTATATCTGAGACGCGTAGTTGCTAGCGCGGGTGCAGCGTCGCCCACTCCTGCATTCAAGAAAATGGATACAAGAACAGCTTTTCGCTCCCACCAAGTATCCCCGCACCTTCGCATCCAGAAATAGAATCCAATGCCAACCTACCAATGGTAAGTGGAAATCGCGGACTGTAGGTTGATCCTGGTGGTAAAGACAGCGAGGCTGGGGCCTTCGTCCTGGGCAGGGATGGAGCAAATGCCAGTATTGATAGATTTGTGTAGATTAAGCATCAGACGAGAGATGAGAGTAACGGACAAGCTGGGTGTGGTGTCATAACTAATCTCAATTCGTGCTTATTGCGTCAACCACTCACCAGCTAGTCAACGTGGAGAGACTGCCTCTAATAGCAACCTTGTCAATCATCAGGAAATAGTAAACCTGAATATGAAATAAGGCTGTATATGCTCACTGAACCAGACTGATTCAAGCTGTAAGCGATTCGTGACTCCATCGATGTTCATTCGTTCACTCACGTAGTACGTCAGGATGTTCGGTATGTTAACAAGCATCATCGCTCTGAAGGTATGCGGATGATCGGTTCAGAATCACTTGAATCACGATCTCGCTAGCAACCTCACCCGAAATACATCGCACCTGTGTTTGGTTGATTCAGTGTGTACAATTCAGACTGCAACGAAAAATTTACCATCGTGAAATATGATATTGATGATATTTCTCCTGGTGACTAGAGATAACCTCAGCAAACCTTTAGTTTTGCAAATCCTGTACACTATGAGGATGAATATCAGTAATTCGAATACCATTTCGGCTACCCATGCTAGCCCAAGACCTGTAGTTGGATAAGGTCGTGACATGCAATTAGACTTGGGATTCACTGACGGGCTGCTCTGCAACAACTTTTGAGTAGGCACACAGAACGGCGAAGAGAACGGCGTACGTCACTGCTGTATATGTTTCATAGCAACCAACTCCTGGCAAAAGGACCGCATCGCCCATATAACGCCCCAAACCTTCCACCTAGAAACGATTAGTACAAGAGTGTAAAATTCTACGCGAACTTCGAAGACACACAGAAACTATTATCGCAAGAGTAATCATTGTGATTGTCATCCAAGTAAGCAGGCGCTTGCTACCGCCGTAGAGAGCATAAGTGCGAATGGTCATTATAACTGCAATTTTCAGTATATGAAGTTCTCGCAGTGAACTTCTACTCACAACAAACGATGACTGCTTGGAAAATAAAGGTTAGCTGTCTGTATAGCTGGTATTCCGGACATCTGAGCTTTGTTAATTAATATTCAAGAACCAGACTCAAAATGAAACAAACCTCTACAGAAAGAAGTTGTGAACCCGCCAGCTCAGTATATGCATAATGAAATAATAGAACCTCCACTGAAAGCGGCACGAAGCTTAAAACTAAGCCGGAGATATTGACAAGCAGAGCGAAATAACGATTGAGCAGAAATAATATCGCAGACAGCGCTTTCGGACGACGCCAAATAAAAGCGATTTCTTCAGGTAGGGTCGTCATGTGGTCGTATATCAGAATACCTAGAATATCATGTTATTATCCTGATACCAGAAATCAGACTAAGTCCTAGTACTGTTTGCTGCCAGAAGGGCGTACATGCAGAACAACCTGTAAACATTTAGTCGCCATCAGGATACATGGTCATGTATGTATCACTCACATCTGTTGCGCCTCCGAGCTAGTAACACCCATCACGGGGCGATGTGTGATAGAAGAATGGCACTGAGAATGTGCGGTGATTCCTTATATACCAGGACTGCAAAGGAAAGCGCACAACGTGAAAATTTGCGGAAACTGACAAGTAAGTCGAGACAACTCCAAAATGTCCTAGACGTAATATAGTGCTGTACATCAATGTTCAAAGTTCCAGGCAGAGTGTTACTAGCCTCGATATTGGATCCCCGCCATTAAAAGGCACAACAATATGGCTGAAATACAAGATTAATGGCACCATGGCGATCCAGCATCAAGTAGGAATAGCCACCTCCGATCACCGAGGATTGACTAGTCAACATTGATGACAACTCGATGAGAGACTCGGATACACCTGAGAATAGAACACCAATTGTGGACATTGTGAACGTAATGTTTCATGTTGATAGATCTACGATAATCTAATCACTGCGATTGGATTGCGTATCGATACGGGTAAGGTCACACTTGTTTTCTCAAAATATCTATAATGCCACAACGTACAGGTTATTCGTGACGAATAAAAGTATCTTCTTTCTGCATTAGTCACATGTTTTACACCGTACCGCTAGCGGCGATCTTGATCTCGGCCTTAGGCTTGCCAGATTCAGTCCCGTACTTCTCGATTGCTTTCACGAGGTCCATGCCCTCGACGACCTCACCTGACACATAAGTTAGTTCTGATCAACAGCTGCTTGATGAAGATCCTCACCGAACACTACGTGAGCGCCGTCGAGCCAGCTGGTGACGATAGTGGTGACGAAGAACTGCGAACCGTTGGTGTTCTTGCCAGCATTTGCCATGGACAGAAGTCCGGGCTTAGTGTGCTTAAGTTGGAAGTTTTCATCTAAAACATATCACGATTAGATGCCGTATTCTGAGCACAACTACTATGACCCTCACCAGCAAATTTCTCGCCGTAGATAGACTTGCCACCCGTTCCATTGCCCCTGGTGAAGTCACCACCCTGAAGCATGAAGGATGGAATGATGCGATGGAAGCCAGAGCCTGCATATCCATAACCATTTTGACCTGTGCATAATTCGCGGAAGTTTCTCGCGGTCTTCGGTACAACGTCATCGAAGAGCCTGAAGACAATGCGCCCAGTTGGGTTGCCGTTGATGGTGATGTCAAACTAGAAAATCAGATGGGTCAGATATGGGTCCCTTCGTTGCGAATATCGCCGATACAACACTCACGTAAACGTTAGCCATGATGGATAAGAGAGAGACTCAAGATTGAAGGTTTGCGAGAGATGCTCTGATAAAAGGGAGAGTCGGACGATGCCGATCTGAGTCGGAGATGATCATCGGATTTCGGAGATGATTATCTATCCACCACGGCTAGAACGTGCGTGTGAAGTTCCAAGACAGTGCTTTCCGCGGCCTGCCGCCGCATGCTCCATCCAATTTGACATCTTCTGCCGAGATAATGAATCACCTGCATTTCGCTAAGCTAGTACTCGGTGCACATGATCACTGGCCCCTATAAGTATTCGTACGTAATTGATCTAGCTGCTGAATATTCGACTGAAGAAACCAGTCTTCGGCAGCTCTGCCTCATCCCTGTATCTGATTATAATTCTCCCATCCCGAGATACAACCTTGAGCTCGTCCCCATCCCAATTATTGTCAAACAACCGATGCGGAATGTCACCGACGAAATATCGCCGCGTATGCTCAACAGTGCTTAATGTGATGCTCCGTTGCAGAAGATTGTCGGAAAGCTTTACACTTTGCCTGCTGGTCAGGAGAAGCGAACCGTGGAATGACCGAGGCAGAAGGACGGTTACTTGTCCATCGCGTGCATAGATATCCAACAGGAATGGTGCAACGACCTTGACCGTATTCTAGAGCGCATCAGACGGTGCACCGTTTGTGGTGACCCAATACTCACAATCTTGGCTGTGACACTTCCATCGTTAGAGCTTAGCGAAAGGGTGGTGCGGCGACCATTCTTAGGAGCAGCTTCCTCTTGACCGATCAACCAAATATCAGCGTCAATACTCCCGTCCCTTGTACGAAGGTACAGATTTTTTCTGTCCTGGTCTGTTTCTCCAGTATTCAGTGGAGGAAGCAGACTGAAGGGTATTTGCATCAGAGGGTCGATCACATAACAGTCTCGTATGGGTTTATCCTTGAGTATAAGTGAAAGAAAATTGGTGGGATTGGAAGGAGGCTGAATCTCCGTGGAACACGAGCTTGCAATCTGTGTGTGCTGCACATGTTTTGAATATGCTGGAGGTGGTGCATCCTGCAGACAGCAGTCAGTGATAGCAATGTCTGGAAGATATCTCGTCAACGAACATCCATGGCATTGTTCGCCGCCTCTGATTGATCTTGCTCGGCCTCTGCCACCTTGGCAGACTCATTCTGGAGCTGCTTCTCTGAGATGATGATCATTGGAGCCTAGTGATGATGGGGGTAGAGTCGTCAAAGATTATTCAATGGACGAGTTCGCAAACGAACAAATGTAAGAAGGAACGCTGCGGCGCTCCCAAGGTACTGCGGCTGCGTGCTGCGGCAATGGAACGATCGAGACAAAAAAAGGCAGGCAGCTGTTAGTCGATCAACGCCACATGGCCATAGTGATTACAAGTTGCACGTGAAAAATAGTCGTACAGGTGACTTCAGGAAGTACCCACTACCATCCGAATAACCGATTCAAAAGACCTCCTTTGCTGGTATTGTCTGCCTTGGTATGTTCTTCGACATATTTTATCCTGATGTTTCCATGTTTCGCTTCTACCCGTAGTTCATCCCCAATCCAATCACTGTCATCAACCGTGGACAAGTCTCCAACAAAATATCTTCGAGTCAAGTCCACCTGACTTAGATGCGTGCAGTTTTGGGAGAGAGTATCGGTGAGTGAGACGGAACCGTGGCTAGTCGTTAGAAGAAGGAAGCCACTAAAGAGCGCGGAAGAGTGACATTCACAGAGCCGTTCTTCGCGGAAATGGTGAGCAAGAACGGCACAACCCCATGAATAGTGTGCTAGTATTCTGATCAACGGGGAACCAGGATAATCAAACAGACGACATACAACCCGCGCTGTAACAGAGCCATCGTCAGAGCCAATGTCGAGTATCGCACGTTTGGTGAACTTCTTGGATTCGGAGGGTTGGGCGTCTCGAGCACCGAGTAGCCATATTTCTGCATTAACAGATCCGTGTTTCGAGCGCAAGGATAGATTCTTTCTGTCTGCCTCACTCTCTTCTGGACGCAGGGGTGGAAGAAGAGAGGTGGGGATATTCATGCCAGGGTCTATGACGTACTCCCCCTTGATAGAGCTATGCTCATTGAAGAGGTGCAAGTAATTTGTTGGTTTGGACTTGAAAGTGGGCTGAGGAGGAATGCTGGAAGAGGATGCACCCGCAACTTGCATTTTGGTCTGAAGTGTTGTTATAATATGATGGAGGAGGCTGTAAGTAAAATCAATAAACTAGGACAAGTAGAAAGGAAACAAGATTTCACGCACTGCTTCTCCAGCAAACTCATTCTCAGTATCTGGAGAAGCTTTGAGTTCAGAGGAAGCTGCATCTGTAGAGTCCTGTAAAGATACTATCATTGTGCAATGTAGGTATCGCAAAGCTAGAGTCAGCTGGTTTTAAGTCTCCAGTGCTAATAGTGGTGAAGGAAGTTCCGCCGCATGCGGTGTGTGACAGCAAAGCTGCGGGCCTGCGGCTGCGCATGCTTCTAGGCTTAGGTAATGAAAGGCTGAGCGCTAGCCGGTCACAATCGTACACGAACAGCCAGTCTGCCGTGCCTCAAGCAGGCGCCCGTACTACTGGGGTCCGCACAACATCTATTACTAGCAGTGGCGTAGATTATATTTGGTTAGCAGAGACCATCCACGAACGTCTCCCGCAATTGAGAAAATTAATGTGAGGGCACCACAGCTGCTCAGCAGGAGCTCTAATCATGTTACAAATGCGCGATGAATGTGAGATCACGTCGACTAGAACCATGACTGTAGAGTGCTCCATTGAGATAGAATCACCTACAATAGGACGTGCTATATTGTCGAGTTCCGAAAGGATGGAAACAATGAGCTTGGATGTCATATATGCATGTGAATATCGACCATTGCAGGACGAAGAAATTTTACATATGAACCCGTACTTAGGTATGCATGCAAATCCATACTCCATGGTGCCTTCACATCGTGACAGACAATCAGAAAGTGGAAGGACGATTGGCAACGAATGTCGCAGCAGTTTTACCAACACGGTGAGGAAGTGGGAACTTGAGGTTGGGGGTAAGGAGCTGCTTGATGTAGGGGCGGCGGACATCATCAGACTTAGCGATCTCAACAACGCGGAGGATCTGAGGAAATACAAATATCAACATGACGAAAGATGAGAAAATGCTAGGGCATACGTGGATCGACCGGAAGCGGGCACGGTGCCTGGCAGCCATGTCCTGGTAAAGGCTTTTGACTGCATCAGCACGGGAGAGGTCACGGAACTCCTTGTACATGTTGTGGGTTCCTGATCGCGAGTCGTAGCGGATCCAGATACCGAAGTTCTTGACCTTCAGAGGTTTTGCCTCATGTATCTGTGACACAGGTCATACAGACCGTTAGCAATCCCGTTCCGTCTGCCACTTGAACGGCTGCAAGGGATACACACAACGTTGACACCAATGATTTCACCACTGGCCTTCTTGACTTTCTTCAATTGCCTAGGTGGGTGTTACATTGCGCCTAAAAAAACTCTGAAGGCTAGCGTACCTGAGGAAATACCAGAACCGGGATTTTGCAACGACTTCATTAGGAGCAAAGATGCGCATGCGATAAATTTTGGGGTTGGGCTCATTTGTGGTGGGTAAGTGACGTCCAACGACCTGGAATTCTTGAAGGCCCATCTGGTGCAGAACATATCAGTACACATCCAGATAGGAAGAGTAACATCCATCAAGAGAAACAGGTTTGCTAGCTTGTTTTCCTCGATAGAGCTCTCTGTATGTGTGCTAACGTCGTAAATAAGTTGCTTACTTTGAGATTGACTTTGTGCTTGAGGCGTTGACGTTGGCGAGGAGGGCGAGACCACTATCTACACCAAGGTTTGAGGTAGTTATTTGTCAATATTTGTGGCTGTGGCGAAGTGTGAGCCATGAAGCCGGCTATTCTCCGATACCAGCTTGAAAATCTATTTGAGATCTATCGGATGCAGATGCATGATGAAGAGGATGTAGTATGAAATTGTACGATTAAAAAGTATGGAATGATCAGAAAATGCAGATTTATTCGACAGTCATTACAGTGTCTATTATCTCTGTGACGCGATTGACCCCATGCTCATTCGGTCGCGAAGAGAAAACGATATCTTTCAAAATCTGAGATATCAAACCATGTTGAGCCTCCGCGGCAATCTTTGTGCTACGAGAATATGAGTTTAACTGTACTACACAAGAACACGAAAACACAAAAACCTACCTATCCTTCACACCCTTTGCGAGCTGATTGTCTTCTTTCTTCTTTTCTTCCTTCTGTGACAAACAAGCATAAGTGTTTAATGCACAGACAGTTCAACGATCATCTACCTTGGGTACACTTGATGTCTTCTCCTCCTGTCCCTTAATTGTCGGTATAGGCGCCCGTGTGCTGGACACTGAAGCCTGAGCCTTAGAAAGTTTCTGATGCAAATCTACGATCTGTGACACTGCATACGCTCGATTCTGTACGAGTGTTGTATGAGAAAACAAATGAAACTAGTAAAAGCTTCTTACCGAAATCAAAGGGCTCTGGCTGAGTGTGTTAACCCAGTACTTGTTCCACAACAAACCGAGCAGCTCGGTGTCCAAGCTCGATTTGAACACCTCCACATCTAATGGGTAGTACTGGTTTGCATGTACACCAAAGTCTTCAATTTTGCTGAGGGGAATGGATTGGTATTCGGAAGCGGATATGTTAGGAGGCGTGTAATTCGGTGGGTACGTGCGGAAGGCACCAATATCGACTTTGCCAGCAGAGATAGTGCGATTTGGGTCAATCTATCGCATTAAGGGTCAGACCGGCGATCGGGCCAGAACATGATTATGGACGCACCACAACGGCCACGAAAGGATCTTGGAACTGCTGGTTGTTCATTTGGGTGTCCACATCTATTCCCGAAAGCCAACACCCATAGCCTGGATGTGAGTGGTACCAGCCAATGGCATTCTCCAATCTTTTGGCCTAAGGGGAGTGAGAGCAAGTTGTCTGGAAGGCTCAATTCCATACCTTCTCGCTCTCCGATATATACTTTACCATGTACTCATTTGCTTCATTGGCAGCATTAACACGCGTCTCCGTGCCCTGCACAGGAAGTGCAAAGGAGTCCATGATAACCAGTGAGTTGCCCATCACCTTGCCTTGCATGAGTCCCATAATCTCATGTGGCACTCCTGATCGTGCATGAATAACCTGCAGAAGAAACAACGTCAGATTGCCCGTTGAAACCTCAGTTGTTCGAGCTTTCCATCTTTATCAAAGCGACGGCTGAGATCTTGCATGATTTGAAGTATTGTGGACTATCAGGAATATCATTGAGGCCTGCTCAGGTGATATAGGGTTGCCGACATACTCCTTGTCCCATGGTGCCTCTCGGTTTATCCGCTTATTAGCCTCGACGTCAAAGGCATATATCTCATCCTGAGGCGAAACTTCAAATATGTCGTTCGCTAGCGAAAAGGTCTTGAACGCAGTGCTAGAAGTCATATGTGGTGGTAGATGACAAGGGGCCACAATTGTGGCGGAGGTAGATTCCAAATTGTACAGTGCGAATAATATTATTGTCGGAATCAGGCAGAACATATGAATGAGCTCCTACTACCCACAGTACTAGTCAACGTTTCGGGAACAACAACCATCTAATGCCTTCGTACAACATCTGAATGCTTATAGGAGACCGCTCTGTGTCATCTAAGAGTAAATCTCCTCTCATCCTTTCTATCGGAAGCCGAATGTTAGTATTGGCTAGCCCTAGCTAGTGGCAACAAACTAACTCTCCGCTTCCACTGCAGCTCTCCGCTCCTTCTTCTCCTTCAACTGACGCTCCATTTCTTCGAATGCGTTGAGGATGACCTCGTGTCTCTTTTCCGTAGCTGGTGTATTGGTTCTAACGCGGTGTGGCCACTCGGAATCTGGTATCGAAAGAGCAGAAAGCGACGAGCGCAAGGCCACAATCGACTCCTTGTAAGCTTCTAGAGATTCTTCGTAAAGGTCATAGACACAAATTGCACATCCTGACATGCAACATTCTTGCCTTATGTTAGATACTGGGAACTTGGCTTCGGTAGAGAATTTACCTTCATCTGAGGGTGGTATGGGTTCTTCGGGGATCACAAGGCCCGCGATGGTATTGGGAGTATTTTGCGCACCATAGTGCGAAGAGGATATCAATCGAGATAACCTGGCCTTGGATGCATCCTCGACGTCCTGAGAAATCTCAGATGTCTGCTTCATAATAGCATTTCCCCCCCGAAGAGTATTTTCTAGTTTGCGGTAGCGTTCAGTGAGATTTTGTCCGCCTCTGCTTGGACTGTTCCAATGCTTTCGGGAGATGGATGATATCGCCAAAACAGCCTTAGACGGGCTTGTCGTGTTCGTAGCAAATGAACGCAAGCATAGCATGTGAGCACATGCGGATACCGCTATCCTCCGCTGGCCAAGAGACAGCATGCATACTCCTGTCGTCTTGTAAACCGTCCTGCTCAAATCGCAGGTTAAATAATGAGCTTGCCACTCCTGCAAGTCTAATGGATATGATGTTTGATGACAAACTTTGACAGCGGTGTGCAGTGTGCTGAGTCAGCTGAGTCAGCTCCGAGCTATGTAACTCAAGAAAGTTCTGAACGTTCAACTTTCCATTATTTTTCTCCTGCATGGAAACCAGAACAAAGTACTTGTGGAATGCGAGTGAACTGGGTATTGAATTCTGAAGTCGCTTTGTATCAGTGCGATCATTTTTCTCTCAGAGACCAAGTTAGACTCATTGCATGATTATTCAAACTGTAGTACCGCAAGAAAATAGCGCGACATTTTTTCTCATAAATCGTCGTGCGACGAACTGCCATACTATAATCTTTGGCATGTGATGCTCGGTCTGGCTCTTGCCCATCATAGGTCTCATTGCAGTGGGTGAGCCTGCACGAAGCTCGCTCCCTACCTCAAGTGTACTAGTTTCCTCTGGGTGCTGTCACAAATCTCAACGATGACACTGCAGGTGATTCCACCACTTCGACAGAATGGAAATCTGGGTAACTCAGCATATTGTCTTCCTGCTCGTGATAATTATCAAATTCTGAGCAGGTACAGACTGCGCTTTTAAATCATGCCGTCGCACAACAATGAATTTAGGGGCCCGCCTGCCAATATCGATGCCTCACAAGCAGAGTTCATCTCGGTATGTCATCAGGGATTGGTGGAGTCCAAAACAGAAACAAGACAGTGTCAACATCACAAGTATTCTGAGAGACCAGTTTCCGAGTGTGGTTTCAAGAATGGATCTGCGCTGAAATCGTGCAGTCGTGGCGGAACGAATGGTGACCTCACCCATGGAGAAAGAATGTCGGCCTCGCTGCAAACCGGATGGTAGCAATGTTGACACCAGTGGCGCCTTCCACCACAACCCCAATTCGTTGATCGGCAAGGTCGTCGATGACGATGATCGGTCTCCCCAATCGAGCTCAAATTCCCTTCTCATCTTCCTCCGGTCATTGTTTCTGTTCCGAGGTGCTCGCTTACGTCAAGGATATCAAGCCCAATATCTCACGCATGGAAGGGATCTATCGTTGTTTCAGCCACATGCGCTAGTCCCCTGTGGATGATGGCGGAGACGGAGGTCCGGGCAACGATTGCGTATCAGTTACGTTTTATATGGCTTCCAAACCACCTTGGGTGGACAGGTTTATCAAAGGGAGACAGTTGGGTGATTTGTGCAACGAGTTGGACATACTGAAATCAAACCGATCAGATCGTTCACCGGCGCTTCTCATTCTTTTTTCACCTTGTGCCGGATATTCAACACCCCAACAACCCACGCAATTCCAGGACATACTCATACTACAATGCTGTTCCTCACAAACAAGCCGAATTTCAGTGACAATAGTGCGCACATTCCGATAAAGCAAATTCATGCACATTCACTTTCGTGAGGCTTTGATTTTCCAATATGCCTGCATGCTTTCAAACTCTTATCGATCAAGGAAATATATTATATGGTTAGAAATCTACCAGAGTATTTAAATAGTTGGGACGACTCACACTCGATGGGCGCATGTCCGAGGACAGTATCAGATTTGAATTGTCTGCTTATCATCTCTGCAACGACCGTGAACAAGGTTTGGACCATATAGAAGAGCCTACGTATGTCCGGAGACTGCGACCAGATATTCTGTGACCACTCAACAGAGACGACAAGAACCTTTCGCGCTAGCGTTTGGGGGCACGGCGAGTGAATTCCGCTGCCAGATCGGCAAAAGTGTTCTCCATCTGGTCGATCTTCCCCACTTTCTCCTCCGAACATGGTAACGAGTGATATGGACGAGAGCCTACGAAGGATGTGATTTTTGTTTAAACAAGCACTTAGGGCAAGAATATGAGTCATACTGCTTGCCTATGCCTGAGTGAATCTTTATCCTTGTTCTCGATATAGTTGTCGAGGATCGGATGGCTAGGGAAGAAGCGAGGTATCACGCAGGCTCCTAGCTTTTGTTGTTCTTTAAAAGAAATTAGTCCTGTTGAACCTACCAATGAGGTGGAAACCTTCATCAAACAACAAGATTGGACTACCAGAGCTCATGTATGAAATTCATATACCGTAGCTCCATGTTGCTGCCCGCTCATCAAGGTCTTCGCCTTCCTAAGTACTAATTGAAGTTCCACATGGAAACCCGGCAGATTGGCGCCTGCGATAAGATTTTAATTTGTCGGTTTCACGGTTTTTAGAGCGCCTTCGGTTCTAGGGATTGGCTACTGCGTACCTCATACACCATTATCAGCTTTTATCTAATCTACATACGAGAGTCTTAATGCTATCCAGGTCGCACATCTAAGCTAAACAAAAGGAAATCTCTAAAGACGGAGTAACTATGCAAGCGTACCGTGGACGCCATGATCAAAGGACAATCGATACAAAAGAAAGAAACGAACAAAGTGTGTACCGCCACAGGGGTATATGCATGATGATGCCAAGGCAGTGTTGGGTCATTTTAAAGAACAGATCGCGAAAGTCGCGACATTCACATACAGGTCATGAGAATTATGATCGGCACCATAGCTGCCGCTGGGAGATCAGACACCCACAATAGTCACTATTGCTTTAATGGGCTTGAGTTGGGCATTTGTCACATGGGTGGGGACAGCAGAGGACCGAATTATTGGAACACCCAGTGTCTGCAGAAACGTAAGATTCAACGTATACTTAAAACACGAATACTTACAAGAATGTCGCCATTCTGCAAGAGAGTTTGTTGTACTATTCGGATACCATTCACATACGTTCCATATGCGGTGTTTTGATCTCTTATCAGTACCTGGAATGCATCTTTTAGTGTCCGTCCGTCATATCCGAATACTCGTTCTGACCTGTTTATTTTGAAGCCAGATCTCTACATGTGGTGATGAAATGGACATTGAGCCACCCGGGGTGAACGTTGTCGGTCCCAGGGGAATCCTGACATTGCATGTGAACGACAACCTGATGGCCTCGAACGGACAACTGTCGGCCATTGGGGACAGAGTGAGGCAAGGGGCAACGCAGAAGTTCATCTGGAAGAGAGCTGCCAAAGTCGACGGTGGCGCTTGAACAAAATCCACCCATGCAATATATATATATATATTTGCGAACCCACATCTGAAAAAAAGGGTGCAAGCCCTGAGGTACAGTAGGCTACCACCAGGTTAGTATGGTTCTGGAATGATGACCCAACATAGGGATAAGACCCCAAATGCGATCATCATATCAAGATGCCCACGTTCCAGAAACTTGATGTGAACAGAGTACCGGTTCGCCTAGAATGATCGAGGTGCTACTAAATACTAACGGTTAATTCAGTTTACGGGTTAGTTGTGAGGTGGGGGATTGATTACGCGAGGAACTGCAGGCTGTGACTGATGGATGACTGGGTGGGAAGTGATGGTTTTCATTCCGCTACCTCGTGCGTTCAGCGCGTCGCCGCTCTGACTGCGCGTGCATTACACTGCTGAGTCCTGACTGCGACCATCGCTTTAAATAACGTCTTGAAACTGCAGCGAGAACTGTGGCAAACTCACATTTAACAGGTGCTTCGAATGGGAAGGTAGACATTAATTGCCCTCTCGCTGGCTCCAATCGTCGATGTTTCAGCATCGATGTCTACGTTATCTCAACAACTCGACGAAGAAGAAGACGACGAAGGCACCACCAACTTTATTGACATAATGGCGACCGAAGGTCCAACACACCATCTGCAGTGATTCTTGATAGAACCACTATACCAACTATGGCCAGCCTGTACGATGCCAAGCTATGATCCTCTATCGTGGAGATTCCGATTGACATTCCCGGCCCCGAAGATCGTACCTCACCCAAAAGGGCTTGGAGATGGTAAAAATGGACATGAGTTCGTGTACATTCGCAGAAGATGTTTTTCTTGGCAAGCAATATACCAAATATTAATAACCTGAATGACCCGAGACACCGAGGAAGTCGTGTAATGATGACCAGGTGTGATTACTGGCCCAGCGGTGGGATCAACCTAACCAAAGGTGACAAGAAGTGTGCCAGCACTGGCTGGCGCAGGGAGTAGTGATGAAAATACCGTCATCGGCGTCTTCCATCGCATGTGTATGTGAGGAGTCACTAGTCGCCTTGAGGCAGATCGATGAAGTGTGACTTTACATAGGGAATCGGATAACGTGACCGCAAGCAAGGTTTTGATTGGGTTTGAAATTCTGAAACTTTGTCTGACACTGGTCACTAGCAGGCAGCTGGTAGGTCCAAGTTCTGTTGGAACAACTTTGAAGGTCTGCCACATGTTCTGAGTGTTTTGCTAGTCGTTCAGGTTCCTGACAAGCTCACCGACTTGCTCAAACATCCTCACCTGATCAAAGTCTTCCCCTCTCTTCATTTTACACCCGAGCTTGCGCAACGTATTCTCACTCATGGAAGTCACAGGATGGCTGTCCATGGTCATAATGAACGTCTCAGCTCTGTAGGTAGGACAATTTGATCATCCATGATGTGTATTATTAACTACTTAATTTTATTTCTACCTATCTGGCAGGGTGTCGCGTGCTTGAGTCGTATTAATTGCTCTTCCTGCATTCAACCGCGCGGAATCAACATCACCATGGCTATGATCTTCTCGCGCTTTAAATACCTACCTCTTGGGCGAATACGTCGCTCCTCGGTGGTCCCTGGGTCGTATACTACGATTGGACCCTAACAGCTTCCCAAGATGTTTTACGGACCCACAGTCACCCACGGAAATTTGAAAGGTTCACCTCCGAAACAGCCAGAAGATGCTGGATTGGAAAACTCGTTAACGGCAAACCCTGGTAACACAAGAAGTGTGGGTCTTTACAAAGTCACGGGGGACGCGGTACAAGCTGTAATAGGCGCCATATAGTACGTTATCAGCCTCATGCTATATTACACAACGAGACTGAAATTTAGTGTTTGCGATCATCTATGCTAACACGTTAATTGTGTTAGGGTGGTTCTATGGGGTTCACGCTCGCATTCTGCCGCATATCCTGCTACCAAGGAAGGTCGAGGGTGTACCCGCAGAATTCCACCGGAAGGCATTAGTCCTTTGTGAGGTAGCAGGGTGGGAATCTGTTGGTTCAAGAACCCGTGTTGGAATGTAATCTTCCGGATCTTGAGGCTGTAGAAACCATCCAGCCAAAGGAAACTGCGTCAGCGTTTACTCTCGGTGGGTCTTGTTTTCAAATTATTTTTTTCTGTAGGGTGGCTAGTTTCTGATTTTTGACATTTCTCGTCCTGATTCATGTTCATGTTTCATATTGATTGCATTAATTGCAACGACAGTCTATAAGTCATACAGGCTTATCATGCTATGCGCTAAGCAGGGTTAACTATAACACAAACCCGTGTCATTTGCGGCTCCAACGGAGGTTTATCGGAAGGAGGCACAAACATTGATCGGCGACTGGCTGTGACCGTTAAGGTTTCCCCAATGCCGCCGGCCACATAGTGCCTGTGATAGTGATAAATTCGTTCTAGTTCTGGTAATCTATTTCCTCGTTGCAACCGCGTTGGCGCTGTTGCTGTAAAGCTTCATGATCAACGATTTGTGTAAGTTCGTTTGCTCCACACGCTAGATTAATCATCTGACGGGCTGCTGGGGATCCCAACAGCCCCAAACTTGTTTTCGTTCATTCACTCCATCTCCATCTAGTGTATCCCAGGCTGACGGCGATATTGAAATAGGTAATTATGCACAATGGTCTCCTGCTTATCACACGGTTCCGCCCGCCGATGTAACTTCTTCATACCCGTCGATCATCATGATCCGGCGTTGCCGATGGTTTGATTGCTACATTTTGGCGGCCTGGCCTACATTTGGGAGTGACATGAGGCCGCGGTTATGCTGAGACTAGCTTCAATCAAGACGATGCAGGATCATCTCAGCAGTATAAGTATATTGCATTGCTCCTCGGCCGCTCGTTGATCTTCTACCAGCATATAAATACTTCTGACGCAAAGGCGTCTACAGGCAAACCAGATCAAAGTTACCACGCAAGATGAAACGCGTAATGCGAGCCTGCTCTCGGACTTCTTCGCCCTATAAATCTCACTTGGGACCTGAGTCGTGCATGCCTGCCCTACAGATACATCCATAATAACGTTGTATTGGCGGATCTTGATGACGAGTACTAGTTGTGATGCGTGATCGGCGACCTTTGCTTACGACCCTGAGTTCTAGATGTTTTCGCTCCAAGGGCCCTGGTGGACGAATTGTCTCACAACAGCTAGCATCGACTCTCAACCGCTCAAGCGAAGAGAAACACAAGTAGAGGGACAACGTGACACCGAATGTATGTTTTCCCCGCATAGCATAGCAACACAACTCATGTTTTTGTAAGCGACCTCGCCTCCTTATGTGATCTCCACTCGCGGGAGAAGTGCCATAAGTCTCGGACGAGTATGCCGATTATCATCGCACCCCAATGTCTGAATTTAGGTGAACACTACACCCCTTGTTACGTGTCATTTTACGCAGTCCCCTTCCCGCATCCACCAATCCACACCGGTACATTGGGTTTCCCATCGACGTCTCCAGCAACTTTATCCAGCTTGTCCAGTACCTCAATTCCCGCTTTCAATTCCCCAAATGCCACATATTTGCCGTTCAATTTTGCGAGCTGCGTCTCGTCATCCGTGAGCACAACGAAGAACTGGGAAGAATTCGTATTTTTGCCGGAGTTGGCCATCGCCAGGGTTCCTCTTCTCATCTTGATCTTCAAGCCATCCCTTTCATCGTTGAATTTGCCTCCATATATCGACTAGGTGAAGTCAGAAAATTAACTAGTTATATTTCGAGCACGAACCTCGCCGCCACTGCCATCCCCCCTTGTAACATCGCCCCCCTGTGCCACAAAATCTCTCACGATGCGATGTATCGGGCATCCCAAGTAATATAGCTCTTTGTTACGTGCATTTTTACACTTTCCTTTCTCCCCCGTACATAGCGCAGTGAAATTGGTCGTCGTTTTTTTCAGAGAAGCCTCGGGGTTCAACTCAAAGACGAGGCGGACCGACACAAAGGGGCTCTGCGGGCATAAAGCGTAGTACATGTGATCGCTAACAACGATTAGAAGATGAATATCCTTGAATATGATAGCAGTAGAGCATCGGCAGAAATGCAAATACATCGATTTCTCTGAGCATTTCTTGTTGCTCTGATGATAGATGACGTGGATCGGATGGCAAGCCGTAGATTGCTGCATTATTAGCGAGCAAATTGCGAGTGGCAATGAATGCGGCTTCATCAAGTTTGTGCTGTCCTTCGTCTCCCATGAAAATATCGAGATAAACGGTGGAAGACATTTGCATAAAATTCGAGTGTTGCATTCATATCAGATCTGCAAAGTTGCAACTGCACATTCTTGCGTGACGTCACACGTCACGGTGGCATTACTCACCAACCATTGCAGCTCATGGCAGCAAGCGGTTAGAAGCGGATCTTTCTGTTCGCCACATTCCCGTCTGTTTTGCTCTGAAGCTGAGGACTGCTGCAAATTAGCATGGCTTCAGCGTACTATGAGTTTTACCGAGGGTCATCGTATGTTCCAGCGGTTTCCCTGATTGTTCGGGTGTTCACGGCTGCAGAATTGGAATGGCCCTGACAGACTCGCTGGACGAGCTTATCACGAGTGGTGCTATCACACCACAATTGGCCATGAAAGTCCTTCAACAGGTATTTACTGATTAAATGTCTATCAGTGAATGAGCGTTGACTAGAAATTCTAATAGTTTGACAAGTCGCTTGCGGACACGATGGTCAAGCAGGTGAAAACTAAGACTACCCTCAAGGTTCGTCCACTTCTAGTTGAAATGAAGTGACTTCTCACAACTTTGTTCCTTCCTTTAGGGCAACCTCCGGACATACCGTTTGTGCGATGATGTGTGGACGTTTATCGTAAAAAACCCGTCCTTCAAGATGGAGTCGAACGAAATGGTTTCAGCGCCTCGCATAAAAATAATTGCATGTAAAAATGGAGATGCCATTGAAGCAGGGAAGAAGTAGCCTAGGCCTATCTGACAGCTCGAGCATTCTCTTATGGCAGTTACTTCGTATCCATACAATGTTGTACTACCTTTCCACGCTGTTATTTCTCACTGGTCACGAACCGGTTGCCATGGATAGATAAGCAAATATTAGCTTCGATTCTGATACAAGTCTTTAAAATTGTTGCTTGATTAACTAGGCTTGGGTTATTGAGACTGGGTACCGATGGCCTGGATGAACGATGATACAACCCTAGTAGATAAAGCAGAAGACTCGGAAGATATGAGGGGCCCCGTCACTCCGCCATCCCCAAGGGCCATGGAGCCTTCAAAACCCACGTGGCCATATATGGGACTTGCCATCAGTTTCAGCTCATTCAACCTGTTGTTCCTGTCCCGCCTTTTCTCACCGTGATACATTCCACACTATCGTTCGCCATGACGCCTTCCGCATATTTGACCAATTATCCGGAACCACCAACAGACGCAGCTGTTGCTGATGCTCGCAGAGAGCTCCAAGCCCAGCAAGAGCAGCTCTTAGCGCTCTCGGACAAGATTGCATCTGCGGAAGACGCCCTGGCTCAAATTGTCGTCGAAAGAAAGCGCGCTATACGTGACCTACGACGCGAAAAGTTGGTATTGGAAGAGAAGGTCACATACACCAAGGCGTATATCTCTCCTATACGCCGGTTGCCACATGAACTACTCCGCCATATCTTCCTTTTCAACTTCGATGATCATCCTTGCTGTGCTTGGGTGCTTGCATCTATCTGCACGCTATGGCGAAGACTCACTCTGTCGATGCCGAGGCTGTGGTCCAAGGTGAGATGATGCAATTCTTCACTTGTCAACTTTGTTATTGCGTCATGGGATTTGGTATCGATGTCCTCATATGTGTGTGCGGCGGAGGCAGTTCCTGTCCTCGTACCTCGTTTTTGATCTACATCTTTCATATGTGATGTTAACTTTTTCACGCTAGATTAGACTTGTAACCAATCAAAGTGCAACCGCCGATACCATACGGCTTTGGCTGGAACGTTCTGGAGACAAGGTGCCACTCGATATCGAAATTTACTTGCGAGTAAACGGTGTGTCCAATGAGGGTTCATCGACCCGTACCCGACCTGCTTCACCCACGCCGTGGCTGCACCCGCCCAGTCCACCACCTCATTATGTGATCCCTCATCCTTCTGGAACAGCAATGCTCTTGCCTCCTGCCCATACTCCTATCATTGTCCCGCAGTCACCCTCGCACCACGACTCATGGGGGTCACCCCCTCCGCCTTCTTCAAGAAATACTCCACAAGCTCAACGGAATGCTCACTGGGGTCATATCGCAATATTCTACCTCATCGAGCAAATGTATCGATGGCAACGGTTTGTCTTCAGGTTCGACAGACAGTTTCCATCTATGTCTGCGCTGAAATCAATAGCTGGTACGTACCATGCTCAAAGCGATTCAATGTTGTTATTCAATGAGGGAGTAATAGGCGATGCTCCCATACTTAGAGAATTTGAAATCTCTTGTGCCGAAACTATTTATGCAAGTGAATGGCCATGGATACCGAGTTCAAGTCCAGCGACTAGTATGGCCCTTGGAAAACTAGAGTCACTGATGTTACACCACGTCCCATTCAAATGGTCATCGCCGATATTCAAGACTAATCTGCGGTCCCTTAACCTCCGTTCACTCCCATCGAATCATCTACCCTTGGATCGCATCATGCACATCATCGCCAGTAACCCAGATCTTGAATCACTCACCTTGCATTTTGCTGTTGCTCTGCCAGCTATTCTTCCCCTTGTCCAGACTTCATTATCTCGGCTTCGTGAACTCACCTTTGGCGGTCACTATCATATGTCGCAGCTAGCAGATTCCCTTGTACTTCCCTCCCTTGAGATACTCAACCTTGACGTAGAAGCTCGTGACCCGATAGAAGACACCATTACCAATCTCCTACAACGATCGAACAATCCACCGATTACCCGTCTTTCTGTCTCGTACGGCAGCACCTCGAGCTCGACGCTATATTATGGTCCAGGTGGAGTTGTCATCTCATGGGGGTTTTTAACGGACCTAAATCATCTGCAATCATTGAGCATAGGCGGGACGCCGCTCGAGCCATTTTTGTCGGCGCTTGGAATGCCCGACGAAGAACAGACCCACTGGGCGTGCCCGAATTTGACGACGGTGGCCATGAAAAGTTGTCATGCGCATTCTGACGGGATTGCGAAGCTAGTGCAGCTTGTGGAGGCTCGCAATCCAGAGTCGGGATCTGCGACAATGGTGAATGGAGTTATCCCGACGAGACTACAGCACCTAGAGTTGTATGATTGTGCAACACTGGGACAGGATGTAATAGAATGGCTGAAGAAGAGGGTAGATGAGGTTATTTGTACTGAGCCTTCTTCGTATGTAAGGTCTCCTTGAGGTTGTGTGACTTGAGCTGGTGTTGATATTATCTATTATGCAGGACTCGCGGCTCTAGCTGTTGTGGGTTAGTGGCATATTTTTGATTGTTGTACATACAGTGTTGTAATTCAGCGTAAACTTATTTTGGTTTTCACCTCGTCTTTTCGTAATCATAAGGCGGTGTATGTACTACTAGGTGTATCGCCGCTGCGGCAGTAGCCGCACTGCACTTGGCAGCGCCACGAAGATGGATGTGTGCCTGAGCAGCCTCGTGGAATGGCGACCGTGAACCCCTTCTAGCGATTTATTACCGCACGTAGTCTGAAGACTCGTTTCGTGTATTTTGGTTTTGAGTCTTGACTCGCACGATAAGCAACTGAGGTCGGCAAGAAAGGTTGATTGGTGATCAAGGAGATACGATTGGCCATACAGAGCTCGGATCGGAATTTCACAGAGCGATTCATCATCGATAATCAGATTAGTTTACTCATAGTGATGGTGTACTAGTTTAGTTCCAGGCGGCCTTGGTTTCGAAGTCTGTTTGATCGGGGTGCGCACTAGTCAGTGCTTGGCCTGCTACTTTATTACTTACTCGGGTAAGACCTCCGCTTCTAAGCTCTGGGCTCTAACAGATTCTGGATCTACTGGAGACTGCATGCTAGGTCCCTTGATAAACTGCATTGAACCTGCATGAATCGGCATTGATATCACTATTACATATGTGTAACTCACCGTACACATCATGATCCATACGCCACTAGATTGATACAGGGTTGACTCAATCGAGTGCACGGCGTCCAAGCTTTATATAGTGGAGCCAAATATATGAAAGACGATAAGTGCTGCGTATTCCGTAAACGATGAAATACACGCGGCGCCAAGGTGGAGTTTCTTCCGGGGAACCCAGAAACCTATAGGGTATAAAAACCCAATGGGTCTGTCCGGAGCAGGCTGACCGTATGCCCAACTGAACTGTACTCTGGTCCTCTGGCAGTAGTCAACGCCAGAGCCTGAAACAAGTGGATCATGCCTGTCCCTATTACCGAGGTGCACGGAAACAAGGCCAAATACGCAGCATTACCGAAAGCGATTACGAGCACATCAAGCAGGTACGTATAGAAACCTGATGCGCGTATCTGCTCCTTGATTTTGAATTGTCACTATCCAAGGTTCGCTCTCGACACTGTTGATTCCCCCTACAACTTGCGCCTGGCGCACTCGGACAAATTAAGCAGACCCTTTGTTCGCCTTGAACGTTTAGCGAAATCCGAGGTGACGATGCAGCGCAACGGCCACGGCGGCCATGTCGATGCTGTTGCGCAGGACACGCCTCTATTACCTGGTACTGTTCCATTGCCACAGGCATCGACCTCGTTGTCTGTTATTGAATGGGATTGGGATGTTGAACACCACGACCGACGGCTCGAGGCTAAAGCAGATGCAGCACTACATGGCGCACAACCCTTTCAAGTCGATCGAAGAGTTCTTAAAGACGTCGTACGAGAGATGACAGGCTGTGAAGTCGGGAGAATACATTTCTTGAGTTCTGGTACGTCGTCGTCGTCTTCTAGCACTGCCAAGACTCTAAATTACGACCTTAGGAACTTTCCATAAGGCGAGTACATAGCTCAATGTGGGGTCACCCTATTTATTTTTACGTTCTTGTTTGCGGTAGGCATATCTTGTTACTCTTGTTGACACGCGCGAGCTGGTTGCTCGCGTTGCTCGTCGGTTCATGCCTCGCCTCAAAACCGAGTCTGAGGTGGCTACTATGCACTACCTTCGCGAACAGACATCCATTCCTGTTCCAGATGTCTATTACTATGATGCAAATCCCTACAATCGCCTAGGGGGCGAGTATATCCTCATGTCGAAGGTACGTCTTATCAAATCGTTGTCATGTCGAGTGCCTTGAGGTCTCATACCATATTAGGCAAAAGGAGTTCCCCTGTCACGCGTATACCACTCGCTCTCTAATGAAGAACTGAAATCTCTGTTTGCAAATGTTGCGGCTATCATAGTGCCCCTGTTCGCACAGCGTTTCTCACACATCGGATCACTATACCTAGAGGGCGCAGGCACGGGCGCACCAACACCTCTCTCGGTCGGGTCATCAAATTCTCCGACACCAACCGCGACGCGTCCTACAATTAACGGTTTTAAATTCATGCCATTGTTGTCCATGAGCTCCTTTTCCAATGCCACAGGACCCATGGTCAGAACATTCTTACGTCCAACTTTGGCTAGAGACTCTCATATTGGTCCTATCGTATCATGGCCCTTCTTCGGATCAAATCGCGGGGACCTCTCCCATCCAGATGAGATTGACCGTGGTCCGTGGTCTAGTACTCATTCATATCTTGCTTCGTGCGTTGATCGGGAGGTCCGGGGCGTAGTTCTTGAGAATGAGGGCAAGTCGGCACCGCACCGGCTACATCTTGACCCGGATGAAATTCAATCTTCCCGGCATCACCACTTGAACGCAGTACCCGGCGATCAGAGTGACGACAGTGATGAGTGGGACGCACAGGAGAGTGAGGAGGAATGGGATGGACCTGGTGATGGCATGTACAGGGATTACAGGCGCATGCAGAGAAGCACGTTCCTAATTGCCCACATCATGCGACGGGAAGAATCTGTGCGAAAGGAGATGGGTCGCTGGATGCGCATGATGGAACGACTCGGGGCATGCGCGGATCATTCTGGGGAGACAGAAGAGTTTGGCCTGGATTGCCACGACATAAGCCTGGAGAACGTGTTTGTCAACGAAAACAACCCCACGGAAATAGTAAGTTTTGCCTACTTGCATGTGTTTTCCGTTCTGATTAGTGATCCTAAACAGACAGTGTGTTATTGACTGGGAATCCACAACTACCCGACCACTCTGGGCATGTGCGCATCTTCCAACCTTCCTGCAATCCAGTCCGTTCACGACTCGTATGTTCCGAGAAGCGGTCGAGGATTTGGCTCGTGACCAAGCCCCTCGGCCAACACACCCAGGAAAGAACAATGGTAAACCCGTGAATGTTGTTGCGGTCGCAAAAGAGTGGCTGCATTACGAAGCCATCGGTGCACGGCTGCGCATGGCTCACAGATGTGCCGAATGGGACGGATGGGAGGAAGGCCTCGTCGATAGTATACTTGGGCCTGAGGACACTGAGGATGAATGGTTCAAAGATGCCGAGTGCACTGCAGATGCGCTGTCTACCTCAAGCGTGCCTGTGTATGCAGAGAGCCAAGCGAGCAGCTGCGGGGCTGATTCCGGTGCTCTGCATGCTGCATCATTCAAGCGGCGAAAGAAGGCTGGGCACATACCCCTGAAGAAGGAACGGGAGAAGGAGCAGATGCTGAATACCACTGGTGATATTTGTGGTGGGCGGGGCGGAGAGCTGGGGCGTAGACTTGAGGCCTGGCTTAGCGTCAACGGGGACGGGACGAGGAAGAATTGGGACGAGGAGTATGATGCGGAGGCAGAGTGAATTGGTCGTGTTTTGGACTGTTTCTTCGGTATGTAGATTGGATCTCGGTGGGTGAATTATGCTATGCTACGCCTGGACTTAATACTGTACGATACACACCCTTACACACTGTCGCACATACTTGCATTTGTCACACATTCTTTTACCTTTACCCTTTGCCAAGGCTTCGTCTGCTCGTTGTCAATTGATAATTGTATACAACTCGACACATGGGCGTTGACTGCTTGATAGCTCGTTCACTGGAAAATACTGAGAGTGCTTCGAGTGCGAACTACCCTCCGAGCCTTGCAATGCTCAATGTTTGAGGCAGTGACTCGGAGGCTCGACCCCTGAGTTGTGATACTGTCGCGTGGAGGTAATCAACTTTCAACTTTTCACTCAACTACCTGGAGCAGAATTGAACAGACTTTGCCACTAAGCTTCCTGCTGTAGAGCCCCCCAAAACCATGATTCAGAATATCTTCAGTCTAGAGATAGGCTTCGTAACATTACAGTCACTCACCGATTATATATGTGTCAGGTCTCCAACAGACCCCCAATTTGGTGTCGAGATGCAATCAGATTCGAAGATTGTTTGAGATACACATCTCCGATTTCGACTGATACGTTGGCACCCATACCTATCAGCGTCATCTGCGAGAAGCTAACCTGATCAGCAACTCCGTATCCTCCATATCGTCTAATACTACATCCTCCAAGATCAACACCCCTCTCCTACCTAATAATTTGCTCTTGTGCTATAGACGACGACACCGGGACCCGCACCATTGCCTTTAGATATGACATCCATTGGGTAATCGCTGACTGTGATTTGTGAACGGACGACGTTGACCTCCAATGATCTAGAGTGGGATGATGAATATTTCCCAGATGATCCAAGCTTGGAACAAGAGCGTCCAAGACCGGCACGGACGATAATAAGGAGAGGGGACATTGTCTATATTTAAACTTTGATCAGTCATCACATTTGTCAACGCTCGGAAACTGGGGACTTACAGCGACTTGTATTGCAATACTGATTGCTACGTCCCCGCAATATTACCTGCTGCCCATAAACAGAACATCACGCATGGACAAGTTGTTATGAGCGCCCCAATCTGATTCCATGATTGCCATGACGGTGCTTCTGTACCTGAAGTAACTAGTCAGAGCAGCTGTCTGTTGTCCTGTTCGCCAGATGTGGTACATGATACCAGCAGTTACTGTAGCATTTAAGATCATCTCGAGTGACTATCCAGACAATGCGAAAACTCGAAAAGTATGTGAAAAGATGCTGGCGTTTTTAGGTGCGAGCAAGGTGACGGCGATAGAAGCGGTAGCTGTGAGAAGTCACGTTCACATGGTAATGCAGCGAATAGAATATGGATGCGTTCTACAGCGAGCTATCCATATAATGAGCTAAAGAAGCGTTCAGTATCATTAGCAGTGTTCAAATCTTGCAATCTGGATTACTGGTAGAATGCAAACTTTGAAATTCTGATTCCAGACGACGTAGAGTCTCCATATATTTGAAAGAGTCATGCATGAGAAAATGTACGTACTCTCTTCCTGCATGTACTGACCAAAAGCAGTTCTTGAGCAAATGATTGCATCGACAACTATTTCATTCAAAGTCAAGCCAGCAGGGTAAAATTTCAGACTCACATTGGCGATGTAGACTGACTGACTGACTGACTAAGGAAATGTGGTTTTCTTTGGTGGCAGCAATCGTTGTATTCGTGAATCCAATCGTCGCTTGCACAAACATCAATGTCACATGCGCAGTTGCCATCGCGAATTGGAAGGAGGCAGCAAAGAGCAGAAGCCTGCTATAAAAAAATCTGGGCGCAGACGAGAGGACAGTCGTGAATGTTCTGGACTTCCGATTGAGATGATGCAAACACATGCACCGAATAACATACAACAATGATTTTTTATTCAGGTTCACCCATGCCTCATGCGAAGTGAACGAAAGTGAACGAATTACTTGACTTCTGTAGAAGAGTTCAGCATTTGCAATTCCCACCGAAGTGTCCACTCTACCGTAAAGTATGGCCTCTAGCCATGTGCACGTGAGATTCATCTGGGCAAGCGTCCGCACAGAAGACACTCTACTTGCTGAAATTGAAAGAGTAGGGGGCCTTTATTAGTAGTTCCATCAACAGAACTTTTATAGCGGCTGCGGTAGGGTGGCAGGTTTTGATCGCCGTCGACCCAATGTTGTTAGACGCAATAGCACTGTAATAGACTTCCACTTGTTCCAATGGTTCGAAAGCAGGGAAGCGTGTAATGGGTTACTACCGATTTCACACTACACGCATCTCTTCCAGGAAGTATGACACCGCATCACTATTTGAATTAGTATCTATTCAGACACCGTTCATCAGAGGCTATGCATGGATTTGAGAATCGTATTGTTGTGTAATTGTATATCAATACCGCGACTCACAAGGTGATTTATTCTGACAAGGCTGCGGCCCAGAAGTTAGTTTGTTGGTTTCGTGAATAGTTGTCACCCACACAGATGGAATGCTGCATACTCGTCAACTGAATTCATGGCCGGATGTCACTCACTAAGAGATCGTCGATCATCAAAGCGCTAGTGATCGGATGTAACCACAAACCCTGCAGCTACCAGTAATATGCATCTGTTCTCTTGAATGATTTTGACGTCTCCCAGTTCATTACGAAGAAATTGAACCGTTATTTGTGGTGTTGCAGAACACCGTATAATAGGACAGCGTTATTCGAATTATAATATCCGGTCAGACACCACAGATTTCTGGGGTGTGTAACGAACACAATTGAAAACTCGTTCTCGCCGATTCGTATTTTCTTTTGGGGGATTGGCCTAGCGTTCTGCGAACGGCTGTAATGGTTGAGCAGGGTTTTTCAATATTGAACAGACTGAAAGATAAGTCAGATATCTAAGTGACTGTTTGATCATGACATGTACCCGTGTCGTTAGGTCAATTTTGAATGATAAATGGAAAATGCCGTAAAATGTTTCCGACATCATCAGGGGCTGACCAAGACCTAACCCACGTTGACCCACGATTCACCCGGCATTCTTAGTAAGTTAACCTAAACCTAATGCCAGTGTCCGACAGCTCTTCCGAGTCTCTATTCTGAGAATGTTATATCTTCGACCCATTCACTGATGGATGGATTCAATATCCCTCGCTCATAACTATGTCTCAGGTCGCTGAAATCCAATACTACCACCACGGGCGTTTCCGTGTTGCTGGTGGTATGCTGCCTGATGCCATCACTGCATACCAGACATTCGGCGACCCAAAAAACCCAGTTATCGTATTTCCTACATGTTATATGGGAAAGCTTGACAGTGAGTCTTCCGAAGTACTTATCATACGATGGCTTGAATTAAAAAAATTATTAGGTCAAAGTTACATGGTAGGGGAAAACAAGGTAATGCCATGTAGCTTGATCTTGATTTTCCGACCGACGCCAGCGATAGGTTTTGGATCCGCGCAAGTACTATGTGGTGACCATTGCCTTATTTTCCAATGGAGAGGTATGCTACATGATGTAAAGATGGCGTGGTCAGGCTCAGCTCACCTGTTGTTTTAGTCTTCTTCACCCTCTAACACAGTAAGTTTCCTCAGAGCACTGTCTGGCACAATAATTCATAATGACGGTAGCCTGTGCCATACAACGGCCCCTACTTCCCTACCGTCACATACGAAGACAACGTGTGAGTTTGTTCCATCTTAGATAGTCGAGGTTGCCGACATAGTTCAGCCGGGCACAGTACGCTGTGCTTACCCAGAAGCTCGGTGTCAAGAAAGTATTCTGCGTGATTGGATTTTCAATGGGCGCGCAGCAGGTAAATGCGTTCGAAAAGAGTTACGATGGTTTTGTTGAGGCATTGCAGGCATACTATTGGTCTGTCATGTATCCTGACTTCCTTGAAAGGTATGTTTTTGACGACTGCGAGCAGCTCTTTTTTTAACCACGATCAAGATACATCCCCATCTGTGGATCTGCTCGAACCAGCCCTCACAATCAATGGTACCTTTAGACACCTTACATTTGTGTCTGTGTTGATCCGACCACAGCATCTTAGAAGGTCCTAAAGCTGCTCTTTCAGCCTCAAAAGACTTCCAGGATGGCCACTACAAGAGCATTCCTCAGCATGGTATCCGGGCATTTGGCCGTGTATTGAACGCATGGGCACATAGCCAGGCGGTGAGGTTCCGCACCTCTAGCTGACTGACATACTGAAGTTGGCGCAGTGGTATGCCAAGAAAGGTTTTCTCTTCAACGGAAAGTGTGTCATTTATTGTATTGCACTCTCTATTTTCTTGATAGGACCACTAGATACACGAACCTCAACGACTTCTTAAGAGAGGACTGTGAAGGCGGTCTCCTGGAGTGGGACGCCAATGATTTATTGACACTCTTGAACACATGGCAAATGGGGGACGTATCTCTCATCCGTGATGGAAGTCAGTTCGCGGACTGTCTAGGAGCCATCAAGGCTAGAGGTCTGATTATGCCTTGCAAGAAAGACCTGTACTTCGCTGTAAGTCGTTTCACCTTTGTTACTTGGGTTTAGGTTGATGGCTCCTTGGATAGCCGGAGGACAGTCAGAATGAGATAAAATTCTTGAACAATGCAAGGCTAGTTATTATCGATTCTGAGTGGGGTCATGTGGGTGAGTTTGTCGGGCTTTATTTGCTTTGAACTACACCTTGTTGATATTCTGTAGCTGGGGCAGGGGCAAACGTGCATGATGATGTGTTCATTCAAGCAGAGGTGATGAAATTTTTGGAGGAACCTTAAGTTCTACTTGGTGTCAATAAGTGTTGTTTTCGTCCTCAGTGGCTTAGTTGGCGGTTTTATGGCTCTGGGTCCTTAGTCTCAAAAAAGTTTGATTCTGCATAATTATGGAAAGCACTGTATGTGTTTTGTATTCATTAGTGTCTGCGAGACCTACGAGGTGCCTACGAAAGCCTGAGTTGAGTTGTCTAGCCTGCCTAAATGAATTTCGCGTTTTCCTGATATTCGCTTATACTTACTACTATCCCGACCTTCATCATGCGCAAGCTTAGCCTATGGAGGAGTTCCCCAATATGACAAGTTGAACACACATCGGGGTTTTCGATATTTAGGAGAGGTTTATATGTTGTACAAAATGCAAAGAAAATATTTGAAATTTAAACCAACATAAAAATAGGTACACAACTTGAAAATTTGCCTGTGTTTTATGTGTAATCCAAAATATCAAGCATCCGCAACCATATTCCCACGGACAATATGTCAACAAATATAAGAAATATGATCAGATTTTATATGCCTGCTTCAATTTAAAGTTTAATCTTCACATAAAACTTTGGACAAAACTTGAAATTTAGATGGGACAATATGCTTGCCAATATATCAAGTTTTGCCTGACAATTAGATGTCCCTCAAAATTTCAAGTTTACACTGGCGACAAAATGTCGTGACAAAGCTTCAAGTTTTGTGCACAGATGAAATAAATTGTCCAATCATTGCCCACCCATTACTCAATTGTAGCCTGCTCATGGTCTGAATTCATCACCTGGTGTGGCAATACACACATAATAAATCAGTACAGACCTGGTGGACAAGTGCAAGTGGGGAGAAGTATCAGAGTTTTTTAAATATTGGAGTACAAGTGGAAGAGGATTCAGCGGTGACATGGGTACATTATGTCAGAAATAATTGTAATATCCAAATGGTTGGGATGCTCTGGGCAGTCAAAAGTGAGCCTCTCAGATGATATCTTTTTGGGCCTGAGACCAACTTCTCCAATGTGGTTGAAGAATCATAAACAAGGACTGCAGCAGAGCTATATGTAAAACATGAGTTTAATGCTCAATGCAGCTCTGTAAGTGGCACTCACCAAGGGGTGTTGATATGAATACTTGTACCAATGTGGTACCCATACCCACCATGCCTGCGCCTACTTCCATCCCCACATGCATATTGTGAGGGAACAGGTGGAGTCATTGGCCTGGTACCAGAATTGGCAACAATGATGGCATGAGATGCCCGGAGATGCAGATGGCATCTAAGTTTGAGAAGGCATCTTGGAGAAAGTACCTGGAATGTTAGAAGCACTTGTGGCAGGCAACAAGTGAGATTTGTCAAATGGTCTTTGCAACTTAACTTCATGGAGAGTGAATGAAATAACTCAAAGCAACAGTACAAACTGTTGATTATGAGGGGTACTGGAGGTTGAGGACTGTGGATGGAAGCAAGCAGAGTGATTCTGAATGACAGTCCAAATGATGGTTAAGATTTTAAGGACAGTCAGCAGTCATGAGTTGGGAGGTAATTGTACAAACCATTTCCCTGAGTGTGATTGTGTTATTCAGCAAGGGTAATGATCAAGGAGATAACATCAGTCTGATAACACAGTTGTAGAGCACAATGTACATAGCAAAAAACAACATGAGAGAATAGGTACAACTACACATCTGAGTCTGTCCAAACTAAGCAAGACATCAGAAGTATGAAGGAGGTTGGTTAAGGAACTACTCTTACCAAGCGCCTTGTTTAACAGGAATTCATAACAGGCCCATACTAACACAGGGTGGGATGGGACAAGTGGATACCATGGGCATGTCTCATACGCCCATTGGGTAGTAAACATCTTCATGTCGCCCTCTTCATTGGGGTGGGACTGATCAGGAATTGTTGCAGGAAGCGAGTGTGTTGTGAGAGAGGTGAAAACTTTCAGAGTTGTGTACAAAACATGGAGTTGTTTAGGACACATGGCAGGTAGTCTTGTTGGTATGGGGTGGGCGATGGGTGAGATACAGTGGCTCAAAAAAGTGTCTCAATGTTTGTGACTTTTCATGTAATTGCTGTATTATGAGCCAGGGCGTGAGAATATGACTAAGCCATAGGGAGGTGTGGGAAAGCTCTGCTTCTAAGCTTCATGTTTGATTCCTATAGCATGGGAAGATTATGTCATCAAGTGAAGATATGGTTAATTTAATTTGGTGACTCATTGAGACACTTTTTTGACTTTCAGTTTGGCCAACACAATCTCTATAATTCTAGTACTTGGTGCTTCCTCCTGTTGCTCTAATTACTTCCACCACTCTTCTATGCATACTATCTATCAATTTGAGGCATTCCTTATCAACAATCTTGCCCCACTCTGCTGCACCTCTCTCCCACAGCCAAAATAACCCCTAAAGAGTGGTGGAAGTAATTAGAGCAACAGGAGGAAGCACCAAGTACTAGAATTATAGAGATTGTGTTGGCCAAACTGAAAGTCAAAAAAGTGTCTCAATGAGTCACCAAATTAAATTAACCATATCTTCACTTGATGACATAATCTTCCCATGCTATAGGAATCAAACATGAAGCTTAGAAGCAGAGCTTTCCCACACCTCCCTATGGCTTAGTCATATTCTCACGCCCTGGCTCATAATACAGCAATTACATGAAAAGTCACAAACATTGAGACACTTTTTTGAGCCACTGTATCTCACCCATCGCCCACCCCATACCAACAAGACTACCTGCCATGTGTCCTAAACAACTCCATGTTTTTGTACACAACTCTGAAAGTTTTCACCTCTCTCACAACACACTCGCTTCCTGCAACAATTCCTGATCAGTCCCACCCCAATGAAGAGGGCGACATGAAGATGTTTACTACCCAATGGGCGTATGAGACATGCCCATGGTATCCACTTGTCCCATCCCACCCTGTGTTAGTATGGGCCTGTTATGAATTCCTGTTAAACAAGGCGCTTGGTAAGAGTAGTTCCTTAACCAACCTCCTTCATACTTCTGATGTCTTGCTTAGTTTGGACAGACTCAGATGTGTAGTTGTACCTATTCTCTCATGTTGTTTTTTGCTATGTACATTGTGCTCTACAACTGTGTTATCAGACTGATGTTATCTCCTTGATCATTACCCTCGCTGAATAACACAATCACACTCAGGGAAATGGTTTGTACAATTACCTCCCAACTCATGACTGCTGACTGTCCTTAAAATCTTAACCATCATTTGGACTGTCATTCAGAATCACTCTGCTTGCTTCCATCCACAGTCCTCAACCTCCAGTACCCCTCATAATCAACAGTTTGTACTGTTGCTTTGAGTTATTTCATTCACTCTCCATGAAGTTAAGTTGCAAAGACCATTTGACAAATCTCACTTGTTGCCTGCCACAAGTGCTTCTAACATTCCAGGTACTTTCTCCAAGATGCCTTCTCAAACTTAGATGCCATCTGCATCTCCGGGCATCTCATGCCATCATTGTTGCCAATTCTGGTACCAGGCCAATGACTCCACCTGTTCCCTCACAATATGCATGTGGGGATGGAAGTAGGCGCAGGCATGGTGGGTATGGGTACCACATTGGTACAAGTATTCATATCAACACCCCTTGGTGAGTGCCACTTACAGAGCTGCATTGAGCATTAAACTCATGTTTTACATATAGCTCTGCTGCAGTCCTTGTTTATGATTCTTCAACCACATTGGAGAAGTTGGTCTCAGGCCCAAAAAGATATCATCTGAGAGGCTCACTTTTGACTGCCCAGAGCATCCCAACCATTTGGATATTACAATTATTTCTGACATAATGTACCCATGTCACCGCTGAATCCTCTTCCACTTGTACTCCAATATTTAAAAAACTCTGATACTTCTCCCCACTTGCACTTGTCCACCAGGTCTGTACTGATTTATTATGTGTGTATTGCCACACCAGGTGATGAATTCAGACCATGAGCAGGCTACAATTGAGTAATGGGTGGGCAATGATTGGACAATTTATTTCATCTGTGCACAAAACTTGAAGCTTTGTCACGACATTTTGTCGCCAGTGTAAACTTGAAATTTTGAGGGACATCTAATTGTCAGGCAAAACTTGATATATTGGCAAGCATATTGTCCCATCTAAATTTCAAGTTTTGTCCAAAGTTTTATGTGAAGATTAAACTTTAAATTGAAGCAGGCATATAAAATCTGATCATATTTCTTATATTTGTTGACATATTGTCCGTGGGAATATGGTTGCGGATGCTTGATATTTTGGATTACACATAAAACACAGGCAAATTTTCAAGTTGTGTACCTATTTTTATGTTGGTTTAAATTTCAAATATTTTCTTTGCATTTTGTACAACATATAAACCTCTCCTAAATATTCGATAACCCCGATGTGACACCTTGCAGTAGCCGCTCGTGTTCGGATCCTGATTCCTCAGACTCCGACTCGCAGACTCACTTCATGAATTGAACTTATAATAGTATCTGCCAGCATGGGGTTGATACTTCTACTCGGCTCGTTGGCAGATGCCAGAAAATCTTCCCCGGGTCCACCCTAAACATCTTTCCTTCTTCTTTCTCATTCCACTCGCGAAGTTCGAGACGGTGCAACACTTTTCCAGACTCTGATTGTGGAGGAATGATTATAAACCACCTTCCCTTCAGCCTGTCAAACAATTTCAAACTCCTATGTCGCACACCCTTAAAGGCCACCCTATCAGAACAGAATTCGGATGTAGTAGGATGTAGAAGTTCTAACTTCTCAATCATTGGCAGAGAAATTCCAACCGCAAGGTCAATCTTGATCAAGACAGTCAACTGGTCATGTCATCTGACAATTTTCGAAGTAGTTCTGAGGTCCTCCCGAGTTGAGATGTATTTTGACCACACTTCGAGCCGATCAGAACCAAAATGACCTCAGTCATGGATCGTCATGGTAATATGGAAGCAAGGACCTCATCCGCGAAGTTGATAAAGGCGTAAGTATCTTACCACTCATGCTCGTGATACGTTTCTGACATTGACAGTTAGGAGGAGCCGGTAATCGCCTGCCTAGTAGTACTATGTAACGCTGAGCACTTGGCTCAGCAGACACTATCGCTATAGGATGCATCAACTTACAAATACGATTACTTGCACGGCTCTAGTTGAAGACTGGCATGGGCCAAATGGGACATGTAAGTACTTTGGCTGCGTTCCCAATTTCCGTAAGTGACATTGCCAAATAGAAGCAGCATATCTGGGACGGCATAGTTCCGACTGGTGACCGTGTTCTGATTGTCGCTGGTTATTTCATATCCAATCTCTGCAAGTGCCAGAACAACGTCCTGACCACATTCACATAAGTCTTGGAACTGATTTCTAGTGTAGGTCGTGTTGACACTGACCAATGAAAATAGATCACAATTCAGGCTCACCGGATTGAGTTTGCTGGAGGAATCATAATGGGCGGCCGATCTGGGGTCACGTCTGGGGTCAAGTTTGATGCCCCTGACTTTGGCCCAGACTTGGCCTCAGACGGTCATTTCAAAGAGTTCATCGAAGCAACGGTGCGTGTTCCTTTTCAAATGTTCCTTGCGGTCACAGAATTGGCCAATCCTTCTCATTCTCCGAATGAAAAGCACAATATATAAGGTGGGTTTCAAGTTTGTTCACACTAGACGAGTCTTATCCAATACATCCTATCTTCAATACCACTTGCGCTTACCATGGATTTTGGAGGAGACGTGCTAGGCTACTGGGGTCGAAACATCATTGAAGAATACGATGGTGTTCTTCTCAAAAAGCTTCCTGGACTCTCCAGGGTTGGTCGTCAACAGACCCCGCAACTACCGCTTTCCAAGGTTGGCTTTCGCAAGACGGACAACCCAGTTGGAATTTTAGGCGCAGGAGTTGGTGGTCTATATACCGCCCTCATGCTAGATTCGTTGGACATCAAGTATGAGATCTTGGAGGCGTCGGACCGCACCGGCGGCCGCCTCTTCACCTACAAGTTTCCGGATAGCAAAGAATATGATTACTACGTATGTCACTCATTTAATGCTGCTGCGTCAATGATGCTTATCATGTAATCTCTATTCTCTCCCGCCAACTAGGATGTTGGTGCCATGAGATTTCCCTTGCCGCAGAAGGACAGTGACGGCAATTACAAGACCGGTATTATGAAGCGCTTGGGCGAGTTAATCAACTACCCAAAGCTCAACGACGGTCAAGTACCTTTAAAGTCCACACTTATCGACTACTATTACAAGGCGAGGGCAGGAGGATCTTTCCTCTACTTCAACAATGAACGTTACCAAGTCTCTGACACATCGCACCCTCCTGACTTTCGTGCCCGGGAAATGGGTGTTGAGTCCGAGTATGTCGCAGTGGGAGTAGAGAAGATTGTTGACGACGTCGTTGAACCATTCTCCCGTATGCTCATAAACGATTTGGAGAAGCAGGTCCACAAGGGGTGGGACGTCATGAAGGAGAATGACTGCATACTCGCTTCGCGCATACATGTCGTTCAAGTACATTCCCAGCGTCAGCCTCGAACTCCCGCCCATGCATCTTGCCACCAGCGTTATCAATTGGTGCGAGACATTCGACAACAGCACCGGCTCGTATGACCGCGGTTTGACTGAAGCGGTTCTCGAGTCGCTGGCGTTCGCAAAGGCCGGGTCGGAAATCATCGGAGACGTAGAATGGAAGTGCTTCAAGTAAGCGCGTCTGTTGTCTCCGAACTCATGCTTACACTTTCCCGTACCTAGAGGCGGTTCTCACGTACTCATCGACTATATGACGAACTACATCACTGCTAACGGTAACAATGATCTCATCAAGTTCAATAAAAGCGTCACGAGCATCTCTCAGGGAGGTGAAGACACCATGGAGGTTTCTGTGAGGGGCGGACCCAGCCGCACATATTCACATGTTATATCGACCATCCCTCTGCCGTGCCTGCGCACGATTGACCTCTCTGGTGCTGGTTTAAACGTGATGCAGAAAAACGCATTGCGCAAGCTACAGTACGGTCCTTCAATCAAAGTCGGGGTCCGCTTCCAATCAGCCTGGTGGACGGATCGATTCGGTATCGTAGGAGGCCAATCGTTCACTGACCTTCCCATTCGAACTATCGTCTACCCTTCTTACGGGGTCGATTCTGCCTCACCATCCACAGTGCTGATCGCGAGCTACTGTTGGACAAATGATGCAGAACGCTTGGGAGCGCTCATCGGCACCGGTAAACATGGAATACATTGAGCAACTAAAGGAACTCGTGCTGCGCAATCTCGCAGAAGTACACAATATCACTTACAGTTTCTTGTCGGATCAGTACTTGGACATATATGCATGGGACTGGAACTACGACCCGCTCACCATGGGTAAGTCTGTAAATATTGATGTGATCCAATTGATGCTCACTCGCTTCGCTACAGGTGCCTTTGCGTACTTTGGGCCTGGAGATTTCCAGGATTTATACACGGCGCTCAGTGTTCCAAATGCCAATAAGAGGTTCCATTTCGCTGGAGAGGCCATCAGCACCCGTCATGCGTGAGTGAAAAGCAGTCGTGCTTGGGATGATTACAATTCAATGTCACCTACAGGTGGGTTGTTGGTGCGTTGGACAGTGCATGGCGCGCAGGTGTACGAATACCTGCTCGCTTCTGGACAGCCTCAAACTACTATTGAAAAATTCTTCAATTTATGGGGCAAGAACATCGAGTGGGTAGGCCCATCATCCTGGTATGTTGATGAGGGGCGGAGTACAGAGGATCCAAACACGAACACCATGTTACGAGTCCACATGGCATGCACATATGCTGGTGAAACATCTGGGGAGGTGAAGTTCTGAACAAGACGTAGTGATTAGCTAGGTAACATTGACTGAAGTTGTAACATCACTCGCCTTGTACTATCATTGATGACTTGTTTGCTCCTAGGAACTAAAATACATCGTGTGTGTCTGATCGTTAACTTTTGAGTACTAGTTGTGCCAATTCGCGAAGCACTGAATCTTTGAGACTTTGTATCGCATCGTATTTGATGAGTCAACTGCAGTCTTATTATTTGAATGACCGTCTTCTCAGACTCGTCTAAACTAGATCCACGAGGAGGATGCAAATCCAAATTTCATTCTCTGACCAGGAAACATCAAGACCCGACAAGTCTACTAGTCCCTTCCAACAAAATCTCGTACCCTTCTCAAAGACGCGACACTCCTACATAGAATCTTACATTGATACGCAAACTGGGGGCTGAAGTATGCTATGAATCTCTCACAAATTAGCTAAGCACTTGAAGGTGGCTGCCAGACCCTATTACTGATTTCTCCTAATGTAACTCAGCGTATGGAATCAGGACGGTATCTGCTAATTGATTGCTCATCCGTATGCAAGATATTGTGAGCGTCTCGGGTTCCATCCACCTCCACAACTGGGTTTGTCCATCACGCTGTCACAGAAAGAACAAAAAGGCCATCACACATGTGATAAGATAAGTATGTCGGGATATCTTGAGAAATTTACGGATACGTTAATAGTGGCGGAATGAGTACTGAGTGGCGGTTGGTCTGGAACTGCAGCGTCGTTATGATATTGCAAAACGTGGTTGAGGACAGGGGTGCCTCAGGGGGGCGAATCGTACCATGATCGATATCGGTGATAGGCAATGTCCCAGACCCCAAACTTCAGGCCAATCAGCAGGTCGTTCCAATCAGGGCGGAAAGTAATGACAGAGTCTTGAAGGGCAGCAATGTCACTGCCCGGAGCCGCCTCCTGGCAGACAGTTGCAATACGGTCCCGCATCATTACCACGCCCTTCTCGATCATGGTGTCGGCCACATCCATATCTCGGTTTGGAAACAATGTCTGCAGGAAAGCCATCAATAAGGCGAACCTAATGAGTGTTTGCAGATACTTACTACACCACACGCCTGCAGTTCACTGTTATCAACAACGATGTTGAATCGGTTCATTCCCCCGGACCCAAACGTGAAATCGAACAGAGGCGAGGTGACAGCATGTATGGCCTGCGATCACGATGGGTTGATCGTGAGATCGTACTGCATCCCCTTGAAGCGAATGAAACGAAGAAACTGAGCGAGGTGATGTCTCCTGGCATAGCATCTGCCATGCATGCTTCAGACATACGTTCAGGCGAGCGATATGGTTGATGTTCATCAATCACAACCAATATGACCATCAAAGACTTCTGGATTACCGGCGATCTCATATTTAATTTTCCGAAGAACTGAATCTGTGTCCTGTGCAAATGCACATTCCCCGATGACAAGGACCCCATGACTCCGATAATTCTCAGTTACCGCATCCATTCGAATTGCCATGTCTGGAATGGCCGATGCAGATAGCTGAAAGTTCATGGATATCGTGGTAAGCACGGGGTTGTCGTCGTGAACGAAGTCATGCAAAAGAAAGATTGAACTCAAGTGTTCGAATGGAGCTTCGTGTATGAGAATGCGCCTTTCGACGAGAAGGATGTGATCGTCCCTGAAGTAACTCCATCTGCAAAAAGTTGGTACATTACTAGTGGCGAGAAGTGATCCATCCACCTTACCTTGGTCTTGCTGATAACCATAGCCAATTCGAGTCGATGATGTGCGATACTGTTGAGTATACCTGACGATCAACATCAAAAAACTCCTGTTACGATAATCAAATGATTGCTTGCACTCCGCTCATGAATTCAAGCATACCGCATACTCTTCCTCAGCGTTTGGCTCGGTGGCGCATCATGATATGTTTATATATTCTACAGTATTAAATCACCCACAAACTGGATTCAGGACAGCCCGTCCTTCCACAAATTTTAGGATGGCTTCGTCAGAGGGTCGATGCTCCATATCCCGTGACCAACAACTCTGAATGAAATCCCAGTCAACATCGCTGATCACAGGTGCGGGCGGCCTTTTGGGTCTTATCCCTTGTGATATGCAGTGAATTATGGCTTCATATCTGGCAATATAATGGTATGGGATCTTGCCCTCCAAAACTTGCAGGAAGATGAGCTGATGCAGTGACGATCATCCAGGCTACGTACCTGTAGCATGATCCCCCCAAAAGAGTACACGTCGCTTTTCGAAGTGAATACCAGTGACATGTTGCCTTCATCATCGAATATTAAGTATTCTGGCGCCATGTATGGTGCAGTGCACGTGGGATTGGTGGGCAACAATGCCTGACTCGTTCTTTCAGGAAGGAGGGCAGAAAGACCAAAATCGGCAAGGCTTGCTTTTCCATTCTTGTCAACAAGAATATTATTCTAAGGAAACTTCAGTTGGGCGTTCATGGATCTCATAAGGGCATACGCACACCGCTCAAGTCTCCATGGATGATTGACTGCGAGTGGACTACCCAATTCAGTGTTAATTGACTCTCACATCAACGACAAAAACACTGAACATACGATATTGAAGTCCACGAGCTACATCCCTGAGCTAAAGAGACCTTAGCATGATAGATATGGTGAGGTGAATGATTGACCGAACCAGTGCAAATTTTGCATTGTAGGAAAGCATCTTATGCTTACGCTGAAGGTATCCGGTCAGAGTGCCATTTTGGAACCATGGAGAGATGAGTGCTGGGAGGGAACCAAATCCATCTGTAACTCCAAAGAGAGGAACGATATTTTCGTGCTCAAGTTTCAACCATAACTTAATCTCTCGGAACAATCGCTAACGGACCAAAGTCAGTAATGAGACAAGAAAAAGAATACATTACTGACATTGATGATCTTTAACATGTCTGGATCCTCGTCAAATTTTATTTCCTTGACTGCGACCTAAATCAAATGTAAGGAATGTAGATGACAATCAACTGAAAGGCACCTACATCATTGGAAGAGAACTGGTGGCGGGAGACCAATTGTGGGACGCTTGCATCGATGTCTCTTACATGGAGCTTACACCTATGAACATTTGCAAACCCTCCAGAGTTCTGATGATCCTTGTTTAGTCGTTGGACTGAGTTTGTCAAATCAACGGTACTGATGACGATGAGCCAAACAGCGGCATGCATGCAACAAAAGATAGCTCACCCGAAACCTTGGACCAAGACTAAGTAGCGGACCTTCTCGATTGAGGGACGGGATTTCTCCTCAGATAGGCACTGTCGCACCATGTTCAGCTGCACCTCATCCATCTTTGAGCCAAAATTTGGTGAGGCACTTAAGAGGAACTTCGCAAGGATTCTACCTCCACAGTCGGACCAAAAGGCCCTGTGCCCTTTAATTTTTCTGAAAGCACTTGGCCCTCTCCTGAAATCCACCAGTACGGCAACTTTCCTGACAACACCTGGATAATACTTGTGTGAAACGCGTCAAAGACTATTTTGCTCCATAACACACCAGAATCGCGACGCAGCCATATGAGTATATGTCTCCGGCTTTTGATGGTCTTGGTGCCTCAGTTCGATAACTATGTGTGATAGACTCAGGTGCAATGTACCTCGCATCTCCTGGAAGCTGCTCGCTGAATATCTGATTATCTGCAATACGTACACAGCCTGAATCGTCACAGAATATGGTGTCCTAAGGGTGCGGTGAGAATCCTCAGTACATTACTCAAGTAATTGAAACATACCCCCGTTAGATTACCATGCACAATGCCCTGCTTATGCACTGAGGGGCATATGAGTTCCGTGTATGAATGGCTATGGGACATACTGACAATATTCAATACCATCCGCCACCTCAAATAGCTGCCCATTCGAGGTCAGAACTGAAGCACCTATCCACGCCACAAGATATCAACTTACGATGTCAGACTTTTGACGTTCAAACAAACTAAAGTGATTCCGTTTGAGGTAGCCATGCAACGAACCGCGTGGTACACGCCGAGGACTTCGCTCCGCACTGGCAGGTCCACGGGAGACCTGGAACTATCGTTTGCATATTTGACTTCCAGATATTAAGCGCTGTCAGTAACCAGAAGACAAACGTACTCACCAATCGATAGAGCAACCAGCCTGACGTTGGAATAGTTGAAGCAAATGCATAATAGCCTTGACGCCAAGGCGAGTCACAGCACCGCAAAAATGACATTGGTAGTCGACTCCGGAGGTCACTTGCTGTTCAATTATAACCTTCATGACAGTCTTCGTGCCTGCTTCGATGCTTGGCCATTCATGGCTTGTAGGCGAGGCTAATCGCATGCCACTGTCAATGGACAAATCGTATTGTCCTTCCTCGATAACATTATTTCGGGCTGCAATCGAGTCACGTTCAAACAGAACTTGGAGCATCTTATTGAGTTGCTAAAGAGAATTTGATGAGTGAGCTTCCCTGATTTTCATCGTTGCAAGGCGGACCTGGAATGAGGTGTAGAAGTTCACCGGTACTGGATGTTCATGACTCTGATGACCCTCTCGCACATCGTGCATGTTATTTTGACTTTGTTGCATCTGGAACCACTAGAAAAGCAGAGTGGTGAGTGAAATGCGGGAAATATATCAAGAGTAGAACCCAACTAAACACCCCAGTAGATAACGGTCAATTTCAATGGAACATCTAGCGATAGTTTGTGTGACGGGTGTATACGAAAGACCACGTTTGTGCAAAATTTTCAGCTGGGCAGAGGTCTCTTGCAGAATCCTGAGTGCGGCTCAATATCGAGTAAATTCGAGCATACATAAACAAGGCGCATACATAACTAAGGAATCCCTCCGAGAATGCTCATATGGATCCCGGGCAGTCATGGCAGTTCCACAAATACCAGTTTACTAGTCGATGAAGCCGTAATGTCAGATGATCTAGATCCGCCTTATGCTGACCGTGTCTCTGTTGACGGCCTTTGAAATCAAGACACGTCCTCATAATTGAATAAGCTCTCACATATATAACTTGAAGGATGGCCAATAATCTAGCAATAGCATCTTCCATCGGAGGATCAGCAAGTGGTATTACACCTGGGTCGGAAGCTTCGCGAGCAGAGGATACAACCCAGGAGTATCTGGCAGAAGAAACATTGGTGGAGACGTCGAGACCTGGTTCACTAGTCGCAGAAACAGGATGCACTGCCGAAGAATTTGAAGGGAGAGGGGGATGGATGTCTGCGGGGATAGAGCCATCGCCCTCATCCCAGTTGGTGACTGACTGAACTGCATCGTGTGCACCCATTCCTTGTGGAGCGCCTCCGACGAACTGCGAATACCTTGCCCAAGCCCTCACCAGAATCGTTGACGGAAACCATGTAAGATGTAGGGGAGCGAAACAAGGAAGGCCGCGACCGACTCGGATTGAGGTATTTATGACAACGGCCTGAGGCAGCGTATATACAAGTTCTAGGATTCAGGGAAAGCCAAATTAGCACGATACCTATGGTTAGTGAGGAATCACTACTTCACGATGCCACAGTGGCCCCGGATGGGGACGAACTTCACTTTACAGCTATGTAGGAATAATCGGAACTGTGGAAGCCAGCTGGACCGCACTCTGTTACCGTGACAAGATCGCAGTCACATGTTCGGATAGGTCACAGGTCTTGTCAGACACAACCACTGACGCGCCAGTGCAAGCGTTCCTATGTTCTACATTCGACTCCTGGATCAAGTTGCACGGGTTCATGTCTCATTGTAGTTCCCTACTACATTACCCCTACCTTCTAATCGCTCTCCCTCACCACAGGCCACTACTCATGGACATTCACGCCTATCAGTATGGAAGAATAGTCTGTGGCTACAGATGACGTAACTTGCCAAATGCATCCGCGGTAGCCGGTTCGCCCTCTGCGCGAGCTTTCTTTCATTTAGTGGTCGCTGTGCATTATCTGGCCGATATTCAAGCTATGCACCTGATGCACTGATCTACCCCAACTTATATTTGGTAAACAATGTAGTACAGCACGGTCAAACCCTGATGCTCGAACTTGGTGCTCAGTGCTTGCATATCCTCAGGGAGTTTGTCTCGTTTCACGACCTTGGGGCGGCCGCCCTTGTCCAAAGTCAACTCGATTGTCTACCGAAACGTTATCCTTCGCACGTCGTCCGTGCATATCGATGCTCTGTCCAACCCCCTGGACGTCAAGACCTGCTAGTACAATACACGTGTCGTAGTGCTCATATCAAGATCAATCGTACCAATCCATTTCTTCACATATTTGGGCACACGAACGAGCCGAACGACCTTGAAATCATCATTACACACACGGCTCCAAGTACCAAATGATAACCACGGGGGAGGCATATCCTTTGTCTGATGAGTGGTTGGACAGTGCGAAGGTACTTTTGTAACGAAGCGGGGTGACGAAAGGCAACTCGGAAATGGGAGCTTGTGAGTAATTAAGGTTATGTTCCTGCATATTGACCCACAACAAAAGTACATTTAAATGTCCCTATAGCTCAGCCACCACTGAGGTGGTTGGCTAAGCAACGTCGTCATCATGTCCATTTGCGCTTGTGTAGGTCGTGCTTGAAAGCTGACGGGATCGTCCGAACAAACGGAGATGACCACCACCACCTCTTCTGCATCATGCTCGACTTCAAATTCATTGTCGGCGTCTCCAAACACCGAGGTTTCGTCTTCATCATCGGGGCTTGTATAGCCCTCATCTTCGTCCTCCTTTGCATCTTCATGATGGTTATTAGCAATGGCCTCCTGTTTATCAGTCTTGCTGCCGTCATCCTTTTCGTCTTCATAGTGACTTGCATCGCCCTGATCTTCATCGGTCTTTGGGTCGTCTTCTTCTTCGTCTTCAAAGTTAGTTGGATCACCTTCGTCAGTTTTTGGGTCGTCCTCCTCATCTTCATAGTGGGTTGGCTCTTCTTCATCAGTCTTTGTACCGTCGTCTTTTTCATCTTCGTAATAAGTTGTATCGCCTTCTTTGTCAGTCTTTGTATCGTCTTTCTCGTTTTCATAGTGACTCGATGCTTGTTCATCAGTCTCCGTGTCGTCCTCTGTGTCTTCGTGGTCAGTTGGACCTCCCTCATCTTCATCAGTCTTTGTATCGTCCTCCTTTTCACCAGCTAACTCTTCTCTGTCCCCCTCCGAGTCTTCATCCGCCGAATCGTCAGGCTCTAAGACCGGGTCGACACAACACTTGTAATCCAACTGACGGAGGCGCAACTCCTTCAAAAGCCAATTACGAGTCAACGATGCGCACATTGGATCATAAAAATCGGCGGGATCGATGAACTTCTTGATTTCGTTCTCGAAGGCGAGAATGAAATCTTGGGTGATGCGGTAGCCGTAATGTTGTTCGCGGTTTTCTCTAGGGGGGCGCTCGATGTCGATTTGAAACTCCTGGGTGGACGAGGAAATCTGTGGTGTTGAGGTGAGGTTTAGCATGTTATGTAACGCTGAAGAATGGTGTTGTAGCTTCGAACCTGGAACTTGAGGGTTTGGACGAATTCTTTGAATAAGACTGACAATTGCTCGAATGGCGAGGACATTGTACGTGAAATGATTGAGATGATGATCGAGTGCTCTGGATACAGTCCCAGCCAACTCGTCATATATGATTCCCTTTCATCCACTGTGATCTTTCAGACTATTTCCCCCTTTGTTCGGTAATTTTTTATCTTGCATTGTTTTCCAGTGGCTCTCGTGGTCAATGCTAGATCGGGATGCGTGGAAGCTTTGAAATCACGATCGCTTCGTCAGGGGCTAGAGCGCTGTGCAATGCTTCCAGGGACTCAGAACGGTTGTTCTTCTGATGCTTATGGTGATCCTACAGCGCTGGTGATCCTGACAGATGCATCTGGCAGCCTGAGTCAACTGTTGGTGGACGAGGCTTGTCGAAGAATCGAGTTTGCGGTGGGACACGGACGAAACGATGGTCGCCGTAGGTAGAGCTAGCGGTTGATGATGTACCTTTGTTGAGTTATGTAACGCAGAATGAATACATAGAATTAAATTGACTGGCATGGATGTACGGTACTCAGTATAACTTAATACAACTTGATCGGGAAAAACTTGAGTAAAATTCTCCTGCTCCTCCAAACATTTTCCGTGCTATACACTACCGCGGCCGCTACTTACACGCTCCTGGAAAGCAATCGAAGTCATGTCCGTTCCTGCATTGAAGCTGGCCGCGAGCTTAGCGTTATATTCTCGAACACCGAGGATGAGGCGTGGTCCCAGCACAAACTTCTGCACTACCGAGCAGATTTGAAGAGTTCCATAATATGTCTCGGCTCCCTTGGACCACGAGCGCTATAAAAATGGTGAACAACTCATACAGGAGATGTCAATGACTAATTGGCGTACCGAGATCTTTGGAGAAAGAAAGCCGATGTGGAGGCAAGACGTAGCAACAAAACTAGCACATGGGAGAATTCAGGGGAAAGGCGAGCGCATTCAAAGCACAAGCTCACATTGCAAAATAAAACACGTGAGTTTTGAGTAATATGGTGAAACAGTCCCCAATGGTCCATTCTGTTGATGGCCCTCGCAGTTCGCGGAAGTGTTTTACAGCAATCCAGATAGCAAGCCACAGTGCAAGAACCTCCCATACCGTATTGAGAATCCAAACCATTATGATCAGTCGTTGGACGCCTTTCTCGTAGCTGTACGAGCACTCATAGATGCCGTAGAGGAGAAGTTCTTCTGATATTTATCTGATGAACCAGGTTTTTTGACTCATAGCTACTAGTAAAGCTTACCTCCAACAATATTCTCAAATCCAATCGCGAGCATCACAATGCAAGTAATATTGACAACCAGGAAGGTCGCTACGAGAAAGATAAGCATCTTTCTCGATCCCTGATACATGGCATGTAACCGTGCAATCAAGATGACTTGTATAATGTTTCAACCAGGTCAATATGACTGAGTATGGCAGTACTCACCGCCCAGAAGGACATCGATGGCCCCATTCATCCAATTTGTTGTGGCGTTCATAATATTGCCTGAAATACCCAATCAGTGATCACCCTCGTAGGATAAAAGGCTCCAACAAAGCTCACATCTGTAATAGTCATGATATTGAAACAACAAGCTAGTCAAGCATCGCACTCACCCCTACACAGGAGTGGAGTTAACGAGAATGGCGAGTGTCAGTGCGGAATTCTCACTGCATCTGTCACTAAGATTGATGGAAGGCTGACTGCAATATACCGATCAGAATAAAAAAACACAGCATAGATAAGAGCATACTCAGCATGTCCATGCTGGTTGTGAGGAATGGCTTATTAGCGCCCCACTGACAGTCAAGGCCTGCAAACATACACAGAAAATGGTATTCCGGCATAGCGCACCTAGAGCATTTTGATGTGAGCACAACTTACCAACTGCGCTTAGTAAAGATACGAACAACGAAATACAAAACAGTCATGAGGGACCAGCGTGGTCTCTACCCAAATCAATTGTATCATCCTGTTTTTCTTCTGATACGAGACTCTCTGCTCACCCATAGTAATTCAATCTATAACACCGTTCTTAGCGAGAAGGCTGCCAGTAATAGCATGAGCGCGTACCTCTTTTCCAAGTGTCAGAGCTGGTGAAATCATAAGAAAACGAATTATTCTTTAATCCCATTTCGCTCACCCCAATCATACGTTATCGCAGTACAGGCGGCAACTGAAAAACCACAGTCAAGGTTAGGTTAAGTTGTAACCGACACCATCCAACTGGCTCTCTACGAACCTACAAAATAGCTGTAAAAACGATACGAGTCAATTAATGGCCGCAAACTGGGATCATTCAAAGCTTGGGTCATGTTTGAAGGACGGATGTCAGTGATGGGGAACTTGGTAGGTGAATAATGATGGTGTTCATGTTAGATATATGACCATCCAGCGCTTGTATCATCGAAATTGACGGTATAGTGATGATATTTTCTGCCTTTGCTGTCAGTATTATCACGTGAGTGAGGGGGTACCTGATTGGTTTGTAACGTTAACAACCTCTTGACAATGTCAGTATGACACCGGAAAATGATAAATGGAATAGGTCCAAAGATAGCACCTCTCCCACCCTGCCAATCTGCCTTTACAGCGCCAAGCGCACTGTTGAACTAGAGCAAGGCCGAGCTTCGCCAGCAGTAACCTTGCCCTTCAAATACTATGTTTTTATTGCATTTCGTTGCGGGGAGATATTGAATATTCAGGATAGCAATTGTACGCTTATGCGCTACGAAACACACTGGAAAAACGATACTTGGAATGATTAATGAGCTTGCAAGGGACGGTGATTTTCAACGTAAAAGCAGACCTGGACAGTTTGTGAAGACTGTGCTGGATGAATAGCCGAGGAACAAAGACTGTCAGTTATCGTCGTCAGGAAATGTTGGTGACTGCGGCGAAGTAGTGGCGCAGATGGAATTCAATGTCAGCCTATACAAACTTGCTGTAGAACACGGACACGAACTTTTGATGTACATAAAGCTATATTCAGAGCCGTCTTCGCAGCTCTGATGAGGTGGTCAAGTGCCTGCCGGCCTATTAGACTCTTCTTGCCCTTGCATTGAAAATAACGTACACAAAAAACGTACATTTTTTGCAGGTTAAGTCTACTGTAAATATTCATCCATCTAGAGCACCAGTCATGACTCTGAAGCTGTTGATTCTCAGAGGGTAGAAGCTGGTGTCAACATTTGTTACCTCATGCTGATAACCGTGGCAGAGGACTCCGAGATAGTCCGAGGTGTGACGATGAGGATGTACATACAGGAATGGCAGTGATTCTGATTCAAACTTGGTTACCGACGTGAAAGAATGCGTTGTAACTGTCTGATGACGACGTCCATACCTGTTCAACTTTTTCCATTGTTTCATGACCAACTAACCATTCCAACCCTTAACATAACCTTGTGACATGAGAAATGTGTCGGTTAACAAAAGTAATGCTTCCAGTGAACGGCTGTTCTCGGTGGAATGCACACCAGCCGCTCAGCGCGGTGCTTCACTATCGCCAATCGATTTGCAATTCTATGAGATCCAAAAACACAAGTATAACGGAACTCACCAATGAGCTACAGCACGCAAAGTTGTTGATCCAAAGCAGGTCATCAACCATACTAGCAGGAACATATGTACAAGTAGGGCGAATAGACCTCTGGGCTCAAGTATCGGATCCCATGAAAAGTCAGACGGGGCCGAACGAGGTTACTGAGTATGTTTGGTTATCAATCTCATTGTAAGGCTTGGCGTGACGGTTGGTTTTGCAAATATAACACAAAACACCCAACCACTCCCATAGTATCGTTAATGTTACCAAAATTCGTCACAACACTGTCACTGAGAGCGTTGTAGATCAGCCTCCCGTCTCCAAAGGTCATAATTAGCTGTTATGCTTCACTGGAAGCGCTCAGCATTGATGTTTCAACAGATTCAACAACGCAGAAGTGATTCTTGTTCGAGGTGAGCATGTTAATTGAAAGGACATCGGCTTTGTCTTTAACTGAGCCAAACCCTGCACCGAAGTAGAAACAGCCCATAATACTGTAGTCGTCCGAGGCAGGCCTGGCAAGGAAATTTGAAACGAAAACTGACAATCCTGCATGAGTGAGAAACGTAATTGTCAGGATATATCCATGGTGAGGCCCGAGGTGTAGTAGAAACAAAAGAGCGTGCACTATAGTTTAAGCAGGGTTTTGGTGCAATTGTTCATCCCCAGAGAAAAGTTTCATAAAGCTCCTGCGCACAGTATCAGTGAACCAGTGGCTCTCGTGATCATATAATGATATATGATACACGGAAACCTGGCGGTGTACCACAGACAGGACAGTTGATACCTCGAGTGTGGAAGGCGTAGAAGATGAAGGAAACAGGGAGGGTCCAGAGAGTCCATATGGGAAAATGAGATTTTCATGCTAGTTCACGATGGGAACCAAAAAGGTATGCGATATCATAAACACAGGTTTTGTATGATGAAGGATCAATCAGCGATGACTGTTTGGATGAGATGTCTTGTTGGTATACGTCACGATCCACAGAAACTACAACCTCGGGGGAAGAGTCATTGATCCAATGACAGAAATACAATGCACGAAACTCACATGGCCATTAGGTTGAAACTCTCGCATGCAACAACTTGCCACAGCAGTAGTACATTTGTAATACTCGATGCGACACAGTGAACATTTCGTGTAATGACTATCCCGATTTTCAAGACTCGGCTTGGGCAGATAAAAACGGCTGATGGGCCAGAGTGGTTTATTTGGTCGACATGATGGGTTGCTCCTCCGGTAGTTGACTTTTGACGGATTGAAACGGCAGGTAAGAAGCAGACTGTGGCGGCGGCTGCGCGCCTCAAGCTTACGTATAGAAATATTTGTAATATTTGTGTTCGACCAACTCGTAAGGAGACCAACTTCCACAAGCGACTAAATTCTTTGTGCCCAGAGCAGAACTGCACTGACTTCCACTCTGATGATACTCCCCGCCGACAATACGAGTCTGACATCAGATGATTTGGAGGACATTCTCATCGTTGCTGACCTTGACACCATTGATTTTGGTATTTGTCACTCGCTCACCTAAGTCTTACGCTGATTGTTACATTCGTTCTTCAAGATCAATGCAGGGATGTGTTGGAGTATATCATGGAGCCAGACCCTGAGGAGGAATCTGTGGTATGCTCGAATTCATAGGCGGGGTGCGAGCGCTCATTTGATTATTGTAATAGGAGTTTTTTGATGTCGATTACCAGGTGTACTCAGCAGTATCCCAAATTATGGATTTGAATTGGCATACGTTACCAGCAAGACCAAGGTAGGGTGATTGGATCAATTCTCGCAACTAATAATGTACTGAATTCTTGTAGGTTGAGTTACTTCAAGGACGATCACATTCTCCTCATCGAAACATGCAGTGACATACACGAAGCTCCATTCGGTTACTTGGGTCAAGAACTCTTTGGTTTTTTGCTCGGCTTCACTCACAATCAACGAGCTTTGTCTACCACGTTATCCATGAACTTTGAGCTGGGGTCTATCATTCCAGACATGTCAATTCGGACTGTCGCAGTGACTCGAGGTCATTTGGGGCATAGGAAGGTTCATGTCATCGGGGAGTGTGCATTTGCGCAAGACACAGATTCGGTTCTTTGCAAAATCAAGGAAGAAATTGCCGAGCGTCCAGAAATCCTGATGGCCATAATGGTTGTTATTGACGAGCATCATCCATATCATTCACCTGAACGTATGTCAGAAGCATGGCAGATGCTACGCCATGAGACATCAGCTCGTTCGCCCTCTTCATTTCATTCGCTTCAAGGGGATCCAGCACGATCTCACGATAAACACATAGTGATCGCAGGTCATACATGGTGTCACCTCGCCTCTGTTCAATTCCACGTTTGGGTCCGGGGAGATGAGCCGATCAACGTCGACGATACTAACAATGAATTGCTGGCACGTGGTGTAAGTATCTACAGCCATTCATTAGGGTCGCCTTATTGGTTTCTTCGCTGCAGACATTGTTTCCAAATCAAGATATGGATGAGGTCGAAGCCATGATCAAGAAGGGCATGGAGATGACGCAGGACTGTCTTGCTAATTTCTCCCAAAAGGTAGCTCCAGGCGGTGACATTTCTGCCCTTCGAAATTCCAATGCTTCTTTGACATTCTATTGGCACCATCTATTGGCATCACTTGCAGTGGCAGTTGAGGACACCGCCTATGCCCGGTACTGCTCATGGTACAATTCGTACACCTGAGACACCTCCGCTCTCAACCACGTTTTGCAAGATCACAATGACGTTGCAGCTCGGGACCCCATCAGATATTCGTCCATATCCCGTCGATGTCTCCGTGAGCTTGTCAAACTCTGTAGAGGCAATTGTCCTTCCCAACGTCAATATCACGCAGCTACTTAGGCAAATGGTGAAACAGCTACCAGAGATTGTGAATTTCAGCTCTTCGAACATGTTCAACAGAGCTTGCCTCATTTTCCTGCCTTGCCAGTTTTTTAAATATATATATATTCTCGAGACAGACCTTGATGGCTATCCAAACCTTATGTCTACTCGACCACAGCTAGATCCATCTGTTAATGTTTCCCATCATCGCTAGGATGTGTCAAGCTCCCAACTGACTCTACAAATCATCCTCCCAATCATCTGGCACCGCTTCTTCCTCCTCATCCATGTCTGGACTTGCTGCCTCCCTCGCGCGCTGCACAGAAGACGACACCCACGCCCCAACACTCGGCTTCAAACTCAAAGTAGCAGTACCAATTTGGGTCCCTCCCGAGCTCGAGGATGCACCAGGCGCAGGCGAAGAACTCCCGGACCCAGGGCGCGAGACGACTGCTGTCCACTTCCCGCCTGCTTCTGCAACCTTTGGTTGGGGTTTGGCCCATACTCCACTTCCACTTGTCACGCCCGACACAGCTTTCGGGGCTCGCAAATCACCGAGTTTGCCTAGGACTGCAGATGATGGGGATGCAGATGAGAGAGATGCAGATAAAAGTGGTGTCGGGATGCGCGTGTCGACACGCCGGATGAGCTGTACGCTTCGGTGAGGTTCTTGATCAACCATTTGTGTATCCATGCGGTAGATAGATGCGAGCTATGCGCGGTTAATATATTAGTATTACAGAAAACAATGTTTCAAAAACTGGGAGAAACAATATGAACTCACATCATGCACGAATTTACGTCGTTCAGGAGGCATGTGCGGCAGGACTTGTGTGCGTTTATCAGAAGTAATGAAACTAGAACGAAGATGATGTGAGAATGCCCATCAGGTAATTGTGAAAACCACCACTCACTCTGCAAACGTCTTCTCCACTAACCCCACAAACTTACTGTTCGCCTTCGCAAAAGTCACTAGGTCATCATTATAAGTGACCTTGGCCTGTAAACCCTCGCGTTTCTCAGGGCTGATGCCAAGGGCATCTGCAAGTCTCGCATTGCGTTTCTTGATCGCGCATTCGCCAGTGCATTTGAGCTGGGCGGCTGAGTTTGCTTGGGAGCATGGGACAGAGGAACGGAGGAGGCCGCAGGGACAGGTAAGGGTGACGAGCGTGAGGCAGGCTTCGGTTTCAGGGCATGCTGCTGGGGCGTGGCATGTTTGGGTGCATGGGTGTTGTGCTGGCAAGCTAGATTAAAGGAGAAATGTATATCAGCTGAAGAGGGGGAATGGAAGATGTAGAACTTACCATGATTTGCGAGACTTGCCACATACAGCGGTACACGTCCCACAATCGTCTGCGTGGCACAGGCGTTCGCAATGATGAAAACCGCATGCTAGCGATCTGTGAAGGAAAATTAATGTTATTCAATACAATCACTATCAGACAAACACAAAACTCACTTTCCGCACACAGTACCACAACTCACCCGCTCCTGCGCACACCTGACATTATCTACCATCTTCTTTCCGCAAGCACACTGTTTGCTTGTGAGGAACGGACACGGTGGGCAAGGAGATGCCTCCACTGGCTGGCTTGGGTCCGCACCAGCGATGATAACGCCCTCATGACATGCATGAGGGACGCGCGAATGGCCACACGGTGGTGAAGGCCTTGCGCACGGATAATTACAAGTCATCATCGTACCACATGGAATTGGGGGCTCCAAAGCCGTCCGACCACACGGGCATATGAGCTATTTGAACGTCAGGCCAAAACACAACGATGGTAAATAGGAAAAAACTGCTTACATCTTCATAAACGCTCTGCAGACACACCCCACATGCGCCTCGATGGTCCTTTCGCTCGCACCGGTGGTTTCCACAGCTCAACATCTTCCCACATGGTAGGTCGCACTCGTGCAGTCCGCCTTCGTCAGCACCAAGCTCGTCCAGCAATCCTGCGCGTTTCTTGCCCTTTCCTCTTTGTGCAGCAGAAAGAGACGCGAGAGGGCAGCAGATGCGGTTGCATTGGTGACGCCCGCATATGCGAAGGGCTATGCATGCTCGATCGCAAAGGACATCCCCGGCTTCGTTACCTTCGCTGGTTTCGATGATTTCGCCGCACTTGATCATCTTCTTCGTCGCTCCGCATCGACATGTGCGCTCTATGAGCTCGGTGCATGGTGGGCAGGGGCCAGTATGACAGCTTACCCCGCATTGATGCGAGCAGTCGGGCAAGATTTTGATGCACTGTTGCTTGCATGTAGGGACAGGAACAGTACAGGATATGCGGGGTCCAAGGAAATACGCAATTTCTTTGCCACTAGCGTCGTATTTGGGAGTGGGTATTGATTCTGGTCCGTGGATATAGCGATCGTGTTGTTCGACAGTAGGGAGAGCGAGCCTGCCGCAGGCGCAGGTTTGCATGATGGATGGATCAAGCGGGCATCTTGGAGGTGTGAATGACGGGGGATGACATCCTTTCTCGCAGGTGTGCACTCCGCATGCAAAAGGTCTGTGAAAGGAACGTCAGCATAATTATCTGGAATGGATGGCACATCCTTTATTGGTTGCACGAGACACGTTAGAGTAAAGAGACAATCTGATTACGTGCGCTGCATCATGCACGACCCTCCGTCAAACATGCACCATAGGCAATAAGCAAGACGAAGATGAAAAAATACTTGCCTACCACACACACCATCGCATTCATAGCGGCCCTCCCAGCCAACCTCTCCCTCAACAGCGCATACAATCGCCCAATCTTTCCTGTCGCCGCACGGGACTTCTTTCTCCTCTTTCCCACAATAACACGCGACGATTTCAGCCACGACGCAGGGCTTGCACTCGCCGGGATGGCAAACCTGAGTACATGTATGCTGGGGATTCCCGCACGACAAGGGCTTACTACAAATGACACCACAGGAGACGCCAGTAGGTTGAGTTTGGCGATGCCAGGGAAGAACAACGGACCGTTGAGACTTGACGTCCACACCAACAGCCCTTTCGGACGGTAACGGCGCACGGTGGACAGGGACCAGGGTGGCAGGCGAGAGGACAGCCGTGACCGCAAGCAGAAGGACGTACGCGGGAGCAGGGATATGCACAACTGTGCGGGGTGACGAGGCGAGTAGGGGATGGATCTGTAATGCGATGACAAAAAGCACCTGACGACAAGATGTGTAAGTACGCAATATAAAAGTAGATAAGTAACACTTGCCGGTAGCTGGATGGTACAGATTCACGTTTGGCTTGACAGCCGGGACACCTCCATTCGCCAGTACGTTCCTCGCCACGAGCGCGCCATGCATCTTGAAGGTCCTTAACGCTTTTGGAAGCCCAAGCCCGAATGCACTTCAGGTGGAATGTAGTCCAACAGCATTGGAGGTTTTCGGAGGGATCTGAAGTAGAGCAGGACCAAGTATGCTGTTCTGGACGAATGGGGTTGAAGCAGATTGGGCAGTCAGGATAAGGATGGGTGCTGAGGGCGTGAGTAAGAGTCGAAGTGAGGTCATCAGCGAGAGGCGCCTTGGGTCTCGGAGGCTTGGCTTTCTTAGGCAGCGAAGAAGCTTGCGGTGAGGGATGGACTTCGACTTTAGGTTTTGAGTCACTAGTAAATGGTATCGATTCAGAAAGTGACGAATTAAATTTGGAACGCCGGGATGGGCGCTTCGACTGCGACTGGGGTTGAGAATCAGTGGTGTTGGGTTCATTCGCGGTGGTGACTCCCTGAGGACGTCTTGAAGGGCGATTCTTCCTTGGCCGTGTATTTCCATCACCTGTTTCACCTGCAACAGGGCTAGAGCCAATGGTCTGAGAGGCGCCAGGTGGTCTACGCGGATTTGAGCTTCCCTGTTTGTGATCATGAGATCGGTTCTGATTAAAGTTTTGGCGAGGCTGTCTGCTGCTTGTACTACTTGTCACCGGAGCAACTACGACATCAGAACTGACTGGATTCGTTGGAGGAACGCGAGTTCTGGGACGATTGCTACGATGGTTTCTGCTCGGGTTTGAGCTCAGATTTGCTGAACCGAGTACTTGGTTCTCAGGTTGATGTTGGATAATTGTTCCAGGTGAGGATGTTTCCATGCGAGTGGTATTGGTATGAGGGCTCTATGCTGCTTGAGTACACGCGAAACATGGATTTATCAGCGAATCAGCATTGCTGAGTCAGCCTGCATCATCTTGAACGGCTCCTCCAGGACCGGTCGATTAAAAATGACTCCGCTTGACTCCAGTGCGCTATTCTTTTGTCACCAAAATTGTTATCAGAGTCACGACACGGATAAATTTGACGTATTCCGATCACTCTTCATTTTCACTGCAAGAAACTTACCACACTGAGCCTCGTTGAGAGAAAGATAGGAAGACAACGCAAGTACTGGGCATGGTTCCTTATCCTCGGTTCAGGTTTTGATATACTCCTGTGATATGATGGTCTCGAACCGTGGATGCGGATTTTATTCGAACTGCCCGTTGACGTCGTCCCACAACAGCATTGGTCAATGCAAGTGGGCAGAAACAATGATGTGAGTGGAACCCAGTCTAATATTTGCGGGAGGTATGTTCAAGTGACTTGGCTGTTAATTGATATCAATATTCGCAGCATCTACTGCAAGTTTATGCGGGAAATAGGATGATGGCTCTGAATAATCCGTGAAATGTAACGGTAGGTCGACGAAGGCTGGCGGGTCCAAATTAATGTGCGACTCACTCGATATCGCTACCCACTTGGCACATCGGCAAAAAGCGCCAGAATTCATGCACCAATATGATATACTTTGCATATCTTGATGCCAGTACGTGCATTGCATACATCAGTCTGGTGTGACATAATTCGGTCGACTCGGAGGCATATGTGCAGCTCTCATGAGACACAACTTCTAATGTGAAATGTTTAGATGTCTGAAGCTACTGCTCGGGATGGAAAATTGAGTGGTTAGAGATGGCGGCAAAAAAAACATGAAGCACAGCAGCGCCTTCCGCACATTTCTGAATCGTAGAGCAACCTTGAGCTTGAACACACCAGGTTCACCTGAAAAACATTCTGATATCAAAGCATATGAATCCGAGTCCGCAGTTGTACAGGAGGTAGGAATATCATGCCATATTCAAAGCTCGCCATGATAATTTGTCTCATGATCCTCCCCATCGTCGGCTGGAAGCACATCATCTGAGCCTTCCGCTCCATCCTCCCCATCGTAATCATCATTACTATCTTACTCGATCTCCTCGAAGCGGTGATACCCATTTTCTGCTACTCGCAATCAACTCAAAGACATGCTGTAAGATAGATTGATATGAAAGCACACGGCATCTGACAGCGCAGTGAAAAGTCAGATTTGGCTCTTAACCTGGAAAGATAACATCACATACCGCGTGAGGGTGAAACGTGACTTGATTGAGGGGATATTGTTGGGCCATTGCCAAAAAAACTCGTTCTGGCGGCGTCAAGGTCCAAAAACAGTAAACATTTCAACAGATGTCATCACATACCCCAGGGGAATAGGCCGTCACTGAAGCACCATCAGCATTGACATCACGCGCTTCCTCATTGACAAGGTAGGACTTTGTCAGGGCATCAACATCGAGCGAGCAGCTCAAAAGACAAGTTCACGCACATTCTGAGAGCGGTACATGGCCATGGCACCATCAGAGACGGGTAAGCAGGTCAGAACACGAAGTCCCGCACTTCCTGAGAGCGGGACACGGTCGTGGCACCATCAGCGATGGGTAAGCAGGTCAGAACATGAAGTCCCGCACTTCCTGAGAGCGGGACACGGTCGTGGCACCATCAGTGATGGGTAAGCAGGTCAAACATGAGATCACTTACCCACTAGGGCAGGACACAGCCGCGGCACCATCAACATCGGGTAAGCAGGTTAAAAGATAGCAACACCACTTGCTGAGAGTGGGACACGTTTGTGCTACCATCAGCATCAGGTAAGCAGGTCAAAACATCAGATCACGCACTTCCTGAGAGCGGGACACAGTTGCAGCACCATCAGCGTGGTAATCGGGTAAGCAGGTCAAAATACGAAATCACGCACTTCCTGAGAGCAAGACATTTCCATTGAACCATCAGCATCAGGTAAACAGTTCAAAAGACGAGATCACGCACTTCCTGAGAGCGGGGCACAGCCATGGCACCACCAGCATCAGGTCAGCAGGTCAAGAGACGAGAATATGCACTTTCTGAGGGCAGGGCGTGGCCATAACACATCAGTACCGGGTAAGCAGGTCAAAAAGATGGCAGCACGCACTCGCTGAGAGCGAGACACAGTTGCAGCACCATCAGCATTGAGTAAGCAGGTCAAAACACAAGATCACGCACTTCCTGAGAGAAAGACATTGCTGTTGCACCATCAGCGTCGGGTAAGCAGATCAGAACACGAGATCACTGACTCGCTAAGAGCGGGACACGGCCGCAACGCGAATCGTCAAATCTATCTAATTAGCGAAACTTTCGAAAATTTGTTCTAACTAGAGAGGGAGGTTTTTCCTGATGAAGAGGGAACAACGATGTCGTCATGGTGGTCCAGGGACATCACACATATCGCCTTCGCTTCATAAGGTTCATAATCCAACAACGGCGGTTGATTGATAGGGAGGAGCTCGTTCTTTTCTGGGGACTAACCATTCCCCTCTGCCTGTCCGGGAGTCCCCAGCTGCAATGTCAACTTGTCAGCGCTTCAGATTGCTAGTGCTGTATAATGCAAAGGTATATGTATGCATGAAGTAAGCTTGCCGCGGATTTTGCCTTGATCTTCGCGTCAGTCATGATGCATCTGATGCATGAGATCCTTCACCGATAATATTTCCTTCTCCCGTGCACTTTTTTGAATCAAGTTTTTCCTACGCTCAGTCACCATCGTGTTTGAGCAAAGTAGTATTACAACACCGAATCGATAGATTCTGCTCGACGAATGCGCTCATCACTGAGTACTGAGTACTACATACTATTGCCAACTAATACATATACGCGTTCCTGCAAAGCAATTATTTCATACCGAACGCAAAGGGCGTCCATCGGGAAAACATAATTCACTAGAGAGTGCTACAGAGCACTCTGTAGCACTCTGCAACACAATCCAACCCGCTGGTGTCGAGTGAAAAGTCGAAGGGAAACCCAAAGAAGACCGATACCATAGATCTTGCAGAAGATGGTCAGATGCAGATATCAGTCATATATCGAAGGCAGCGAGGCGAGGTCGAAACAGGAAGCGGCTGCAAATCTAGCTGATGTGGAATGTCAGCGAAAAATCTGGGCACGTGAAATATTGAGCTCATGCTACCAAGTAAAGTGAACGTATTTTCAATAACACTATTAATGCAGTCCCGAATGCACAATCCTGTCGATCGTTATTGCAGTTCACGGAAGTGTTTGAACATAGCCCAGACTGCATGGCACAGTGCGGGGACCTCCCGTGCAGTGTTGAGCGTCCAAGCCTTGAAGTGTCGGTCAGAATTTGGTCGACCCTCGTAGATTGATAGGTGTCGGGAAGGACAAGCACCTCTGGAATTTGTTTGATGAGCATATGCACTTAGATGATTCGCCCATAATGCTTACCCACTGGTATGTAACCCATCTCTCTGTAGGAGTGAAGTTAATTGGACAAGAATGACAAGCATCGGTATAGAATACCCCCACATCTCAGGCTATCGTGACTCCCTCACCGGGGTGGCAAACCTCAACGCATGTATGCTGAGGATTCCCGCTGTAGTGGGGAGATCTGGCGCAGGTCACAGGGAGTGCCAGGGGTTCTGGCGCAGTAGCAGGAGTCCTGGCTCGTAGTCGGTAGTCCTGCGGCTTGTCGTAGTCGGTCCTCGACAGATAGAGCCGCAGCCTCCCGCTATAGAGGTTTGGCCTTGGTTTCCCTTGCAGTCCGTGCCCATTACACCGCATAACAAGGTCTAACTACAAGTGACACTACAGGAAACGCTGGTGATGAGTTTGAAGATACCAAGGAAGACCAGTGGACGGTTGAGACTTGGCGTGCATACAAGCATCCATTTCGGACGGTTACGGCGCATGGCGGACAGGGACCAGGGTGGCGTAGAAGAAGACAGCTGTGATTATAAGCGGACGTGTATGTGGCAGCCGGAGTAGGTATATATACAGTTGTGTGGGTGACGAAGCGAGTAGGGGATGGATATGAGACTCTCGCGATGACAAAAGCACCTGATACATAGAATGTGAGCACACCATACACGAGTAGATACTAGGCAGTACTTGCCGATAGGTGGATGGTGCGCATGAATGTGTGGCTTGACAGCATGGGCATCTCCGTTAACGCCGTACGGTCTTCACTACAAGCACGCCATGCGTCTTGAAGTGCTTTTGGAAGTCAGGGTAACAATGGGTGGGGGCATGATGTGGCACTTAGAAAGTCACACGGGACGGAAGCGACATCATATATAACAGAACGCACAGCCGAAGTCGACATAAAGACAGGACAGAGGATCGCTTGAAAACCAAGACCTTATATAGACGAAGTCTCATTCGATAGTGCATCCTGAAGGTAATTTAATACCTCTTCTACTGATGGGCGAACCTCGCTCTCCATTGACCAACACCGCCGCATGAAATCCAGGTGATTGGGTTGGATCTCGATGGAGGAGTCGATGGGCTCTACGTGTCTAAACTTAGCAGAAATAACGTGTATGGCGCTCTTCAACCACCAGTAAGGCTGTTTCCCATATAGGACCTGCACGCGGGGGATGTTAGTGTCACTAGCAAGCCAACGAGAGACTGACCTGAAGCATGATACCGCCGAGAGAATATATGTCGGTAGATTTGGTTGTGCATAGTATGGGTTGATCTTCCGGGGGATCGAGGAGCTCTGGAGCGACCCAACGTAGTGCACCGGTGTGGTATTCAAAGGCAGGTTTGGATTGCACCATGATATTCGAGATGGCGAAATCTGCAAGACGAGGGGAACCGTCGGCAGCAACCAGAATATTATTCTACAATAAAGATGAGAAGATTCTGGTTGCATGGCATATGTGAACTTACGTTGGTGAGGTCACTGTGTATCACGTCTTTGTCGTGGACTACCGAAACATAGAAATCAGTTATGTCGGTCGCTTGCATAGTCAATCCATCACTCACGATATTGGAGCCCCTCGGCGATTTGTTTAAGCTATTGAAAATGTGGTAAGTGCTGGTACTTGGCTTCGTAGATAGAACTCACGAGGCGAAGCCTATCCATCATCGAGAGGGTTTCATGCGTATTAAGGTAAGAGTTCAAAGTCCCGTTCGGCATCCAGGGGGAAACTAATGCTCGAAATGAGCCGAATTGCTCGACAATGCCATGTAGGGGCAATACATATTGATGCTTCAACGGGGTCCATATATAGATCTCACGGTCAAGCTCCTGTAATTCGAAGTTCAGATATGCAGCCTTCAGACTGTACCCCAGTATACCTTGTTGATTCTGACACATTCATGATCACTCAGATTTGGGAATTGTGAGGCTTTAACCGCCACCTGAAGTCAGAGTCAGGACGTGTAGAAAAACCGAGTGTATGAAATACATCATCCGAACTCGCACCACGGTTCCATATACACTTGTAAACATCTCCAATACCACCTGAGGCGGTTGGGTAGCTGGTGTATTTGAGGATATCACTTGGTTGGATGCAGAGAACCCTAATATCGTCGGAGATCGTTTGCTGGACGTGAAAGTTGCGAATCAGGCGCATTTCTACGTCAGAAGTAGGGTGATGTTCATTGAGGAGGCTGGCAATGGGGGTCTGGCTTGCGGGAATGTCATGAACAAGATGTGCTTGGTCGATCGGTACGCGGCCAACCTGTCACTCAGAGTGAGATGAATATGTCTCCACGGATAATGACAACAAATATACAAGACCAAAGAACCGTTTCAGGCGGGAGAGCATGCTCCCGGAAACTCCATTCACGTCGCGAATCGGGCGCCTGTCTGTGTCGGTAGTGTGGTTGGAGTCGGTGTTAGAGGGTCGCGTGCTCCGCTTTGTACTGGAGTACCCGCGGGAGACATGAAATCGTTGTTTGCATTTTCGACTACCAGATGTTAGGTACTGTCAGGACTCAGGACCCAGAAAGGGAAAATAAACACACTAACCAATCAATCGAGCATCCAGCCTGCCGTTCAAGCGAATATATAACAGGCCCAATGTCAAGGCGATTCACATCGCCGCAAAAGGGACATCGGTAGGAAACTTCAGAGTATGATGGTGTCTGCTGTTCGATGACAACCCTCATAATGATCTTCGTGCCTGCTTCAATACTTGGCCATTGATAGCTTGTTAGTTGGGTTACTTGTTTGTCGTCGTCCATGCACAAATCATACTGTCCTTGCTCCATATACCATCTCTGAATTCGAGCCTCGACCGAGTCGTGTTTTAATAGAAGTTGGAGCATCTCGTTGAATCGCTAAAGACAATTGCATGAGTAAGCTTCTCCAAGATAGATTTTATGGCGAGGCTTACCTCAAATGAGTCGCAGACGTCCATCGGTATTGGATGTAAGCGGCCTGTTGCATCTACCAGCGTCACAAAGCCAAGTGTCACGACCGGCCCCACAGAGGGCTGCCCAGGGAAGAACGCGCTTTCAATTCTCATCAGGATTTCCTGCTGCCTCTGCAGAATTGTCAACACTTCGTGGACGTCACCTCCGCTTTGCATTTGGGACGACAACTAATGAGCAGAGTATGAGCGAATACGAACAATCTTCAGAGAGTAGATATAACACAACCAAATAATCCGCCAGATAACGGTCGATTTTCGTAAAGCACCCAGCGATATCTTGTGTGACGGATGGGTATGCGAGAGAACGTTTACGCAACTCTGTCAATGTGGCTGAGGTGTCTAGCAGCATGCTAAGTGGCATTCAATGTCAGGTGAATTCAAACATCAACAAGGAGTATACCCAATAAGAATTTCCCTCCGGGATCGTTCACGATGATCTCGGGCACGTGGGGCGTAGTATAAATCGAGACGTAGTCGATCGAGTCGTAATGCCAGACTCCTTATTCTGACCATGTCTCTGCGATAGCATTAAAATTCAAGAATGTCCTCGTGACGACACAACTCTCACATCCATGACTTGAAAGATTTCTAATAATCCACCAATAGTGGCTTTGATCGGAGCACCAGCAAGTGGAATTGCATCTGCAATGGCCTTGACAGAGGGCAAAAATGTCTGAGCCATGTCAGATGCTTTGCGGGCAGAGGAATCGCCCCGAGAGGATCCGGTGGAGGGAATGGCCAGAGAACCAGGGTGCACTGGTGGTGATGAATTCGAATGGAGAGTGAGTGAAGGAACGGAAGAGCCACTAGGGATATCAGCAGAGATGGTGTCATCGCCTTCATGGTGGGTGATTGTTGAGTTAGGTTGCGTGTGTCTGTTCTTTGCGGGGCGCCTCGATCGAACTGCAAATACTTTGCCCAGATCGAAATCCTTGATGAAACCCTTGATGTAATTCTTGACTAGCTTGACTCGTGAAGAGGACATTTTAATCAGATGGGTAAGAGAATGGATAAGAGGGAATACGAGACGTAGGGGAACGAAGGAGTCGAGATACTTAACAGGCAGCTGTGCACTACAACACAGCCCAATCGTGCATGCACAAGCCTCGCAGTATATGTGTGTGCTTCAATACATCACGGTAGTTCTAGAATGACATGCGGCGATCACGCTGGCCACCGATGATATCGATCAGATTTAAGATCTTAAAGTTGAAACGTTGAAATATCACAGCTCCTCCAAGTGTGCTACCGCGACACCGCGTAGTTATAGGTAAAGAGTTTCAAATTTACATGACTATTTCTTCTCGGCTCTTTCCGCAGCAAATCGAACGTCCCTGGCTAAGCGTGCACAGTGGCACTGCACACAAGCACAGAAGACTTCATCAATTAGCGCTTAGCGTCCTACTGCACGAAACCATCGAGCCAAGCTCCTTTCAAAATGGAGTGAGAAGCCTTGCCGCCGTCTATTGCTCATCGACAAGTCAAGAGGTCCGCCACCCAGGTTCCACAGTGGACTATGCACAGCACCACATTTTGTCAAGGTTAGCATAGCTCGACGTTCGACTCTGATGCCCACCGACCAGCTCAACCTAGTGCTTCCTCTGTGACAAAAGTTCAAGGTGTTGGATGGCCAAGCACGACGTCAAGACAATATGCACGTGGACTTTGCCAGAGGTCGACTAGATGAGTGAAGAAAGTACAGTTAGGAATGAGGCACTCATGGTCTAGCATAGGAAATATCATTCCTGCATGCGAGTGGCACGTCTCACCGCTCACTCGGTCCTACTTCGTCAACCACAATACTCGGACCACAATCTGGAAGAAGACAGCGCCGGGAAGCTCGACGGCGGAGTGTGTCATCGACTTCACGTTCACGCGGTCTTGCACGCTTTAGCACTAGTCGATAAAGTGGGCGCATATAACGATGACATGATTCGTGCCAGTAGACAAGAAACGGAGAATCAGTTGGAGAGGTTGGAATCCTACCAGGGGAGTGACGATCTCACCAACAGTGCGTCCAGAGATACTTTTTCGCAAAGCGATACGTTCTTGGGGGAAAATGGTCCGCGTGTGCTTGCATGTCAGCAACGACATCATTGTGCCTTCTTGATTTCTCTGAACCATTGAAATCAAGAAGGCACGATGATGTTATGTTGGTCATGTACCTAGTTGCATCATCCAACAATGGTGGTCCTTTGATTGAGAGGAGCTCGCTAATCTCTGGGGACCAATCATTCCCCTCCGCCTGTCCCCGGATGTAATGCCAACCTGTCTGCGCCTCAGGTCACCATTGGTGCTGTATCGGACGAATACATATATATGAAGTCGTTGCGGACTTTGCTTTGGTGGTCTCCGCGTCAGTCATGAGGTCTTCCACTCGATAATTTTCTCCCTACTGTGCGCTTTTTTAGATTAAGTTTGCCTTACGCTCAGCCACCATCGTGTTCGGGAAAAGTTGCAATGCAGCATCAAATTCTGTTCAAACGTCTCTCACCGAAACACCGAATCGATAGATTATACTTAACGAGTGCACTCATTACTGAGTACTGAGGTAGTACACTATTACCAATTGATACGCATACGCGTTCCCGCAAAGCAATTGTTTCATACCAAACACAAAGGATGAGGGGTTGTTGAGTGGAAAGTTGAAGGAAGGCCCCAAGGCCGATACCATAGATCCTGCAAAAGGCGATCAGAGTCACGTACCAAAGACAGCGAGGTGGGGTTGAGACAGGAAGCGGCTGCAAACCCAGCTGATACGCATGTCAGCGAAAAATCTGATCACATGAAAATATCGAGCTCGCACTACAAAAAAGCGAGTTTTTAATAACACCGGTAATACAGTCTCGAATGGACCATCTCGTTGGTAGTTACCGCAGTTCACGGAAGTGTTTAAAAACAACCCAGACTGCAAGGCACGGTGCGAAGACCTCCCGTGCAGTGTTGAGTGTCCAAGTCTTGAAGTTTCGGTCAGAATTTGGCTGACCCTCGTAAATGGATAGCTGTCGGAAAGGGACAAGCACCTCTGGAATTCGTTCGATGAGCGTGCGCTTAGATGATTTACCCATAATGCTTACTCACTAGTATGTAACCGCTTGGTATTGCGCCCATCGCTCCGTAGGTGAATAGGATCTGCACCGGCCTGTACAACGGGTGAAAATGTCTAAACCACGTTGAAAGCCATGCGAGAGGGTTCGCCCCAGGTGCATCCGGTGAAAGATGCATTGGTGGAGACTTCGGGACCCGGCTCTCTTGGCGATAGATTAGAATGGAGAGGTGAAACAAAGCGAAAGTCGTTAGTGATGTCTACAGAGATAGTCATCGCCTCCATGGTGGGCAGTTGGCGAACTGCGTTGCGTGCGTCTGTTTCGTATGGGCGCCTCGATCGAACAGTGAATACTTTGGCCAGATCGAAGTCCTTGATGAGATCCTTGACCCGCGAAGAGGGCATTTTGATCAGATGGGTTGAAGGTAGGAAAGAGAGAAAATAAGACGTAGTGATGCGGAGAAGGAATGTGGTCGATATACTTACAGGCAGCTGCGTACAACACAGCTCGATCATGCATGAACAAGCTTCGTGTATGTATCGCCTGTTCTTGCGGAAGTGCCAAGGCCCAAAGTGCCAAAGGGTACCAAACAAAAGACTTCGATGAAAACCGAACACGGGTAGGTCTCATTGACGATGTAAATACAGACACGGACGTTCATCTAGGTCAGGATATTGGTTATGACATGACTAGATGGTGAGTACTTGATTCCTAGTGACCTGTCCATGTCAAGAGTTGTAGCGCACAATGTCAACAGTACTTGGTAATATCTTGGCAGTTGAGCAATTTTTGCGATGCCAAGGTCCATATTCGATAGTGCAACACAGTATAAATTTTTTTCAGAGGACTCATACTATAACTCATGACCCTACCCTCTTCTAGTGCCACTCCCATCGTCCCTGCTCTCCACTCCCACCTTGCTGTCATTTCTGTTCCGCAAATAGTCATATTCTCAAAGGTAAATGTAAGATAGCCGATCGCGGTTGTCTTCCTCAAAGACATCATGTAACCATGTCTATGCAAGAGATTACTTTGCCGTACAGACGTCAACATGTTAAGGTCCAATGCAAACCCTTCGCTTATTTCGACGTTCGACCTTAAATCATGCACTTGACTTGCTGGTCAAGGTTATATGGATGGTGATAGCACTTCATTTGATGTTCTCATGTCAGGGTAGATAACTTTACCGCCATGCTACCTAACAAAGGCAGAATCTTGCCCAAGAAGCAGTCACAGCCACCGGGAACGCAGGGTGACCCTTCAACTTGAAGTTGTCACTGGCAGCCGTGTGATATACTTACGACCCTTCCGTTGGGACTTTCCATTGGTAGCGAATTATCGAGGACAGTGATTCCTGACATCAAATGAAAAAAATGTAGTGCCGCAACTTGGTACATTAATGTCGTACAATTTTCATTAGGACGCCACCGCCCACAAGTTCACAACCCTTACAAGTTAACGAGATTCCGATGTGCCATATAAGTATTGTACGCTGGTGATTAGCAGCCCATCCCTCACTCTTTGAATTCGACATTTGATCTGCACAGTTTCATGTCGGGACTAAAAGAATCTATTTATGCTCTTGACTGGAATAACAACACAGCAGGTTCGTCAGCTTTGTTGGAAACGAACCATCGTACTGAAATTCGTCGGTTTCCAGTTGTAATCATTACCCTGATAACCTATGAATACAGTCAGTAGCTTTCATGAACCTTGCAGTGCGACTGAGCGTAATATTATCCAGTGCTTCAGTTCGAGAAAGAGGTAACGAGGGGGTCGTTTCATTATCGTCGAGTACTCATGATCATATTATCGCAGGTCACGTTTGTTTGGGTTAGAGCTTAACCCCAATGATGCGAAGATCCAGGACTGACTGTTATGCAGGAAAGACAGTGGTCTGTGATGGCATATTTATACCTTGTTGTGAGCTCCACTCTGCTGAAGTGCTTCCTGGTTTCCCATTTTTGTTGCTATGTCAGGTTCGATATTTTGGTATTGCCCTTGCAATGTATGTCGCAGTGGTTGTATTCTTCAGATGGTACATTGTATGTTGACGCTGATTTCTAGGATTTGCGCCGTCTGTACGTGGCGTGCTACAGACTGAGTCGTCATTAACTAACTAGCGCTAGGGGGAGGTCTAATTTATATACCTGAAACAGTGAGTGTATCGATTCTTTCTTTAGAGAGTTCTTGATTGACCCAGATTCAGCCGTACGTCAAAAGTTCGTTTTACAGCTAGGTCTGATCTGCCGCTGACCTTTTGTTTAGTTGTGAGCCTATCGTATTCAGCCGAAACTAGCTCAAAGTTGCTCATCATGAAATTGAAATAGGTTATGGTATGCTTCTGTTCATGCAATGGGGTTTTTCTCTATATTTTTGCTTGGCGGAAGGTAAGTCATCCATACGTTCTCGCACCTTTGCGCTTACCGATTTTGCGTTTGCAGTTGTTCTCATCTGGCGTCTTTACGTCCTATACAACCAATCCAAGATCATACTTTATGTTCTACTGGGGTTGTTCCTACCTGTCATCGCACTCTATATATCAATGGATGCCTTTTTATGGAGTCGACGCTCAGCGATGTCAGGTGAATTTCTATTTTCGTTGAATTCTTTGCAAGCTGATGCCCAGTTGCATAGTGCAAGAAGTAATAATAACTCCAAATGTGAAGTACTGCACGGCTACCCACCACATCGGGCCTATGCCTGCGATATATGCTTCCATCCCCATCATATGCTATGACATTCTCCTGGTTGTCCTTGCTATGGCCGTCCTCGGGAAGCACCTGAAAGAACGAAAGGAACTTAGATTGAAGCCTAGCACCTACATAGTAATGATCGTCCGGTATCATGTCATATACTTTGTCCTGTAAGTTCCCCTTCGTTTGTCGTGTTTCTTAGTATTCATCGGATCACGCCAGGAATCTGGCAAGTCAAATCATCATGGCGATATTGTGGGCCCGCCCTTCGGTATGATCTCCTGTGAATCTAGAGAGATCTGCTCTAATACATGTACTGCACAGATAGTGGTGCTGAAGCTCGTACTATTGTATAAGGATACCGCGCCATTAATTATCGTGCCACGTTTTATCATCAGCATTTGGGATACGCATGCCAACGATAATTGTGTACATGTCAGTACGACGTTCGAGGAATGTGTCTGTTGGACTTCCCCACCGCAATTGGAGCAGCTCGAGACTGACCATGTTGCGAATTGAGGAAGGAGGTAGAGTGAGGTCCATACTTTCCCCTAACTAGTGTACGCCTTGAATACCTATTCAGCTAAATATTTGTCTCTAGTATTTTTGAATGTAGATTTACCGTAGATATATCTGTGCATTGACTACCGCGACCTGCACGTTCGACTAGGAATTCCAGGTAAGGAGTCTGAGATAAGACTGTCATCTTGAGCTCATCCAGTATGTCACTTGAATATCATCATTATAGCTCGCAGCCCAAACATGCTGGATAATCCTTAGATACTTATAGTAATGTATACTGACAATAGTCGGATCAGAATGACAGTAAACGGGATCCGCTCGTGGAAAGACAATATCGTAAACACGATCATGTCACTTGTCTGGGCATAACTTGTAGACGCTTCCCGTGTGACGAGATTCTTCACCCTAGGGTCAACCTTCATGTGTCGTCACTCTGCCCAAAGGCCACAACATCGACATTAATTTTGCGAAGTTCTAAACGATGATTCAGCATTTACAGTCCTGATACGAATGCGCTTCAGCCCACCTCGTAAAACATCTATGACCTGCTCTTCTGTCTCGCCAACACCAAGCATGATACTTGTCTTGGTTATGTGGATACCTTCCTTCTTCACGTGTTCTGCGAAGTGATGTGCACCACCATCTACAAGGTCTGCAGAGAAAACAACCCGCCTGCGATCTAAGGTACATAGCTGCAAGACACGCGTATGAGTAATATATCAGCATCGCAAAAACAAATCATTGACGGGGCTGAGAGATGATGCGAACTTACATTGTGCACGAATAGTTACGTCTGTCACGTCGGGAGGATACCACGTACAGCGAGTGTTGCGTACGTATGTCAGAAACGACCAAACCAGAACGTAGTCAGGTCCTCATGATATGTGATCTTGGCCCGCATGCGTTGATGCTTCTCGAGTCAAGTTTGGTGGTTGATGATGTTTAGGAGTATAGGTCCGAGGCGAGGAGGTCACAAGGGCATGGGGTGAGGGCGTGGCATGGGTGGGTGCATGGGTGTTGAGCAGGGAAATAAGGAGTTAGCTAAAGATGAGTTGAAGTGACTACTGAACGGACATGACTTGCAATACCATGACCGTGACATACTTCCTGCATACGGTGGCACACGTCCTGCAACCGTCTGCGTGGCATAGGCCTTCGTAATGGTATAAACCACAGGTCAGTGATCGATTGATATACAGAGTCAATGTAAGGTTCATAGTGATGAAGTCTTGATGACGAAGTACATAATCGGGCGTACCGTTGTGAGGCACTGGAACAAGCCATGGTACCTGACGAAGATATCCTGGAATTGTGGAAAGACGGGCTAGAATTCAGTCACAACTAATGTTACCTCTGTACTTGTTTGTCGTATGCAGACTAGGGAAGACGCTTAACCATGGACATGCAGGACGTCGCCTGGATACAATGTCTGGAATCGAGTAAAGCGCAGAACGATCGATTCAACCATTAACCTACAAAATTCGTATTGTATGTGTCCTGTACAGAGTAAAGCAAGGGTATGCATAGTCAACGAAGGCCAATACACATACAGCACAAGGGCCGTCAAACATTGTAGCACTTGTCATCCAATGATTCTAAATTATAATCCAAGTGCTGGTCGCCTAGCGTGTTCGAATCGTCGACTTCATTTTCATCCATAGAATCACACACCTCATCATCAGAAAAATACTGGCCCTCAAATGCCATACGCAACGCTGTGCTCGGGCTGAACAGCGTAAACTTCGATTTCCCCAGGTGGACCTTGACCACCGAGAACATATATCCTTTCGGTGGCGAGTCGCTTCGTGCGCGAATCTCGTCAGCGATCTCCAGCCATATGGGGTCTTCCCCAGGGAATTGCTCAACCTTGTGCACGGGGAGTACATGAATCTCCGGCGGGTACACACTCAGGTCGAGCATGAGAACGAGTTTATGACTGAATGCAGGGAACTGCTGCTGTGCTTCACGAACGCGTGTGTCCACGTCTTTGGCCATTCCCGAGATCTCACTGGTTTCGAAGCCTGCAATAACTTGAAGGCTCGTACGGATATCGCGTGATCCCCACGGCCCTGTTGGCAATTCGATTTGGAAGTATGAGGCGAGGACAGAAGAAACTCACCAACGGTGCACCTCAGAACTTGACACCACTTCTTGTGTCCATTGCGCCAAGCGGTCCTTTGGCATTTCTCCGAGCAATAGATCGATACCAAGCAGCCTGAGCACCGACGCTTTTTACTGACAAACTTGAATGTGCACATCGGACACTAGCACACATCAGTATCCACATAATGCAATTAGAGATGATCAACGTACTCCTGGACCACTGCACCTGTATTCATGGAAGTTTATAGGTTCTACACTGCGATGGTCCATAGCATGGATAGTAGATGTCAAGACGAGTTCGAGAGCAACCCCCAACCCTTTGTCGCGTATCTCTCGTTTTTCCATAGGAGCACTTGACACGCGAAACCAGTGTCGGGAAATAGATTCAACGACCCTGTGGTATATGAAAAATGTGGCGAGAAGGAAGAGCAACTCTATGTCACCCAAGCGGCCACGGGCTGGGTGATCGCAACCGCTGGCGTGAGGCGGGCAAACAACCCCCTTTTCCAGCGTTTGAAGGAGGCCAGCATCGATTGCCTGGCATACGGCTGCTACTCCGTCATCTGCATCGCGAATAGCGGATGCGATGTACGAGTACCCCGACCACAGAACGTTCTGCCTACCCGCGAGTCCCATCTCTGGATGAAAATCCAATTCCTTGTTTTTTTGCACTAAGATCCTCGGTAAGATCTGCGTAATTGCATCCACCACCGTACGAATCGAACCTTGGCGGATAAGTTGCGCACGGCATGAAGCATCTTGGCGACTGATAGTCTGGATAAACTGGAAGGAATAGTGGAGACCAACCGTATAGAAATGAAGTTGTTGTACGCTCCGATTGCACGTCGTCCACGATCGAGGTTCTTCTACTGCAGTAACATCTCTGGTGATCCGACGGATGTATCTGAGGAGGGTGAAGACAACGGGCTTCACCCCTCCGGCAGCATATATATAATTCGATAATGGAAGGGTGATTTTGTCTGGATCTTCAGATTCAGATACGCAAACTTGGTTTGTTAGCGGAAAAGATGCCCGGAGCATCGAAACAAGGCCATCAGTTGTAGTTCCGGGGTCGCCTGGGAGTACATCTCCCCTAAGATTTCCAACCAATATCCATAACTGCGCGACAAAGTGCTGGACAGAAACAGAAGAACGGAGCAAGTGACGCCCTTCTTCCGATTTGGTGCAGATTAATGAAAGCGGAGTGACGCACAATTTTACAGCGTCGAAGACACTGCAAAGATCTGGGCGTGGAGGAGTAACTGAGACATCATAAGGAGGGGGGAGGCAATTTCGAGCGAAGAACCGCATCCACGGGTATACTTCATCCCACCTCCTCACAATATACTTTGTCACGGCGTCGTCCTCGCCATCAAAAGCTGAAGAGGTGACCGTAGAAACCTTCAGCAGTCCCATGAGAGCCCACTTCGCGCGTACTGATGGTAGGAATAGTCTTAGGATTGATGTAGTTTGGTACTTGAATTGATTTAAGCGTCGCGTGAAAGATGGGCACCAAGCAGGAAAAACGGGAAGATTTGGGGGTTGAAACAAAATCAACCAGCCTTAACAGATCTGTGGTGGATCCCTGTAAAGCCTTCTTTGCGATGATCTTGAGTACATGTTAGTGATGAAATGAAGTTTGTATGATAAGAGATTCAACTTGTGTTGCTACCGGCAAAGACTTCAGTGCTTTTGCTTCATCTGCAGTGAGCTGCAAGCTTGATCCTACTGCGACAAATGGCATGAGGAGTATGTAGTGGAGCTGTATAGTGTGATGGGCTTCAGCGGGGGACAAGTGGAAATTGATAGATGTTTGGTGAGTCGAGCTTTGGGACCGTTATCATGATGCCGTGGTCAACACCCCAATTACAAAAGCCTCGTGTCTGTATTTCGATATAAGTGCGTAAGATCCATTGAGACGTCTTACTGAAGCATGTCGTTTCTTGAGTCATTATAAACAGAGATATTAATTCCTTCCGCGATTCCTTCGTTAGGCACCTGTGTGCGCTCAACAAATGATTTGGCCTGAAGTGCATGTCCATAGCTTGTAGATTGCTTGACATCATTATTGTTGTGGCGATCACTGAGAGATTTGGGCTTAGAGCAGCGTTCAACATTGAATGTTGAACGTTGAACTTGAACTTGTGGGGTAAAGCAGTGTTGTCAATTACTGCGCGTTGAATTATGTAACTACTAATTACTAATTAAGGTCCTCGCCGTTGTCACACCGCCGCTGGTCCCGTCGATTTGTTTTGTGTGGCTCCTCCATGGAACTTACTACATGACCCCTGGCATCAATACAGTCTGTCTCAGAAACATGCTTTAAAGTTTTGCTACTCCCGGCCATAAAATTGCCCACAAACGACTGTGTGCAGACGACTGTAAGTAGTACCCGACTAACTATAATAGCATGCCAATGATGCCATGCTGAATGCCTGCGCAGAGGCAGCGGACTTCGAAACGAACAAACGAGTGCGACACCGTGACAACCTGCACCTCCGAGTCCGAGTCGACCAATATATTTCGGTTCTTGTGACCGCACTACTTTTGAAGTGATGGTGAGCATATTTTATTATTCTTCAGTGATACACTAATCTCATACGTATACTGGACCTAGGACGCATCAATCAGTCAGGAAAGTGCCGTGTCTGCTTTTTCGACTGCCATTATCGCGCGCAGCTGCTCTCTGTTCTTGGATTTAGGCCTGAAAACTCGCACTCCAGCCACCGACCTCCCTACCGAGATTCTCCTGAGGATCTTTCACCTGGTATACGCAGATAACATATCCCTGCAGCGCGAATCATTCTACTCTGATGTCGTGTGTGAAGACTGGACACACGAGGAATCCCTTTCCCCTGCATTGTTTCCTTTTGCTATTGCTGCAGTTTGTTCTCGTTGGTGTGATGTTGTAGCGACTGTTCCCGAGTTTTGGACTCGGATGACAGTCACTGTGGACAAAAATCCTACCGATGTTTCTGCAATTCGAGCATGCCTGCGGTGGTCGCGTTCGCTTCCGCTTGACATCACAATCACGCGCAGCGTCATTGATCATGACACTCCTGATGAGGTCGAGTGTCAGCGCGCCCAGAACATCAGAGCATTGCTTCGGCCGCATTTGAACCGCATCCGTCGTCTGCACATCTCGGTGTTGCATAGCGCCACACTTCCTTTCTTGTTTACCGACCTTGATGGACCTGCCGAACTGTTGCAGAGCCTTAAGCTGGCAAGCGCCATCGACGATGGAGACTCTACGCGAACACGCCCTTCTCATGGACCTCTCGTTGCGCCAGTCTTAGATACGCTCGACCTCAGTGGTCGCTGCCTCCAGGATGGCTTGCTGCAAAAACCAGCCCAAACCGCTCTCATGTCAAAAATTACATCCGTTAACATCTCACGTTACCGTCCTTCAGGCGCAAACGCAAAGGGGCTCTCCCTGTGGCAGACACTCCGAACCCTCAGCCAGCTTCCCGTGCTCGATGATCTCACTCTCTGTGATGTTCACTTTGATACAAACCAAGGCACTTTGGCAGGGGCTACATTTTCACTCAACGGTTTACAAACTCTCGCGTTCGAGAAACTAGACGACGGCAATGTTCTCAAGATTTTTTTTGCAGTCCTCATCAGAGCCCGTCTCTCGTCCACAATAATCACAGACTGTAAAGTCAACGCTCTCTTTCGTGTCTGCTTTACCGACTATCTTACGTTCGAGAATATGGACGTGTCCAAAAATTTCATCAACATGCTCCGTCATTGGAATGGGAGCAGTCTCACCCTTGACAACTGTGCTGGCGTTGATGACGAGTTTTTCGACGTTATGACTAGGCCTTTCAAGAGCACCTCGGAGGAAGAATGCTATATGGCGCCCAGGATGACAAAGTTGCGATTACTGAATTGTGATCGCTTCACTGCTCCGGCGTTGAGGAGATTCATCCAAGCGCGAGTGCGTGCTGCAAGAGCTCCGCAATGGAGTTTCCTGAATCCACAGGCGACCGAGTCTGACGAAGAAGATATGCTCACGATGAACACGAAGGCGATAGGCTGGTTGGATGTCAGAGGTCGTGGACCTGTGATCGCGGAGGCAGATGCAGTGTGGTCGTCGGAACACGTTCGGATGTTTAGCTGGGACGCTTTACAGCCAGATGGGAAGAGGTATGTGGTGGAGTATTATTCGAAGAAGGTGGTCGTCAAGTAGCATTTTTCTCGGTTGCGCCAGCAGCTGGAATGTTTCCTTGCATCGTTCTTGATCTTTCGTCTTTGCTAGATGCTGGAATGTTTTTCTTCCCATCGTTCTTGAACTTCCTTCTTTGCATATCATGCAAACAACGCAACGTTCTTGATACTTTTGACCTAAGCTTCGGGGTTTAAGGTGTATCTCATAGCCATCCCAGTGATTATCTCTGCCCTCCGTAGCAGCGTTTTGATTCTTGGTTAAGGGCCGTTCTGGCACAGTGGGCCTGCTATGATAAGACAACACCCGGGGGGCTCTACTATAATGCTGTCAACCCACTCCCTCACCGGGGGTGCCCCGCTCCACATTTCCAAGGCTGTCAAGGTGTAAGCTCCTTGCTTGCTAGCGTGTGTCATCACTATGCAAGTTAACAGTCGTCCATAGCAGCGCAATGCCTTTGGATGATTGAAAGCCGTTCTGGTCCGATTCACCTTTAAAATCATGTAATCGTGGGGAGGGGCAACACCCTGCCAATTTCAATTTGATGTCATCTATCGTACCAGGACTTCTCATGTTAGCTCTTATCCTTTGTATTGCCTCAATTTCATCTCCTGTTCGCTTGTTCTTGCCCAATACTTTTTCCTCCAGCTGTGTCTTCGTACCTCACAGCTCACAACATCTTCACACTTATCGTTTTCATGATGCTCTCCTTTGTCGTGGATATCGCGATTGCATGCTGTACCGTATGAACACTTGCAATGAACTACATATCTTGTCCCACCCTATTTTTAGCCCGCTTTGAATGTACTCGGGAACTTGAAAGCTTGAACGACCACGGATGACCGCAACAACGACGTCTTTCTTTTCAGCTTCTCTGTCCGCTATGAGGAAGTACCAATGCTAACACAATTCACAGCGCGCGCGCAACCGCATCTCTGATGGAATCAGCATGCCTTGTCCGTCGTTACATGCTCTCACAAAGCAGACTGGCATCACGATGCGGCGGCCATACAATCAGCTCACGTCGTTCGCATGGACAATCCTAATCTCGGACTAGATGCTGCGCATAGAATAGAATACAAAGTATGATCCACTGCACAACAGGTCACATCTAAATTGTATCTGAAATCTCCACAATAGATCCATTGCTGCGGTCATCGTTGGTATCAAGGTCTGCAAATTTTGATTTTAGTAGTTGCGAGGAATGGAAAGGGCTTTGGAGAGACTCACTCCTCGCGGCACTTTTGCCAGTGTTGTCCATGTGCCATGCGGCTCAAATCAAGCTCAGGACCTCCTCTGGGTATCACTAATACAGTCCCAGGGCTATAAAATAGGCGTCGGGAAGCGGGTGGTACCCATAATAACAGCCGACGCTCGGGCCCTACTACCCACCCACTGTCACTATTCAGGAAAAAGGGGGTCGAAGTGCGGTCGCCATGGGATGCTCCCCCCGTTAGCTCAGAGGTGTCTCGGAGCGCATGGATAGAGCTGGACGAGAAGCAAATGAAGTGATTGTCATGAGTGTTCAATGTCATGGGAATGGTGGCCTCGATTGTGCAGTGTTCATCTGAGGATGCTGGATGATCTGACTCAGCGCACTGTAGCGATGGCTGCGTCGTCCCTGCACGCCACAGCCTAACAGTCTTATCTGCAGAACCAGTGACGATATGAGTACCGTCCGGCGAGAACGAGACGGAATTAACTGAATCAGTGTGCCCCCGCAAGGGCGCACCGACTGGCTTCCCTGTCACAGCATCCCACAACCGAACGGTCTTATCTGCCGAACCAGTGACGATGCGAGCGCCGTCCGGCGAGAACGAGACCGAATTAACTGAATCAGTGTGTCCCCGCAAGGGATCACCGAATGGCTTCCTCGTCCCTGCATCCCACAGCCGAACAGTCTCATCCCTTGAACCAGTGACAATGCGAGTGCCATCCGGCGAGAACGAGACGGAATTAACTGAATCGGTGTGCCCCCGCAAAGGCTCACCAACTGGCTGCCCTGTCACAGCATCCCACAGCCGAACAGTCTTATCCGCCGATCCAGTGACGATACGAGTGCTGTCCGGCGAGAACGAGACCGAGGTGACCGAGGAAGTGTGCCCCCGCAAGGGCTCACCGACGCGATTCCTCGTCACTGCATCCCACAGCTGAATAGTCTTATCATCCGAACCAGTGACGATGCGAGTGCCGTCTGGCGAGAACGAGGCCGCGCTAACTGAAGCATAATGCCCCCACAAGGGCTCACCGACTGGCTGCCTCGTCGCAGCATCCCACAGCAAAACACTCTCATCCCTTGAAGCAGTGACGATGCGAGTGCCGTCCGGCGAGAACGAGACCGAGTTGACTGGATGAGTGTGCCACCGCAAGGGCCCACCGACTGACTGCCCCGTCACAGCATCCCACAACCGAACAGTCTTATCTGCCGAACCAGTGACGATGCGGGTGCTATCTGGCGAGAACGAGACCGAGATAACTGAAGAAGTATGTCCCTGAAAGGGCCCACCGACTGGCTGCCCCATCACTGCATCCCACAGCCGAACGGTGTTATCCCAAGATCCAGTGACGATGCGAGTGCCGTCAGGTGAGAATGAGACCGAGTAAACTGAATCAGTGTGCTCCCGCAAGGGCTCACCGACTGGCTGTCCTGTCACAGCATCCCACAGCCGAACGGTGCTATCCAAAGAACCAGAGATAATGCGAGTGCCGTCTGGCGAGAACGAGACCGAGTTAACAAAAGAGGTGTGGCCTCGCAAGGGTTTACCGACCGGCTTCCCTATCGCTGCATCCCACAACCGAATGGTCTTATCTGAAGAACCAGTGACGATGCTAGTGCCGTCCGGCGAGAACGAGACCGAGTTAACTGAAGAAGTGTGCCCTCGCAAGGGCTCACCGACTGGCTTCCCTGTCCCTGCATCCCACAGCCGAACAGTGCTATCCAAAGAACCACTGATGATACGAGTGCCGTCCGGCGAGAATGAGACCGAGTAAACTGATTTAGTGTGCCCCCGCAAGGGCTCACTGGCTGGCTTCCCCGTCACTGCGTTCCACAGACGAACAGTGTTATCCCAAGAACCAGTAACGATGCGAGTGCCGTCTGGTGAGAACGAGACTGAGTTAACAAAGGAAGTATGCCCCCGCATGGGCTCGCCGACTGGCTGCCCCGTCGCAGCATCCCACAGCCGAATAGTGTTATCCCAAGAACCAGTTACGATGCGGGTTCCATCCGGCGAGAATGAGACCGAAGTAATTCTGTCAGTGTGCCCCCGCAAGGGCTCACCGACTGGCTCCCCCGTCCCTGCATCCCACAATCGAACAGTCTCATCCCTTGAACCAGTAACGATGCGGGTGCCGTCCGGCGAGAACGAGACCGAAGTAACTGGTTTTGTGTGCCCTCTGAGGACGGTCTGAACAGCCGGCCAGTTCATGTCACGTCCAAACGCTACACGAAGAATATTTGGAAATCGTGCAGAAAACTTTCCAGATAGCGGAGAGTTGGCAGGTGAGAATGGGAGTGCTGATACATACAGATGTGGCGTGCTGTGTAAAATGATGCTGCCAAAGACTTGAATGAACCTCTGTACGTCCATTGCAGTCGATGCGACATCTTTGAATTCGGAATGGCCCTGTGGTTGTGCGTAAGAGCTTTATCTGACACCTAGTCGCAGTATGCTTACCTTCAGCCACTGGGCAATGGGCGGGAGGGCAGCAACTGCACCGCTGAGCGCATTAATCAGGGCGAGTGACTCGAGCCAGAAAAACAGCCGCTCGTGGTCGAATAACAATTTCACTTCTTTCGCGAGCTCCATGTCGAAAGCTGTGGTCCGTACGTGCGACGTCCAAAATCGAGAGGAGTATGACAGATGTGGGGGGATGCGTTTTTGGACTCGTTCTTGCAGCCCAGGATCTTCGCTATTAGGCAGATATGATGACTTTAAATCACAGATATTGAAGTGAAGACCGTGTTCCATCACTCGAAGTGATGCGAATGCAAGGTCGCATTGCGCCTTTGACAGGTCGATGAAAAACTCGCCGCTGGATGGTTTGTCTGTCAAGAAATCATGGAAGGATGCGTGAAGGGGTCGGATTGGGGAATCTGGGTTGGTGGTCCCGCTGAGGAGGGAGCCCATGCTTTTTACCACAAGCTCCACATCGAAATGGTCCTCTTCCTTTGGAAAATGTGACCTCATGACATTCAGGGAAGCTAAAGGAAGGGGTTCAGCTGTGCCTAGTATTTGTCCCATCACTGAGCGGAATGTCGCTAGCTTCGTCAAACGCAATTTCGGCGGATGCGCAGATGTATGCCCGTTCATGATATCTGCTAAAATGAGGTGATACATGTCATGCAACAGCGCACTTCTCTCAGCAGGGTCGCGCGACACCACAGCATTGTAGCAATCAAATGGAGATAGCCCCATATCGGACTCTTTGATGTATGCACAGGCGAGACGCGCCCACTCGAAAAGTCCATCAGCTTTCTCAGCGAGGACTGCGAACTCCCTGTCCTGGAAATCCAGCCCTTCCAACTCCTTGGATACATAGGCATGGATGTCTCGCTTTGCATCTGCTGGCGGAATATCATCCATCGACATCTGTCGAATATGCTGAACACCACGAAACTTGTCTTTGATGTCATCAAGCGGGCGAGAGGTAACGATGAAGCGGAAGTTGTCTGGGAGGTCTGTGATTTTGGGAACGGCGGGGTTTTGATGTTTGCCGGCTAGGATACGGAGGAGGTCTCTCCGTGTCTCTATTCCACCACTCTCGTCTATTGCGTCGATCACGATCACGATCACGATGGGTCCCGCAGTTGACCCAGATGACTTTCCCAGTGGTTCGATAAGAAGTTTCTGCCACTGCTGGGTGATATCCGCCGTATTCTTGAGCGAATTCGCGGTCTGAACTGCATCTGCTAATGCCCGCCTCATCTCTGGATCACGATCAGCCAGGTCGCGCGCGATCGTGGAAAAGATCTTTTCATGGCGACGATCTGCTTCTCGTTGGCGGTCAAAAGAGTAACATGAACCAAGCCCCCCTACGTCTTCGAACCACTTAGCAATCGTGTGGGCGATGGCCGATTTGCCCTTGCCTGCAGGGCCAGATAGCCACAGCACGCGCGGAATGTTGTCGCCAGTGCTGTTGACCCATTCCGTGATCTGAGAAAGGATTTCCGTGCGCGTCCCTTGAAGGCATTGTTTCCTTGTATCTAAGCCTGCGCCCGCTGCATAAGTCATACCACTGAGATCTAGTATTTCTCCTGAAAAGGTATGAGTATATGTCAAATCACGAGTACGTCCAAACCCTTACCCGTACGGTGGACGTGTATGGCTACATCACGAGTGACTTGGTCCCGAAAGTTTTGCATGAGCATATCCAACACGTCACTGTACTGTTGGATCATATCGTTCGTTTCCGAGATGAGGTTCTTTCCGACTCTCTTCCCTGTAGAAACTTGAGCCGGTGCAGAGCGCAACAACTTGTTAAGACTTACAAAAGTTCTTGGTCTCCGAATAATTTTTGATAAATTGAGCACATTCAAGGGTCTGCTGAGAGATCTGTCCAAGGATAACGCGCATCGACGAGATTTGGCCAAGCATCTGATCTTGTATCATAAAGCTGTAAACTTGACACAACTTCTTGAGAAGTTTGAGTACCGCTGCGTCGCGATCCGCTTGAGCTAGAATAATCTGCACAAATGATTGCTGAGCAGTGGGAGATAGGAAGAGACAAGAAGAAAACATACTTTGGCTGCACAAGATAACACGCCCAGTGCCATCTTTGCATATGGATGTACCTGTGGAACGGGTTTAGTTCGGTTCCGATAGTGAGGAGGGTCCATACATCTGCGATCTTCCCGATAACATCGTCGAATATCCTGAGGGGTTGGAGATATGTGTCCTGGAAACCGCCAGCAGCGTCGAGATCCGCTTGTGAGTCTTGGCCAACAGAAGCCACAGTTATCACAGGTCCAAAAAGTGGATGCATGCGTCGTGCAGCCCGCCGTGCATCCTGAAGTGCGGATTGGGTATCAGCCTCTACTTCTACACCGGACGGAGCAACCTGAACCTGTGCAACCACCAGAATTCAGGAAGAGCGCAGAGAGTGGAGGGCAGGCATGAGAACCTACCCCAATATTCGGGATCGATGAAGCACGTTCATGATAGACATTAGGCTCACGACTGCGGGAATCCTTCGAGCGCTTATGGCAATCTTAGTCGTATTCCAGGACATTCATTATGCATGTTCATGCACTTACAGAGGTTCTCAAGTTGTGCACACCATCCTTAACACGGCCCTTGACCTCCCCCAGAAACTGACGGAATTTGCCACGGGGTTGGTGCTAGACGAAGGATGCGTCGATGTCAGTGTTTTGAAGTGAACAACTAAGCGATCCTCATAAGGCACGTACCGAGCTTTCACGAGCTGTTGCTTCGCTAGATGTGTGGGTTTCTTGAGTTGAATCCCTCGATGAATTGCCTTTGCTCATTGTGAATAGTAGTTGAGGAGTAGTTGAGGCGAAGTATGAGAGGGAAGGGACCTACATCAATTGTGTATTTGAAATTATCGGGCCATCATTTTAAGTATGTAATAATGCAAGCTTGGCAGCACAGGCTTAGCATCAGACACAGGATGAATAGTTTAGATATCTATTTTGACAATGGTCCAACAGCATTCATGTAGATCCCATCATATAAGAGCATGCAGTCTCCTGCAGTGGTGGAACGAAGATAGAGTCGGAATTCAATAAGCACGTGTTGAAGCTGCTAACAAAGTAATTTCGTTAAATGTTCCAACGACCGACTTGAACGTCAAGAAGTTCAACTGCCTGCTCTAGCCTTCAATCGATGAGACCCAGAGGGTCTCCACCCTCTCTTCCGTTTCTCAATCTCTTCCCATGGTCATCACGGAACAAGAACATCGCACTACCGCATTCCAAACACTACTACGCCACCGAAAGTCCAAAACACGATGATGGCAAACCGTCATGGATTCACACTCTTGTACTTGGATTTTCATCATGGATACATTCGCATAGAGATACTACACCATCCAAGCCTACCCAAAGTTCAGGAAGCGGGACGAATCGGTGGGTTCACTATACCGCACTTGGGTTATGGAGAGATGCTTCGCAGGACCAAATCAAAGTCAGTTTTCGTTCTTCGTTATTGGTTCGTTCTAGTGACTGATATGGTGCTACAGCAAAGGTATTACGAGGTGTGGTTTGGTCATAGTCGATGCATATCGTTGAAGTGACGCGCGTGTAGCTGAGCAAGAAACACCATCCTGACGTCTCTCAAGATTCAAGTTCTCCCGAAATTTTCAAAAAGGTTACGGAGGCTTATGCTGTACTTGGAAAGAAAAAGACCCGGTGCGCCCCATTTTTTGAGACTCGGAGAACTATGACGGTGTACTGGTTCTGAATGTCATCGCAGACGGAAATACGATCAATACGAGCAGTTGCATTCTGCTCTTATCACGGGACTGCGAGAGGGGCAAGTGCCCTCGTCTTCACCCCGGCCGCTTGATCCCACTTTCTGGGATCCAGTAAAGTCAGGCTCATCGACGACGTTATATCGCCCGCCTGCTGGATACTGGACGGCAATGAACAAGATCACGCGAGAGAGGGAGAAGGAGAAGTTGAAAGCTCAAGCAGCTTCGTCCTCTCCCCAGAAAGCCATGCCTCATGACAGACCAGAAGAAAATGAGACTAAAGTTCGGTTAAGCGAATTCAAACTGAAAGTAATAATTGCATTCTCTGTGGTATTCACAGTGGTACTTGTCGATCGGGGAGTCGGGAGCTTACTTGGATATACCAGGGCCTTGCTGGTGCAATTACTGCAAGACAACAGTGAGAGTGAAAGCGGTGCATCACAGGGACGCATAGAAGACCCTACATCACAAACTACTGATGCCTGCACCGATGGACAGTAGATACGAGTTACATACCCGCGCAAGGAAGATGGCGTAGACAGGCAGTTAATGTATGTATCAGGTCATCGCGGAACAATTGATGTAGCATTAGGCTTTCAACTGACCACGAGTTTCGACGCAGTTCTACAATGCATGAATTCATGCATGCGCACTGCCCCACGGTGCACCCGCAAACTGGGCTATCACTAACATGCAAGTTAAAAGTCCAGACACCGCAAACACACGCCCTATAACACTCTCCGCTGCAGCTATGTCCTCATCCGTTTGCGTTCTTTCCGGTCGTGGTCCTCCTTTAGTCACATCTTCATTACTACCACTAGACGGGCCTGTTCCTGGTGGTGGATATGCAGACATACGACCAGTCGCTCGTTGGACGTGTGGGCTAGAAAACGGATTTGTGTGCGACCATGTATAGGATGTGCGCGAATGAGCATCCGGGGGAGGTCGATAATACGTGTATTTGCCGGCACGAGCACGCTCCCATGGGTGATCATAAGTTGCGTTTGGGTCATGCGCATGGCTGGACTTGGGGTCGCGGTGCTGATGTTGACGTGGATTATTTTGCCACGCATTACGTGACCCTGATTGGTTGGATGGACGTGTTGTAGTTGCTTGTGGGTGTTGAGAGGATGGTTGTGACGGTGATGCGTGGTGGATACTACGATCGTACGCTCGCCTGCCATCAAGTCATCAGGTCGGCATATCGGATGAGCGCTTTGAGACGTACCGCTTCCGATCGTCCCCGAGCACTGCGTAGGCTTCACTCACTGCGTGAAATTTTCCCCGTGCCGTACTGTCCTGGCTCACATCAGGATGGTATTTCTTGCTAAGCTAAGAGTCGGCGTGGTCCATCAGCAGCCACCCGGTGCTACCAATGAGAACGACTCACTTGGTAAAAGTGTGTCTGTGATGAGTTTGTGAGGGATAATTCCTTTCACAAAGAAAATGACCCATGCCTTAATTTGAGCCTTCGTCGCTGTGATTGGGACTCCAAGGGTCGCATAGTGATCGCGCGAGTGGGCTGCTCGTTGACACGTGGATGAGAAGCAGCGGGCATTACGGTGCCCTTTATGTCGCAATGTTGAAGTAACAGAAGGGAGCTTGTACGACGTGGAAGCAAGCCCTGGCGTGCATTTTGCTGCTGCCATGCTCATTACCGACGCTTGAAAGAACCGAGAAAACCGAGCGCACACCGACATCACGTGACTTTTCATTTACTCAAGGCCTGGAACTTGAAGCTTGAAGAGACACTCACACGTCGGAGTACTGTACGTGCCATTTCTTGATGAGGAGACCTGTCACTGTCAGTTCGAACTCAGGTTCAGAAAACTCCACAAACCCGACACACCGGGGTCCCTCTGGCCCTCGTATGTAGTCGGACAAGCAGGCGCTGAGAGCCGTGTCGATGATTCAAGCTATCAAACGTCCAAGATTACAATTTGAGTCTTCGAGTCGGACTGAGCTCGATGAAGCCTATGCCCCAGTCAGACTATCAATTTTAGAAGCAATGACTGACACTTCCCTTTGGTTCCTTCGGGAAGTTTGCCCACCTGAGCCCTCCTACATCAGTGCATATGGTTCGATATACACATATGGTGTCGGGGATACCTGTCAGTCCTGTGACACTAGGTACGTTATTCGGATCCCGCATATATACTTAAGCTTCATAGTGAAGCATACCTATCCATCCCCGGTTTATGACCTTTGACATACCCATCATTGACCTAAGGAAAGTAAAATGGGCTTCTTCTCCGGCGTGTCCCGTCTTTTCTTCGATATCGGGATCTTATCTTGGGATGTTCTCGTTACGCTCTCCAATCTCGTGAGGAGGAACCGCCGCATCAGACATGTCACCCCCGAAGGCCACCCAGGCTATGGAGGGTACTGGCCCGAGTATAGGCCTCCCAAGGGGACCGACTCCCGCTGCTCTTGCCCTGCACTCAATGCGATGGCCAACCATGGTGAGCCTGCCAGTCTCTGTGCTTGAGCGTAGGTGGCAGTGATGGTGTAACAACATTAAAACCCAGGCATCATCTCACGCAGTGGCCGCGAGATCTCGTTTGTCGAGGTTGGCCACCATATCCGGGCAACATACAACTTCAGTTCTACCTTCTGCTCATTTGTGCCGCACTTTGCCGCTCGCATGCTGAAGAAAAGCTACAGTGAAGATACATTTGATTTGGAAGAACTCGACCTGCACAATGGTATTGAACATGACGCCTCTCTCTTACGTGAGCAATTTTCACTGCTTGTTCTTGTAAATTATCTGACCTGATTTGTCTTCAGGCCTTGACGCTGCTTTTCAACCAGACCAATCGATAAAACACGTACCTTTAATTGAGGAGTTACTTGCAGCAGCGACCGGCAAGGACGAGGACGGCAATGATCTCATCACCACCAAAGATCTCTCCAGGATGCTCGGCAAGCGACGTGCAATCGCGCGTGCAGTAAATAAGGAGTTCTCTCTCAACTTTCTCCACAGGATCTTTGGGAGCACGAAGTACGTTATTGCATCATCCATTTTCAAGCGCACTTTTGAACGTTCCGTTAGTGCAGCAACCCTAGTCACTGTCTTTGGAGGTCGTGTAGACCACCTTCATAGCTTCCTTCATCATGAGCGACTCCCAGAGGGCTGGGAGTCGCACATTCGCCAACCTCATGGACTGACTCTGATGACATTCAATAAGACTATACTAGGAGTTGAGCTTGGTGTGTACGAGCAGGATTGGGCAGAAGCCGCACGAGAGGCTGTAGAACGTCATACTGCTCCTGCTTGAAACTTCGCCCAGAAGGGGCTACATACTTGGACGTGACGTTTGGAGCTTGTCTGACGTTACAAACCTCACACATGTTGTCTGCTCTTACTTATTTGATGTACTTTCACATGTTCTAGAGATCCTGCAGATGCTTGAGATTGCGTGAATACCTTCTTGAAGACTCGGACACTTCCTCAGCCACTAACCTGTCAGCGACTGGCGAGATCTTGTCAGGGCACTACCACAGGCCCTTGAATTCAAGTGCAGGTGCCTCCAGCTTTCAGGCGAACTCTTCAAACACAAAACGCCCAAAAGCAGCACGGGGACTGCAGAAATACAGCGCTACTCATACTCCATTGGAAAGTGACTACTCCGAGTCGGATGCTCGGGAAGCTTGTCTGGATTCGCCGTCCTCCGCACGCGTTCACGTGTCTGCTCTCATTGTAACCGTAGCTGAGTACGTACCCACATAAGTGATGACACTAAACAATGATTACAATGACACGCTCTTGGTTGTTTCTACCAGTAGCCGTGGCCTTGAGTCATGCTATCAACAGGTGAATGACTATGCAGATTTCCACGGAACACTACCAGGGGCATGAATTGCTAGCAAATATTAATGAGAAAACGAGGGTGCAAGACAGTTAGCGCTAGTAGAAACATTGTCCTAGGGTTATCTCTCTTTCAACCATGTGTTTCAACATAAAATAACTTATATAGAGTACCGCGACAAAACTTAATAACAAACAGATTCTCCAGCTCCCTACAGGCTATCTGCTGATTGTAAATCATATCGAGCATCTCCCGGGCTACACACTACTGTTACTTGTCACGTGGACACGCTCCTTGAAAGCAATTGAAGTCATAGCGGTCGCCGCGTCAGAGTCGGCCACAAGCTCAGCATGAAATTCTCGAATGCTAAGAATGAGACGTGGTCCCAGCACAAACATCTGCGCAAATAGGAAGATTTGAGCGAAACCAGCATAAATCTGAGATTCCAGGAGGTAAAAGTTCTGTATAAATGATGAATCATGACCGCGTGCAGAGATAACATGTCGGCATACCGCAGAGAGCGTCGGAGACAAATAACTGAGCTCAAAACAAGAGACTGCAATGAAGCTTGCGCGTACAGAACTTCAGCAAAACAAAGAACCACATTCATGCTATGAGCTCACCTCACGAAGTAACTGACGTGAGTTTTCATTAACGAACAGTCCCCAATAATACTACCTGTTGAGTGTTGTCGTAGTTCACGGAAGTGCTTTACAGCAATCCAGCCCGCGAGACACAGTGCAAGGACCTCCCATACAGTAGCAAGTGTCCAAGTAATGGCATCCAAAAGTAGGAATTCTCCTGTATCATGATAGCCAATCATGCACAGATAGGTGCCGGAGAGAATGAATTCCTCTGGTATTTGTCAATGGGCCTAACGCACTTAAACACTTTATACATAATTAAACCTACCTGCATACATCTGCACCATCTTCAAAACAACGATTACTGCGCTGGCGATTCTGATGGCCACAAAGATTACAACGAGAAATATCAGCATTTTTCTGGACCGCTGATACATAGCATGTAACCGAACGATCATGATGACTGGCATGATTCTTCAGTTAATTCAATATCACGGAGGTGTATAGCTCACCGCCCAGTATCACATCTACAACATCACCCGTCCAATTAAGTGCGTTAGTTATGATAAGGCCTGACAAATCCAGCAACATTAGTTATCAGCTTCGGAGATCACAGGATTGAAACAAACTCACAACTGTTGGAGTCGTTATGTTAAACCAACGAGTTCGAGAATCTCACTCACCTCTGCAATGGTAGTTCGGTTGTTTAAGGGAAATGGAAAGCACCAGTGGGAACACTCACTGCGGCTGTCGTCGAAATTGTTGGAACATTCACGTTTGCTGTATGCTGCCCGTCACAAGCAAGAAACTGAGTCTATGCGAGGAGACATACTCAAGATGTTGATCCTGATTATGAGAGAAGGGTAATGAGCGCAACCTCAATGGCTTAAACTTTCAAACGTACACAGCATATCCTATTCCAGTATAGCGCACCTAGAATAGTCAGCAAAACAGTTTTAGACTTGCTAAGCATAAATACTGAAACACAAGGTACATACACTGAGATAGAGAAAAGTCATTAGGGACCAGCGTTGCCTCTACCATGAACAAGTTGTATTTTCACATTGTTCTTTTGCTAAATGTGGGAGTCCGCTCACCCAGATCAATTCAATCTATAACACAATTCTAAGTGAGTTGACTGCCCCAGTAATGGATCGACCTACCTCTTGTCCGAACGTAAGTGCTGGAAATACCATAAGGATATCAACAGTTTTTTCATACTCGGTTATGCTCACCCCAATCGTACATTAGGCCAACAGAGGCAGCAACTGTGTAACCGTAGCCAAAAGTTAGATCGACATCACATCATCATGCGGCTGGCTCTGAACGAACCAATAAAATAGCTGCTAATAAGGCTCGCATTGAGGAGTGGCCACCAACTGGGATCATTCGAGACTAGGGTCATACTGTTAGAGGATGGGAGTGAATGAGCGGGAGAACTTAGTGGACGTATAACGATCGCATTCGTGCTTAATATACCACAATCCAGCGCTTACATCGCCGAAGAGGGATAATATCTGATCGATCGAAGTAAGTGTTTCAGCATGAATTCTGAAGTAGAAAGGGAATACTATGTATCCAAGGATATTGATGGGATCAAAGTAGCAGGTAGCAGTTAACTTGGTGAAATCGTAATGCAGTGACTACTAGCGCGGAAAGCTGTAAAAGATCAGACTCCGACTCTCCATTTTCACGCGCTGGCACTGGGATGGACTCGACCATGACGGAGTGACCACGCTAAACACATCCTATAATCATCCCCTCCCGCATACAATTGTTTGACGATCGGCCCACTGAGAAAACTAATAAGGAAGAGCAGATCAGACAGTTTGTCGACGTTGAGATGTGTGCGTGGTTTGAAGTGACATACATGGCATTTTTAGGGATTCGTCAGGTTATTGATTCACCGTGACCGTGTTCACATTGAGGCACTCCTGGAATCGCTTCTGACATACCTCAATCGTGCTTAGTGGGTTATCCTTCACGAGATATGAACGAGGGGTAGGTATGAATACTCACTCATCAACCAGACAGGTACATATCCACTGCTCCTTCAAACTCAAAGCACTCGTCGCACACCACGTATATGACACCATCTTCCAGCGACAGGGTACGCAACACCTGGCGTGAAAGGTTGAACCGAACTTCCTGAACGCGTTCAGCAACATTCGGTCCAGACTTTGAGCACACAGCTAAATTGAATATACCAGAAAATTGGAAATGACCGTCCATCCTGTTTATTCTGTCTGTACAGTCCATCCCTAATTTGGCTATCCAGAACGCCTCGGAATCCCCTACAGCAAAGCAGAAACGCGAAGAGAGCTGTGAGATCGAGATCAGCACTCCACAGCCACGGATCGCCCTTGAGGCTGACTTTGATGGTCACCGCGCCATCTCGCCCACTCCTCTCCACCGAACACTCAACACGCGAGTGACTGGGATGATGTTGTCGAGGTTGACTTTGACAGCCGCCACACCATCTCGCTCTCGCCCACTCCTCTCAGCCCTAATGCACCATTATCAGTGTCCTCGATAACTGCCACATCGTCTTCGTCGTCAATACTGGCACTATCATCAGATCAGTCTGTTGCAATGCCACTCCCTGCCTCATGTGCACGTGTACCATCAACCAGATACTCCCCCGCTGTCACTCTTGTTCCAGTCCCACAGTACGACTCTGATTCAAGACGCCAGGTTTGGCCGCGTGGGATGTACACTGTCGATATGATTGCCGGTTTCTACCAAATGGATAACAAGATTTTGCGGGTGATGTATAAGCCACAAGAATTATTCCGGCGAGTATTTGGAGTCCCGTTCGTCGGGGCGGCCTATCGCAAGGCATAGAAAACTGCAGATCTAGCTGTCCTTGCAGAGCATGAGGCAGCGGGCCACATCTTCACAGGTCTCTGGTCATGCTACCTTGCCGCACGACGAGAAGCGCTGGGTCGGCAAAGTAAGAAGTCGGGCAGGGCAAAGTGAACATCGACACTGTCTCGATATTACACATACATTTTCTTTCTCACTGCCTTGATTTGTTCCCGTCTCGTGTCACCACCTTCACTTTTACTCGTAATATGGAGATTCTTGCAATGTCATCATGATCCTCGTCGACTCATTCTGCTCAGGCAAAGATTGGTTCGTTGCAAATACGGATCATATTCTGAAGTGACTAAAATTGTTAGGACAAAAGTACATACATGCGTCGCATCCAACTCCCTGTCATAAAACACTATCAATGTGTGTAGCGACAAGGGCAGTCGTACAAAGAAAGTGGGAGGTTGTACAAAGAAGGGGGTTGTTGCACAAGGAAAGAACGATCAAGTGATGTGGACAGAAAGAGAGGTGGTAGGAACGATACCGATGACGAAGGAGCGGTGATGGTACCCACTTGAAAGCGAAGTGATGACTCCAGTTTGGTGGGTCAAATGAAGCATCGAACTTGATAGGCGTCTGCGAGATATTACTCACTAAACCATCGAAATTGAAATCAAGCAAGCTGAAATGCACTCCCAAAGTGCAACCATCTCACTCTAGCCAGACGAAACAGGATTCGCAACCGTCGAACTTCCAAACAAGATCCTATGCGCAGCACGACGAAGCGTGCGTGGACGTGTCTGGATAGTGAGCAAAGGCATCGCAGGTGTACTTGGGGACGTGGAAGGCGTACTCGGGGATATAGTCACAGGAGATGCAAGGAATACCGCTACAGAGAACAGCAAGATACGTGACAGAGGCGGTGGAGTACGGGTGGTAGAAAGTGTGCTCGTCTCGAATGTTGGTCTGTAGTGCGTTTTGGTTCAATTACTTTACAAAAGCAAAATCTAACGCACGCTGTTGATCAAGGTAGTCTCCCCCAGTATAAACGAAGATAGATAGCTATAGCTGGAAGTTCCTTCTAAAACAAAACAGCTGAATACTTGGTAAGTGCTCTTACGTCACGACACAAATCGTAAACGACGTATTCGGACCAGTCATATGATATTTTCATTGCAGGAAACTTACCATACTGAGCCTTGTTGAAAAAAGGTAGGAAGACAGTGTAAATACGTGTGCATGGTTTCTTCAAACTCTTTATGCAAAGGATTACTTATATCCTCGGTCCAGGTTTTGATATGCTCCTGTGATATGGTGGCCTCGAAACTGCAAATTATTTCATCCGAGCTGCCCGTAGGCTAGGCGTCGTCCCACAACAGGACTCTCTTGATCAACGTAAGCGAGCATGGAAACAATGATGTTAGCGACAGCTTCAGCATCTGAATAGAGCCCACATGATACATCTCATATCTGTGGGGGGTATGTTCAAGTGACTCGGCCGTTATTTGCTATGATTGATATCGATATCCACAGCATCCGCTGCAAGTATGTGTGAGAAATAGACAGTGCTTTGAATAATCCGTGAAATGTAACGGTGGGTCGACGGAGGCTGGCGGGTCATCTAACTTCAATATGTGCGGCTCACTTAATCTCGCTAGTATACACCTGGCACATTAACAAAAGCTGTCATGCACCAATATGATATATCTTGCACATCCTGACGCCAGCTAGTACGTACCAATATCGCATCCACCATGCATCAATCCCAGTCAAAACCCAACATGATGGGAACGGGCGCCAGCGGACGACATCTGAAAAATTCTTCTTGACTAGGCAATTTCCCGAGCTAAACAGAATCCACTCAAGTGCGTCCCATATATTACATGATGGGGCAGGGTTTTCCGTGATGATATCGGATTTTCATCGTAATTTACATATCTCACCCGATTCAATCATATTTACTATAGTCAAGCACATGGGATGTACTGTGACAACGGCGGACAGGATCTGATTTTCACCGTAGTTTACATATTTCACCCGATTCAAGCATATTTATGATAGTCAAGCAAATGCAATGTATTGTGACGACATCGGACAGGATCGGATGACATGGGATGTTACAGTGCAGTCAGAAATAGCAAACCGCAGGGCGGGGGCACGAAAGCAGGGTGAAAACATGCAGGCAGGACAGCAATAGGCAATGAAAAAGACATACAATGCAGGGGAAAACATACTAGTATAGTGCGCCGTTGCAGATGGCACAATCAGAACCCTTTGTCCACGTCCCTGCGCTCTGCAACCGCTCTGCGTCGGCCTTGTACTCATCTTGCTGTGCGGGCGTGAGTGCCGCCCAATACATGCGGAATTCTTCGGTTGTTCCACTCGTCTCGTTCACCTGCTTCAGCCAACGCCATGCGCATAAGTTTCTGCATGACAAAGGTTAGTGCAAAACATTAAGAGACAGGCATACTAATACTTACCGAGCGTTCTTCGCGGCACCTGGTCGCATCTTCTTCTTTCCGTCCGCTTTTGCAGCTAACTTGTTGTTAGATGCACTTGGTCCATCGTCGTTTGTCTTCTTGATTGGGCTAAGTGCTGGGGCAGGGACTGTCTTGGCGATTCCGTTAGGTCCGAAAATATCAGCCCTTTCATAGCATTGGAGTTAGCAAGGACGAGCATGCAGTATGAGGTACTTACAGTGGATCCTGCAATATAATCTCATTCTCTTTGTCGGCACATTCAAGTTGTATGTTCCGAGATGTTCCTGGTGTGTGACAAGTCGGCAAGGTCTTATTTTCAGAAGTAGACACGGTCGGATGTAAAGGCGATCTGGGAAGAGATGAGCCTTGTGGAGTGGGCTGCGGTAAGTGGACTCCAAATGGTGGGGCAGATGCATCGCGTGGGTAGGTTGGCGTGATGCGAGTATTTTCGAGGGCAAGACAATCATCAATGGGCGAAGGAACACAGATGTTGGCGCTAGTGCCAGGCTCAGAATCTTGATCTGGATGCAGGGGCATAGCATCAGTCGAGAGTAAAGGTCGTGATATAGTACCAGGGTCGACTAGCAGTATTGATATTAGCAAGATAATGAAAGAAAGAACAATACATGCCTTTCAGTTCAATGGGAAGCAGGGGAGACAGTGCTGAGTCAACTAGTGGTAATGTGAGCATCGGAATTATGAGAAAAAAAATGCATACATTTAGGTTTCTTCAAACGGTCTTGTCGGACCAGGGTTTTGCTGTCGTCAGACAGGCGCCGCTTGCCATTTCCTTTAGCCCGGGCTTCAGTGCGTTTCAATTCCAACACCTCAAGTTCATCCAAGTCGTCGATATGCTCTTCCTTGGCTGAGAGCTTCCCTGGTACGTCCTTCCAGTTTCTGTCAGTCCCAAGATTGTTCTTCCGCCAGGATGAGTAATCAGTGATGCAAAGCAGCTCGAGTTTCCAGCCGCAGTGGTCGAATAGGAATAGTGGGAACTGTTTCACCATGATATCGAATACGAGCTTCTTGCCAGTAGCACAGATCCTTGACCAGGTGGGTGGAGCCAATTTCTGAACAACCAATTCAGCCCAGGCTGCGCGCAGAACCTTACGAATTGCTTTGAGTTGCTCGATTGTGACAGGTCTACCATCCTCGAGCTCTAGCCAAGGGGCTTTACCCCGAGTCCCAGTCCCAGACTCAGCATTCTCAATGTATTTGTCATAATCTGCTTGACTCCAGAAACAGATTTTCGGGTGAGAGTCTTTCGAAGGACAGGCTTTGTTGTGTCCTGTTAATGTGTCGTCTGCGAGACTGAAACTCAGTGGGTCAGTGGAATCCGGGAGTCGCAGTACACTGATAAGTTCAGTAAAAGATGCCCTAGAACAAATAAGACACGGCTGTGATCTAAGTGTCATCATGATAGGTGAACAAGACTGACTTGATAGTGTCGCGTTCGGTAATAGTCTTGCTTAACTCGAGTTGAGTCTCCGTGAGCTGTGCTTGGTATATAGAGAGCTGTTCTTGAAGGGCATGCACCTGCCGTGCTGTAATGAAATTTGGTGTGGCCTGGTGCATATATGCGCCCTAGAACATAATCTGGGAGCTGACAGTATCAAAAAATTAAGCAACTCACACCAGAGAATCCAGAAGGAGTAGAGCCTGCAAATGTGTGCGGATCATCGAATGAATCTGGTGAAGCTTGAGCTAGTGATGAAGATAGGGGCATGGGAGCCTGTGGTCTGAATCTACTCGAAGATTGTTCATTTGCACGAAGAGAAGGGATCGTGAAATCATGCGAGTATCGAGCAGTGGATCCACAAGAAAAATCCATGTTGCTGGTGGACATGGTGGTAGCAGAGAGACATTTATTGGGGATGCGGTGAGTGTGTTTGACGACTCGGAATTGTTCATGTGAGCAAAACATATTTGGACTTCAATGAAAAATATGCAAAGTACAACATCAGTGTCTACTCCAGTACCATCATGAGCCTACCTTTATTGCGCTTTTTGCAGATGAATTGTGATATTGACTTTGACAATGTTGTCCTCAGTGATCCAAGCATAACAGAGAGCAGTAGCAGTCCCTATTTGACAGCATCTGATAACATGCTTCTTGATCCCACATACTGGATTCAACATCCTCCTCGATTCCGTTATTTGATACAACAGATTTCTACTCTACTGCCTGCTTTAGAGTCTGACCCAGGCACACAGAACCACAATTGGGTTGCAGACCTGTAGGCTTTTTTCTCTATTCCATTCAATAACTTTGTAACACTGTCTAATCTTACATCAAAGTTTTGTCGAAGATGTGCAGGCTACCACACTGGTGAAGACCCCAATCATGGACAGCGCTGGCTCGGTCACAGAGCCTGAACCTGAAGATATCATTGTGCAGGCTACCACACCAGCGAAGACCCCAATCGCGGACAGCGCTGGCTCGATTATGGAGCCTGAACCTGAAGATGTCACTGTGCAGGCTACCACTCTGGTGAAGACCCCAATCGTGGACAGCACTGGCTCGATTACAGAGCCCGAATCTGACACAGAGATTGTGCCTCTTCAAGTTACCTCAGGGCCGTGCACAGATTCAGGCTCAACAACTGAACCAGAATCTGATGAAAACAGTCCAGCAGCCACATCAACTCCAGGAAGCACCACTATACCACCATGTCTTGAATGTCTCGATCCACACTCATTCTTCGCTACTCCAAGTCCCCCTCCTCCAGATTCAATTTACTGGAAATACGTCACACATGAAGAAGACTCAAAGTGGTATAACCATGCGGGTGTTGATGATAGCTTTTCAGTTGTGCATCAGTGGAAGCGAGAGCTGCAGGCATTGTTTGATAATGAATGAGAAATACTTTATTGAGGGACATGAAACTGGACTCTGTAAAATTAACAATAACAAGTCTCTCCACTAAGCACCTCCATCATCCTTGCCAGCCTCTGCTTCTTGTTCATCAAGCTGATCATCTTGAGCTGCATGTCCTTCATATGGCACACCAAACGTTGCAATATCAAGGCCTGGCTTTTCTACCATGAAATAATGATCCTCAGTAACACCAGACGGAAGAGTTGGTTTATGTGGGATCATACCGACCACACTAAGAATAGACTTGAGATCAATGATGCGAATGTCATCCTCTTCAAGTTGACATGAGCTGACAGTATGGCAAGATAAATCAAGGAGGTCTTTATCAGGGAGTGAGAACATTGAGACGATGGCAACATCCTTCCAGACCCAAATTTGGTTGTCGTTGTCATCAATACCAGCTTCAACAGGTAATCATGTGAAGTATAGGACTTCAGCAACTTGAGTTTCACCTTCGATAACAATCTTCAAAGATGTTAGTGAGATATGGACAACAACAGTATCAATAACTACCTTGACATGTTGTGCAGGACGCACTTTTTCAGGTGGGCGCATAGTCTCCCTCCATGCAGTGCGTGCTATCTGTCCATTTGGAAGACGTAGATGGGCCCACTGGCAAATTTTGATGCCATGACGCTGGGGACCAAGATACTGGAAAATTGCTTGGACACCTGGTTCTCAAGGAACCATTGACCGTGGATCTCGCTTATGCAAGAGAATATATCCATCTCCAAGATCAACAGCTGTTGTTGGAAAGGGGGGCTTGTCAGGGGAGAGATCAGGCATCATGGCTTTTAGAGCATTAACTTGGCACCGTCGGACGCCCTTGCGTGACAAGTTAGCATATGGATTGGAAGGTTGGCAAATTTCTTGCCCAAGATTTCCAATAGTACATTCCATGGTCCATTGAGAATAGCAGATGGGCGGCCCTTTCTTGACAGTCTCATGTACGAGGTGGCTGACTTGGTGTATGCAGGGTCAAATGAAATGTAGACGCTCAGCACAGTGCTGATAGTAGAGCATCTCAAAGTCAAGTTCCCACTGAGTGAATAATGCTTGAGCAATATGAGCATCTTTGCAGCTGATAGAGTGCTGGTTAATTAATTGAAATCCATGAACAAGCTTGCAGTAGTTTAACCAATATGGTTGGGGAAGGATGTTGTATAGTAGTGCAGGGCCAAGACCGAATATGTAGACTTGATACTCCCAGGTTTTGTAACCTGAGCTAATTTTTTCGGCAGGATTTCTTGGTTTGCGGTCAAATGAACCTGGGAGGTGCTGTGCTGCAGTAGAAACAGCCTCTCATGGGTTTCCCAGGTCTCAGCATCATGAAAGATTGCCCAGGGCCACATTGAGACATGATCTGGAAAGGTGTGGTCCATTGTACCATGCCATAACGACAACAAGAGGTCGGAGAGTAGTTGTGCAAGATGCATGATATCAGGAGTAAGACAGTTTGGAATTCCAAGGGTGCATGATGGGTCTAAGCCAAGTAAAAGCGAAGGTTTTGTGATTCCTGTGTCAGTTCGCAGCTTGTGATACTGGCGGGTGTTTGGTGCAGCAACAAGTTTCAATAGGTTGTCGAAATATTCGGTGAGGTCAGGATCATGCAACTCGTAGACACTGACATCAGGGTGGTTGCTGCCAGCAATAGCATAATGATGGGGGATTAGCAACGCAGGGTAGTAATGTGTTCCTTTCCGACGACCGAGTAACCCACAGTACAATTAACAGCCACTCTTTCCGCTGTGTCCCACCATACCATCAAAATACACCAGCCCAGGTCCGTCCACAGTAACGAAGATAAGAAACGGGTTGGAAATGAACACAATGTCACGCCATGCATCCCAGATGCGAAGACCTTCGTTTTGCAAGGCAGCTAGGTGGTGCATACCAGGAAATAGGAAAGAGTCAACATTCTTCGGCTTGTTGGGTCCTGGAATGAAACCTCCAGGAAGGACATATTTTTTCTTGTATCGCCGGTCAGGAGCATGGTTCATAATGACCCAGATGTAGATCCAACAATCTGATAATTTGCTCTTGTACAGCTGCACGCCATTGAGAGAGATCATCAAAACAATATCATCAGGCTTAATATCACCCCATTGAACAGCCTGTAAAAATTCATGGCCCTTGAAAAAGTTGTCGAAAACATCAATGACACCACCATTGGCTCGAAGTGTTTCGAACAAGGATTGAGTTCCTTCCCGCAGATAGGCCATTGCTTGGGCTTGGTCTTGGTCACGCCATAGTGCTTGGAGTTGTGCACCAAGGGGAATAGTGACAAACTTCTGGCATGCTACATGCATTCGGCCACCACTGGTACGAAGTTTGATAGGGTCATAGCATTCTGTATTGCAGATAGGACAATGTGTGAGATTGGCAAAGGGACCCGTGAATGCGACACAGGTATCTGGACACATATCATGTTCGATTGATTCAACACCAGTGTACTCCGCAATAAGTCGCTCGACATTATAGTAACTAGGGATCTGAGTAGCCTCGCCTTCAAGGCAGCGCATAGCAGATTGTCAAATAGACTCATATGCATTGATTGCCGAGTGTTCTAACACAAAGTATGTTGCAATCACATGTTGGACAGCACTACTGTCAATTTCAAGACCGGTCTGGTATGGATTACACAACCAGTTCAGTGCGGCATCATCCAATTTTGCCACAGGATCATCCAGAGATGCTACCCGCAGTAACTTGATGAAAGCTACAGCATCTGTCTGCTTCAGCAAGGCAGCCTCCTCCTCAAGCTGATCAATATTAAAAATGTGGTGGAGGGGCTGAGGGAGACGCTGGGGTTCATCAGGTGGGGTGTATTGGGTTGTCAGGTGGAGGTGTATTGGGTTCGTTGGCAGGGTGTATTGGGTTCATCAGGTGGAGGTGTATTGGGTTCGTTGGGCAGGGGTGTATTGGGTTCATCAGGTGGAGGTGTATTGGGTTCATTGGGCAGGGGTGTATTGGGTTCATCAGGTGGGGGTGTATGTCCAGTGGATTGGGTCTCATGGTGGTCCAAGTCCCCAAGCTCATAGTCATGATGATCAACATCCTCGAGAGGATCATCTGGAAACTCGACTTGCCCATCAAGCTGGTCCTGAGCTGCATCTGGTCCAGGATATGGTGCAGACTATATACAAAGTCAGTAAAATACAACGATCACAAAAATTGAGCTTATATACCTTGACTGGTGGATGAGCACCCTTTCTCCGTCTGACCTGCGAACTTTCTACTTTACCAGACCCACTTTTTATGAGAGCGCAGTGGGCTTGAAGCCAACGTCTACTTGCCGGCAGTTGGTTTACTCCATCACTGTGAAGAACACTACAGTTAGTCAAGTAATTTGTAAAATGTATGAGCTTACCCTTGCATTGGGACAATGCCAATGAAAACGATACGATGCACAACGAGAACGACACAGAACGATACAATAGACGACGACAACAACAGGAGTGATAACGATACCGTCCAGGTGCACGACAAAAACGATGTGATGCACGACGAAAACCACACGTGCAACGCGTCTTCCTTGGAAATCTCAGATCTTATCATTTTTACTATTATGTAATTATAGAAATATCATATTTCCCCCGACCCCGTCATGTTGGATCTTTACTGGGCATCAATCTGGTGTGACATTATTCGTTCGAGGCATATGCACAGCTCTTTGGTTCTCCTGAGACACATTTTCTAATGTGAAATATTTACGAGTGCATACAATTGTAAGGTTTCAACTAAATAAACTGTATAGGTGTCTGAATCGCTCAGAATGGAAAATTGAATGGTTCGGACAGGATAATAGCGGCAGAAAAGTACATCAGGCACGGCAGAGTATTTGATACATATTTCGCAGAGTAACCTTGAACTTGGACACTCCGGGTTCACCTGAAGGTCATTCTATTTATGCACATAGAGAAACAAAACGTCAGAGCACATGAAGCCAGGTCTGCAGTCGTACAGAGGGGGTAGCAACATCATGCCATATTCAAAGCTCGCCAGAATAATTTGTCTCCTCATAATCCTCCCTGTCCTCACAATCCTCCCATTCCTCCTCATCCTCCCCATCATCTGAGTCTTTCGTTCCATCTTCGTTGTAACCATGGTTACTGTCTTCTTCGATCTCCTCGAAGCGGTTACACCCATATTCCGCTACTCGCAATCAGCTCAAAGATATGCTATAATATAAATCAATATGGAAGTACGGACCATCTAACAGTGCAATGAAAAAGTTAGAACTAGCCATGAACCTGGAAAGATAAGATCACATACCGTCTGAGGATGAAAAGTGCCTTGATTGGGGGGATATAACAGCGCCGAGAAACTCAGTCTAGTCAAGGTCAAAAAAACAGTAAACATTTCTATAGACAACATCACACACCTTATGAGAATAGGCCGTTGCTGAAGCACTGCCAGCATTGAAAGCACGTGCATCCTTATTGACAGGGTGGGATTTTGTTGGGCATCAACATCGAGTAAGCAGGTCAAATGAGATCACGCACTCGCTGAGAGCAGGACACGACCGCAGCACCATCAGCGTCAGATAAGCAGGTCAAAAGACGAGATTACGCACATACTGAGAGCGGGACATGACCGCAGCACCATCAGCGTCGGGTAAGCAGGTCAAAAGACATGATCACGCACTTTCTGAGAGCGGGACACGACCGCAACACCATCAGTGTCGCGTAAGCAGGTCAAAAGATGAGATTACGCACTTTCTGAGAGCGGGACACAACTGCAGCACCATCAGCGTCGCGTAAGCAGATCAAATGAGATCACGCACATCCTGAGAGTGGGACACGACCGCAGCACCATCAGCGTCGCATAAGCAGGTCAAATGAGATCACGCACATACTGAGAGCGGGACACAACCGCAGCACCATCAGCGTCGGGTCAGCAGGTCAAAAGACGAGATCACGCACTGCCTGAGAGCGGGACATGACCGCAGCACCATCAGCGTCGCGCAAGCAGGTCAAATGAGATCACACACTCACTGAGAGCGGGACACAACCGCAGCACCATCAGCGCCGCGTAAGCAGGTCAAAAGACGAGATCACGCACTCGCTGAGAGCAGGACACAACCGCAGCACCATCAGCATCGCGTAAGCAGGTCAAAAGACGAGATTACGCACATACTGAGAGCGGGACATGACCGCAGCACCATCAGCGTCGCGTAAGCAGGTCAAAAGACAAGGTCACACACATACTGAGAGCGGGACACGACCGCAGCACCATCAGCATCGCGTAAGCAGGTCAAAAGATGAGATTACGCACTTCCTGAGAGCGGGACACGACCGCAGCACCATCAGCGTCGGGGTAAGCAGGTCAAATGAGATCACGCACATCCTGAGAGCGGGACACGACCACAGCACCATCAGCATTGGGTAAGCAGGTCAAAAGACGAGATCACGCACTAGCTGAGAGCGGGACACGACCGCAGCACCATCAGCGTCGCGTAAGCAGGTCAAAAGACGAGATCACACACATCCTGAGAGCGGGACACGACCACAGCACCATCAGCGCCGCGTAAGCAGGTCAAATGAGATCACGCACTGGCTGAGAGCGGGACACAACCGCAGCACCATCAGCGTCGGGTCAGCAGGTCAAATGAGATCACGCACGAGCTGAGAGCAGGACATGACCGCAGCACCATCAGCGTCGCGTAAGCAGGTCAAAAGATGAGATTACGCACTTCCTGAGAGCGGGACACGACCGCAGCACCATCAGCGTCGGGTCAGCAGGTCAAATGAGATCACGCACGAGCTGAGAGCGAGACACGACCGCAGCATCATCAGCGTCGGGTCAGCAGGTCAAATGAGATCACGCACGAGCTGAGAGCAGGACATGACCGCAGCACCATCAGCGCCACGTAAGCAGGTCAAATGAGATCACGCACTGGCTGAGAGCGGGACACAACCGCAGCACCATCAGCGCCGCATAAGCAGGTCAAATGAGATCACGCACTGGCTGAGAGCGGGACACAACCGCAGCACCATCAGCGCCGCGTAAGCAGGTCAAATGAGATCACGCACGAGCTGAGAGCGAGACACGACCGCAGCATCATCAGCGTCGGGTCAGCAGGTCAAATGAGATCACGCACGAGCTGAGAGCGAGACACGACCGCAGCACCATCAGCGTCGTGCAAGCAGGTCAAATGAGATCACGCACCCACTGAGAGCAGGACACGACCGCAGCACCATCAGCGTCGCGTAAGCAGATCAAAACATGAACATGAGCTTTCAGTTTAAGACTGCTAGTGAAGTTTCATGGTAACGTACAGTCTGCTGAATGCGAAAGTTGCGAATAAGGTGCACTTCTGCTTCAGTTCTGGAAACAGAATCAATGTTAGAGGATTGTGTGCTCCGCTTTGCACTGTAGTTTTCGCGGGAGATCTGAAATCGTTGTTTGCATTCTCGACTTTGGGTTGTTGAGCGCCGTCAGCAACCAGAAGACAAACATACTCACCAATTGATCGAGCAACTCGCCCGGCGTTGAGGCGAATACTTGTCGCTAATGTGATTGACAGCGCGGCAAAAATGACATTTGTATTGAACTGTAGAGCATGTCTCCTCTTCAAAGACGACCCTCATGACGATCGTCGTGCCTGCTTCAATGCTTGGCCATTCATGATTTGTAAGTCGCGTCACTTGCTTGTCGTCGTCGATACACAAATCATACTGTCCTTGCTCCATATACCGTCGCTGAATTTGAGCCTCGATCGAATCACGTTTGAACAGAACCTGGAGCATCTCATTGAGTTGCTAGAGAATTTGATGAGCAAGCTTCAAAATCCAGATTTTACGCTGGGGAGACAGACCTGAAAGGAGGCGCAAAAGGTCACTGATATTGCATGTTCGTGGCCTGTTGCGTCAACCAGTGTCACACAGCCGAGTGTGACAGCCGCGGTCAACTGCGTCACAGGTGGTCCCCGCGCAGTTTGACTTTGTTGCATTTGGAACAACCACTAGCCAAGCATAGCAGTGAGTGAATCCTGGCAAATTATAAAGAGTAGGAAACAACCAGAGACTCCAACAGATAATTGTTGATTTCAGTAGAGCATCCAGCGATAGCTTGTGTAATGGATGCGTATTCGAGACGACGTTTTTGCAATCTTGTCAACTGGGCAGAGGTCTCTTGCAGAATCCTAGTAAGCGCACTCAATGCCGGGTAAATTCGAGAACACATTAACATGGCGCATACCCAATTATAGAATCCCTCCGGTATTGTTCATAGGGGTCCTGGGCGGTTGGGGCATTGCACATATGTGAGCTTAGTCGATGAAGTCGTAATGCCAAGCGATCTATGTCTGCCTTATTCTGACTACGTCTCTGTGATGGCCTTTGAATGAAGAAATATCCTGGTAATAAAATAGGCTCTCACATCTACGACCTGAAGGATTGACAATAATCCACTAATAGCAGCTTGCATCGGAGGACCGGCAAGTGGAATTGCACCTGCAACGCTCTGGACTAAAGGTAAAAATGTCTGAGCCATGTCAGAAGCTTTACGGGCAGAGGAATCGCCCCGAGAGGATGTGGCGGCGGAGATATTGATAGAGATTTCGTGGCCTGGATCCCTGCTCAGAGAATCGAGGTGCACTAGTGGTGATGAATTCGAATGGAGAGTGGGTCAAGGAATGGGAAACTCAGTACGGACGCGGATGTCTGCAGGAATAGAGTACTCACCATCGTGGTGGGTGGTTGTCGAACTGTGTTGTGTACGTCCGTTCTTTGCGGGGCACCTCCGGCTCAATCGAACTGCGAATACTTTGTCCAGATTGAAATTCTTGATGAAATCCTTGACCTGCGAAGAGGGCATTTTGGTCGGGTGGGTCAGAGGGAATATGAGACAGAGGGAGGTGAAGAAGGAGTACTAATTGAGACTCGAGTACTTAACAGGCAGCTGTGTACAGCACAGCGCATGCACAAGCCTCATGTAGTACGTACTTTAATACATGTGCTGAGTTCTGGAACGACTTGCCATCGTCGATCAGATCTAGATCTAGATCTCAGAGTTGCAACGTTGAGACATCATAGCTCCAGCTCCAAGTGTGTATACATTGCGGTAGGTTGAGCAGAGGAGGTAACCGGCTATGATAGCCTGAGGTACTAAGAACCGCTACCCTGAGCCCGTGCTGTACTTGCTCCGAGTCGATCTTGTTATAATTGAAAACACATGTGGCCTGACAGGTAGACGGTCAGATGCTTGGTCCGAAGAGACACGATGCGTTTGGGAACTTTGGTAGTATACAACAGCCGGCTCCAATATTGTAAATGGAAATAAAATATCAGTCGACTACCAAGTAACTTTGAGACTAGATGCATGATGTGTGTACTACGATGAGCCTCAAGGTCTTTCGTTCGCGGTACATATGCTAGCAAGGGATATATGCGTTACGCGGCATTATTATTATCTCTTTCATCTTCCTGTAGACGCTTGAGGCAGTGAAACACAGCATGAATACCTTCTCGAACAGCATCCACATCATCAGCCACAACCCTGCCAACAACTGACGAGCTCTTATCAGGATGCCACCGCAATATCGAGCTGCGGATCCTACTCTTCTTCGTGACAGTATTGCTCCGGACAGAAAGAGACTCGAACAAAAACTCTGAAATCGCAGATAGCGTGAAAGCATCGGTACCTCTGGAGGAAGGCGCTGTCCGAAGCGGCCATGGGATATCTGCGAATGCGAGAGCCTTATCTGACGCGACCAGTGCCTTCCACCTATCATCGTATTCTTTCCATCTACCCATTTTTATCTTTTCTTCTTCTTGTAGCTTGAGTTCTGCGCGAATACGTTCTGTACGGGCTTTATCGCGCCGCCCTTGTGCGTCGCGCAGAACTCCGCCGCCTCGAACCCACTCTATTTCGCTCATCTCTATTTGCTCCCGTTCCTTGTGAAGTCGATTGATACGCTCTTCATCATGGGGTGGTTTCTCGCTACGCGTCTCGTCCCGTTTCTCAGGCGTACTTTTGTCAACGAATGTCTCTTTGGTATTGGGGGACTGGGGTATAAATGCGGGGTATGATGGTCTTGACGTGCCCAGAGTTGAAGGAGGAAACGCGAAGTACCCTATTGTGCTCATGCAGAATGGATTAGGTTTCAATGCAGATGTCGGACGAGGTTGAACATGTCTGTTGATTATGTCATCCTAGAAACGGCCCTTGAAACAATCCAATCTATCTGCTGACAATACCAAGCTTAGGGGTATGTTCGCATCGTGATAACGAGAATATGTACCCGACATCATTACACCGAAACCTACTGTACTTGAGTTGAATGTACCAATTATAATCGAACATCCTTCTCTTTCTGTGCCTCCCGCAACAATCTTCCTTTACCCCGTGCGTACTTCACGTCTTTCCAGTTGTCTCGAGCGGTATGGAGTACCGACATAGCTCCATCATAAACCTCCTCAAACCTTGTAACTTCTCGAGCAAAAATGACTTCTGCTTCATTTTGATCAGCATGACCCGAAAGAATTGTTCGCACTCCAGTAAGCAGGGCATCAAGGATGACGACGTTATGTGCGACAAGGAGTGTGTGCGCAGACATCTCATGGGTGTGTAAAAGGTGGTGCAGGTAGGCTCGTGTGAAAGGAGGTAAGAATTGTTCGCGGCTCGTGCCGTCGTCTGATTGCGCTTGGTGCGACTGAACGTCAACTTTGCTATGGTAAATAGGAGATGTGGGGGCAACTGGAGAGCATGCAGCGCAGGGGCATACGGGAGTTTTAGACGAAGATGTTCCATTGTGGCCAGCGAGGAAGGCGTCTGACAAACTGACGAAGTCGTGAGCATACTTTGCATCGTACAGGTTGTGACCAATGTCGCGTTTGCAATGGTTTGGACCACTGTCGTGCCCGCTAGGCACTGGAAAGATGAAATCGAGAGCTACCCCAATATCAGCTGCTTTTACGGCCCATCCCGCATCGAATACGTCGACTCCAATATCTCTGATCAAACACAGGATTTCATGAGGCGATCGAACATCCGTGACAAGGCGTGGTTTTGCGATTGGAAGGGAATCTAACGATGCGCGAAGGAGCTCATCCAATGTAGGGGTCAGGGAGAGGAAAGAAAGAGGTTCGATCATGCTGGACGAGAGCGATGTAGGTGTACCAGCCGTATTAGGTGTTGGCGTTTGAGCTAATAATTCTGAGTTCTGTAGCATCAAAGAGTTTTCTGCGATTTCGATACCTCCGTCTCCATCATTGCGGGTTGAGAGAGGAGCTGGTCTGACATGAAGAGCCGCTAGGTCAAATGCATATCCAGCTACTCCTTCATCCAAACATAGCAGTGGTTTCACGGCGTCTGCTTCCAGCCCATAAAGAGTCTCCATGAGGCTGTGCGAAAAGGCTCTCCTTGCGGAGGTCGAAGTACCACCAGCCATATGTACGAAGACATTCAAAGCAGCAGAAGTTGACTCCGAGAATGAGTCATCCATCATGTTTTCAACAGGACGCAACAGATCTGCGAGCCAAGCCGCGCTCCGCTCGATGCTTTTAGTCAGGCGCTTCTGCGAGTGCGGGGCTACAGTAAATGGCGTATCACTGAGAGCAAATGCAATATCAGGCTGCATCGTCAGAACATAAGATCGCCAGTCTGCGAGCGTGACCTAAAAATGAAAATGAAAAGTTTTGACAGAGGAGACTCTACCTTTATAATCACCTTCCTCACACCACGCATGCATGAAGCTGAAACATGCGAATTTCCATTTGGAGGCATCTCTCGAGCATCCAAAGGATCTCGAAGTGAAAGCGAAACGATATGTTTTGAGCTGTCGAATCCTAAGAAATTATGTAGTGGCTGCGATCCTGTCTGATAAGTGGGTACTGGGGGTGTTTGCTCGAGGCTTGAAGTCGTAGATCCGAAGTGTTATTCACCATAGGGGGATGGCAGGGTAAAATAACAACTCACAAAGACTCAAAAGATACGTTGATCCAGCTGATTCCTTTCGCTGAATGAACATGGTCCCTTGAGAAATGTGGAACTGCACCACGAGATGTTCCGATGAGAAAATTAGGTGTTCGGATGTCGATGACGTGGTTGGATGGACTATCGGACGGTCGTGTCAAGCACAGCCTACCGACGCGGGGTCCGAACTGTTTCCCTCGGTCCAGGATGAATGTGAGTTTGGGAAAGCGTGAGCCGATGCGCTGGGCACCTTCAAGTTGTGTTTGAGCCATAGCGAATGAGGCGATCTAAGGTCAATATAGATGCAGCGACGTTCTTGGAGAACTGATATGATCTTGTAGCATACGAGTTATGGTAAGCCTGAACTTCACCGGTTACTTTGTATATTTAACCTAAGAAAAATGTTATATCAAGTGCTTATCGAATATCGGAGTCCAATCGGAGCTGTTAGATACCCTTTTCCCCACACGTTTCCACCCCGCGGTGTTTCTGATGTAGAAACTCCTGTGGCGGGAACTTGTGACAGCCCGTCCAGGAACCTCCCGACTCACGCAAGCACAACAGAATTTCAGACGAGTCATTTAAGCCACCATTTATATGTACATCATCAGTAGCCGACTGAGATAAATCTATGGAACAATAAAGAGCCATGCAAATTAAATATATATAAGAAAACCATGCCATTCTGGATCCACAAAATGCGATAAAAATTTGATGTCGAGTGTGTAAGCACCCGAATGCAATGCCCGGATGATACAGAATGATACCACTATGAAGACTGTGTGATTGAAAATGAGAAAATGAGAATAAATGCTTGATGAAGATATGGTTGATGATATGCTCGATGCCTAATATAAAATCAGGACGCAAACATAAAAATGCTTGGATGACATCTGCAGGGACATGTGTCAATCAAAGATAGCCGGAGAGTAAAACGGCATACATGTCAAATGAAGGGATATATCACTGCTGAGCATCGCCATGGAGGAGACACAATTTGGGCTGCCAACTTCCCTGTGACACACGGTGTAGTGAGACAAGGGCAAGATGCTCGATGCGGATTCCATTAGGACCGATACGCCATGTTGAATTCGGGGGATCACATAGAGTATTCGCATGTTTCTGTTAAGGGGTGAGTAAATTTCGAATATTGTGCTCTTAATAGACTGACCTTGAAGAAAGATTGAACGGCGTCCGCGACTTTGATCGCCAACCTTTGGCGTGTGTTGGGCGACCTTGTTTTCTTCCAATCCTTCGAAGCTATTTGCTTCGTAAATGATGGGTAGCCAGGCCACTGATAGATCACATCAATTTTCGTAAGTAACGCTTGGCAAATATTTCAACAAGACGGATCCTTTACCTCAATGCGAATAGAGATTGTATCTCCGGACATGTCTAAGATGGGTTCATCACCTGCCTGGAGTTGGATTGTCTGTCGACGCAGCAACTGTTGCAGAGGGATACCGGCTCCCTCTACGACGTTGAAAACGACTGGCATTCCGCTTCCGGTGGTGAAATGAAAAGCGTGCGTAGTCCCTACATTGTACAATTGTTGGGGGACCGTCGGACCTCGGCCAGGAACGCTTGACGAGATTGGCAAGGGAGCTGAACTAATCCCTCCGGGCGACGGCGAAGAGTGGACGTTAGAGGCACCGGCGTGGCGCGGTGCAACCCTCCGTCCATGCTGCATGATATTGTTAATAATATTCCTACAAAAATTCAAGATATTACACACCAGCACATCATCTGCTGAAGATTCCAAGGGCCGTTTTTGCGATGGAGAAATTGGGGATTGCCGGGAGCTTGTTCCTGCCATAGAATCCGGGCCGTAGAAGCCTGGGCTCTGAGACGCCCTGTTTAGGGGCGTTGCTGGGGAGTGGCTGTGCGCGGTCACACCGCTTATGTTCAATCGACTTGGTGTCGAGGGACCGCTAATATGTGACGTTGCCATCGGGCTGTACCGTGGACTGCTTCCTAAGCTTGACATCATTGGGCTTGTGGGCTCCGTTTGTGGGGCGGGGGGCAACGTCGTGGTCAAGTGGGATGGGGGCTCTGAAAAGGGCGGTCCTACAGGATTGTTCCTGATGTGCTCCAGTGCAGGACCCGACATCACGGTATCGAATGAGGTCTGATATGGATATCCAATATCATCCATCTCGTGGAACGGAAGCTGATGAAAGTAATGCTGTGGATACTGGAAATCATCCTCAATGATGCTACACATCGCTTCCAGCTGGTAACTCACTGGTACATTCGGCGGTACACCAACCGCGAGGGGGGCATACATTTGGGGGGCGTGAGGCTGGGGAGCATACATGTAATCGTCAGCGAGTTCAGTTCCTTCGTACTCCGTGGCGGATGGGGTCTGAGTTAGGAGAGTCAGATATCTAAATCAATTGATACTGAATGGTGAACGCACTTGATCTTCGTTGAGACTTAACATTCCGTCCCCCATACCATGACCCCGGATTGTTGTGGTTGCAATGGCTGTTGCACCTCAGTCCATCGATCGTCCCAATAAGCTTGCAGAGGGAATTCGTGTGCGCCACCGAAATCGGTGAAGCCCTCCTGATCACTATGGGGAGGGTAGCTATACATCGTGTGGCGCTTTGAGTGTATTGAGATATACAGCCTATGATCTCACAATGAATTAGGAGAGGTCATGAGGGTAGAAGAGATAGATTTGAAGACAAGATGGGAAAACCGAGCAGTCCGTGATTTAAAGGACGCCAATAGCCACCGCCACATAGAACGATTTGACGGAGCCACGAGATGTTACGAAATATGAGCTTCGAGGAATCGGTAAAATGGTCAATAAATGCAGTGCAGCCCACACATCTCAAAACAGCACATGCAGTAGATTCGGAGGATGAAGTGGCGGAAGCATAGACTGATATGGAATGGCGCCCAAAAGGTACATGGCGTCCGGGGGCTGTGATTTTTCAGTGCCGACGAGGATACGGGTTCCCTCTAGAAAACCGCGAGGACAAGGTTGAACTAGGCGGCAGACCCCAGAACCAGCATGCGGGACAGAAGATATAACGGAATATTCGTTGGTAGGCTGACGCACTCAGCCCAACAATGGAGAAAAGTGATACGTAAGGTCGAAGCGGAGGAATGTATCGCTTCACTAGTCACTGCCCTCAGGCCGGGCGGGGAACGTGGTTGCATGAACAACAATCCGGGGTATTTTAACTCGCATATACTCCTGAGTAGGACAGCACTAGTATAATGGAATTATATTATGAGGAGACCTCAGTCGAGTGATGAGCCAGGATAGCCTGGGGAGCTCAGAGCCATCAATGATCATCAAGAAGTACAAAGACTTCCTATTACAGAATTCAGGATATACACATACACATATAACAAGTCGACAACGCACATGCAAACAGGAGGTCTTCTTGAAAACCATAGGATATATGCTTGAAAATGGGTTGCAGACGGTCCAAGCACAAGGTTCAGTACATCCTCGAATCGCGGGTGGAGTGTGCTGTGGTTGCACTGGATTTTTCTAGCTTTGAGAAGCATTCACAGGGGGGCTCTAGTGCATCATAATTCCAGCAGTGACATCGACTAGTCCACAAGTCCAGGACAGCGAAAAGCGCGAAATGTGGTTGTCAAGAATATGTCGTCCAAGACGGTAGTTCGGGAGAGTTCGGGGTCTCCGTGTTGTAGGCCCCAACAACTGTTACATAAGTCAAAATTTTAACACAGCGTACTCCGCAGTCGGCACCAAGTTCAGCGCGTAGCTGTATCTATTACTCTTTAGAAGTATTCTTTTACCGTCCAAATATTGATACATGAATTGAATCACCAGTTTCTGGTGAAGGAGCATGATCACTTTCCTCGTGTTATTCCAGATTTCATCCAACGTTCATTGGACATATCCGATATTACGTCGTGATTCCTTTTTCCCCCGTTAATCGTTCGCAACTACCCGAATGTGGCCACCTGCAACTGGTTTTCAAGGTAGCCAAAGGTCAATGAACAAACACTCATCCACACCTCCGCGGTACGTCTCACAATGTTTGTTTGCTTGGCTGGATCAGAATGTTGGTTGCTGCGTTACATCGTAATGTGTAACATGACAGTTTCGCTTCCGCAGCACTCAGGTTCAGAGTCATGTAGATCATATAATTTTTCAAGCTTCTGTAGATCCCAATCACAAATTATCACATGCATGCGCCTCCCCCTTTTCTAGATCATTAACCGCACTGTCTGTCTGCGCAGCAAGAATTACCTTTGACTCTGACTTGAACTCAGACAAGCTAGCTGCGGATGTGGCTCACGGCGGGGTTTCCCAGTGACTCCGGCGTGCGACTGTCATTTTCGCGATGCCTGACTCCAACGTCAAGAGGTTCACAGCCCCTTCTGCGGATGATAACAATTGACTATGTACAATCAATCTGTCACATCCACAAGGTCTAGACACAGATCATTATCGATTATCAGTTACGGCACAGTTTTCGGCGACTCATCGTCTTGCCAGTGACGCCACCGGACACTTTGTCAATGCGTTATCTAGAGTTTTCCCTGAACGCCTGTCGCCCTTTGCGATGGACCGCTTTTCTCCCCGTCTTGAGGAGAACCGGAGATGGATTTTGCGGATAGCAGTTCAAACTACTGGAAAGCACACATATGCAAAGTTTTTGCACAAAGCTGTACAGTGGTCAAGCCCCGAATTTGCAATCAGCGAACAGCCAGAACTTTGTTTGTTATTTCAGATCATATACCCAATTCAAGTCGAGATTAAACATCAAAATCCCCGGTCGTCTCCTCATCATATCGTGTGCGTCGATCGTAAAAACAGTGTAAACTAAGTAATCAATGCGGAGGTATGGAACACACGGGAAGTATTAGTACAGTGTTCATATTGACAAAGGTATCATACGGAGTATTATTTGATTTTGCTCCGACTCAAAGAATCGATAGAGCGGAACTCTTCATTTCCCTCAGGCGAGGAATGACATCCTGGAGCGCCGCCGCCTCCCAGTCACCTTCGTGTCCCTGGATGTTGACGATGACACCGGTACTGTCACTTTTGTCTTCTGCTATTGGAGGCACACGCCCCTTTTCACATTTTGTTGTGGCGGACGGGCTAAGAGTTGGCGATGAGGTGTTTGGAGATGAGTAGAAAGACTTGGATGTCGAGGCAAGAGACCGAGATGAGCTCTTCGGTCTACGGAAGCGACCCATTGAGGGGAACATCTTCTTGCTACTGTGCGAACTATCCCCGCTTTCAGAGGAAACAGCCGAGGAAGGACCCGACCAGCTTGAGGGAGGAGTCCACATCCATTTCGCACGGGGTAACTCAGGCGCTGAGGTGGTTGAGAACTGGGTTCGATGCGAAGCAACTGCCGTTTGTGTGTTGATTCGTGATAATGAGCGTTTATTAGGAGCTTGCGTGCGTGAGGGTGATGGTGGTGCAAGTTCAAGTTCACTATCTGACGGGACCGGACGTGGATCGGGGCCCGCGGATCTGCTGCTATGTGAGAGAGCAGAGGATCTCTGAGTGAGGATCGCGGATTTATCGGACGTCAAAATGTTGGGTATGGAGGACAATCCTTCCGGCTCACTAGCCGGCGCCTGCCAAGCTGGCATCTGATGTGTTGTGTGGGAGCGTGTGGATAACGCTCGCGTAAGAGGTCGCTCATGAGTTATGGTTGCGGGTGGGGGGGAGGCAGCGAGAGTTTGTGTTCGCTGGTGCTTTTTGACCTTCTTCGGAATGACCTTGAGTGGTGGGGGTACTTTGGGACGACCAAAAAATCCCTCGTCTACAGGAAACAAGGAAACTGGCTCTCTAGGTACATGACGCTGAGGGCGCCCGGAGGCAACAGAAGTTCGCCTGTTCAGCTCGCTTGAGCCACCGGGGGCTGTCCGAGGCCTTCCCAGAAAAGTAGATGAAGGGGTGCGACTTTGTTTTGACTGGGAAGTAGAAGAGCGACTTGCTACCGATGGGGACGATGGGATAGGTGGCTCTCTATTTGAAGTGTTACTACCACTTGGGGCAGACGGCGGGGCCTTATCGGGAGCAGTAGATACGGGAATTGTGATCTTCTCGACTAGATCCACCTGACTAGCCTGACCACTGTTCGGACAACTGGTTATTGCTGAGAGGGGTGATGAGGCGAACTGTACATCGGCGGAGGTGATATTCAGAATTGGCAGCTCGATGTTGATGGCGTGATCTGATGCCACAAGTGTATTTCTTCGAGACGACTCGTGCCTTGACATAGACTCGGTGCGACGCGCATTGCACGATAGCGAGCGTTGGAAGAACATGTCCGCCCGAGGAGATGCTGCCCTGTCTAACTGCGACAAAACTGTTTCACTGCCCGCAACTTGAGGTTGCTTAAGGACAACAGGAGTCGTGAGCCCAAGTTCATGCAGATTGTCTTTGATGGACTTGAACCGAGGAACTTCGGACATAGCGCTAACTCTGCGCTGAGGAAAATTCAACGTCAGGGCCTGTGGAGCGGATTGTACCCGTGATAAGTCGTGTGTAGGTGCCAGTGGCTCGCTTGGAGTATGCGAGAATGCTAAATGATGCAGATAATCAATGTCTTTACTTCACGCAAGATATATGTTCATGATCCTCACCACCTAGTGCTCTGGGCCGCCCTATCACAGGTTTGGGAGACCGCTTGGGTGGGCGCGAAAAGATGCTCGAAAAGAATCCCTTCTGCACCTTTGCCATCCGTTCTGTCTTTAAATCTGCGCTCACGGGCACCCTCGCCGCGTCTAGCGATGCAGGCAAAACCATCATTGAAAATAGCGGTTGCTGGGAGAGTCGATCTGATAGATGCAGTTGATAAGTGAATATTTAAGTCTTGACTGCGACTTGCATTGCCTCGACGTGAACACGGATCAATGAGAAAGTCTCTCACCTGCGTGGTTGATTAGCTTCTTGAACGTGGCGTGTACTGACTGGCGACGTCCTATGCTGCTATGTTCATAGAGCGAAGAGCAGAGGAAGGCCAAAGACGCTGGTAAAGATAGACAACTCGGGTCCACAAGATCAGAACCCGATAGTCAATACATCTAATGTTGTCACAGATTGACTATATATACGCTTGTACCCCTCTACCTCCTCCGAAGGCAAGGTGACCCTAGGCCCGGAAGCAAGAAGTACTAAATGACTGATGGCAGCCTTGGATACCGATTCCACATGATGTTTCACGGCATCGAGAGGCCTTGACTACAGCAATGCATGGAATGAGCGTGGTCTTGGATTTCGCTTCCCGTGACCATCATATATTCTTACCGATGCTCTGGGTGTCGTGACATCGTCGCAACACACCAGAGTCCTCCAAGCCTGCCGGGCCGCACTGCGCAGCCGCAAGAGAGATGTTCCATTTCATTGGCGAATGTTAGCGCTGACAGTCCGAGGTTGACCAGTAAGGGAAAGGTATCAGGATGGTTGCTTGTAAGTAACCACATACGTCATATGTTACAGCCCAACGTTAAAGTCCAGGGGTCGATATCCTGTGGTTGAATGATGATAAAGCGCTGGAATCAATTTGCAACGATAGAAATCAAAAATACGGCTAGGCTTTGCGACCAATGAGCTGATCGCACAAGCTCGCGACCGGACTTGACAGAAAACAGCTGGCTTGCCTTCGACGTGCAAGGCCGTGAATGTGACAAAGGCTGGTGGCACGAAGAGGCAGTGTCGGACAGACAGCGTGCACAAAGGTCATGTGAGGCACCCGATCGTTTCAGTGGGAACATATTCGAAACATAGACAGTTGGTCGCCACCTGGCGCCACTGCGCCACCAATCAGCAGCTACCATTATTTTTACCTGGCAAGAGAAAATACGGTAGGTTGCCATCGGCGATCAAAGGTCAGTTTGAATAAATAACCAACGCAATGACGGAGAAATCAGTCTTAATCCACAAAACGAACCCAGGGTGCATTATGAACTGATATACTCATTATCAGTTAGATATAACAAAAGTGTCCATCAAGAAATGAATGCTAAAAGTCTTTGTAATCAAAGGTCCGTATCGACTGTTCATAAACTGATATGATGTAACTGACAGTGTCTCTACACATGAAAAAAATAAGAAACTGGAACGCAATGAGCCATTGAACGTGCATTCACAACTTGTCTTATATTCGTCGCAAGAGTGCTGAGCCAGAGATGAACATCACCATTAAGGTGGCGATGAGGGCAATGAATGTGGGGTGGGCAATATGCTGTGACACAGCGCTAGAACAACCTGCACAAGACCAGCCTTTTCGGACGAGTCAGACAACATACGGTGGTCATGTAGACATCACTCACCGCTGGTGATGGGAGTGTAAGCCTGCGGCGTATACAGCGCGAATTGCAGCGCGCTGTTGGGCGTAAGCACGCCTGGTTCGCGCACAGCGTCAGGCCCTCCGTCTCCCCAAATTTTGAGGGTGTATTTTGCCTGAGCAAGCGGCAGGTTGGGATGAGAGGTTTGGTAACTGTACGGATCCCAAACAACACTGGTGGCAGTTCCTGGAATAACGCCATCGGTTGGGCCGACGGGGTACGTGTTTCCATTCTCGCAGACAGCGGAAACGGTCAGGTGAGTGGGGGTGGCTATGATGTAGCTGAAATTCCATCCGAACGTAATGAACTGGTTCTGAGCAACCTTGAAATAAGAGGTCGACTGCTGGGGCGGCTGGGTGATGGTAAGAAGCCCAGCAGGGGCTGATTGGGGGATGGATAGAAACGAGGAAGCAGTGCCCGACGCAGTCTGCGACCGTGAGCCTGACACGGTAGAGCCAGACTGTGTTTGAGATAGTGATTGAGATTGGCTCTGAGACTGTCCTGTTGGCGCGCTTCTAGGTAATGCAGCTCGCCGCCCATCTTGAGCTTCAAATGACGGTTAAAAAATCAAAGAATGACAGCAAACGAAGACGACAAGTTGCGTGACCACGGGCAACAAGATAGGCGGGAACAAGCGGCGAATCAATGGAAAAACGTTGTTCGGGTCTGGAATTTGGATGCTGGCAATTCTTTTTCCTTTACTTGACTTCCTTTTTTGGACGATGACCAGTATGGATAGCGCTTGATTAGCCCTCCTTGGTATGCCATCATCGACTTTACTTGAACACTTCCACAGGCTCCAAACACATTCTCAATATTCACTTTCCGTAGCCGATATTGCTTTAACCTGTGCGGTACCATTGACTAGAGCACTGCCTTGCAGCAACATTACATCAACTGTGGAGTCGTGTGCGGGGGCTACTTGACGTATTATACTCGGTAGTGTCTGTTAGCAAACGTAACTTCAAGTTCTTACCACGACAACCACCTAGAACCGCAGTTGTTCGACTACTTCCTAGTCTCAGCGGTGTACCATGTTTGACGAAAGTCAACCACCCTCTCCGAACCAGCCAGTTGTGGCGTTAGCACCTCTGGAGCCCGAATGGCAGCCAATCTTCCAGGCCTCTAATCAGATCGTGTTGTACAATCCAACGTCGCATGCTCTATCTATAACCAAGTCCTCTGGCCCACTGGATTTCTCAGGCTCGTCATTGTGTCCCTGCTGTCATCGTCCTCTTCCCAATGGATTCGACAGAAATGGCTCTTCCGACATTCGGTCCGATTCTGGATCGCATTCTCGAGCATCAAACTACTTTCAGCTTCTTGCTGCTGCAAATCAGACGTCCTCGAGGCCATCCAGTCCCCCTCTTACGAGTGGCAGTGGCAGCCGACATGGTGCTTTCCCTCCAGAAACCATGGCAGAAGGCTACTTCAAGGCCTTTTTTCAGGAGGAGTATCGATTAGGAATGGGAGCAAATGGAAGTGTATATCTCTGCCAGGTCTGCTGAATTGCACTGCACCCTTATATGACTATTTCTCAAATCCTGTGGGCAGCATGTCCTTGATGGAGAACCACTTGGTTAGCATTTTGCATGCGACAGTTAATAGTTTAATGTGCTGAACGAGCTTCTTAGGTCATTTCGCTGTCAAGAAAATCGCGATAGGAGAGTCCCACTCTTACCTGCTCAACATACTGCGCGAGGTTCGCAACTGTGGCGATACGCTGACATCATGCACACTGACATTAATGTACCATCAAGATTCGACTTCTCGAGTCTCTCCACCATCGCAATATAGTAACATATCATCACGCATGGCTAGAAACTTATCAGTTCTCCGCCTTTGGGCCGAAGGTGCCTACCCTACAGTAAGTACGCCAAGGCTGACTGATGATGATTGACTTACCATGACTACACAGCGTTCTCATGCAATGGGCGGAAGGAGGAAGGTAACGTCGTGCTCGATTATAAAATATGACCATCAGTACTGAAGATTGGCTATCAGTTTGGATGATTTCATTGCCCTTCGCCTGGGACGTTCAATCGGACTACCGCACATGCAATCCTCTTCATCGCCTGCCCCTGACGATCCGACTCCATCTGCACGCATCCGTGCATTTCGTGCCATGAAGCGTGCCCCACCAGAGGAACGCGAGCGATTACGCCGGGAAATGGAGGAAAGAACCAATAGCCGCGGGAATCGTCCCTCATGGAAAGCCGTTCATCTCATCAGTGCAGAGGAAGCGCAAAGTTTGTTTGCCGACGTGACACATGGATTAGCCTTCTTGGTTTGTTATTGTTATGATCGATGTTCCAACGTTGGCATACTGATGATGCTTGGTATCTAAAGCACGATAAATCCATTCTTCATTTGGACCTCAAACCTGGTAACGTGCTACTGACTTGGGACGAAGGAAGACTCATGTAAGTGCGTTTTGCCCGGTTGTGGTGCCAATGCTAAAATCGTTGTGTGCAGTCCTCGAGCAATGTTATCGGATTTTGGGACCTCCCGAGATATGGTACGGTCGAGTGGCGTTCGATCGGGCAATACGGGAACGTGAGTATTCGGTTGCCATCGCTTGACATCAGCCCGCTCAATCCAATATAGTCTTGAATACGCTTCGCCGGAGTCCCTTCCGTCGCCTCTCACTGGACTTCTCCGACAGATTGACTCAAAGTCTGACATGTGGTCTCTTGGGATGATCCTGCACAAAATGCTTTTCTTTAAGTTACCCTACCACTACGCAACGGAAGGAGAAGCCACTGCATACGATGAAGCCGACAAGATGGACAAGCTAGAGCAGGAAATTTTGGGCTATACTGGGTACGGTTGACTCAAAGCCGCTTGTGATCTAGTTATAGACCAGCTCTCAGATTCCGATCAACGTCTGCACTTGTAACATCTTTCGAGTCCCGCCGTCTCCCGCGTTCGTTCCTGATATTGCTCGAGGGCCTCTTGAGCATCAATCCCTCTTTGAGACCCTCGTGCGAGCGCATCGTGAGCGCCATACGAGAAGGACGAGTAAGCCAAACAACCTCTCACGCTTGATCATGTTGTTGATAGTTGACGCTTTCAGTTTGATCCTGTAACACTATTCATCCCCCCTTCCAACAAGTCTCTTATCCCACTGCGACGAAAACCTGACGAGTCTGAGGTCGTTCAGAACCAATACACCCCTGATACTTCCCCGGCGCCTACAAAACACAAGCATGAAGAAGTTACTGAGACGTTGGATAGAAAAAGTCCCATGCTCCGTCTCCCCTCTCCACTTCCCGATCGTCGGGCTCACTCGGTGGACTTGATCATAGACTATCTTACTTTCCTACGCTGGCGATCACCGAAGATTGCTTGGGTTGGTACGCTCAAATCGTGCATTTTCGCTGCGAAGGTACGTTCCAGTAAAGCACCTTGGGCGTCGTGTTGATAAGGCTGTTACAGACATTGTCGGCAGTATCTATGTGGCCCTCCCGCCCGGTCCTCCTCGCCACCGTGGGACTTCTTGCCATTCTAGATACGATGTTTGATGGTCTCGAAGCTTCTTTGGTGCTTGGAGGGCTACACGTGGTGTTAATTCGGTGGTGCTAAATTGGACTCTGATGCATTGATGACCCTCGAGTTACTTGATTATGATGTAGGTGGTATTGCCACTTGCAATATTACGCGCCGCAGTTAGGTTCCAGGAGCTACTGTTTGATGACAACGTCCAAAATTACTGTATAATGTCGCACTGTTGTATGCACCATTGCTATATGAGCACTGTTTTACATGCAGGCTAGCGGCGGGTGCTAGCATCCGAACGGTAAGGCACCGTTTGAACTTGGAACAATGCCATCGAGTCACCACTGCCGAGCAAGGGTCGACGAGCAAAGTACTATGCACGTGTATGTTGCATACCTTACTCTCAACCAAACCACTAAATAGGTATAAGATGAACCAAATTATCCATTAAACGAAGTCGCGGGCTGGGTCATCGGTTGCTGCCTGTATTCTACCACTTTGAAACCTTCTCCCCTTTTGATTACGTTACCTGGGCCTACTGCGAGGCGTGAAACTAGCGCTTCTTGAACAGAAGATAATACTAAAAAAACGAGCAATTGAGTATCCTGCTCTCCCAATTCAAGTATAGTCATTGTTACCTGCTTCTTCCTCCTTGGCAGCCGGCCACTGGAAAGCTAGTGTAAGACCCACCCTCGGACTGAGCACTACGCATTCCTCTCGGCCTGCTCTGAGTTTGAGGGCCATCAGAATGTGCTTTCCAGGTAATCCCCTTAGCTCCTTGAGCATAACGGGATCGAACCGGGGGTCAAACTTGTCAGCGTATTGTTGAACTGGTCGTGCAGAGAAAGTGACTGGGTAAGCTGAAAGATTTGTTTCTAAAACTAGACGATCAATATCCTTTGGGTAATCCTTTCGTGCTTGTTCCATGGCTTCTTGTATTCGATCAGCGTATAGCGAGTAGTTGAAGGTTTCCACAAGCATGATGAGAGGAAGGCTACCCCGAATGTGTTTGGACCCGTCAAAACCTTGAAAAGTCGGTCAGTCCAAGTGCATGTCGTATATGTGTAATTGAGAGACAGACCACCAGCTGAATGGAGGACAGGGCATGCAGTACGATGTCTGCTCTTCCAATCTGTTCTCTGGCAACTCCGGGAACAATATCGTGCGACGAAACACCCACAGCACCGATAGTGCGGACGTTTATCGTTGTCATACGGACACTGGAGACGTAATAAGCCTATGGCGTACTGAATCAAGCTAACCCTCAAACATACCTCTAAATTCGCACACTTTTGTTCATAAAAAGGCAATGGACTGGTTTTCCTGCAGATATTGAGTATCTGACGGGCCGCTTGCTGGACCGAAATCCATGACTGTTGCACCTCATCGTCTTTCTTTGCGTAAGGTCCGAGACGAGCTATTCCATCGGCAGTTCGATCCATTGCCTTTTGGAAGTGGTGCAATACTTTATGGTACATCAAAAATGGCGGGATGAGCTTGAGGACACCGGAGGCCATCTGCGGGCAGCGGAACCCACCCTGCAGCACCAACTGGATAAATCCGGCATCGAGGACCTGACATAGAGCTGGAATGCATGCCTCTGATTGACGCAGTATCACATCTATATAATCGCAGGCATCCTCCAGGATCATAGTGCATCTCTCTGCAGCCGAGGTTTCCGTCGAGGAACTGACCCTCGTACCAGCGAGAACCGGCCATGTTTGAAGTATAGCTGTCACAACATCCGAAGGTGCGCCGTGCAAGATGAGTTCTTCTTGGCACGTAGAGTCCATGACGCTGACCAAGGAGAGAAAGCGGACTGAGACCGATAAAGCATCGACAAATCCCAGCATCGCAGTCACAAGTCCATAATTTGGAGTCGTGCGATTGTTCATGTCACCGATCTTCCTCCCGAACCAGCGAATATATCGTAGTGCTGATGCTACGAATGGTTCGTATCCACCCATTGCGTCAAGTAGGTTGTGCAGAGTAGGCAGAGCAGATGGTACCGGAAGCGCACCCATGCACGTTGTAACGATTCCGACCATAATCCTCCTCACGTGTCCCGGCATTTCATCATCGGCGCCCTCCTTCCCAGCATGCCGAAAAGATGCGTCATGCCGGAGCAAATCCTCATCCTTCAATTTCCCGATATAAAGCCATAGCTTCGCAATGAACTGTTGAACAGCTATGTTTGTCTGGATCAGGTGCTGTCCTGCGGCGGAGACTGATATCTGCGAGAGGGCACGAGTTGCAATGGAGATTGCATCTACATCGCAGATGTCGAAACCTTTTGGAGGGTCCCTCCGGGGCGGGAAAGGTAGAAAATGCCGATACATGAACTGCAGCCATGGAAAGAGAGTATCCCAACGTCGCACTAGTGCATCCGTAATCATCTTGTCCGCAAGACTTTCGTTGAGAACTCCACGCAAGCTAGCACATGTTTGTACGATACTCATCAATGACAATTTGGCCAAAATGAGGACTTGGGCATCATCAGTCGGTAGAGGTTGATCGGGGATCACAGCTGGATCCAGATGGGTGTAAAAGATAGGGAGCAATGCCATGTTCGCCTCAACATCGGTGGAATTATCGACCCAATGGTGGAGTTTGCGGAGATCATGCACCACGCCTTCAAGGGCTCCGTCTGTTGAGCGCTGGAAAGAGCCAATTGACATCGTCTGGAGTGATACAGGAGATTCAAAAATTGGATTTACCTGGATACGCTTGGGCAAAGATTTCAGAGCGGTTCTCTCTTGTGCAGTTAAGGGCATATTGGTAGCTTTCAGTACTGACAATGAACATCGGGCAGTGTAGAACGAAAATAGTTGTCAATGGTCTAGTAAACGTTCTCCGATGCGGCTGCGGCATATCGTACAGACATATGAAGTCTGTGCTTGAAAATGCTGTGATGAGCGCTTACCTTCTCGCCAGTAAGCGCCCTGATATTGTGGCACGATGTTTTGATCAACGAGCCATCAACCAAAAGTTGTCCAAAGCCTGCAGCACCGGACCCGAAGGCTTTTTAGGTAATTACTAAATTCAGGACCGAATTCGAGATCTTTCTCCCGGGAACAACATTATCAAACTCCTCACCTTGAGGTGCTCGTTCACCTTGTCTCAATGATGCCTGTAATCGGAAGGATAATAACAGCTAGAGAGACGATGAGAGCAAGAGGATATTCGATAGTTGCGTCCGCGAGCACGAGATCATGGTGAAGGTCGTTTACGCCAACCATCAATCCAGTATAATGATCAAGCTTCGTCAAGACCTGAGAGGACCAACTCGACAGAGAATGAGCGTGATCTATGTTGCAGTCAAGCCTGAAGCTGAGGAAGCCTTGGATTCTGAGTTCGATAGCAAATAACCCGTCACCGTGATGTCGCTCATAAATCCAACTTCTTGTTCAAACAGTGCGTCTTTCGAGCCTTCGTCGCGGCGTGCAGAAACTGCCGGAATATAGGCTCACCATCTTCTTTTTAGAGTCAACATCACACTCCTCGGACTCTCCCTGACCCGTTCATCAACCCGACTGCACCACGTCATTCAACCCTCTTACCCGCTCAGCTTGGGTCTCAAACTCCGGTGATGCTACCCTCTCATAGTACCGTTGATTCTTTTGAAACGGAGACCTTTCCAGGAGTGATCCCGGTTAGTTGGCTAGACAAGTAAATAATAATGAAGGGCAAGGGTTCGTTGTTCTCTTGTACTGCTCCGAACATCTCAATGTGCAGGACTCACATTCGAAGAGGTCATTGCAAAATGTGGTGCAGAGCGCTAGCAGTTGAAGTTCGATCTTGCAAAGGCTACTTTCAAAGAACAAGGTCGCGCCATTACGCCGGGTATTTCGCCTGACATATAATTGCCTCTGCTTTGGCCTGGAAAAACTTCTTTAACAATCACCTCCGAAAATCACACCACAAAAAGAAGATATCGACCTCGAGCATCTCCAGCCAGTGTACGCCTGGGTCCGAAGGTAGGCGGGATGCTATCAACTGTGAACCAGCTGATTATAAGTATTGTCCCCAGGCAACGACAGCCAGATAGATCGCCCGAAGCTTCTACATACACAGAACAATGTGACACGTCACCGAATCCATGGGGACGTGGATGCAAATCCACTAGCCTCTGTTCATCGCACGAACAGGTGGACGTTGTGGTCGCGGTTGGTGTTGGATTTTGCAGAACATTCGGAATTCGCGCCGTCCAACACATCCCCGAATTATCCATGTCTTGTTCAGAATCTGCACCGCTACTCGAAAATGGTGGCCATATGGGTCATAGGAACCTCCCCTTTTCTCGTGTTGTCAACTTCATGAAAGGCGAGGGCGAGCCATCATGGACAGAATCGTTCAAGTTCTTTATTTTTGGGACATGGTTCAATATCCTACTCGTATTTGTACCTTTAAGCTTCATCTCACACAACTTGGACTGGGACGTTGGCCTTGTGTTTTTGTTTAGCTCTATGGCCATCGTGCCCTTGGCTAAGGTGGCAACCACTCCTATCATTAGACTCTTGGAAGACTGACATTGTCGTTTTTAGCTGTTGGGCGAGGCAACAGATCAGTTATCTGTCAAATTAGGAGAAACAATCTCAGGTCTCCTTAATGCATCCTTTGGGAATGCCTTGGAAATTATCGTTGGTGTTGCTGCTTTACTCAACGGTTTGTCCACCGCCCGAAGTTGTCCGCAAGTACCCACGATAATCCTAGGTCAATTGCGGATTGTTCAGATGTCTGTGAGTGTCTTCTTATAGTCACTATTTGCGATAGAATGTTCTTGGGTCAGATGATTGGATCGATCTTGTTAAACATATTGCTCGTCCTTGGTTGTTCGTTTCTCGCCGGTAAGGGACATCTGCTTTTGAAGGAGAGTATGGGCTCACTCGGTATAGGTGGGTTATATCATACACAAGGATTTTTCAATGGTACTGGGGCTCAGACGTGCGTCCTCTGTATTTCTACCTTTTAAATCCTTGGTTGAATTGCAATATTTTTTCAGATCTACCTCTGTAAATTATCCAACTTATTCATTACAACGACAATTAACCAAGTCTAGCTTATGACTCTGTTATGCATCAGTACGAATATCTTCTCCAACTTGAGAGTTTCGCTAATATTTCATAGCGCTTGTTGTTCTTGCGGCATATACAAGTACTACAGACGCTGGAATGCAGAATCGTTGCAGTGATCTCGATGAATGTCCCACTGCGGGTCTTCTCTTTATCTCCAGAGGAACTGCCATATTGCTCCTAGGGGTTTACTGTGCCTACCTTTGGTTTCAGGCATGTTCTAATATCTTATTTCTTCAATGTGCTCATCCAAGGGTTGAGTTAAAAACTCATCACTTTCTCTTCATCGCACCTTCTTCACCTACGGCTGAACAAAACAATGAGGTAACGGTAGCATTGGCAGAAACGGAGGAAACGGAACCTCGCATAGGAACAGCCGCTGCCGGTGTTGCGTAAGTTTGGTTTCGTCATTTATTACATTAAATCCCTACCCTCGTTCGTTAGACTTTTATCGGCCACTTTCATTACCGCATTTTGTGCTGAGTATCGTATGTGTCCCACTTTGTTCCCTTGGTTTCATGTTCAACTGTTCAATTGTGCCAGTGGTTGCCTCCATCGAGGCGACTGCAGTCCGCTATTCCATCCCGGAGGCCTTTATTGGTGTTATCTTGTTGCCGATCGTAGTATGTTTCAAGTTGTATCCGGCTAACTGCCTACCAACATCGTTTGTAGGGAAATGCCACAGAACATGTCACTTCAGTCTGGATGGCAATGAAGAATAAATACGAGCTCACCATCACCATTTGCGTTGGGAGTTCGATTGTAAGTGTAGACCATTCATCATAAAATTATGATTGTACTCACTCTCGGACAGCAAATTGCCTGCCTCGTAGTTCCACTTCTTGTGATCGTCGGTTGGATGTACGATCATGTATTGCATCTCGCGAGATGTTATTCTCACTGTCCTTTTTGTTAGCGTCGGCCAACCCCTGACGTTGCACTTCCACAACTTCGAGGTCTGTTTATTCAGAATACATTACGCGTATTACCTAAGTTTCTAACGAATCTTCAGACAGTCGTCCTCTTTGCATCTGTCTTTCTAGTCTATCTATTGCTCATGTCAGCTTGCCTTTCACCACATGGAAATTCCCTTCTCGTCAAGACTTAACTCACTTGTTTTAGGGATGGAACTGCCAATTATCTGGAAGGTCTCATACTCCTTACCCTCTACTTGGTCATCGCCCTCGCATGTGAGTTACCCATTGAGCCCTTTAATCACCTTCTCATTGCCATTAGTTTGGGTAACCTGAGATACCACCGATTATTGCCATTATTGGCGGCACTAACATAGTCAATTGCATGACTTCATTGAAGGGAAGCATCATACTATTATTCAAATGTGAAGGATCATGTGTAAGATAGGGCTGTCCTCCTGTCCGGTTGTGATCAACCATAGTGCGGGAGAGTGTGAGACCTTGAATGTAGTTGCATAATAGGCGAGTCTCATGTTTTAGAAATGACGATATGCTGAAATCAAACCGGGAAGGTGTTCAAGAAACACTATGTCAGGGGTCAAATATCAAAACAGCTGTAGTGCTGTGTAGTCTTGATGCAACAAGGAAATATCATCTACGTCTTGTTACTTGTAAAACGAAGAGGCTGTAGAGCTTTGATTTTTCGCAATTTAATGAATGTGTTATGAGGACAATTCCCATTACACGACGTGGCCTCAGCTTTTTCTAACTCCAGCATGCGACGTAATCAATTGATTGTTCGACAGCAGAGCCCGCATATAGAATGATCAGACAAGTATGACAAGAGACTAGTCCTTCGATTTGACAGAGCAGCGGCTATCAGTTAACTCAACACAAAAAACATTGACACATTGCTAATGCGGAACTCTGCAGGCCTGAACAAAACGGTAACAAACTGGCGACTGTCCATAGCTCCTCTCCCACATTGCAACCACCTTCCGCCACCTTCAAAGCTCAGGCGTTGATATTGATGGGCGTGCAGCCGATGTTAATGAGCCCGGACTGTAAAGGTAACTTTAAGAAGTCTGAAATGGAATATAAAGGCTGAATACGTACATATTGATTGTTGCTGCAGCAGAGTGGCTCCTGGGAACAGGTCGCGCCAGCGCCAGTGCCGACAACGGAGATTGGGGTGCAGCTAAGACCGACATGACCGAGGATGCTCATGTCAATGGGAATCGTTCCATGTGCCGTCGCATTCTTATTGTACTCATCGACCTATTGTTGGATTTTAAGCATGATTTACGAAGGATATTTAGCGCTATGAAACCCACTGTCTGAGTCTCTTTACAACACTGAATGTTGCCTGTGTCGCACTGGCTGCTTGCCTGGCGGCGAACAAGGGGATTGGCAATTGCGAGAAAGCAGAGAGACGCTATGGACAAGAGACGAACAAACATTGTGCAAGACTGAAAGGCGAACTTTGACTAGGTGGTGATTTGGGGCGGTAGGTGATCAAGGAGCTGATGGGCAACTTGAACTGAGGGAGAGCGGGCGGAACTGCCAGATTTTATATCTGCAGACAGACCTTTTGACTTCGGAATCTCATTGCAGTCACCGAAGCCCCACTCTGTCGGCAAAATAATTTTAGTTGATGCCGACGGTGAATGTACATAGGTGAACATTCTACATTGCGATCGGAACCCGCCCCCTGTGTTGGTTGGGCCGTCGATCGATCGAGCTTTCCTCTTGGGCATACAGGTCTGTGAAACTGTACTGCAAATTTCAATCTTCCGAGCTCTCCGACCCACGGTGTTGCAAGAAAACCCGAGGGGACTCGACATTTAGCTTTTCCCTCTCCACGTTTGAGCTGCATGGAAGACATAGAATAGACAAGTATTGGTACTGTCTAGTGCCGCAGCCACACCTCCATAGGACCATGACTGCGAATATGCTTAATAATGATACAAGACTTGAATTAAGATCTTGACGTTCGGTGATGTCCATACCTGTCTTAAGAGCCTCGATGCACATATGTAGTCATCGCCTGCAATAAGTTAGAAGGTGCCACATATATAAGTATCTGGAGTAGCCATACGGTGACTCGTAATTATTACTCACAAATTGAAACATTGATGTCCCTCGGTAGACCCCCTCAGCGGGGGCACTGGATCCCCCCAATCGGAGGGATATCTTTAGGCTTGGTTTTTGTGTTGACTGACATTCCGAGTTGGGTGTACTTGCACTGCATAAAAGATGTCCGAAGATTACGAACCTCCGAGGTGAAGTACCATCTAGAAAGGATATAGCAAGCTGGAAGCACACCTACGTCGTGCCCAACGCCATCAAGTCGGTCCGTCTTCGTCGTCTGATATACTGCAAGTGCTTAATACAATGACCGCCAAATCCGGGTTTCCCTGAAACTTGGCTGAAATCGACGAAATGATCTATACCATTAAGACTTTGCCATGGCTTTTAAGGAAGATACTCGCTAGTTAAAATGTGACCCTGCAGTCACGGTGGCGGCGTGTCATTTTAGCATGACTACGAGTACTGATATTGAACTGGAATCTACTATCCAGCAACCTGTGTTAGTAAATCTTGTTCATGAGATCATTCATGAAAGTGGAAGAGTAGCATCTAAGTAAGCCCCCAGCGGCAGCCTGGCTTCTAGTTTCTTGTAGGCTGATTTGAGGCAGCAGAGTTTAATTAATTACTTCAATTGATAATTTATTACGTACTTGACATTTCCAGGCCGCAGTTGCCAACCCTCTTGAGCAGACTCCAAGTTCAAAGTTGATCTTGAGCTTAACCATTGAAGAATTCTGCTTTGTTCGGTACCGAGCGATCATCATTAACACTGAGTGTTACTGCGTGTGGACATCGCAATCCCGAAACTTTCAAAGCCTTCTCTCGAACTTTTTTTCGAATGGTTAAGGTTAACTCAATACCACTTCAAGGGAACCTGACTAGGGTATGAAGGAATTCGACGCAGCTATCGGGACAACGCATGGATATCATCAAATGAGCCGATACTGGCTTGATATTCCTGATCAGTGACAGTAATTTTTGGAGCGATAGAAACGAAATTGAACTTCAAGCTACTATATACGAATTTGTAGGCCGCACAAACAAAACACATGTCCTTGACATCCATTTACACGAATGGTGAGTTGTAGCCCCTCGTCCACATGAAGCTTGATTGGTTACAGTGTAGGCGTCCTGGAGCACATGAAACCTGTCGAACGCCTGGTGAAGGGGGTAGTTACGGGTTTGCCGTTGTATAGGTCCTATAGGACAATGTTGCACAATGCACTTGTACTATCATACCGTATACGAGCCTGGCCCATAGTGGGCCACTTCACTGATATTAATAGGTTGGCCCACTTTATTAGCCGTGCCCCATGGAGTCTCTCCCCATTTAGCGTGTCAGATGTATGTACTAGTATTCGGTGGGATTTGCACCAGCTCACTGCTAACCATATCGTCAACAACTTGGAACCATCATGCCCTGCTGCGCACCCGCTTAGACTTGAGCTTGATCTACGGTGCCAATATCCTTACACCCATTCTTGTCCGACCACTCATTCTGCCCATTTCTCTGCCCATCCTCCAAGTTAGTTTGTCTCTCGTCTCTACGTCGCACCACCATGCCCGGAAGCTTGGAGTGTTGCTTGATCAGACTCAAAGGTGATGCAACTTTGGTATTCATTCTAATTTTATCTCATGGTCTTCACCCACAGCCGTCAGCGGACAAAATACATAAGCGCCCTCTTAGCGTATCCACGCAGGCATTTACGTAGCCATTAACCTCGACTCAAGGAGGCGCTGGACACTAGCCATCCAACTTGAAGGTCCATCGTCTATGGTGATATTCTGACCGTGTAAAACCTTCTACCGAGACTCGCTGGCGTGATTCCAGTACTCATCGTTTATTTGTAGATCACCACACACGTCATCACCGGAGATCGGAGCATCCTTTGAACTCGGTTGAATGCTAGGCCATAGGAAACTTATTGGAATACTTGAGACATCATGGAATAGGCTGCTCGATCATGGAGATGAACCATTTGGTGAGTGATCTGCTTCCTATTCATGTATTTCCACTAGCTTCCCGTAGAGCTGACCTTTCCACCCATTGATGATACCTGCCCCGCTCTCACATTAAACGTCGCTTTTGTGCACGATTATGGGCAGGACGATACAGTGCTTAATGTGAGTGATGCCTAAACCGTGGTATGGGCTCTTGGAGCACGCAAAGTGCAGTTAACCTTTGAATACGAGATTGTTCGATGCACTGATGCAGACCCCGAATACACGAGTAAGAGTGGTGTCTCGCACCTAAGCGATGCTGTAGAGGATCTTCAGTTAATTCTAGACCAGTGTCCAGTCGGCCACCCTGACCACGCAGCTGCTCTCAGCAATGTCGCATGAGCTTAAGGGTATGCTCGAAAGAATCTTCAAGACATAGTTTCACCATCTCTCTATTCCGGGACACGCTTGGGTTGCGTTCGCACGGCCACCCGGATCACGCATCATCTCTTTATCAACCTACTGAAGGGCTGAAATGGTGCCACATCTATCAGGATACTACCGCTGATCTCGCCGAATCTGCTTAACTGGCGAACTTTGCATCTGATGAAGGTATCCACCTTCGACGAATCTCGTTTCAGCTCTGTCCTCTAGGTTTGGCGGCTTCTCATACGCTCCGCTTCCATCACCATGGTGCATGTCTAAATGTTGACATAGCCATCTCTTTGTACGAAGTGCTGCGCCTGACTGACACGAATCTAGTGATGTATTATTGGACAGTCTAGAGGGTGCCCTCCTTTACCGTTTCAAGCAATATGACGACAATGATATTGATGCCAGTCAGAGAACTGGACTGAACTGATGTCCAGACGTGTATTCACCAATTTATGCCAAGCTATTGAACAGGCTCTGTCATTGAAAAACATGTAATGCACTCGCAAATCATGTTTGGCAGCATGCACTATACCTATTTCATGCTGGAGTGAGCGTCTTGGGTGATGTTTACCTGTCAGATTCTCGCTCACTAGCCTGAGCATGAGTTCAGTGTGCTTGTTACTGAATGTCTATTACAGGAATTATGTCGCACTCTGTCAAGCTTAAACAACAAAAATAGAATGCACTAGCAGATGTGAATAATTTTGATATACATCTATATAATAGTGGTACTCAAAATAAATTTTGAAACTCTTGAAAACTCGCTAAACTGCGTTCAACTCCCTTCAACTCCCCGCTTAAAGTTTGAAAGAACTCGCGCAAGTCCGAGAGAAATGTGCTCGGCACACGTCGGCATGTAGTCGGACTTTAAAACGACACTTGTGATTTTTCAAAGCGTGCTATGTACATAGGGGAAAGTGGTAGAGTAGCGGTCCAACATAATTGTATTTCAAATGAAAGCATTAATAAAATTGTAAAAAAAACAAGGCCCGCGGGAATGAAATCAGCTGTAGGTAGGGAGCGCGGGAGGGACCAAATAAGTGCCGAGTGGAGGAGGGGGGGATGCTGAGCAGCGGGGGGGGGATGAAAAGCGTCGGGAGGAAGATCTGCGTGCCTCTGCGGAGACGCAAGATCAAGTGAAAGGCGGACTCCTTCTGGATGTTGTAGTCACTGAGAGTACGGCCATCTTCGAGCTGCTTTCCAGTGAAGGTGAGACGCTGCTGGTCAGTTGGGATGCCCTCCTTGTCCTGGATCTTCGCCTTCATGTTGTTGATGGTGTCCGATGACTCCATCTCCAACGTGAGGGTGTCTCCATGGAAACAGATAAGGAGGCGGAAGGTGGACAGGCCGTTTGCCGGTAAGGGCGAGGCGCCGCTGATCAGGTGGATGGCAGATGGTCCATCGCCCTCGCGCGTGGATGAGCGTTGGCTCTAAGTCGTGCAGACCGGCGAGCACGTTGGTGAACAACAGGCATGTTTTTCGAACTCCGATGTGCGATGCCGGCCTGACTTTCAATTGCAGCACATGCTCATGCTGTGTTTTGTTGAAGTAGCCGAGCTTTAGGCGAGTTTTCAAGGAGTTTCAAGATTTATTCTGAGTACCACTATTATTTCCTGGAGTCAGGGACTGCACTAAACAATAAACGATTTTCATTGGCTGACTACACAGTACGTACTTCCCAGCGCCACTATGATTACATAACACAAATCTGGCAGCAGCCGCAGCACACGACCGTGACTGCGAACTGCTATTTATGAATTGGTGCATCAATGACTCTAAACTCCAAGGATACCTTGCTTAAGGCGCTACAACTGTCGCCTGACCTTGACGATGAGGCATTTAACCTCACATCATAGTTGGAATTTTTGTCTAAGGCGATTCAAAGGCAATCGGCAGAGACATTTCCGCCATAATAGCAATCGCAGTTGATGACGAAACACACCAGCCATCTCTCAAGACTGTATACGATAATATTCTTCAATATCATGAGGGTCCAGCCCTTCTTGTGAGTAACTTATTCTATCCTCTATCATATTTCAGAGCTCAATGGACTCCCTGTAGGAACCTCTCGACGTCCTGCCTAATCTCCTTCGGTGCCACCGTAAAGAGGCTGTTGACCTCATTAGCCTGATTTCCGAAAACAGCAGTCCGAAGGAGGTGTTGATTGTTATCCAGGAAACTCTGGAACAGCTAACCCAGCTAGCCTATGAAGATGAAGCTGAAGAGGAGCATGTTCCTGGATCTGTTCAGCGTCTCATCAACGTTATCGTGCTGTCTACAAAATGTAAGTGTATTACAGGTGTCGACCGATCACTCACATCTCGGGGCCTCACAGCTGTACCTAGATCAACTCTTGGAAAGAGGACTGCGTTAAGCATAGTCTCACCCTTGGTTTCTGGTGTCAGTTCAGCGGTTTCTTCGCTAGGAAGTCACTTCACGCGGGACAGTGGGCGTTCATTACTTGCAGGGGTCTCTGGCATGTCGGAGGCATTCTACACATGGATCTTCAAAACAGGCAACGAAGCAAATGTTGCAGAGGCGAGGGTCTGTCTACAGCATTTGCGATAGATGGCTTTGCAGACTCATTAACTTGCAGAAAATTATCAAACTACTTCTGGACACAACTGTTTCGGCTTGTGCGTCGTGTATCAGGGCATCGCTATGTGCCAGAGCTTTCGAGATGCATTATCCTCGTCTTATACTATCTTCTGCAGTTGAACCCGAGTGGCAAGAAGGGGAGCAGGCCATTCTGAGCGTACTGGTAAGTCAGAGAAACCATGGAATGACATATATTCTGAATCGTATTAGACTACCCTTCAGGCAATGACCCTGTCACCACAGGATGTCTTGGATGATCCGACAACGAGTTCTCTAATTATACTTGCTCACGGACAACAAAACCCCCTACCCAAAGATCTGTCCTCCAAGTTGCATTCGATGCTCATGACTTCAATTCAGATGAATTTCGCCCTCGACGAGTCTCTCTTTCTTATCTTTCGCTGTGTTACGCAAGATCGCACACAGCCCGACTTCCCAGCCGACCTTGCTACGTCGCTATGCACAGTTCTTCCCGCTTTGGCAAGCACCCATCTTGACCCATTCATCAGGCATTTCAGTCTTCGACTGATCGCACTCATTCTTGCGCAACTGCCATCTGTGTTACAACAACAAATCTTGATAACCCTAGCATCTGACACGGAGCTTCCTCAGATGCGGGCGGCCGCCATTGGTCTTCTTAAGGAATTTGTCCTAGAAGCACTGCAGGTCCCCGCATCGTCAGGAGAACAAAACATCTTTGCGTCACCGCTGCTTATAAGATCCTTCGGACCAATCCTGTTCAGGACAATGCCGTTTGATTATTTGTCGACGATCCGGGCGGCTGGCGACATTGAGAAATCCTTGGAGCCCTCTCGGATCGCAGAGGTGCTATCATTTTACTACGTATTACTGCAACGGGACAGGGACAACAAGGTACGTTGTTTTGTACACCAACGCAAATAAAACTGACGATATCTCAGACTGGTATACGAGACCCGGATAACATCGCGAGCGTAGAATCGTCGTTACTGCGGCCTTTGCGCTCTTTTCTGGAAAAGTGGTCGAACGGTACGAGGATGTCGTATTTTTATGACATACAGCATGACAGATTCTTCTACAGCTAAGCCTATTCTTTCTTTAATCTCCCTGCAAATTGGCCTGGAAAGAATAGACTATGCTGTACAGATCATCCGAAGCCGGTAATTAAGTAATACACTAGGCTACACTAGGTCGCCGAGTGGAGTGGGATGATTTGGATGAGCGTCGAGTTCCAAATTAGTGTTTTTGCTTGTGGTCTTCTATGTAATAGTGGTGCCTATAGATAACAATCGTGATTCACTATTTCAGAACTTCCGACATACCTGATTTGTGCCTGATATCTTCGAGCACCTCATATCCGCTGTGTTGGAACCCATTGCAAGTCCAATTCAACATGAAAAACTTGGTATTACTACTAATTGGATCGCTTATGCTCCGTCACCGTCACTGCCGCCGCCGCCGCCGCCGATAGTATTGTGGGTAGAACTGGCAGAATCGCTGATTTTTTTGATGGTACTAGAACTTCATGTCTATATATTGAAAGGAAGAATAATATATAACTTCGAATTAATGTTGAATTCCAAGTCCGATCATCGTTTGGGTAAACGCCATGGTTAGCGCGGACCGTTGCGAGCGTCTTGACTCTTGAATGTGCTGATTCCAGTTAGACTGGTGACTGAGGCAAACCGTAGATTCCAGTACCAAGGAAACCGGCTGACTAGTACTTAGTCATTGTAGAGAGTTATAAAGTACGTACACTAATCTGAAAACTGTCAGCGTGTAGTGCATCCTGTACTGCATGTCTTGGAGTTCTGCCACATGTTGTTTGGGAGGTTATGCCATCTGCCTGGCCCGCAGTACCAGTTCTGCCCTGCCACATGGCGGAATGGCAGAGTTTTGCCCACAACAGCACAACCCTAGCTCCGTGGTTTAGCATCAAGGGATCTCTCCGAGTCAGACTTTGTGTTGTCCTTGTAGGTCACGTGCTCCAGTTGAATTTGCTGGGACAAGCGTGTATGTATACGCGATACCGGGACCTGTGTGTGCTGTTCTTGGCACTCCAATGCCACGTCGGGGGTATGGCTGAGCACTGGCATTGTGATGGATCCACGCCTCTGCCCAACGGTCTTCCAAGGGTGCGTGACAATACTGCCATGATCCAATAAATTTGCCGCACGTTATCTACCACACTCCACACTTCTTCTCACTCGAAGCACCTATTTATGAGGTGCGAAAGTGCGGGATTTGATATATTTATCCATGGTTATATACTATGGGAATGACCCTTCACCCTTGAGATGGCTGCATTGAGTCACAAGGAGCGTGGATGATATCTCGGAGATTTCGATTTGCAATGAGCTGTTCGTGAGCATACATTATCTCAGTATAGAAGGTGCGAGCAGGGACCAGTAGGATGAAGTTATCATGGGCGAGAAATGGGAGCGACCCTAGATTGTGATTTAAGGTAAGAAAATATAAATATAGGCATAGCAAGACGGTACACGTTCCATAGTACATCGTACATCTAACTTGCAACTATCTTGACCGAGCGGTGCTTAATATTGGGTATTCTGGTATTTGAGCTCCAGCTTTCGGAGGGGGAAGTAAAGTAGACCTGCAAGAGGGAATGCAACCTCGAAGCCAATATCACCCGAGGTGATGCCAATGGGGCCCTCATACCACAACTGGTTCATGCAGGGTATGATCAGGGCGAAAGACAGTATGACAGCTGCGATAGCGGCTGCTCCCCAGGGCAGACGCCCCGGAACATTCCAAATGGCGTGGTTATAGGTGCTGAAGTCACCTTTGCGGAAGTAATGGTGTTCGACAAGAACGATGGCGCCATACGCACTTGCCCAGTAACCGATTAGTGAAAGGAAATCGGTCAATGTCGCATAGAATTTGTGGGCGCCCACGATCGATAAAGGCAATGCGCTGTCGGCGCCCGAGGGAAAAATTTGAGATCAGCCGATGACAAGAAAGGCGGTACAAATGGGAAGACGGACATTACCGTGCCAACGATCGAGAAGACATATCTTGGGACTTTTGACATGGCCGGGATCATCACTTGGAAATTGAAACACATAGAGTAAAGCGTGCACGCGATGTTGGCGGTGACGCTCAGACTGAGAAGAACAGTGAGGAATTTCCCAAAGTTACCAACCGGGCTGAGCATCGCCTCCAAGAGGCCGCTGACGTTTTGGTCCGCTCCGTAACCCTCAGCCCAGCTAGGAACGTTTGGTGCAGCAAGGACTACTGCAGCTCCAAGGCACTCGAGAAGGACCTCGAGATAGGTCAGAACATGCTCAGGGAGTACCGGATGGAGAAGCTGACGTACGATAGGCACAATGTATCCCAGATATGCATACCAAAAGATCCTGGACCTGGAAAAACATATTTAAGCGTAACGCCACAGGGCGTGAGATGGAACTTACCGAGGAACGGTAGGCGAGTAGTACATCGTGAAATCGGATGCCATAGCCGAGTAGGTAATAACGAATCCAGCAATGACAGATGCGAAGCTGAAAATTGAAGCAGCAGATGCAGGTACCGCTGGTTGAACGTTGTACAAGTTCTTGCCACCCACGCCAAGTGCAACCAGGAATGCGATAAGAACTGGGAACCACGAAACACGTTCGTACCTGGAAACCGTAAAGCTATAACTGTGATGAATAGAGAATACCGCCTACCAGTTGAGTACTCTGTAGCCCATGAAGGAGATCTGGAGGTGTGAACATTGTGAATACAAAGAAATTCAAGTGTCACGTAAGAGAACGCACGAGGAGCGCAATGACGAAGATAATCACAATGCCGACACTGATACGGGTTAGGTAAGATAAACCGATTTTGTGGGATGCCATACGCACTCCCAACTCATATCACTAGACACACTAGCTAGTGCCTGTCCACCGAGTATACCATTGACGATATTGAAGCCACACAGGCCGATCAAATTGAGAATGGCGGGTATAATAATGCCAAAGTAGCTTGAACGAGGATCAGGCAGTAACAAATATGGAAAACAAACACACATACCCAAAGCTATATCTAGATTGAGTCATCTGACGCATGCCAGTTTTGGGACCCCAAGTATTTCTGTGGAAGAGAAGTCAAGTAATGACCCGGTATCCATGTTCAGGAAAGTGTACGAACAAATATGCAGGTAACGCGCATGCCAGGATATTAAAGAATAAGATAACGAGACAGGAATCACGAAGTCCAAGTCCGAAAGAGATTGGACCGAGGGTTCCGGTAGAAAAGCTGGTTTATCTGTAAGAATGAGCTGACAGTCGAAATGCTCTGAAAACTTACGAGAGGATATTGAAGTTCATTGAGAACCAAACAAAGAAAATTTTATAGTATTGGGTGTCCACCCGCTCCTCTTCAGGAACTGGAATAGTGCCTATGAACGAAGATTAGATGAGTATTTGGTTGTAAGGAAAACCCACCTCGCTCCTCCACGCCCCAACTGAGAAGGGACTTTGCTAACGGGTGGGAGAGCCATCCATGCCTGTCTCCGGGGATGACCACAGAGAGATCATCCCTAGTAGACGCGGAATCCTTCTCAACGTCGGTGACTGAGTTCTTCTCGTGTAGATGATTGTCGGACATCGTGATCGTGGATATGAACGAGGGATGGCAATCGCAAAGCTTCACAAGGAACGCCCTAAATATAAGGATTGTGAGGCACCATTCGAGTTAGATATCCACGCCTTGGACGTTTCAAAACCACCGGGGCGGGAGAAGAGATCCCGATGATCATGTGGCAAAGGTACAAGATGTTTGGCAGTTTCGCCGAGCCGCTAACTCGGCATGCCATAACCAATTTCTGGGATAAATAGACGAATTTAGAAAGAAATTCATATAATTGTAAATTAACCTAACCTGGAGTTTTGTTTCCACGATCATTTTCCGCGAAATTTAGTCAACTCGTGAGACAATGCTTGCTTATTCGCGCTCAACGCTCTCGACGGCGACAACAACCTCGAGCTCACTGTCACTGACGATGGCAGTAGCCGTACAGCGCCCATTACGCGGTTCACGTGTATCCTCCTTCTATCCTGTCAAAGCTCTCCCATCCTTGTCCTCTCTCGATAGCGCGTTCCAGCTCCAAGAATATATTTCGCTTCTTATTCGTCTTGACGTCCATGATGTTAACTCAATAGTGTCTCTTCCGGGGAAAGCTGCTTTCAAGGACGCCGAAGAAAAGTCTTCTGATCTTTCTGATCAAGCTGAGCGTAAACCAGATGATCCTGAACGCAAAAGCGACATAACAGTCGACCGAGGTTGCTGGATTTACGAACAACTACGGTACCTATCATCTTTACTCACCCAGTTATTTATGCGTTAATTGTGTTCGTCCATCAGACGTCTCGCACAGGACCTATCTCATCCCCTCATCACAATGTTGCAGCAGGAATGTACTCGTAACACCTGTCCCGAGATGAAGGCGGGAGAGTGGTTGTATTTGTGTGTCGCACACGGTAATGACGGCGCTATGGAGGTTCGTTTGACTATCATTTAAAAAATTATGGTTCTTCTAACTGCTTATGTATATATCCTCAGCAATGCTGTGCTATTGATTACATCCTTCATACGTTAGATAGCGCAACCGCACTATTAAGTTCACCTCGAGCTTTCCCATCTCGGTACGTCACGATCACGTCTCATGGAATCTTTGTTGATATCCTCCGTTACACCGCCTTCAAACTCAACTCAATCATACGTACTTTTCGCGATAATCAGCCTTTCGATACCTCCTACCTCATATCGACACTTCTCTTCGCTTGCTCGTCGCCTTGGTAGAATATTTGCACATGCGTATTTCCACCACCGAGAAGCCTTTGAACAAGCGGAGGCCGAATCATTGCTCTACGCCCGCTTCCTGAAACTTACTAGTCAATTTGATCTCGTCCCTACCGAGTTCCTTGTCATCCCCTCAGGTGCTGTCCTGCCAGGTAGAAAGGGACACGATGAGGATGTCGAACCTCCACGTCTTCTTGCAGCGGCCGTCAATCCGCTGCGTGAGCAGGAGGATCAAAATGCACCTACGACAGAACAAGCACAACCTCCGAATGTCCGCGAGAAGAGTCCTCCGGGACTGTCCAGTGACAGCCCGATTGGCACCGATAGTCCACGCCGGCTGGGGCGCAATCGCACAGACACTATGGTGTTCAGTGAGGCGTACAATGTTGCAGAGGAGCTTGCAAAAGGCGGCGACCATAGTGTCACCGAAAGCGGTTTATTGCATACTGCGCTATCTGCTGAGCCTGAGAGCTATTCGCAACCCTCATGGTCCGGTCAGCCGAATGAGTTCCCTCCCGACAAATTTGGGTTTGACGTCGAAGAGGTCCCTGTCGAAGAAGTGCTCGTCGACGAAGTGGCAACCGTCACCGGATCAAACTCTCCACCTCTAGACGATCTGTCCTTAACGTTGCTTGGGGGCTCCAGCTCACCTGCCCCTGCTGGGCCACCTGTACTGGAACACGAGGTAGAGACGATTCCAATTGTTGAAGAGATTGAGACCGTCCAGGAACAGCCGGCTGTCGAGCCTGTAGTTCCCCACGAAGAGACCGCTGCCTTGGCTGAGCCCTCGAGCCCAGTAGCCCCCGCAGCTACCCAAAATGTTGAGCCCAGTGTTGCAGACCCTGATGTTGTGGAGGAGCCTGTAGCTGCCGAAAAATCTGATTCACCGGAACCAGTTCCGGAATCTGAAACATTAGATGAGACACCCCTCGACCCTTCTCCTGAGGCAGATGCAGTAACCACCCACCTCGTGGAACCCCCCGCGCCATCATCTCCTGAATCTGCCTTCGTCGAGGACTCCCTCACGGAGCCCGAGGTTAGCCTTAATCTGAGCGAGCCCCCGCCGTCAGAGCCAATACCCCCAGAGAGCGAGAGTGATATTACGGATGAGGCACATGATGTGGATGAGGAAGCAGAGGTGGAGGTGGAGTTAGTGGAGGAGAATTCATGAGGTTAGGTCGTCTGCTTAGCTGTGTTTTCGTAGCATTGTTCTGTTTTTCCCCATTTCTTACTGCTTTGATGTCACTGCGTGCCAACGAGAATTTTCGAAGAAGGTGCGAACTGATTGATTGACTGAATATAGTTGTCTGATCATTGTAGTACTTTCGTGATTGCAGGCTACTGTCGGACACCCAGGAATGCACCTGCTCTGTTGAAACTGTCTCGATTGACTCAAATAGATCAGTTTGATGCCGGTGTCGTCATGATCATATGACAGGTTCCATGTATAGTTCCGTGTCATTGTGATTGGCAGGTGTTCATCACGTCTAAAAGTATGATTAACCACCGAAGACTTCTAGCCTGGTGTTTCCAAATCTCGAGGACGGGGCGCAAGCTCTGGCGTTTGAAATCTAACTATCTTTAAACTTTCCTCATTCGTGCACAGCGCAAGCTGTTGATATTATTGTGCTGTCATGCAAATGATCGACGAAATAACACTGTTTAGATTGTGAATCACAGTTTATTTCTTGTTCGCTATTTTCGAGCTCAGGCTGGAGATCATGCATCATGTTTTAGCGCTTAGTCCTAGCGGCCTGCAAGCTTCTAATGTAGGGACCGCTGGAGTGGCGTTGCAACAATTGCCATCATGTGGACATGCGATAACGTAGCAACGATTCATCATGATGGCAGGTGATATTCTGTGTTTGCGACCACTACGCATGCGTAGTAGTCTTCCGTTTACAGTTTTCATATCGAATAGACCGGATTTCATTTTATTCCCCTTACCGCTTCTGTTTACTTGCGGAGCTCGACAAACAATGTGGGGCATTACGTCCCTGTTCGATAACTTCGCATCGGAAACAAAGATGAATTAAAATGTGAAGTCATCAGAAAAACGCAGTATACTCTAGGCTACTTGACAACAGAGCGGAATGCGATGACATCATGAAGAACTTGTGTGTCGACCCTATTAGTTGCTATTGTTGAGTATACAACAACCGAGCACCTCGAGCTTGCCCGACAATTAAACGATCTCTAAAAGGACATGGTAAACAGCTGGACTAGTCAGATTGAAAGAAATATGCGAGTCACTATTAGTACATATGGGTGGCAAGTGATAATACACTTTGATCATGCACCGAAACCGTATAACGTGCGCCCCGACCGCTTCAGCGCATAGACGACATCAAGAGCAGTAACCGTTTTGCTATAGTTCCAATGAGCAAACAAGCATTGAATTAAGCTGATGCTAGGGCCTACCGCTTAGCATGTTCGGTGTAAGTGACGGAGTCGCGGATGACGTTCTCCAAGAAAATTTTGAGTACACCACGGGTTTCCTCGTAGATGAGACCTGAAATACGCTTCACACCACCACGACGGGCAAGGCGGCGAATAGCCTGAAAATATGAGCATGCGAACGATCATAGAACGCCGTACCACGCACTGGCTTCGTAATACCCTGGATGTTGTCGCGAAGAATCTTTCGGTGACGTTTGGCACCGCCCTTTCCGAGACCCTACTGCACTGTGAGTTGCAGGAGCCATAAGGTGACACCAACCAATATTTTCCGCACCTTGCCACCCTTTCCGCGTCCAGACATGTTGTGTTATAAACCAAGGTTTAAGTGTCAGAAAATTGTACGAAGGGGCAGATTGAATGCGCCGCAGTTGATGATGGTAGTAGTGAAAGAAGGTGTAAATCCAAGTCAACGCCTTAATGATTACGCGTGCCGTCATGTTTTGTAGACCCTCACGTGACCGGCTTATATCGTGCTTTCCAAGCACGTCACGCAGCAGCTTACTTATACCGACAGCGCCAGCAACCACATATAAAGCCATTGCCCACCGACCAAAATTCTTCAATCTCTCACTCATCACATACTTCATCTAGTCTTATAATGGTTGCTGAAATCTCCACAAAGGCGGAGCTTGAGAAGTTGACCAGCGATGGCCAGAAGCTCACGGTAAATATCTGTGTCCTCAGTTGTTCGAGCTCAAGTGACACTTTTGCTTGCAGGTGATAGATTTCACTGCTAGTTGGTGTGCTCCTTGCCAGACCATCAAGCCGCTCTTTGAGAAGCTCGCGGAGGAGAACGCCAATGCGAACTTCCTCAAGGTTGACCTGTCCGAGGGAACGAACGAGCTCGCCTCTGAGTACTCCGTCACTGCTATGTAAGGTTCATCATCTTGGAAAGTCTCTCCTGTCCTCATATTTCACAGGCCAACCTTCGTTTTCCTGGTAGGCAAGGAGGAGGTGCACAGGATCCGTGGCGCTAACCCACCGTTCGTTCACGAATTCTTATTCTTGTGACTGCAGTTTAACACACATTCTAGTGCCCTCAAATCAACTGTCACCCAGTACGCCCAACCCGCATCTTCTGGTGCGTTTTCTGGTCAAGGCCGGACCCTTTCGGGTAAAAGTGGATCTTCATCATCCGCACCTACTTACAACGTATCAAACAGCTTAACTACCAGATGGTCGAACATGAACCCTCAAGTGAAAGTTTTAATTGTACTTTGTGCGGCATATGTATTTTTCTGGCTGGTGTAGAAAAGATCGGGTTTGCGGAATCAGGTTTAACGCTTGGTGTACTACGTACAGATACGACTACGGATACATCAAATATTTATCGGATTTGGGCTTGATGAATACGGGGGTAAATGAGAAGTCAGAACAGCCCAGGTATTATGCGAGTCCGTTCAGCACATTTGAAGGACGTTCGGATGAGAACGGTCAAGGCAATCTGTTTTTGCAATCTGGTTTCCTACTATCTACATGACAATCATGCTCATGATCGCAAGCTCAGGAATCAATCCAGTTCTTGATCTCAACAACATCGCATGTCGCATCATGCACTGCGGCCGCTCACGCATTGCGGCTGCTAGCACCATGATTATAGTGAGCCAAACCGCCAGACTAGGCTCGTAGTGTTCACCATTATGATGGTCAAATCGATCTGATAGATGAATGGCGCAAACCTTGGACCTCAGATATGCGATCATGGAGTTGCATTCTTTCTTCCATTCGGATCACAGTATCAGTGATGATGCCTCACCACATGACGCTGGCCTAGATTCCCGTATTTGCTTCGTGTCGTACAAGCTTGAACGTTGCCTGAAGTGCGACTCGGTGGTCCTCGAGGTTTCGATCTCCTTAATCGATAACAAGTTACTATGCCTATCTCGTCACTGATGGAGCCAATTAGGTAGGCGATTCCACCGCCCTAGTCATATCGATATCATGATAGCGCTAGCATATTGCAATTCACCACATTGATCATTCGACAAATTGGCTGCAAATCAGCCACGGGATTCCAGAAGATATCGGGGTCCAGCACTTGACAACTGAATATGACATCCATAAAGACTTTCGATGTCCCTGAAAGTGTGCAGCATCCGGTAAGCTATCATGTGAAATCTTGCGGATAAGCTCCTGTCTGCCAGGAAGGTAATGAAGAACTTACAGATTATGCCTTATACACTACACTCTTATTGACCCTGCGTAAAAGGAAAGATGTCTGATAATCAAAAACCTGTGTTGGAAATGATCTCTCTGGGACGAACCATCCCGAATTTCTGGGCCTGGATTTAAATCAAATATGTTGATGCCATGCTCCCCATCTTCTTTTGTCTGCCTTCTATCATGAGACGTCCTTTTCCCCAAAACTCCGAAAACCCTGCATTCAGTACAGAAGGGTGATTAATATACATGTCAGGATTGGCAAACAAACACATTTCTACAACGGCAAACCGACATAACCAGCTCCTGCTTCCCTTAGCAGACGTTCGATCAGTTTCATGCCCTCCAGGACGCGCTCCTCTTCAAGCCGTCTTCCCACAATCTGCACTCCAATGGGGAGACCTTCCATGGCACTTGCATCATACATCCGGTAGTAATTTCGTTCGATGGCGTTTCGTGGACGGAAAGTACGCGGGAGAGCATCAGCTGTCGCATCCACATGCGTGATCGGCATAACCCCCGCACTATAATCAAGCTTTTCAAAAATTCAAAGTGAATTTCAGATTGGGGCTGTTACAGAGGAGTGGAACATACCAGATTGAATAGGAACGTGTACCCACACGCTTTCCATCCGTGCCTCATCCCTCCGTGAGGAACAGCAGGAAGACTATTTGGCACTGTAAGAATGAAGTCAACTCCCTCATCGCCCTGGCGGCCTTCGACCTCCGCGTCTCGCCACACTTTAAACCAGCGAGAACGATAATCCTCCCTTCGCGCAATTAAAGCAAGGTATTCTTGTACGGTCTTCTCATAATGAGTGTCGATCAGACCTGCATAGACAGGATCGCGGCGTATGTAGCGGTAATACCAAGCGTAGAGTTTCATGACGAAGTAGGGGAGACGAAAGCCCCGGAATGCTGAAGTCATTCCAGCATCGTTGGACTCAAATGCGCGAAAATTCTTGGAAGCCGTCTTGCCGCCATCAGCGAGGAGGAGCTGCGACGCGATCTGAAGGCCTTCGTATGGGCTCGGGCACTTCCTGAAGTGGGATAGGAAACACTTTCAGAAAAGAAGAATTTTGACCTACAGAGTGACAACTTCGTGACCTTTCTTCTCGAGTATCGCAGTAACCGTTTTCAATGCTCGCGCGCAGGCAGGCGAGGGTGTCACAACCCCTTTGTGCAAACATAAATATGCTGAGGTTGAGCTCCATAGAGATGGTCCACCTACCGTCATCCCACAGGACACCCCACCTGATGGGACGATCTTCTGGAAGTTTGACATCTCTCCAAGGAATTCTAAGAACCTACGATATCATTAAGCAATCTAACAGCACTAAGATTCGGAAAATTTAGTTACCGAGTAGTCGTAGTTCCAAGGCTTCATCTGGAACACAGCACGCCAGAACGTCTCTAGATCTTCCAACGTTCTGGTCATAGGGCTATGTGTTGCGGGAACGCCTTCCTGGCCAGGCATACTGGACGCGCTGCCTTGCTTCAGGAATCTATACATACTTGATTTGATTGAATAGACGCCAGAGAAGTGCGCAGGAGCCCGAACGCTCCCTGCGACATCTGTGCCTATCGCGAGTCTGGCTGCACCCAGCGCAAGGAGTACGGCTTCACCTGATGACGAGCCTCCTGAGGTGTAGCCCTTCTTGTGGGGATTATCAGTAGAACCAAAAACATCGTTTGTCGACTCCAATGAGAGCATAGTCATGGGAACGTTCGTCTTGACATATGGAACGGCACCTGCATCTCGCAACAACCTCACCAACGCACCATCGGCGGCCATGGGTTTGCCCACAAGAGCCGAGTAGCCCATGGAGGAATCCCAACCCTTCACACTTACCAGGTCCTTGAGCGAGACTGGGACGCCTGCCAGAGGACCTGATCGATTCGCAGTGCTAGCCCAATTCTCTGCAGATGCAATCATGACCTCAGTTAGACAGTTTGTCTGAGCATGCGCTTGAAGGGCTTTCTTAGAGTAGGCCACGAGGATGTCAGATGGGGACAGGGATGAGGTTTGTACAGCAGCCACCAGAGACGAAACTGAGCGAGACAGAATCTCTTTGTCCTGGGATGTTAGAGGCTCATGGTATATGGGTTTGAGGGATGTGATTCGTTCTGCTCGCTCTCGTTGCTTATCGCGACTAGTATGATTACAGTCCTTGTCAGAGTGTGTTAAGGAAACCGACGATGATGATAGAAGGCTCACCGAGCACGACGGTGCGACAAGTAAGAGAACCACATGTTTTCCGAAGCTGTACCAGCAGTAAACCTTTCAGAAACCCTCGTCAGTTGAGGGGAATTAGACTCCAGAGCAGACGCGTGAGAAGACTGGCAGCCGCGAGGATGCTCACGAGCATCAGCTGGTTCTTATCGTGCTCGCATGGGAGAGAATTTCTGTATTTATTACCTCGTACCACCACATTGTAGGTCACAACAAGGTCATGTCAGCTCATAATCGTGGCTGTACGATCTCGCCGCTATTAGCCGTCGGGACTCCCCCGACTCGCTTGTTCCTGGTATGTTTTGTGTCCGTGTCCAGTGAACTTTATTTCATTTTGCGTTGGCAAACGACTGCTATGACTCCATACTGTCAATGCGTGATGTTCTTCGACAGAGGTCCATCTTGACCAGTCTTAGCCAAGTGGCAAGGCACCAGAACAGACTAGTAGTGGCGCGGATTCAAAACCTGCCGACAAATGTCTTATCACACCTTGACATTCACTCATGGGCAGTTCTCCGGTGGTTCATCTCAACTTACGAAGCATCTTGGCCAAAGGGATTACCAGAACAGAATTGATGTTGGACTGCGCAGGTTCGAAACTCGCTGATGATGAAGTTTTGTTTCTATTGGAACATACCTTGAAGATTCGTTCATGGATGGTTTCCTCGCAGATTCGTCGCAACTTCGTCCTGGCCAAAGTGGTTACCACAACAGAATCCAAATCTGTCTCTTGAACTGTGCCAGTGCAGGTTCGAAACCTGGTGATGGTAAGGTTGGTTTTTTCTATCGGAACACACCTTGAAGATTCACTCATGGATGGTTTCCTTGAAGGTCTGACTTGACTGGTCTTATAGCCAGGTGGTTTCCTCAACAAAATCGAAATCTATCAACCCTGCCGATGATAAAAAATTTCCTATTGGAACACACTTCGACATTCACTCATGGTTTCATCGGATGTTCATCTCACTGGTATTAGTCAAGTGGTTACGGCAGCAGAATCAAAATCTGTTTCTCTTCGACTGTGCAGGATCGAAACTTGCCGAATGGCAGGTATTTTTCTATCGGAACACACCTTGACATTGCCTCATGGATAGTTTCCTCAGAGGTCTATATAACCCGTCTTAACCAAGTGGTTATCATAACAGAGTCAAAACCTGTTTCACCTGGAGTTGGTTCCAAACCCACTGGCGCCATTTTTGCGGTGTATAGATCCTCGGAGGTCCACCTCGACTAGGCCCAGTCATCACGCCTGAACCTCTTTTATGTGATAGTCTAAGGAATGTGGCGCGATGGTTTTAGTTTTTCCAGTTAAGACGCGGTGCCCTGCAGGCTGTGCTGGGGTTATTACGAATAACGTTCGTCGTGATTTAGCCTTTCTGTGCCGTATACTTCTGCGCTAGGGCCCAATTCCAAAAGAGCTGAGCTTTCCCTCTGTGGCATGTGATACTCGATCCACCCTGCTTCAACTCTCCTCGTGTCTGACTAACTGTCTTGACTCATCCGAATACACAAGAATTGAGAGTGGCCAGATCCCTGACTTTCACTGTGGTAATCGCTCTGTGAATTTCGTTCCTGAAAAGACCTAGACGGAAGGGCTCGACGCTTTGCTGGCGGTATCGATGGAGGCGTCCAAAATGCGTACGCATATACGAGTGAGTGGATTTGCAGAATTTGCTTCCCACCGCTCTATACTTTGAGGATACCTCGAGAACATCAGCATTGTGCCTGGCAATCCCCATCCTTCCTCCAAAAGCACGTACAGAGCGACGTCGTTCTTTTCGATCGGGACTGCTCTGGTAGACCATGGTGAGTCTGGGTGAGAAACTTGTGCGATATGTGATACAAGTACTCTGAATAATCGTAAGAGTTGATCTATCAGACCAAACCGGAAGCGGCATAATCTCCAACCCTTCCATATTTACACCCATAGAACGATCAACCCCAAAGCTGCGGCTACCAGATCTTACGATTTGCCGTTCGCCTTCTCGCAGCCTGTCAGCTGGACATAAGCCGCGATTCTTCTCCAAAAGAGAGGACAGGACGCTGCCCCAGAATTGTTTGGCACATGAACACCTTAGGATTAGATCACAACCCAGAGGTGGTGGATGAGTGCGGTGCTCGACACTTAGCAAAAGTTAGGGATCAATGAAAATTGGTTTTTGCGATCAGATGATTGTGCGATAGTAATACTTTGTTACTGGACTAATTTGCACCATAAAGTTACACTCGCTGTCCAGACAGATAACCTTGAGCTTCTGGCTTTAAGCTGTAGCGGTAGTAATGATTTAAAAAGAGTCGAGACTCCAAGATGATGCTCAAGACATACCTTCAACAGCACCTGTACATTGAACAACATAAATACAACATTCAAAACCAAGCCATAGATAATTACCTTCGACATCACGGGATTCCTCGGCAACAATGTCTGTGCCACAACATGCATCTTGTTAGACAAGATGCAAATAATGCAAACAAGCTGAGACATACATGAGAATGTCTTCTCAGCGCGCTTCTCGACATCTACGTTATCAACCAGGTGAGTAGTCCGCGTGACAATGAGGCTAACACTGGAAAATCACCTCCGGCATCAGAGAGGTCCTCGGCAACTGAATCTGAATAGTCCTGTTAGACACGATGCAGATAGAATAAGCACGCTGGAACATACACGCGATATTCTTTCGGCCGTGACTCTGGACATCTATGTCATCAACCAGGTGAGTAGTCCGCGACGAAACGAGGCTAGCACTGAAAAATCACCGTCGGCATCAGAGAGGTCCCTGGCAACAAGATCTGAATAGTCTTGTTAGACATTGGTGCAGATAAAATAAACACGTTGGAACATACACGCGAACTTCTTCTGGTCGCGCTTCTTGACCTCTGTGTCACTCAATAAGGTCAATAGTCCGCGTGAAGTGAGACTAGAGCTGAAGAATCACCTTCAGCATCAAAGAGGTCCTCAGCAACAGAATCTGAATGGTCTTGTTAGACATGATGCAGATGGAATAAACACACTGGAACATACAGGCAATATTCTTTCGGCCGTGACTCTGGACATCTATGTCATCAATCAGGTGAGTAGTCCACGACAAAACGAGGCTAGCACTGAAGAATCACCGTCGGCATCAGAGGGGTCCCTGGCAACGAGATCTGAATAGTCTTGTTAGACATTGGTGCAGATAAAATAAACACGTTGGAACATACACGCGAACTTCTTCTGGTCGCGCTTCTTGACCTCTATGTCACTCAACAAGGTCAATAGTCCGCGTGAAGTGAGACTAGAGCTGAAGAATCACCTTCAGCATCAGAGAGATCCTCAGCAACAGAATCTGAATGATCTTGTTAGACATGATGCAGATGGAATAAATATACTAGGAACATACAGGCAATATTCTTTCGGCCGTGACTCTGGACATCTATGTCATCAACCAGGTGAGTAGTCCACGACAAAACGAGGCCAACACTGAAAAATCACCGTCGGCATCAGAGAGGTCCCTGGCAACAAGATCTGAATGGTATTGTTAGACATTAGTGCAGATAAGATAAACATGTTGGAGCGTACACGCGAACTTCTTCTGGTCGCGCTTCTTGACCTCTGTTACTCAACAAGGTCAATAGTCCGCGTGAAGTGAGGCTAGAGCTGAAGAATCACCTTCAGCGACAGGAGATGCCGTCGTCACCTGTAGCAAAGCGATGGCGACAAAAATAAAAGACAAAGTGAGCTTCATGGCGGTTAGATATAAGTAGCAGTAATCGTTAGAGGGTGCTGAGTGTATAATTGATGCAGGGAGTGAGGCCTTTATAACTTTGAAAAGCTCGATTATCTTGCAGATTCACTCGCAGAAACTTTCATCCTATGATCGTTCTGGTGGACATGTCGTGTGCTTAGGAAAAGGCTGAACTTTCTTCCATCAGCAACCTGCTCGTTCAACGCACTACGAGGAGGAAAGGAATTCTGCGGTCAGGGAGGCCGTATTGTTTCCTTTTGCGTCTTGATTACTTGGCAAAATGTTCTTGTTGATTGGCTGACACAGAAGGTGGCGAGATTCATAGTGAGGATGGAGATGTGACTCGGAGGTCCTGTTCAACAATTTTGTCAGGTTATTTCCCTGGATCGATTAAAAGAACCACACAGGGGCATATCGCTGCGAGGAATTTAGTAGGCGCGGACCATACTGGACGTGCTCTTGGTATATGAATCGAAGTTCGGTCAGACGATAGAGAAATTCAGCCCTGAATGAATATAGCTGTTGAATCAACTCAGTGTCCTCGTTGTTTCGTGCCCTCGAGCATTTGAGCCAAGCAACCTGGCAAATTACCAGTAGCCACTGCTGACAAGCTAGTTGAAGATGATTTCTCAGTCACGTCACGCACCTTCATGGCATCGTATTCGCCTTTCCGAATGCACGATCTAGAGCATCAACATGAAAATTCTGAAGACGCTATTCTCTACCCCAGCAAACACATCATCTCCGAGCACCGCACCATAGACCTCCCGTCTAAATGGCCAGCTTGGGCCGCACTGGGACAATATCCTTTGTGCATATGCATTGTATACCATCGCCTCTGCCTGTGTTTGCGGGTGGGATGGTGCCCACGAGTTCAACGTTAGCCAATCCAGTTTTCAGGTCTGGAATTGGTCAGCGACCTTCGGCAACAGCAAAAGGGTGCGTAGATTCAGTGATCATTCACACTGTGTCATGGACAGACCTCACAGGTGCAAGCAGCACTAAGGATGTACTTTCCAAGTCCCATGATACGGTGAACAAAGCCTTACCTGACAAAAAAAACTCGTGCGTCATGCTCAGCTACAGCATAGGTGAATCTCCGTGACCTGAAGCTTACCAAGGTCATTCTTATTGTTCCAGGACTCGATGTTCTACCAGTGGCACCCCGGCCCATTCAAATCCAACTCTTGCTACATCGACAGCGTCGTTCCCACTCCCGAAGATGATCTTACGGCCAACAAGTCCTATACCTCATCTAGCTCCCTCGCCAAGATCCAAATTTAGAATTTTACAACTCTTGCTGAGGGCATAATGAGCCTCAGCTGGAACACAAGACCCCAACGAATTGCACTGTCGGACTCGCGTTCCTTGTTGAGAAAGCGAAGATCGAGCAGCTACATCTCGAAGATAGCTGGCAGTTGAAGATACCAACGCAATTCTCGTGTGGTGACTCGGAAAAAGCGACCGTTAGCATCGAGGTTACCCGCGATGGTTGTAAACTTGAATTCCAGCAATTATTCTTAGTTCATTCGTTGTGACTCGTGCGGCTGTATTGAACACAGGTTTGAAGTACCAGATTGATCTCTTGCGTAGCTTTCGACCTGATGGAGATAGAATAGCGAGCTTTGTTAAGGCTTAACATTTAATTCAATAAGGGAGCTCACACCTGGGACTTGAGCTGCTTAGTGCTATGCATATGGTTTATGCTTGTCCGTGGTTATGCTCACACTATTACTCAGTAGATATCCATTTGTACGCGGGTATAAACAAACCAAAATACGTGAACCGTGGTCGAGTGCTGCTCTCAAGTGGCAGCAAGTGCCCCTCTGTCAGTAGATTAATGATCATCCGGGTCTCGTTAATGCCACGAGAAAGAAGGATCCGTCGCCCCTCCCATTCTCGATCTCCGAATCCACTGGTCCGCGGATATGACGTGGACCTTACTGTCAGAGGTCGAGAAAAATGAGAACAGACTTACTTTACTCGAGAAGCGGGACAAGGATGTAAGTACTATTTACCTTCATATCTGCGTTGATTTTCTGACCATACAATAGAATACATCCGGTGATAGCAAGATTTCAACTCATTGGATCTGTCGTGCTGCAAGACAGCTACAAGCTGAGAGCTCAACCCGACCTTGTTTGTAGTAGTCACGCGAGATCCCCGAGGCCAGATAAATGACATCGTGTACCAACTTGCAACTTACTTGACCATTTCGAAGGTTTCTCAACAGTTTCTGTGCGGAAGTACTACGCTTCGAAGAAGCTTCCTGAAAAGTAGACGTAACCACTTGGGAGGGTTGGTACGTTCAACTGACACTGATTCGGAATAGGGAGGCTGACGGCAGAACTATCAAGTACTCCCTGCAATCGAGTTCTACATCAGACTGATGGCTGGTAGGCAGAATTCACGAGTTCTGCCATCAACACTAGTTCAATCACCCGTGAAGTAGGTGTGACTCCGCTGTCGTGGCCCTGTCGTGGCCCTGGACATACTTCACATCATTTATCACCAGGATTTATTTCGTTCAATTATGCGAGCATCGGACGCACAGGTAGATGGGGACTCGAGGCAACAGATCGGTGTTGTCGAAGGTCCGGCAGTTTTTTCAAGCAAGTACAACTCACACAGAAGGGTTCTGCTGACACGTACCATAAAGTAAAGCAACCCGACTTGTGACACGCTATTTTTCGCGCCTGCCAGCAACGGCTCAAGCTATAGTTCTCAATACTAGTAGTTTCTGGTAAGTTGAGCATGTAATACTAATAGCTGTCTTCTGCAGCATATGTATATTCAGTGACCTGAACTTTTCTCTTAGAGCACGTCCAGCGACAAACTCAATGCTTCACAGCTTCAAACTTCGACTGTCAGACGTGCTGCGCGTATTTGGGACTAGTGCTTTCGTCATTAGCATCATTTTAAACATCTTCGCCATGCTGCGCTTGCAACACAAGTCTGTCGATGATAGACAGTACAGTATGTCAGGGTTGTCTTTACAAACAGCCACACGAGTTCATCTCACTCAGCATATTTGATGCAGCTTACATTGGTGATGATCATCCGATCGAATTACCCCTTGACTTGGAAATCGCCGCATTGACGTTTGAAGACTCAAAGTATTACAGTACATCAGGGCTCACAGCCTGGTCGGAGTGGAATTTGCTCGATCATTTCCAGAAGGCCACGGATTCGTGCGTCTGGGACCAAATGGTAAGTAATCATTCACCCCATTTTTGCCAATACATGAGTCAGACGCTTGCCGTTCCCATATTCTATTAGGGCGACTGTTTGGTGTCTCGATGTTTCACCAGATTCATTGTCTACAAATGATCCGGCTAGCCCTTATTAACGGGCCCAGTGACCATAGTGGGCACTGCCTTAACTTCTTGCGACAGGCCATTCTTTGCAATTCTGATACTACCCTTGATCCAGTCTACATTGATGGATCGATGATAGGCTCAGACGGTTTGGGTGTGACGCATATATGTCGAGATTGGTCACAGGTTTATGCATACATTAAGGAGAACCAGAGGGGTTCTGTGTGGGCAGAGCACAAGACAGAGATGCAATCATAACGCGAAGTCAAGTGGGAGGATATGGGCTAGCTCGTACCAACGATGGATGGGATCGGCTCGGTAAATACTTACTTACAAGCGATCCGCTCGCCTGCGGACGGTTAGGCCTTTTATTTTCTTGCTCACACAGATCTCTACAGTAGTAACGAAGAGTAAACTACATTCACGGTATCCCTTTCCTCATTTGTGGGTGACCACATTGTTCGAATGTCGCGACGATTTCGAACTCTCGACAGTGCCGTGTACAGTTGACCATATGCAAATGCATCAGTGCGAAGGTCAAGTTCTGCACGCCAGAGAGTGAGACTTTGCGAGCCTTTGAACGTCGTTGCATATGCAGGCTGCAGCGGAAATTGTTTTCGGTTGAGCACGCGGGATTAAAGGAGAATGTGATGCAAGGAAGGCAATGGACTCCGCCCGTGTGTGGAATTTGCATTTCGACGAAGCGTCTGCGCAGAGCAGTGATTCGGAGGCACGCATTTCGTACTAACCCCCACTAACATATTGCGTTAACTTTGAGGTCTAGCCGATGCGGAGGGGTACTCGGATGGGTCAGCATTGCGGCGTTTGTGAGGGAGCCTTTCCTTTGGTACGTCTGAACTGAAGTAATATTCAATTGTTTTTCGCATTAGCATGTGCGAACAGACATCGGAAGATTCTTACCATAATCTCCTGGCAGTGCTTCGAGCACAATGTCGCTGAATTGTCCATGAACATGTTGCGCGATGATAGGAAGGCACACTGCATCAGGAAAACCCTCCCTCGACAAATTATGTTAAATAACAATAAATGTCGATAATTTCTGACTATTATCAGACATTATCAGCCTTAGGAAGGTTATGGCGCATAGAAGTACTTTTTTACCCCCTCGAGAGTAATGTATAATTGTCAATAATTAGTTGATATCACAAGCAATTAGAGTGAAATTCAGAAAGAATATGTTGAATCACGAAGCGGAAATCAAGCATTTCAGACGGTGTTACAATAAAAAGAATAGCATTTGATTAAAAGACATATACAAAGTAACTAGAAACACGGGGACAAGCTGACGGAGACCAGGGTATATGAAAACGAGTGATCAACAAATCTGGGAGCAAACTGACGGAGACCAGGGTATATGAAAGGAGTGACCAACAAATCTGGGAGCAAGCTGACGGAGACCAGGGTATATGAAAACGAGTGATCAACAAATCTGGGAGCAAACTGACAGAGACCAGGGTATATGAAAGGAGTGACCAACAAATCTGGGAGCAAGCTGACGGAGACCAGGGTATATGAAAGGAGTGATCAAACAAATCTGCACTATTCACAGATCAGCACCATACTAGAAGCTAATCCTCACCCATGCCATCAAGGTCCAGTAGCGCCAACGCCTTTCGATGCTCATCAGCCTGATTATCGCCACCCTTTCGTTTCAAGGCCCTGCCAGTAGTGTCAATACCCAAGTCAAAGTAGCACCATGCATACTAGCGAAACTTACTGAACAGACTCATAGATGTCCGCCATCATGCAGTGAAACTTCTTAGGCACGTCCTTCTTCAGATCCTCGAGGAACTTCACATGAAACATATAAGTTTCGCTGAATTGATTCCCCGTGAAGTTGAACTTCCCTGGGGAACCAAGCGTCTTCCAAAACAGGGCTGCATAGATCTTGAAGACGAGTTAGCACTGCGCAAAGAGATAAATAGAAGGACATTACTGCCGTCGCAACCAGCGCCAGCAATGGCACAGGCATTTCGGGGTGTTTGGCTTTGTTGCTGGCAATTTCGATGAAGCGCTCTGCGAATTTGACGCCGATGGACTTCGGGCCATTGAAGATTCCAGTATGCAGTAGAAAGATAACAAGTTCACCCTGGTAGGGTTTGTTTCCCCTAGGCGAGGGATTGTCATTGGACTGTTGAAGAAATAAAAGTTAGTTAGATATGTAGGAATACGATAAAGAACCCGCTTCTGAGTGTGAAGAACTTAGCGAGTGGCAAAGAATAGTACAACTTACATCAAACTTCAAAGAATATGAATACGCGTGTTGCTCCATAAGTTTTTTCGCCTTCACTGCGCTCTGGCCGAGACAGAAGTAGCCATTGATGTTGGCGCATGCAACCTCTTTCAGGTCACGGCGTAATAACGGGATGCGAGGCTCCACCTTGAGTAATTGAACATAGTTAGAAAAAAGGAAAACTGCAATGAGCATTACAAGACATACCAGGTTACCAAGCTGAGTCGCATACTGTGTGTCTTCTTGAAGACGTTGTTTGATGGCATGCGCACCACTTTTCTTGGCCACTGTAAGCAAGGACTGGAGCGCGACTTGATTTTTATCGACGAGTTCGGGATATGCATTGACGAAAATGAGGTGGCCCTTGGCATCCATAATTGCATCCCAGACTACTCGGCGAGTCTCTTGATTTTGATCAAGTAGTTTCACCTTCCCAGTCTCATATTGAATGAGACAAGCAGCACTCTTGGGCGCAGGTGTGGCGGAGGTGACTGTAGTGCCTCCAATGTCACTAGAGTAGGGCTCTTCGGATCCCCCACACTGAGTAGTAGTTTCATCAGTAGGCTCAGAACCATCATTGTTGCGCCAGGTTGGAATCTAGTAATGTTCACTGGATGATCGTCATGTGAGAACTGTTTATTTCGGACTCACCTCAGCTGCTTGTTTGCGATCTCGAGCAGATTGACCAGACTGAGATTTGCTCTTGCTGCGTGATTGAACATTGTGCGGCTTCATCTTTTTGTCACCCGAGTTGGTGACAAATGAAGGGACCTTCAATATCATTGTGAGTGATGGCAACTGGCGCAGCTTAAGTAACCAATCGCTGACCTCATCGGCGAGCCTCATGGCAGTAGTCTCTTGTTCCTCGCCTTCACTCTCCTCGTCAGCATCCGAGTCTTGACCATTCTTACCGTCAACCTGTGTATCAGAGTCGAGCTCATCAGAGTTGAACAATGTACTGGCATTGACATCCAGCATCGCATATGTGCAACGAAGCTTGTGAGGTCGATACAAGCCTGCGCACTAGCATGAGTAAGACTTCCTTATCCGCATCTAGATAATCACTGACCTCGAGGTGTTTTAGGCTCCAAGTCCTCATCACCGGCACTTGATTCCTCATTGTGTTCATCATCCACAAAGGTATGCTGTCACTCTAATGTTGTATACCGTTACTAATTTAGTGCTAATCTATGACTCATAAAATTAGTGATTCACTCGTCTTCAAAGGCAGGCTCTTGTCACTGCGAGCGGCTACATCTGTGTTGGTGATTTTCCTCTGTTTCCGATGGTTGCTGCCAGCACCCGAACTTCCTAGTTGAGTTGCCGGAGAAGCTTGATGAACTTTTCTGGTCGATTTCGGCAACCAAACTGCACTTACAGGTGAGCATTGAACATCAATATTGGCATATCGTATTGCTTGCTCACCAGCGTTTTCCATAGCTTTTTTCTTGGCGTTTCGAGCCTCTATCGATGCCTGAAGGTGAGAAGCAGGCATCTCTGAGTCTGCTGATGGCCACTCACCACGAGAATTAATAGGTGTGGACATTGTACACTAGATCGAAAGGGCAGGGACGACTTAACGGTAAAGGAGTGTGAAGATGAGAGAGTGGGAGGAAGTTTGTGAAGATGAGAGAGTGGGAGGAAGTTGAAAAGTTTGAGGGCACCGTCAAATTTTTAGTGCATTTCAACGGCGGAGGCTGTTCAACTTTACAAGCCCTGACTTTAGTTCTCGTGAGCTCATCTGTTTTTTTTTTTTTTACCTCAGACTGACCCTCAAATGTTTTAGTATCAATTTACTAGCTTGGCTGTCGCACCGGCACTGTTTCTATCCCCCAACCCCCATCTCAGTTTCGTTTGACCTACCGAATAAACCTCCCCCGACCCCATCTCAGTCGTATCCCCCGACCCCATCTCAGTCGTCATACCCACCGACCCCATCTCAGTCGTACCCACTATCCCCCGACCCCATCTCAGTCGTCGTACCTACCGACCCCATCTCAGTCGTACCCACCGTCAGCCATCAGTCGTCTCTCAGTTTCTATCCCCCGACCTCATCTCAGTCGTATCCACCGACCCCATCTCAGTCGTCTACCCACCGACCCCATCTCAGTCGTATCCACCGACCCCATCTCAGTCGTCTACCCACCGACCCCATCTCAGTCGTCTACCTCTGATCCCATCTCAGTCGTATCCCCCAACCACCCACCGACCCCATCTCAGTCGTCTACCCCCGATCCCATCTCAGTCGTATCCCCCAACCCCATCTCAGTCATCTACCTAACAGTTTCTACCACCGACCCCATCTCAGTCGTATCCCCCGACCCCATCTCAGTCATATCCCCTGACTCCATCTCAGTCATATCCCCCGACCCCATCTCAGTCATCTACCCCATCTCAGTCGTCATCCCCCGACCCCATCTCAGTCGTCTACCCCCGATCCCATCTCAGTCGTCATATCCCCCAACCCCATCTCAGAAATGTCGACAAAATGCCCTGCCTGTGCCCGCGACAATCTTACTGTTATTGGCCTCAGTCAACACCTTGCTAAGAGCTGTGATCCCCATTGTCATGCACTGTACCAGCAATCACATACTCGTGTCAATTTGGACGAACCTCTCGATGAACCTTGCGACAAGTCTGAGGTGCCTGAGGGACCACATGTCAATATGTATGAGGAAGAAATGCAGGACTTCGAAGACGAAGTCCTGCAATCATTTGCCGAGCATGATGGAAATGGTGAGCATGATGGAAATAGCAGTGACAAGGAAGATGGTAGGGAGGAGTTAGAATGGGAGCCACCAGTGCAGGAGGATGAGGGATGGGCAGGGGTGGAAGTAGATGATCCTATGGACCACAACAACAGCAGTATCGACCGCGAAACGCGCCACCAGATTGAACGGCAAATCGCAGATCACAATAGAGTCATCGAGTCTTATCCTGATCGTTGAGCAGGACAGCCTATCGCCCAAGCTGAAATTCGAAATGTGAATGCTACATATGCTTCCAGTATCAACAACTTGAACGCGGAAAATCCTTATGCTCCGTTCACCTCTCAAATGGACTGGGAGGTTGCGCAATGGGCAAAGTTACGTGGCCCGAGCTCAACAGCATTTTCGGACTTGCTTAGTATTGATGGTGTAGGTTGTTTGTTTTAAGATTCACGGACTGAAAGTGACTTATGTTTATTCACAGGTTAGTGAACGCCTTGGTCTGTCTTACAAAAACGCAAGGGAGCTTAATAGTATCATCGACACGCAACTTCCTGGTCGTCCGAGGTTTCGTCGTGAACAGGTCGTTGTTGCGGGCGAAGCATTTGATATTTTCTACCGTGACATACTTGAATGTATCAAGGATCTCTACGGCAACCCAGACTTTGCTGACTTTCTTGTGTTTGCACCAGGACGCCATTACACAGACACAGATAAAACAGTTCGGTATTTTGGCGACATGCACACAGGTAAATGGTGGTGGAGTACTCAGGTGAGCTCACACAGATTCATATCGCTTGCTCAATCATTGAATTAACCTTGATATTGAACAGAAAAAGCTCGACAAACAGCGGCCAGGGGCAACTATCGTTCCCGTCATCATTTCGACTGATAAAACACAAGTCACTGTGTTCCGTAACAAAACCGCATACCCTGTCTACCTTACTATCGGTAATATACCGAAAGAGATTCGTCGAAAACCGTCCCGACGCACACAAATCCTTCTCGGGTATCTTCCCACCACACGCCTTGAGCATATAACCAACAAGGCTTCACGTCGCAGAAGTGCTGCAAACCTTTATCATGCTTGCATGTCTCGTATCTTGTCACCGCTGGAAAAAGCTGGTCTCGATGGTCTAGTGATGCAAAGTGGGGATGGCGTCTCGCGCCATTGTCATCCTCTCTTCGCTTGCTTTGTTGGCGATTACCCCGAACAACTATTGGCTACTGGTATCAAGACTACAGAATGCCCGAAGTGTGATATCCCACCTGACGAGCTTGAGAGTAGCACAACTCCCTTCGAAATACGCGATTTCGATGCTGTTCTTGAAGCACTCACCACAATCGACGTTGGAGCCCTTGAATTTGTTCAGGCATGTCGCGAGGCAGGAATCAAGCCCATTGTCCACCCGTTTTGGGAAAAACTACCCTACGTCAACATTTTCCAAGCTGTTACACCCGACGTCCTCCACCAATTGTATCAAGGACTCGTTAAACACCTTCTCAATTGGCTGGCAGAGGCATGTGGATCAGCCGAGATTGATGCACGGTGTCGAAGGCTACCGCCAAACCACCAGATCCGTTTATTTATGAAAGGAATTACTAGCCTCTCTCATCTCAGTGGCACGGAACATGCCCAGATATGCCGTTTTCTCCTTGGCATAATTATCGACATACGACTTCCTGGCAATCTAGATCCAGCTCGTCTTTTGCGAGCTGTTCGTGGCCTCCTTGATTTCTTGTACCTGGCACAGTATCCGTGTCACAGTTCCGATACATTGTCTCTGCTCGATGAAGCTCTCGCCCTCTTTCATGACAACAAGCAAATTTTTGTGGACCTCGGTATTCGCAATAATTTCAATCTTCCGAAACTTCACGCAACTCGGCACTACACATCTATGATTCGTTTGTATGGCACCACAGATAACTATAACACGGAGTACACGGAACGTCTTCATATAGACTTTACAAAAGATGCCTATCGTGCCACTAACCACAAGGATGAGTTTGTGCAGATGACTCGGTGGCTCGAGCGCAAAGAAAAGATCGTGCGCCATGATAAATTTATTCGGTGGCAACTCAACATCAATCCCTTTACCCACCATCCTCATCCACCCGACTTGTCTTTTCGCCGCACTCAAACCTTAACGAAGCACCCAAGCGCAAAAGCAGTCCCAATCCAAAGATTGATTTCAGACTATGGAGCCATCTACTTTCATGAAGCTCTTGCTCGGTATATTGCCCAGCAAAACCATCTCAACGAAACCCTTTCCCGTCAACGTCTTGAAGACCTGGCTGCAAATGTCATTCTGCCATTTCGTTCAGTCGCTGTCCACCACAAGATCAAGTGGGTCTCCGTCGACGCTCAAGGACATGGTGATCCATGTGTCACCATTGATAGTGTCCACGCTAGGCCTGGTCACGCTGGAAGCTCTCAACGAGATGATGCAGTGCCTGCGCGTTTTGATACTGCGCTTGTCAATGATGGTACTGGTGATTCTGTGGGTGTCAAAGGTAAGCTCAATATTGACTGGGTCTTACTAGTTTTACTTATTCAACAAATAAATATTCAGGCTACCGCATTGGTCAGATTCGCACCATATTCTCTATCCAACGACGAGATGCGCTGTCATTGTTCCCTCCAACGTCCCAACCTCCAAAACACCTTGCTTACATTGAATGGTTCACCCCGTTTTCTTCAATGCCGGACTCGCGTCATGGTATGTACAAAATTTCTCGTTTCATTCATTCGGGCGAGAGAGTTGCTAGCATAATCCCTGTTTCGAACATTGCTCGCAGTGTGCATCTTATACCAAAGTTTGGACCAGTCGCACCTCGTCACTGGACAAGCAACACTGTCCTCGAAGAATGTGATACTTTTTTCGTTAATTGTTATATTGATAGGCATAGTTTTGTGGCCCTTAGATAGCGCTGTATAATGCTGCATAATTTTTTCTATGTTATGAAGGCTAGGACATTTATGTACGTCTAGCTCTAAAATATGGCAGTTTATCTGCTTTGTTGAAATTCTCTCTAATTTATCCTAAGTTAGCACGGGAGGTTTTTCCTGATGTGTATACATTCCTCGGGATCTGCGAGTAATGACGGCCAACAACTTGTCTTTATATCATAAAAAGCGATAGACGTCGACGCAATACAGCTCGAGAGCGGTTTCATCACCTGCCACTGTGGTAATCAGGCGAGCATTGATGAAATGAACTGAGAACTCCGTCATCGGCCGGTGCAGCTCTACCGCCGAAAGTGAAAACGGAGGCAGGAATATCACTGGCACTTATATAAATAGACTACATCTGCTTACAATATGTAGATGTTTGGAAGAAGTTGTTCAGAGGCGTACAAAACTCGAAACTGTCAAACTGATATAAACGAATTTCAACATTTCTACTATGACAAACACATGAGTCAAAACTTTCGGAATAATCGAGTGTGCCTGTCACATCACTGGTGTAAAGTTCGACAAACGAAGTGGAAAGTCAGTTCGGTCTAGTTCACACCACCAGTAGTTGTAAGCTTTTGGCCTGTGTACAAAATCAACGCCGTGAGGCTAATGCAATGGGTTTGAGGCGAAGCAAGGCTTACACGAAGCACCTGGATGTATCACATCTGAGTTCAATATGACGAGGTCAGACATAAAGCATCGAAACCTTACCTAGACAGCTGGGGTCTCGCGAGCCACCTCGGCAATAGTATTTTGAACTGTAGCGGTCTCGCCCTGCGTACAATATTAATATCGCGAGGCCAATTCATGGATTTGATACAAGGCTTACGCGAGGATAGTACTGGGTGCATTACATCTGAGGTTAACAATATAACGAGGTTTGGTACTAGGCACTTACATTATAGTTGAAGGTTGCTAATTTATCGTGAGTCAACAGGATTAGATTTTATACGAAGTCAGCCTCACTGAATGCACAGCTTGTAGCGACAAAAGCTGTCAAGGCAAGTAGAATATAGAGGAAAGAAGAGGAGAAGCGAGTGGACATGACGGTGAGTAGATCTATATCTGTTGAGAGCTGTTGGCGCTGTCTAATCTGTGACGATGCTGCTGAAGTGGGTGTTCTTGAGAAGCATACAAGCTCCAAAATGTGTGCAATTTAAGTGTTCTTCCATGAAACGTTCCGGGGAACTGTTGGAAACCTAATCAATGTTATCTGGCTGTCAATGAACACGTGCACGGTGGAATCAACAAGAAATTTCAGCTCCGGTGTTATTTTACCTTTCAATGTCATAGGAGACAATAATATTTTGAGATTGCTACACGGGCCATGCTCGATCCGACGCTAGGTAACCCCTTGCCACGGATTCATCATGACGTTGCTATCACAGACCAATAAAATTGTTATTGAGGAGGGATAGTATGGATGTTGTTTAAGCTCTTTGATGTCGTACCGCATCGTTAGGCACTCCCTAATATCTGCTGTGGAAGCACCTAACGACGCGGTATGACATCAAAAAGTCAATAACAGCCCTACTTGATAACAATTTTATTTATTGATGTTCAGAAACGACTCTGAATCGTTCATTGATCCATAATGACGACATCATGATGAATCCGTGGCAAGGGGTCACATAAAGTATGGCCTCGTAGCAATCTCAAAATAGCAGTCCTACTCAATTTACAATTTATTTCGTCCAGTTTATTTTCTTGACGAGCAATATAAGTTTTGATGGCAAGTAAAATGAACTGATGTAAAATTGAGTGCCTCAGTTGTGTTTTTGCAATTCATTCGAAACGGGCGTTGCAGAGCTCACATAGTACCGAACAGTCTACAGTCCTCCTCGAAATCGTTGAGTGACGCTTCGCTACTCATCATGACGTTGCTATTGTGGATCCAGCTAAGAGTCTCTAGGGACTAATTATTAGAGAGCACATTGACCCGCATTAACAGGCACCAATATGAAATCAAAGCGCACTCGATTGTTATTCATTTCCGTAAGGAGTCTAGCGAGTCTTGAAGAGTGTTGTGTATGCCTTGTGTCCACACCCCAAGCTCTTTCTCCAACGACACCACTGTTTCGCGAATATTTCTTCCGAGCTCACCGCCGTCGTTGTTTCTGCCAAAACCAATAATCAGTTCGTGTCTCGCACGTACTAGTGTTTCGTATGCAGCTTTGAGTCGTGAAGGGCCGGATGGTGGGAACGCGATGTTTGTGGGTAGTGACGTGACAGGATGGGGTTCATCAACGGCCAAAAGCTTCCCGAACTCCGCGAGGGCGACGGCACGCACAGGGTGGCCATCACAGAGAATGGCAGATAGCCCCATATAGTGCTTAGCTGCAGTACGGATTGTCTCGTCTAGCAGTTCTTGTGCTATGTTTGCCGACAACGAAGACAAGAGAAATGATTTATGGAGTCCTATCAAGGCCAATAGCGGGTGACAGGATGGCGTCAGGCCGGCAGACACAAGTATCGGAATAATGTTGGTCGTCAGTTGTAAGGCCTTATCATGATCTGTAAAGAAATATAAATATCTTTCCTGCGCAACATGGAGGACGAACCCGTGTTTTGAATGGAAGTTGCCTTCGCCAATGCTTCTTGTCCAATACGAAGCGCGTCCATGATAAATCCAGGTGTAGCCACAACTGCATGACATTTCTCGCATTGATATGTCTCATTTTCTGTTAGGAATCCAGTGTATGAACGACCAAGATTTCAAGTAAAGCTCCGACTGTCCTCACCATCACTAGGAGCAGGACACATCCCTCCACACGACTTTGGACACCATATAGATTCACGAGGATCTATTTTGTTGCCGTCGTGACATAGCTCACACTGGCATGTGAAGTCATACGTCTCCTCCAACGCAGCCTGCCTTAGAGAACGAGGTAGGGTGGTGTCGATATAGGAGGTCAAAATCTGATAGTAATCGCTGGTTAGTGAAAGCGCTTCGAGAAAGTGGTTTATACTCGCCTCCTCATTGGGTGAAATGTCTCTAAGAGCAATGACTTGCATCTGCGGCTCCTCCGCAGGATTTCGAGAAGACCGAGGAAAAACTATGACTGCACCGGGATCACAAGAATGGTTGAAAAGTGCAACAAGTGGCGAGACCGACACCCCCACTGGTGTCAATGAGGGTGAAGTTAATGCGAAAGTATTCGTCACAAACTGCCAGGTACTAAGCATGCGATGCCTAAATGATTTGATGACCAGTGCTTACTCTTGAAATTAAATCAGCAAGGTCGCCCGCAGATACAATGCCAAACTCCGACAGCTCTCCAGGAGAAGACAAGCCAAGATATCGAACCAGAGAGTGGGCAAGGTAAGTATTATTTTCAACGACACGAGGTTGCAAAGAATGTCGATCTAATCCCACCTCGATTATAACTTGCACTTGAATGTGACATACGACTCACGAGACTGTAATGCATCGATTTCCTTTGACTGTCGGTGCTGTTAGCGGCGTGGTTCATGAAACACAAACCCCTACCCACCCAACTACTGTCAAACCCTTCCTTCTTTTTCTGCCACAAAATTCGACCCAGGCACCTGACAGCATCACTTGGGACAGATAATTTTTTCGATGGTGCTGACTTGGCCCATTTTCTCAATGCGGAACATTCGAGTCGATGAAGTGACCAGTCATTTGTCTGACACGTCTAATACTGAGGAATTAGACCAGTGAAAAAGCTCATTATGGTATTAGTGCAACTAACTGCGTTGCAATACCGAACTGTGTGGCATTTAGTACACCTCAACAACCCCGAATTTGATGTGGTAGCACAAGAGGAGCAATGGGAGTCCAGACACCGGCTAGCAAGTGCAAATGAATACGGTCTTAGGGATATAATAACAGAACCTGTGTTGTGTAAGCGATGTGTGGTTCAAGAGTCCGATCTTTGCTAACCAGCTTTGATCAAATTCTTGGCCCATAAGCCTCTGCCTGATATTGCTGATACCCGCACCTCCACATTTTCTGGTATACCATGGTACACAGTGCCTCCATTACTGGGAGTTGATGTATTTGGATCGTCAGAAAGTGTCAGTTTTGGAATAGTTGTGGAGTGCGATTCCTCGGAATGATTTGTGGAAGTCACATACGATCTTGATGCCTTGGATTGCCTTTGATATTTAAGACTTGCAAATGACATGATGCCACCAGGAATGAGCCAGTCTGTCACAGGTCCGGCGTTGCGTCTTTCGGGAGCTTCCGCCACTGGCCATAAGGTTTAATTGCTTATGTAAATTTGTCGAGTTGTGCCACAAAAGTATAGTTCAATCGCCGAAATTCGTTTAACAAAATGGCTACCGTAGATTCAGTGTCAGTGTTCGCAGAAGGGACATTGGAAGAACAGGTATGGCTATACTTTCTTCATGAAGACTCATTCCTGATCTCTAATCAGATACAAGAGCTAGTGGATTATGCCACCCGAAGTAGCCCAGAGGATGAACGTGCTACTGCGTTGCAATCTTTTCGAGATATCATTAAGTTAAAAGAACCAGTTGAAAATGATCAGGAAAGAAGACGGAATGCATTGAACTTTGTGCTGGATCGGACTGGAGGCTTGGGCGATGGATCAGAACAAGGTGCGTCCGGGATCCTCAGCATTTTCTACAGCGAATTAGATCTGATTTTGAAATCCAGAAATCGAGGGTTACTTCAACCTTCTCTTCTCTCACCTTCTGACACTATGGCCGACCAACTCACCAGAAGTCAGACATCACGTCTCCTCGCTCCTGGGTGTTCTTGCTTCATCACCTTCCGAGCATCCATCAGTGAGGTACCGCGTATTGTCGAATTTGTTCAATACCACTCCTCGTAATTCAGCTCTCCGACTACCTATTTACACCGCGTTACTACAGCTCGCCGCCGTAAATGGAGAACTCGAGACCTTGCGTCTATCCAGAAAAGATGTCGAGCAGTGGCTACAAGAATGGGATATCTCTAGGGAAGAGCGCAGTCAGTTCCTGAAGGCCATTGTTGATGCATTCATACAATCTGGCCAGCCGTATGTATTATTCTACTTGACTGATGAGGGTTGTAGTTAATGTTTGATTCATACAGGGAGACCGCTTATCATTACACGCTTTCCTACGTTCCTTCATTACCATCCCCTTCGCCTGAAGGTCAATCTGCAGCTATCGATGCCATAGCCTTAGCACTGCGCTTGCCCTCCCTGTTCGACTTTGATCCATTGTTCAAGTTGGACGCCGTTGTTTCAGCACAAGATCATGAGCTTTTCTCGCTTCTGCAGGTGTTTTTGAACAGTGGCCTACCAGAATTCCGTTCATGGCTCGAAAGCCATCCTGCTGTTCTCGAAAAATATGGTAAGTTGATTCATTACGATTGACACCACCATTTATGGGCCTGCAGGACTCGACCAAGCACAGCTCGAGAGGAAGATCCGTCTTCTGTCATTTGCATCACTGGGTTTTGCACACGTCGGGCATGACCTGCTATATTCAGAGGTCGCATCGGTCCTGCAGATTGAATTGAGTCAAGTAGAGAAGTGGGCGATTGATGGTATGTCTCCTTGACATTTGGTCGTTTATAATTATCTCAAATAATCTTTGAACAGTGATCCGTACCGGTCTTCTTTCGGGAAAGCTCTCGCAGACGACTCAATCTCTACGCATCTACCGCTCGTCAGCGCGCACGTTTGAGCGAGAGCAATGGGAGGCATTGGAAAAGCGTCTTGTTGCGTGGAAGGCGGGCCTAGCGAGCGTGCTGGAGGTTGTTACTAGTGCACAAAAGCGCGGCAACGGTTCGGCTGTGAGTGAAGTCGTGCAGCAAGTCACGCAAGCGGGTGAGAGCGTTCAGGTTGATGCCGCGTAGCCTACATTAGTAGTTTTTTGCTCTAGTGGAGGCACGAGCACCACTGAAAACTTCATATCATGATATGCCTTTATTTAAGCTACAACGTTGAATCATTATGTTGAGACTGTATTGGTTAGTCTGACACGGGGAGTTCACTGATCATCAATCACCAACGAGAAAATCTTGCCTTTTCTTTGAAGTATTATGTAACACAAGCTCCAAATCCCGTCGTCATTTTCGAGTGCTTCCACGTCTATCTTCAAGGAAATTTACACTACAAACCTGAATTATTGTGCCTACTATCGAGATAGTGTTGGATAGTTCATTAATGGCACCAATGAGAAAAGTGGTCCAAGTATTACATTCAAAAAATACCTTCGCAATACAAGCTCCAAATGATATCATTCCTCGAGGTCGCTACCTTCAAATCGAAGCGATGGTGGACAAATAATACTATGTGCAGTGTAACTTTCCAATGCATTGAAATCTATAGTATAGGTCCTCGTCGTCGTCATCGTCCCCGTTGGTTTCCTCATCTTCATCGGTGACAAGGAGGACGAGGGTTGGGCTGAGGCCTGGTAGGAGAAAATGGGGGAAGAGATATGGGGACTGTGAATGAAGTATAGGAGAGGGGAAATAGTTGTGGATGCAAGTTCCGCTGATTAGCGCCTGAGAAGGGTACGATACCGGTACCTGTGTTTGAATGAGCCTCCGGGCGCTTCACCCCGAGCATAGGGACTGGAATACCTGGGGTAACGCCATGGAAAGAACTGGCGGCATGCGCTGGCCCGCTGCCTTCAATATACTAAGTCAGAAATAATCAAGACGGCTCTACTGGAAGATGCACCGCGAAACATAGTGAGCGAATACTGATGAAGTGATCGTCCCTGTGTACAGTGTGAATGACTGGAAGCACAGCGAAGATTGGTCCTTTGCATCTCTGGTATATCGATGGGTCATCCGGGAGTCACTGTTATGGCCTCAGCACCAGGGGTAGGGAAGAAGGGGGAAGCGATAGTGTGTGGGGAACGCGTATGTGGCTTGCTGCCATAGGTGACAGTGGATGCTGGGAAGGGTGTTGCTGAGATATACAAAAAATGAATGACGATCTTCAAATAAGGATCAACAGCGGGTCCGGTAGCAGGTGGATTATCGCTGCACATCAGCCAGCAGGCATGGAAGGTGAAAAGCTCTCAGCGATTGAGAGAAGGGCATACGAGGACCCACCTAAGGCAGGTCCAAGTAAGGTTCAAGGCCGCCTCCTGGGGCAGTCAGCCACGGATAGAGGGCGAGGGAGACAAGAAAGTAGACAAAGTGAGTATGTGCATGTATTACCACAAGGGACGGACACGAGTGAGTTGCAGGACAGGATTTGAGCCATGTTTGGAGTGCCGCCGTTGGTCATCAAAGCATAATGGGTAGAATTCCGGGCATGAGACTAGGTTTTGCAAATAAAACATGCATATCTGATAGTGTCGTAAAAGTGGAAACAAGGTTGCAACTTGCAGTGAAAAGGAGGGGCACAGCATGACGGGGAGAACGCATTTGACACCGAGCCGCCGGAAATGCGCGTGATCACGCAGCACAGCATGACACAGTTAACACCGAACCGCAGATTTGTATCATACATTGAACAGAGTCCATTAGTTAACGATTTTGATTATCAGGTTCAAAATCATGGCCAAAGCGGCTCCAGATAGGCGACTGAGCCTTCAAATTTCAAAATTCAGAGCGCAAAAACCTACAACAAATAACATTTCTAACGATCCGGGCCCGGCAAAAGAAAGGCTACTGACGAGCTCAAAGGCCAGCCACCTGCTAAGAACTCGAAAATTCCAACGCAGAGCCATGGTATCTTCGACATGGAGCTGGAAACTGACGACGGTAATTAAACTCGGATGCTCTTATGAAACTTGCAGTGCAGCATCTGATCTACGAAGTGCCTGACCGTTGTACATACTCGAAGAGTCGGGTGTTTTTGTATATCAATATACTGTTCGCTGCCAATCCATCATCATTTCTTGGAGTTGGGGACTGGCGCTTCCTAGCCCCACTACAATTAGGTTCTAGACAGGCCTTTGGTTCTGACATGATCGGCTCCTCGCTCCTCGATCAAGGCAATACTCCTCTATCAACTCGTCTCGATCCCTTTGAACTCAACAATCACCCGCACAGGGGACCCCTGGGGAGCATATGAAGATGAACTACCACGCCGGTGAGTTATTTAGTTAAATACAAAACACTCATACTCACACAATATCCCTCATCATGGCAGCCTTTGCACTGGTGATCAGAAAGGCAGAAGTAAGGACAGCCCTCACTGGCAGCCTCACTGGTAGATATCAAAGCGGTAACAACGGCAAGGACAAAGGCGAAACGCATTGTTCGTGAGGATGTAATACTAGTATGAGCTCAGATAAATCTGGAGTGGAAAGTAGGAAGACGTCTTGCCTTTACGTGCTGTATAATGTTCTTTATGTAGGAGAACTAAGTCCACCTAAAATCCTTTTTCGGGCTGATATACTTGCAATTCCAGACGATTGCCACCCTAAGGTCTACCTTGCGAAGCAAGGTCTATTGGCAATTTGGCGTGGAACAAGATATCACCTTCCGAAGCAGGTTGATGCTGGGAAGCATATTGCCACCTAATAAGATCCATCTTGTGAATTGATATCCACCGGTTTGGTGTGGAACAAAATACTACTTTGCGAAAGCCAACTCGCAACAAGGACTGATAAACTAAGTGCAGGGAACTACTAGTAGTATGGGCAATGATGGAAAAGTTCGGTCTTCACTCACCGCAACTCGACTGTTGATGAACTGAATCGATCAGATCTACGTTTGATGCTCCCAATTGAGCTTCAAGGAGCTTAAACGTTTAAACGTTTGAAAGTACTATCTCGAACGTGTTCAGGTTCACATGACTGCCAGTACTGGTGACCAATCAATGATTTCCCACGGTCCATCCAGTTCTGCTGGCGTGAGCTTGAACATTTGAAAGTACTATCTACATCTCCGAGTCGAAGCTGTTCGCGTCACCATGTCATTGCATAACTGGTAACCGGTGACCGGTAACCAAGCGTAAAATCTCAACGATTTCCCAAGGTCCATCCAGATCTGCTGGCTTGCAGAGCTTAAGCTTGAACGTTTGAACGTTTGACAGTACTAGATATCTGGATCCGGGTCGAATGTGTTCGCGTCTCTGTCATCGTAGGACATGACCGGTGTGCAATACCTTGATGGTTTCACACGGTCCATCCATGTCTGCTGGGTTACTTACCCACTTAGTTTCTTTACAGTCTCAGGCCTCACTGGGTCCTAGGCATCTGCTAGCTGTTCTTCTCTCTTCAGCGACTCGGCTTACATTGGTCCGCGGTGGCTTCATTCATTTAGTCATTAAGCTAGTCATTGGTATGTGACACTGTCTACGGCAATTTTTATTTTGAAGCATACAATTTGCTTAGTCGCCTTGTTGATGCTCTTAAGTAAGTTTTTCAAACGATCTATGCGTAGAACGCAACACTGGTAATACTGTCAAGGCTCTTATGAACTTGCTCGCTCCAAAACACAACGCTAGGGGTAACAGCACCTAGTCTAAAACCGAATCGCTGCCATTATAGGTTCGAGCAGGAAGGTGGATTAGTATAGTTTGAGTTTTGGTGTTAGAGATCAGGTATGTGTACCATCGCTCTTCCGTTATTTTACTCTACTAAACATGCTGATTGAGTCGAGTTGCCATGCCTCGCCACCACCACCGCTGCACCATCTGTGCACTCCTGCCCTCTCATGGCCAACATTTTAACTCCAGGTGCCGCACTCCTCGCAGACCTCACCGCTAACCAAGTCCTCGTCTATCTCCTATGTGATTCTTCTGTTGTGCTTCAAACCATATACTGAATGTACCCCTTCGGTCTTTACACTCTGCTCGTTGTTCCCATGGCATCACTTTGATTCTATATGTGCAGACACGCTGTATGCGCATTCTTTTTTCACGGATTGCGGACGCGTTCAGCGTTTGAACGCCGAACCGAATGTGAACCGAACGTATTGAATGCGTTCAAACACGTTCGGTCCAGCGTTCAGCAAAATCGCTGAACCGAACGCAACGTCTGGTCCAGTGGTCTGATTCCAAGGCATAACCCGTCCTCAAGGTTTATGCATGTGGGGGGCATGCGCTGTAAATGTGGTGAGATCTAGATGTGCATTTCAGCACTCCGGGGTTTCATCAACAATCAAGATCAAAAGCATTTGGAATTCGTTTTGAATGTGCCGCATACGTCGTGTCACGATCACGTCATTTTCACCCTGCCCCCCCATGAGATATTGGCTCCACATCTCAATTGCTCGTTGCTGCTGGTAGTACTGAAGTGCTTACTGATTGGTAATGGTCGCATCACAAGCACTGCGGACATGTGGTTTGCCTTCAAGGGCCTTTGCGTCGCATGACCCCTGATGGACTCAACAATATGCACTCTAGTTCCGATACTGGTGTCCCTCTATCTCCTGCAAGTGTATCATCAAAGAAAATGAACGACGCGCATACGCGGACCTCAGAGCCCAAGCCGGCTTCGCCAAGACAGTGGATTCTGCCGCTATCGTCACTGAACCTCACGAATATCGGGTCAGAGAGTACGGACCAGTGTACAAGGTGCCTCACGTCTCGAGACTGTCCAGAGTCGTACTATGGGACTCGAAGGCGATATCTCATTTCTTTGCACAGTTATCAGGTGGTGGTGCGCCCTGCAACTGACACGTTGGAAGAGGAGTGTTGTGAACCGAAATCACAAAATGTTGGAGTGATGACCTTCAAGTTGTGCTGAACTAAATCCATGTCATTCTCTCGTTTATCAGGCAACGCAAGGCCTTCAACCCTGCCTTTAAGTCAACTGCTATTTGCAGCTTGATGTCTGTCATCCACGATACCGTTCGCAAGGTCGGTCGGTCACTGATCGTTCGTCTTACATTGCACTCAAAATCTATTATAGGCAATGCTAATGGTCGTTTGGGACGGTGAGATATGATCGAATCAAGGAACTTATTACGCTGAACGATGGTATTTGTTCGCCCGATAAGTTTCAGACTCGTGAACTGACATTATCCAGAATGAATCACATCTTGTATGTAGTTCCATTCCTCTCCACCAGACTGCTGTCTTATGCAACATGCAACGTAGGCTTGATAGTATGGGCATCCTGCCCCCATAATTTCGATGCACTCCATGGAAATGACTCCGACGTCGTGCATGTCCTGAGTACCCTTAGCCCATCTACCATCTACCAACGTTTCCTACAACTCGGTCGCCCTGGCACACAATTTTCCTTCCATCCTAAAACTACCATTGCCTTGTATACAGTTCTCCCAAAAGCGAGTATACTTCCATCATTTATGCAAATAGCTGTAATAATCAGATTCAGAATTATTGCCGAAGAGGCTTTAGACGGCCAACCTTCAAAATCCAAAGCGCAAAAAACATACAACAAGTTTCGATGGCACATTCTCGAGCAAAGGTGATTCGTGATGTGCGGCATGGTCCTGGCAGCTTTGACTTTCAAAAGTACTTTTCTCGACATAAAAGTCGAGGAATTGCATTCCCAAGAATCCCAACAACTTGAAAGGCCTTGCTAGTAGAATCTGGTGCGTCACTACGTCATCAACTTATGGTCGATTCCAATGCTGATCCTTGTTTGCATTTGCAGTTCGCACCGGGGAGGGAAATGGTGCACCGGTGATTGGCCACCAATATTTCTGCCCAAGCGTATCTGTACTTGAATTGAGCCGGATAGTATCCACGTATATATCATGTACTTACAGCATACAAATGAAATGCAGAACGGGTTCCCTGAGGGCTGTTCGGAGATGCTTGCAGCGCCACCAATCTTAGTCAGCAGAAGTTTGACTTGGAGTTCATACAACTTGAATTTGCGCAATTCTTGCACGTCAAAATCATGGCTGCCATTCCTTCATTTCGAAAAAACCTGTGGCCACGCCATTGCTTGCCTTCAGCGCGTGAGCTCGTGCGCAATATAGTTGCTTCATCGACAACGCCATTGTCAACCAAGGACATTTACAATTTGGCTTTGAAACAGACAGCGATCCAAATTATCTCAGATAAGTTGCCAGAGCATAGTGTGCCGAAGAAAGAGCATCCAACTATCGTGCGTGGAATAACAAGGCAACCTTCTACTCGACCTCCCCATCCAGAGCATCCCGTACGGTCTCTACAGTGAGTTGACATTAATATAGGCCTTGGTTGACGTACTCAGTCTCATGACACAGGTATTTGAAGAGAGTGGTGCTTCCGGACCTAGTAAATTCGAAGAAGGTCGAAAAGTTCTGCACCAAGCGAACGCTCTCGCAAGCGGAAATTGACCACCGGCTTCAGACGGTGACCAAAGCTGCGCGGAAGGAACAGGCTGTATTACTCGCTGCACCGAGAAATACTTGGTTGTGGAAAATGACGACACCCCCTCCTCCACCTAAGCCCTTGCCCGCCTCTACTCTCTCGAAGTCGGAATTACTAGGATTGCCTCGGCTCACGGCAGCCGATGTAGGTGTTGGGGAAGATTGGGGTCATTTGAACAAGCGAAGGCAACGCGCGAGGAAGGAAAAGATTGAACGTGATCTGAAGTGGATGTGGACGCTGCAGGCCGCGAAGAGGGAAGCTGCACGAGAAGCATTGCAGCTTAGTGCTCCAGCTTCATAGTCTATGACATGTTGCAGAGCAATTCACTATTGTCTTCGCACTTCGCCATTACGTCCTGTCTGATTATTTCGGATCAGCACAAGAGGTTTGTTTCTTTTCTATTTGATCTCTCTAAACGGGTGAAGTGGTGTATTCGTGGCTTCATACATTCACTAGCTGCTATAATTGCTCCGGCAAATCTGCCATGGATCCTCGTCGAGTTCGTATGTCCTCTCAGTCGCGCTATCTCGAATATGTCGTTCTATCATGTCCACACATATTCGATCGCCTCAACCGAGTCTGCACGTCCAGCCATAATGGAGAATCTGCGTCCAATGAGACACAATCATCCCGTATTGGACCGAGGAATTCATGTTCGACCAGTGCCCAGTGCCCACTCATCTATTGGTTGATTCTGTTCGCAGGCTCACCACCCACAGTGAATTAGCATCTGCTACACATGACGTCACTTCCGAAAGTGCTTTTCTTCACTCGGTCTTGGGGAATTGACTTGTAAGCAGAGTTCTTCGAGACTTGCGAGAGTTTAAACTGCACACACCAAATCACGCCGATGGTATGTCGCCGCCTATGACCGTATGGTGCAAAGGAAAATTTCTCAATATTCCCCAGTGCCTGCGCGGAAGTCGACAGTGACTCGGTTGTTCCCGACGGCAGTCTGCTTCTTGATCGTCGCAAAAATTATTTTGGTCGTCGAAAATCATCATTATGAAAGGTCCGTTTTCTACCCTGCACAACTAAGGTTCTACAGTTTGCTCTGCGTTTGGTTGGTGACTACGTTCTCACTGATGGAACGGATGCGAAACTTTCCTCGAGAACGGCTTGGCAACACGTTCTATTGCTTCGCATGTTATAGATTCAAAAAATATGTACGTAGATTCAACTGATGGCTTCTCGTACACCGTTCCCGTTCTACTTGATTTCGTATGACAATTGTTGCTGCAGTCAATCAAGGTTCTGATTCAAGAACGTATATCCAGCCCGATCACCATAAAAACGCTGGATGGTGAATACCTGCACACAAAAAAAACGCTCGTTCACCAAGTCCCCCAATATGACTTACATCTCGAACGATCCTTCTAATTGGCCGTATCTCGAGTGGAGTCGTAGATACAACTATTTTATAGGTTCATCCCATGATATTGGTGATATTTCAGTGCCATTGACCGTGTTTCACAGTTGCATCCTTGACCGCGGTGGTCTATGATTGGGGTGCGCAAGATAATACTTTCAGAGGGGACCATTGATCTAAACTTTTTTCAAGTACTGACGTTCGCACAAGAGGCAAGTTGGTACCATAACCGATACAGCCATCTTGCTAAGAATGCTTTGACAGTTCGAACTGATATGGGTGAGCCAAGTCCTATATCAGAAACAAACTGGACATTGTAGTTGATTTGGGGCAGAGGCAACGCTGCTCTCTCATGAATGTTCTTTATATTTGCGTGCGTATTTGATATCATAAACGCAGTTTCCAAGTTGTGCTGACTTTACCATATGCTAGGTTCGTTACACTGGAATACTATTTTCAATGTGTGTTTTCAACGCCAACTAGATGATATCGCACTGTACTAATGAGCCATCTCTTACAACCAGCGTCTACATACTGCGTATGCATGCCTACATATGTTCGTTTCTTCTGACTAATGGCATGCAGCGAATTTCCAAATATCAATTACAGATGCAGTGGGTCTTCTTTACCGATGCCTGCCGTTCCCATTCAACTACTAACTGCACCCCTACACAGGGGTGAGTGATACTCTCCGCTAGCTTTTGCCTTCAAGTTAACGACTTTAACAGCTGTGAGTTGAATCGAAGCATTTATTTAAACAATGCATATCGTAACTGGGTTGTCAGGCAACACTGTTTGGTTCATACAGGCATGGACGCCCATCATAATCAATGCCATACTGGGAGGTGAGTACGGTACCTAATGATTTTAACTTGACTGAAATTTTTGCAAGTCATCATGACAACTCGGATACATGCTATGTACCAGGGATCCAAAAGGATACTCATCTTTCTCCTTGTAGTCTTACTGGCTTGTACGATTGCCTCTGTGATTATGGTGGTGATAGGAAACATTGGTGTTTCAGGAGGTAAGCCTAAATTATGAATGAAATCCTCAGGACTCATGCATGAATATCAGTGGAGCAAATCCTTTCTGGCATCCATCAGTGTTCCGAAAATATGAGCGCAGAGGACACGCGTCTGAATGCCGAAACTGCGGTACCCACCACTGTATGGGAGATCCTTGCCTTGTGTCTTGCAGTCTGGATCGTTATCAAGCACTTCCGTGAACTGCAAAAATCACCGACAGGGGCGAACATTAGAGACTGTTTCACGGTGTTAATGAAGAGTCATATGCTGTACTTCGTAGCGTGAGTTCAAGTGATTTTGATATCGTTACCTTGCTGAAGTTCTGGATGTGCTAGCTTTGGTGCTGTGTCTTGCTTCAACCTCGGCACACTGTCTCCAAATCTCTCGGTGCGCCGATTGGTGACTCTTACCTGCATACTGCTCATCATTTCTGAAGTCCCTCTCTGTGGGAGTCAGTTTTTATTATGGTATTGGCGAAGTTGCCCAGGCCATGCAAATGTTTGTGCTGGGACCACGTCTCATCCTTAGCCTTCGAGAATATCATGCTCAGCTTGTGGCGAGCTCCGACGAAGGAACTTACTTCACCACAATGGATTTCCATGCACATGGACACGCATCAGATGCATCAACCGGCACTGGTAGTGTGTAGCAAGGGAAACGATCAATCACTGCGCACTGTACATAGTAAAAGTTCTATTGTGTGCTATTTGGACCTTCATCATGATTGTGGCATTCTAATATAAAGGGCAATTGTGGTTGTGCTATCCTCCGAAGCACTTTACTTCAACCGCAATATTCACCTGTTGTACGACTATGTGTTATGATCTAATGACAGAAGAGAATATCCATCAACATTTCCCGATCACTACACGGTGCAGTAGTGACTTTATTATTCCCGGCAGTTCGTAAAGCTTCTTTGATCCTTGCACAGCCTTGTGTCGCCATCATGATGGATGATCAGTCTATTTCTCTGTCATACACAGCTTAGATATAGGGAAGCTCTGTAATTGGTCTGCATTGGGTTGCTAACTGCATGGCATGATATCTGACGGAAGTGATACAGAATCTCTCGAGCACGTGGTGTTGATTCTTGAAACAAGTCCCACCATGAACAGGTTTTACCGATGATGATCAAATATTCCATGCATCATCCTCAAAAATTATACTTTGATTTTATTTGAAGATTCTGAAACATTCCACTTGATTCCATTCGACGATAGTCAGTGCATGCTGCCATCAATCAGGGTTCCAATTCAAGCCACTGCAAAAGTGCTGGACTCGTGTATCTTTGTGTAAACGCCACTACTAGACATTTACCAAGTACGCCGATTCCAACATGACTTTCATATCAGATGATCCAATCTGGTGGCCGACAATCAACTGGGAACGTGGTATGAGCTATTTCATAGGTATGTGGAATGGAAAGTACGTCAGACAACATTCACTCCATCTCACTCCATCTTTGGCTGTGATTTCACAGTTGCATCTTCTACTGCAGTGGTGTATGATTGGGGTGAGCGAGCTACTCTTACTGCGGCAATCATTGATATCTACATGGTGCCCAAGCACTGACATTCGCACAAGAGGTAAGTCGACGTCATTACTGGTGCAGCTATCTCACTAAGAGTCCTTCAACAGTTTGAATTGGTCTGGGTGAGCAGTCTACATGACTTATAAGCATGACACAATCTGACGGTTAGTTCGGGGCAGAGGCAACGCTGGTCTCTTATGACTGTCCTATACATCAGTGTACGTTGATGATGTTATAAGCATAGTTGGCAAGCTGCACTGACTTCAAAATATGTTAGATTCGCTACGTTGGAATACCGGTTTATGTGTATGTTCGCAATGCTAGCAAGTTGGCAATACACTGTGCTAATAGGTGATCTCTTAGATTCTCTCTTACAATCAATGAGGGAATGCTGTGTCTGTGCCTTCACATACCCTGTATTCATCTCCTCTGATTGGTGTCATGTAGCGAGTGTCGTGTCGCTCTCAATGACAGATGCAGTATGTATCCTGCATCAATTTTTGCAATTCTCATTCAACCACTAACTGTTCTTCTGCATAGTGGTGAGTGATATTCTCAACCAGCTTGTTTCTTCACAACAACTTTGACAGCTGTGAGTTCATTTGAAGTATGAAGTCCACCAATGCACATCACTAACTGGAGTCCTTCAGGCACTACCCTTCACTTTGCACAGTCATGGATACCTGTCATTGTCAATGCTATGCTTGGTGGTGAGCTGCAACACCTCCTTTACATTGACTTCACTTAAATACTGTGCAAGCCATCATGATGACTCAGATACATGCCATGTATCAGCAATTGAAAAGATGCTCAACTTTCTCATTGTACTCTTACTGGGTTCTACAGTTGCCACTGGAGTGATGACCACAATAGGAAATAATTATGTTTCATGGGGTAAGTTTGAATAATGATCATGGGCAAAACCATTGAACTTCATGTATGAGACTCATGGACAAATAACAGAGGTGTTCATCATTTCTGGCATCTCTCAGTGTTTTGCTGAATACTACACCAACCCAGCAGCTATGCCTCTGACTCATGAGACTTTGATACCCACTCTTATTTGAGAGATCCTCGCCTTGTGTCTTGCACTATGGATTGTTATAAAACACTTCTATGAAGTGCAACAAATGCTGACAGGAGGAGACTCTTTCATCATGATGGTACTAATAAAAGGTCATGTGCTGGACTTTGTAGGGTGAATTCAGTTATTTTGATATTATTGCCTTGTTCCACTGAAGTTCTGAGTGTGCTAGCTTTGCTGCTGTGTGCTGCTTTAATATTGGCTCACTGTCTCTGATGCTCATGGTGTGCTAAACTGGGATTGTTCCATCCACTCCTCATCATTTATAATATAGTACTCATCACTTTC